AGTTAAGAGGTATTTAATATTGCTATTATAAGATTTTATAATACCCCTACCTATATATAATAATAAATAGAGTATTATTTAAAGATATTCTGTTGCTTTACTAGGGTATATATAGATAATCTTTTTATTATATTAAATATTATAGATAAATATAAAGAATACTTAGATACAGTATTCTCTAAGCTTAATAAGCTAAATATTATATTAAACCCGGATAAGTTATTTATAGCTTTCTTATTAATTTAGCTATTAGGCTACTATATTAACTCCTTTAGATTTAGCACCCTAGAAGAAAAGATTAAGGCTATTATTAAATTAACCTTCTTTAAAAATCTTTAGCAGCTTAAGCACTACTTAAATATTATTAGGTAGTTTTAATAGTATATCCCTAATTATACTATAATATCTGGCCCCCTTTAAGAAAGGAAGAAGCTTTTATTATAGAACAGTCCTACTAGCAGTTAAGTATATATATCTTATATTAAATAAATAGAATTAATTCTATTACTAGTAAAATTATAGTTATTCTAATAGCTTTAAGAATACTTTAAATAGCCTTCTTTTCTTATATACTTTACTAATATATACTAGCTCTATATTAATCTAGATACTTATAAAGAAGAATTTAGCGCTATATTATATTATATCTATAATAAAGATAAAGCTATAAAAGATAATAGATATCTTTTAATATAGGCTCCCCTTATTAAAGCTATATTAAATTAGTTATATATATAACTAATAATATTCCTTAGTTAATAGCTAAATATAGTAAAAAGAAACTACTAGCCTATAAAAATAGAAGTTATATATTTTATTTAAGTTTTTTAAAAAATGTGCTATATTATTAAATTAGCGCCAGACTCTTTACCCCTAATTATATTTACTAATTATAGTTTAACTCTTATAATAGTAAAACAGATAACTTTATGCTTAATATCTATAAACTAGCTTAATCTTTATTTAATCCTCGCCTTATAATATATGCAAAAGTTTAATATTTAGCTTATTTATAAGCCTGGCGCTGCTAATATTATTGCTAATATATTATTGCATTTACTATTTCTAATAATAGAGCCTAATACCTTAATACTTAAAGATGTCAACTATATTTCTTTTACCTATATAGGGGAAGAGAAGAAATAAGAGCCTATTTATATAATAACCCTAGTTTAAATATAGGAAGAATTTAAGAATAAGATCTTTTAAGGCTATATTATAAATCTATATTAATCCTGCGTGCTAATAGTATTTAGCTTTAATAAGGCCTTTAGTAATAATGCTGTAAGACTACTGTATTTAAAGCAAGATAGTCTTCTATATATAAAAGACTATAATAGCTAAAAGAGGCTATATATACCTTATATAGTATTGCTAGAAGTCCTCCGGCTTACCTATAATAATGCCGGGCATTTAGATATTAAGCAAATTCTAAGATATCTAGATAGTCTAGCTATATACTGCTGCTTAAAAAATATATATATATATATTAAGTACTACCCTTAATATTTATTAAATAAGATATAGTAATATAAGTTATAGGGCTTACTTTAGCCTATAATAAGCCCGGCTATTCTATTTTATATAATAATAGTTAATTTTATTCTAGGACTCTTAAATACTAATAGTAAAGACTATTATATATTTATAATATATAAGTTTATTAAAAGAGTAATTTTTATTCTTAGTATAGTAATATAGATTACCGCATACTAGGTATAGGTATTATTAAAGTAACTCTGTTTTAAAGACTAAGAAATCTTATATTGTATAATTTTTAATTAAAATAGAAAATTTCTTTCTTAGTTATAGCATTTACTATTTAAAAAGCTTAATATAAAGCTGTTATTTTCTATTATATATTACTTATAAATTAATAAGCAATTTAAGTAATCTAATTAAATAGCAGAATACGCTCTATACTACTTCTTTATATTTCTTAAAGACCCTATAGTATAGCTATTAGCTCTACCTTAGCTTTAGAAAGTATTAAATTCTATTCCTTCTGCGATTATTAAGTACTCCGCTTATAAACTTTACTATAATATTGCTTTAAATATATTAGCTATATTACTTAATTTATATTATACTATATATTAGAGCTTTACTATATATATTAATATATATAAAGCAATTGCTCTTATTATTATTAAAGCTAAACGCTAATATAACTATAAGTATACTCTAATATACTTCGCCCCAGACAATAAGGTTCTTGTTAGACTATACCGCAGTTATATCCTACTATCTATTAAAAAGCTTAAACCTAAACTTTCTCAGCAATTTGCTAGCCTATTTAAAGTCCTTAAATATATAAGTTGCCTAGTATATAAGCTTAAGCTTCCTAAGATATAGAATATCTATAATATATTCTCAGTATTGCATTTAGAACCTTATCTATAAACTAATCCCTTTTATTGCCTGCAACTTAAAAATATAAAATACCCTAAGTTTATAAATAACAATAGCTTTTAGTATTTTAAGATTAATATATTTTTTAATTATTGTCTTACCAGGCGCAGCTATAATAAACCCGAGAGAAAATATCTTATATATTAGAAAGGTATAGGACCTAAATATAATATCTAGTACTCTTATTGCGAACTTCTTCTTGGCGCTATAGAGCTTATTACTAAATATAATGCGCAGTATTCTTTATTATTAGAAGAAGTCTCTCTATCTCCTAAATATTACTATAAATAACCTAGGAAAGACTAGGGCCTATCTAACTAGCCCATAAAAAAAAGGAAGAAAAAAAGGCCTTATAAGATATAGGACTAGACTTTACTTTTCTTTTCTTTACTTTATTATCTTACCTTATCTTTCTATATTACTACTGCTTACTTTTATCTTACTACTATTTATATCTATTAAGAATACTAAGTATATCTGCATATTTCCTATTATTTTATCGGATATTTATAACTGCTTTCTTATATTATAGCATTTATATTATTCAGAATTAAGCAATTTATAGCTAAATTTCGCAAATTCTGTATTAAGCATGCCCTTAGCTATTATTATGCTATTCTGACCTAATAAGCCCTAGGTTAAAATAAGCCGGACAGACTTCGACAGCTTTATTAAAAAAAAGATTAAAACATTATTATTATAGTTAAAGTTATTTTAAAAAGGGGTTTTCCTTTATCGGCCCTCAATATAACTAATCTATATATTTCTAAGGGTGTACTAAAGAATAATAAGCTAAAACAGGCTATTTAGGCCTATAAGGGAAGAATAAACTATATTCTTAATATTCTTATTATTGCGCAATAACTCTTGCTACTAAATAAATTAAATATAGCTACTATAAAGACCTAGGTAATAGATAAAAGTAACAATAATAAATTTATCTAAATACTATTATAAATAGTAATACCTCTAGTAATACTAATTAATCTATAACTAATATTAAACAACTATGCCGTAAGCTTGCCTAGCTATTAAAATAATAAGAATAATATTATTCTATTATTAAAGCGATTCTATTTCCTTATTTTATATTTATACTTTATTATTAACTATAATATAAAGAATATTAATGCCCCTACGCTACTATGGCCAGTCCTATATAAACCTTAATACCTCCTTATATATCTAGTTAGTATATTGTACAATACTTATGCTAATAATCCTATAAAGGATAGTATAATTAAACAGGGTATTAATACCTATATATAGCCTCGGGTTATAAAAACAAATAAATAGAACGGCTATAATATCTAATATATAGATAAAAACGGGCTTATTATTAAGGAGAATTTTATTGTCTTTTATATATTATATATTAATTATAAATAATACCTCCGTATAGCTGAAGAGCGATTCTCTATATATATTAACTATCTTTATCTTCTACAAAATGTTTATAAGGTTAATCTAGCTATATAGATGCTATAATAATAATAATAGGAATAAGACCTATTACGCGCTAATATAACTAACCTATCTATAATATAGCCTAATAGGACAGACCCTACTCTCTCGCAGCACTACAGCAGAGAGAATATATTACTTTCTATTAAATAAGATAGGTATTTCAAGATATTATTATATAACAATATTTACGCATTTATATAGCAGTGAGGACATTATATTCTTTTTAAACTAGGGGGATATGTTACAGAATCAGCAGGTATAGCCCGGGTATATTAATATATCACGTGTAGCTAGCATATATTAGCTATTCCCCTTCATAAGAATAGACAATCATCTTTCATCTCCCAATTTCATCCGAATTATCAGGATTCGTCAACATTAAGCAACAGCTTTACTTCACCCATCCCTATTATCAAAAAAAAAAAATAAATAAAAAATCAATACATAATATTCTGCAAAAAATCTATCATTCTCAACCTCCCATTCCCAGAAGAAGAAAACAACTCATGCGCTGCCTATGCGTATGCAGATGTTTAGTTCCCCGCTTCTGGTCATTCCACCGCAGCGGACGATCCTCCATTGATACCAGTAGCGGATCACCAGACGATACACCGCGCGCGGAACGTCCACGATCAGATCATCAGTATGAGAATCGTCGCGGACGGAGATATAATAAGCGCAGACATGCTAGTATGAACATCTGAATTGGTAATAGGCAGGTATGGGTGTGGATTTGCTTCTGTCATACAATGTAGGGTTTGATTGAGATGTAAGAGGCTAAAACTGTCGGTAGAGCAGAGGGTCGGACTCGTTCTTGAGTTATCGGAATATTGTGATTCGGCTTGGTGTATGTGTACTCATAGTCCTTGATGGGTTGGGGTTAGTTTCGGTTGGTGCATGATGTATCTATCCTACTAGAAAGGGATAAAACTAACAGTGTACAGTGTCCGAGAGGTCTATTGTATATGCGATAAAGCTTTCCAGGCTGGACGTGACATTTCCACATCGAAATATGAGAAAGCCTGCTTGAAGAATGTCCAGGAGTGTAGCAGCTTTTCGGGTTATTCTGCAGAAGCACGAGTTGAGATAAACGCTAGCGCCAGGATTTCTTTGATGAAGCAATATTAGTTCTGATTATCTGATCCTTTCGTAAACAGTATAGTATAAAACCAAGCTTCCCCATCAAATACACCCTCAATATTAACCCCTTACTTTGAACTTGTACTGATCCTTCCTATCCAAATAAACAACCTTATCGCCTAACCCCGCCTCTTCCATCGCCTTTTTGAAATCTTCCAACGGACTCGCGAACACATTGTAATCATCATAGTGGATCGGGATCGTCAGATCCGGCTTGATGAGCTGAACCAGCTCCAGTCCCTGCTTCGCGTCCATCGTAACCATAACAGCCATCGGCAACATCGCGGGACTGGGAACGGTAGTACCCCCAAGATGAATCAGCATCAGATCGATCTTCTCTCCTGCGAATCGTTTCGGAATCTCCTTCAATTCGTCGACCATGAGAGTATCCCCCGAGATGTAAATTCTGTATCCGGTTTCAAAGTCCGGGTTCGTAGCGCCTGGTTGGCCGTAGCCTAGCTCGACCATCCAGCCGTTCGTCGGAGGGATCTGTTATCGATGGATCTCAGCTATATCTGACCACGCCAGCGATAGATTCGCAAAATGATCATGATGATACTTACTGCCTGAGCAATATCGTTCAGAGTCTGCAAGAGCTTAGTCGGAACATGCTTCCCCGGCATGGCCGTGACTCTAATTCGAGGATGTTGCTTTCCTTCATTGTTAATATCAATCAACATTTGCTGGAAGACATCAAGCTCAAAGACATCCGTAAAAGAGTCCTCGGGGCCCTTTGATGTCAAGTGTGACTTTGCATGTGGTGTGGTGATGATTGGTAAATCACGCCTGAGCGAAGCTTCGACTTTTTGGTCGAAATGGTCCCTTTCAGTGTCCGATATGCATACATTAGTTTGATGATCTTACAGCGAAGATTAAGTGGTTAGAAAAAAAGGGGAGAATGGGAAATATGAAACTACCCATGATAATGCGACAGCAAAACTACATCAACTCGTGGTAAATCATGCAGGTCTACTGCAGGATTGGTCTTTCTAGTAGCAGAGACTCCGGGACCGAGGTGAACATGATCGCCTGCGTGGAGAAAATTCGGCTAATATGGTACTGGTCAGTCAATTGAGACCAATGTCTAAAAGATATCGTTAGAAAGCTAACATCTGTCATCAAGCGAATGCCTTCCCATTCCCTAACAGAGAGATTAGCTGTCCGAATGGTTAATATTGGCTTGTATATGTGGGCATTCTAACAGGATTGTTGTCGCCGTCCCGACAAAGTAGAGAGAAGCATTCTCGCCGCCAGACTTGGACGGGTGGGCCTTGATTTCCTTTGCGTCTGGCAGTTCCGATGGTACAATTGTCGAGGATGGGAGGTCCCGTGTTGGGGCCTTCGTTGATCTCGGATCAATGGTCAGGTGTTGCATTTTCGAGATGAGCTGCGAGAATTGACGTAAGCAGCAGTTATGTTTAACTTCTGTTAGAAATAGGATGGCAATGTACTCTAATGGATCGTACGCTTGACAGCTCAATAATCGTGGTATCCTGAGTATCAAGAGTTCAAATAATTACTGACTCTGGGTTTGCTGAGCTTGGTGGTTTAGATGCACCACGGACTCCGTGTACGTGACGTCATTCTGCCAGTGCCGTGACAAGAATATCAGACAAAAAAAAAGCAATCATTGTAAAGTGGCTAGTGTGAATAGAACCCAGAGTACCACTTGAAGAACTTATTCGTGGGTTGCTTTGGACGAGTTGGGACGCTCGATGAAAGAAGCAGCAGCGCGATTGGACCCCACTCACTGGGAACAGAGAGCTCCCTATCTGATTAATTGAGTAGTTCAGGACTGGCTTTTATTATGATTAGCACTAAAGAGTAACTATGTAACTGAGAAGAGACACTGAAAGTCGGCATTCCCCGTCTAGTATGCTGCCAAACGCCACATGCAAATATCAATGTCTTCAGATGGGTCAATGCAGTGTAGGACATCGAAAGAAAAGAGACACGAAAGACTTTTGATCAGCACCACTCCTTTGTCCCATCACTAGATGAGTAGGGTATCTAGTCAACGCCAAACTCCAACGATGCAAATTAAGACGAATTGGGCCTTCAGCAAGCGAACAGCGAAAGCTAGTCGGTTCAATGAACCAGGCCGCAGTTTGTCTCACTGATCATTTTCACGATGCCCTCCACTTCTTTCCAGATTCGCTCCCGATTCCGCAAACCCAGGACATTTTTCTTCCAGTCAAGTTTCAATTTGGCGTAAAGTTGAGACCAGTCCGTTTGTTGTGAATCGAGATCATCAAATTCCCAGAAATATGGCATCTCGGTGCGGATGAGATGCTTGAAGAGAATGTCCGGAAGGCAACGATATGACCGCGTAGCAAGTCGTAAATTTGCAATATCACCGGGGGAGAGATACCACATGATCTCGCTGAGAAGCTCGTTGGGAAGCTTGCTGAAGATGTCTGGTTTCGGGCTTTCCACTTCAGGATCCTGCTGCGGGCTTGACTCTGGCGACAATTGGCCGTTTCCTTCCACAGTAGGTTCGTCTGCACAACTCTTCACGAGTTCTTCAAATCCGGGGATATTCACCGGATTCGCCGCCAAGTACTTCGCACGTCAGTGAGTGGAATGGAGAATAGAAGAGGTTGCGTCTGACAAACCTCAGTGCCGGGCTTGTAGTGCCAACCCTCATCCTCGAATGCGTACTGACGCACCGAAAGAGCGCGCCGAGTTCCAGCTGCTGAATACTCGTATGATCCTCGTAGCTTTCTAGACGTCAATACGAGGCAGTTCTCAGCGTAGCCAAGTGGAAGCACTCACATCTCTTACCCTCCACAACCCATCGATATCGACGTATCCGAGCTTTGCCAAACAGACGCGTTTGAAGATCTCAAAGCATGTGGGATGAAAAGGCATACCCCATTCTCCACCAAAAGCGTCATTCTGCAGTAGTATGGTAATTAATATCCACTGCGGCCCGAGTGTCCGCATTGACTTACATCGTTAGTGATCTTCGCCTCTGTCACACCGTGCCTCGACGTCCGAAAAGGGCCGGATCGATATATGACCGGCCCTCTGTGAGCTGCAACGTCTGTCAGGAAACAAGTGGCATCTTTCTCAAAATCCTCGTCCCCGTCTTCTGGCGTAAAATCATCCGGTTTCCGAAGCAGACATCGAAGGTTATCAACGCCCTGGTAAGGTCAGTCAAAAGACTATATGATATATATTCCTAGCATCACGTAATAACGCACCTTCATCTCGTCCGCAGAGATAAGAGAACCATCGTACCCTGCTCCTGGGCTGTGCAAGATACCATCGTGAGCATCTCCTGCTCCCTCATTGCCCAACATCTGCGCTTCTCGCTCCTGCGGGGTAGGTATCCGATTAACTCTGAAAGCGACGGCGCAGATCTGGCATCGTGGCTCGCAGTAACTGAGTTTATTCCCCATCGTCCCTAACACCCGCGCTGGTAGCTTTCTTCTCTGAACCTTTCCCTCCGCTGTCTATACCTCTGCTTTGACGGCCGCGTTGCGAGTATGAGAGTCGCAAAGAAGCTCATAAGATCACCATACTTTCAGGGTGCTTGCAGAGCTATAGTCATATTATTTATTTCCGGGCTTAGTGCTTACGAGATATCAGATCCGCGTTCGTCTACAAATGCCCTGCATTGTTGCCCGATTATTTATCACCGTACATTCCAAGCCGGCAATCACTCGTTCATCGGCCCACTGCTGGGAGTTGCGGGCCGCAGTCATACGTGAGTGAATCTTGGCTCGAAGGGGACAAAGAGAATCAGCCCACGGATGTCTCACTCTTTTTTTCTTCTAAAGCGTCTATTTCCTTATATGCTTAGATTCAGTTGACGGGATCGACAAGCATGCCAGTCGATCTTTTTTCAAGAACCCAGTCAAAGAGGGCGAGTACTTACAGCCAGTTGGGGAAAGCGGGTCCGCTTGCGGCGACTCTTGAATCTAGGGCGCATTCAATGTTTTGATGCGATCTCTGCGCCACAAGGCACACCTATCTGGTCTCCGATTATCTTCTTCCGTCAGTGGAACATAATCAGCGGCTTATCGTCGAGCCGCGTTGAGACCACGGTTTCTCTGAGTTTCTCTCATCCGCATCGTCTAGAGTATATTCACTATATCTCGAATTCTCCATGCCTTCTCCAAGACATATACATACTCCTCCTGAATCTTTCTTGTGAATATATTTCATCCACCTTATAATTACTCCTTTCATCCATCTTTCTCTGCTAGTTCATGTACGCCACACATAAATCATCCACAAATCCACAGCTCTGGAACCGGGACTCTACCCTTGCGTATCACCACCACCATCGAATGCCTCACTCAGCATTATTACCTATCCAAAAAAATCCCCACACTCTGTGCGACAGAGTACAACATCTGCATCAGAGCAAACTGTCCTCCCTAATCGGAGCATTAGGGTTCGCTGGCAGCGCACATTCTTGACAAATTCCTCTTCCAAGAGCTGCAAATGTCCGGGGTACGGTCCGCTCGGAGTCTTCCATCGGGAAAATCTGCGAACCCACAGGATCGTGACAAGCTCACCTTCGTCGTCGTAGCGCCTGATATGTAACACCCGCCCGCCTTCGATGAGGCTGTGCAGGGTGTCAATGAAATCGTCTATTCGGCCAGTCCCTTTGTCCTCCAGGCGGAGGATCACTCTCTAACCGATATGCCATCGGCTGATTTTGCTGACTATGCAGACATCCGCGACGTCGCGGAGACACATCTCCTCGCGCACGGGACCCCAACTGCGACTGGTAAGCGCATCCTCGTCGCTGCTGCGAACTAGAGCTAGCTACCAGACTGCGTGCGACATCATCCAGGCCGAGCTCCCCGAAGCTCAAGGACAAGGTGCCGGTGAGAAAGAGGACGTGCATCGTATTGATAACAGCAAGGCGAAGACCGCGCACTGTTTGAAGTTCAGATCAATCCGACAGATCCTGCGAAGACGCTATTAGAATTGGAGAAAGAGTTGAGACAATCCATGCACATGCACATGCAACATGAGGAATATTGCGCATACTCTACTTGGTTCGAGAATAAAAAGCTGCGGGTACATACATACATACATACATAACTAGGACAAACAATAATCGACTAAAGCGGATCATAAATGTACATACATACATGACAAGCGGCACGGAAATATAGTGATACCACAACTAGTTATATCGGACTATAATTCCATACCATAAGTTACATAGTGCCCGGAATTAGGAATGTGATCCCCGGTCTCCACAGGCCGGAAGGAGATTTAAATTTAAAATAGCGGCTGAGGCTGCACACTAGCCATGGAGTTTTGACATCCGTGCGAGATGACGTATCGAATAGATATTTGCATTACTTTTAAATCATTTGTTTCTTCAGAGTATGTATTATACCAAATCCACGAACTTAATTATGATCTTTGGATTGAATATACTATCATATTACGAACTACGTAGTTTGGTTTTCAATTAGAACGGGATATGTACAGTATGAAAAAAGTCGTATCTTCATTTTTTATTTCTAATATCGTCATCATAACCTCCGGAATAGGAGGTTCCTTTCCCGTTTCCGTAAAAAGCAGGAGGGTAAAAGGCATCAATATGTATCGTATCCTAGAATCTAGAACTCGCTAGCCAGGAACATCATTTTATCGTTGGTAAAACATGGCCTAGAGGCGCGAGACTGTACCGCATAGGCTCTAGTTCATGATGGGTGTGGGGAAATGGAGAAGCAAAATCTAGCACACGGCGTGCGTCTTGCCGGTCTTACCCTGCAAGGAGTGCTTCTCGTTCTTGTAGTGCGGGTGAGTCTGGGTAACCTTACGGGAGCGCTTCACGAAGTGGCTCATGTGCCTGCATTAGTGAGAAAATCGATGCGTTAGCTTGGTCTATTCCATCTGAACAGACGATGAGGGGTCTTGTCATTGGCAGATTTTTGGCAAAGGAACGTAGACACCGCAAGTTCTGCAGGATTGAAGCAAACGAAAACTCATGGACTTACTGCTTGTAGCGTTCGAGGTTGGCCTTGTCCATGGCCTCGAGGACCTGGAGGGCCAATTTGATGTCCTGAACCAGGCTGTCACAGCGGGCCTTGGTGAAATCTTCACGCACGACGACACGCATCAGCTTGAGCGCTTCGCTGTGCGGAGCCATGGTGTAGGCGGGAACAACCCAGCCGCGCTCACGGAGCTGGTGGGCAATAGCGAACTCATCGAAAACATGGTCCTTGGTCGGGTCGAGGCGGAAAGCCACCAGGGGCAGACCCTGTCCACGGCCTTCGCTCATGATGATGAAGCCGAGTTCCTTCAGCTGGGCAGCCAGGTAATCAGCAGTGCGGGTCAGGTTGACCATGATGGAGCGGTAGCCATGCTTGCCCAGGCGGATCATCTGGTAGTACTGGCCGATGACCTGGGAAGCTCCCTTGGAGAAGTTGAGGGTGAAACTGGCCTGGTCGGCACCGAGGTAGTTGATGTTGAAGACAAGTTCCTTGGGCAGGTATTCGGGGGATCGCCAAACAACCCAGCCAACACCGGGGTAGACCTGTTGACATGATCAGCACATTTTCGGGTATTGTTGCAAGCGGAGTAGCTCCTTACCAGACCGTACTTGTGTCCGGAGACGTTGATCGAGACAACTTTGGGAAGTCTGAAGTCCCATTCCAAGCTGGGGTTGACAAAGGGAACAACGAAACCACCACTGGCAGCGTCGACGTGGATTGGGGTATCAAGTCCTCTCTCGATCAAGAGGTCGTTGATGGCCTTGACGTCCTCGTACTGTCCGGTATAAGTGGTACCGATGATAGCACAGATACCGATAGTGTTCTCGTCGACGAGGTCGACAGCGGCCTTAGGGTCGATGACGTAGCGGTCTTCCGTGCAGTAAACGTACTTCTCTTCGATGTCGAAGTAGCGCGCAGCCTTCTCCCAGCAAACCTGAACTGCACTGTTCATGACGATGTTGGGTCTCGAGGTGTCCTTGCCCTCGGCCTTGCGCTTGTTCTGCCAGCGTCTCTTCATGGCGAGGGTTGCCAGCATGATGGCCTCTGAGGAACCAACGGTGGAAGTGCCCATCGCGTGATCATCCTTGTCGTCCGTCGGGGCGTTGAACAGTCTGGCGATCATGTTGACACAGCGGTTCTGGATCTCTGCGGTCTGCGGGTACTCCTCATAGTCGATGAAGTTCTTGCTGAACGACTCGCACATGAGCTTCTCGACCTCCTCTTCCTGCATAATTGGTGAGCATAGTCGCATTTTGAGGCAGCGTCACGCCGTGTTTAGCGCAACAATTGAACAACATACCATGTATGTGGTGACGAAACTCGCCAGGCTATAGTCAGGAAACCAGTCAGCATTTCGGTTCTTAGAGCATGTAGAAATATCACCAGCCTGCGATTCCACGCTGTGGCCCTAAAACATGAGGAAACCATGGGAAGGGAAGGTTCTTACTTGAGCATTGGGTTACCATCCAAACTCAATTCATCCTTGATCATCCGGTAGGCGACATCACGAGGCATCTCCTTCTCGGGCATCTCGGTAGACGGCAGCTGCTCGATAGCAAAGCGGGAACCGTAGACACTCGAGTAGAACGCATCTTCACCCTGCGGGGCATCCAGACTCAGAGTCTCGACACCTTCGCTGAGCGAGCGAGTCAGGGCTTCAGAGTCCTTCTTGACGGGGGCGAGGTGCACCATCTTGTCTCGTTTTCTTGATCGGCGGTTACTTGATTGTGAGGGCGCGGTAAGCTAGGAGTGGGGAGAGAGAGTAATCAGGGAGGTTTAACAAAGAACGTGCTGAATTGAGTTCCAGCAACGACAGACAGCAGAAACAAAAGAAGCAGAATTGAAAGAATGCCGCAGAGGACTCTTTATAAGCCTGGTCCGTTTCCAGCCACTCTACACCTGGAGGGGCATCCTGTTGAGCTCGCGCAGACCGGTTCCGTTGCCTCGAGGGGCGCTGGAGGTGGGGAAAGTTAATCAAGTGGATGATCTCGACGTCGTCTACGAGTCGATTCGCGTTGGACATGGTGGACAGTCGTCCCGATCACGATCCGCGGGCGAATATCAGAGCTGGACAGGCTGTCAGATATGCAGTAGTCTGCCGCGCGATGTTTCGCATCCAGTATGGCTGCGTGTCGGCCAGATCGATGATACGCGTTCTAGGCCAGTCACCATCTATCTACGAGCCTGTACGCAGGGCCATTACGGATAAATGTCTCAGTGGTGATTGTTGCCGCTGATGGCTAGAATACAAGCTTCTGCTTGCTGCCGCCCTAGCAGGGTAAAGCACAAGGGTTGAGATGAGCTCTGTATCATGTTTTGTTTCACGAGCTTGCTAGCCCAAGAAGCTGTCAACGCGGGGTGGGGAGAAAGAAGATGATGAGGGGTCATCTCGGGAGCTCAGGGACACCAAGCGCAGTGCCACAACAGAACCAGGAGGCTAGCCACGGTTGCAAAGAGACATCCGGTACAATTATGAAGGTCCCCATACGAGCAGTCTGCTATCCAGCAACTTGTGGCATGAGATGGGGCTGCAAAAGTTTGCTCTCAGCTTTCACCCGCTAGGTAGCCAAGTGCAACAGCATTATTATAGACTTCAACGTGGGAACTTGGAAGCATCATCCGTCCCGGCACCCGGCTGCTAAGCCACTCCTTTCACGCCAACTCAATCAGATAACATCGAGCGTTGCAAGCGCCGTCTAGTCCTTTGGATACATTGAATACGATCTCAGCCCGTCCCATCCAGTGGCTCCGGGGCACCGGCGCCGCCACTCGAGTGGTTGATCATGATTCTCTGGAAAACAGAAAAAAGCACCAGCTTTCCTGCGGGGTTAATGACGGTATCTATCCAAGAGATCTCCCTGGCTGCGAGCCTGTGAGGACTAGTCGCTCAAGTCCAATGGATCGCTGCTCGTGGTCCTCGCCTGTGTTTTCCGGACGATGCTGGTAGTGTGGCATGGAACGAGACGTGTCTTCCTGACAGCCTAGCAGATGGGCATAGCGGGTATACCGTACTGCCATGCTGTGGTTCTCGTGGCCCTTGGGTTTCGGTAGATGGCGGCATATCGAAAGGACATACGAGAGTATCGTAAGTATGTGATGTTGGCTGGGATGGTAGGATACCAGTGCTGGAATAGAAATGTCGGGTTCGTACGGTAGATATGTTGCGTTGCAGTAACTAGCACATCCACAGATTCCCGAAAATATATATAACAAATCGCTACAAGAACAAACACAAGAAAGATGGGAACACAATTCGACGCTATAAACCCATAAAGGAATAAAATAGAAAATAACAATACAAAATAGCCACATTCTAATATATAACGACCAATGCTTAGCCCGACATAAAAACCATCTAATTCTAGACAATAATCCGACATAATTAACTACTCGTGAAAAACACACAAAATAACACATGTTCTCTGTTTGATAAATCCAAACACACACAAAACAATCACCAGAAAGGGCTTGTAGTGTAGGGGTTATCGCGCCCGTTTTGCATACGGGAGGTCCCGGGTTCAATTCCCGGCGAGTCCATTTCTAAAATTTCAAAAATAATTCGAATACGAATTATTCTTTTTTTTCCCCTCTCTCCCTTCGCAACTCACCTCATCTTTTAATCTCCTCTTCTTTTTTTTTTCTTTGTCTCTACTCGTCAGAATCATACTGTCGATTTTTCATGCATGGACTCTTACGCTGGCGAAGTCTAAAGTGCGACTGAGGGGATTGGATTCTCTAGTTACTTATTCAGGTGCCGAACAACTGTTTCAAATCGTCCCTGTCTACTCGAATTACTCCGCGAATGACAGGTGAGAAACCTGTCTGGTGTGCTGTGAAATTCAGGCTTTATCGTTAGAGCACAAGAGTAGCTATCTATAGACATGTGCACGGAGGAAAGACTACGAGTGGCGGTGTGAAGTGGAGGTCAATCTAGCTAGTAGTGATAAGCCATGCCTGTTAATCGATGGAGCAACTGCTCGATCGATGTTCGAATTTATTTATTCCCTTCCAAAAGCGAACATTCTTGCATTTGATAATAATTCTAGTTTCTCCAAAGTCACGGCCTCTCATCCATCATTAACATTACTACTATATCTTTGAGCGTTATTGTACACTTCCCTTGCCTGCCATGAAAAGCGCAGCGCCCTTATACCCGAGAGATCGCGCAATGGCCATCATCACTGCAGGTCCCGCGATCAACGAGTATGACAGATGATCCGTCGCATGAGGATATCCACCGCAACCCATATCCAAGCCCAACAAATACAGAACAAGATAATACATGTCGTTCAACAAGCAGAGAAATTCCATAATCGTGACCCATGGCCATCACTGACATGACGCTTCGCCTTGACTGGCAGTCGTCGTTTGGATGCCACGTTATCCGACAACTCCGCACATCGATACCAGTCAAGAGTCTCTATTGACCACCCTAGTCTCGTGGACCCAACACTAGGATTCGAAGCTCGAACCAATTCGACACCAAGAGAGGAAGAACTTAGAAGTGTTAACATCAACACTGCAGGGCATGAGCCGGCTGCTGCTCTGCAGCCCTATCACTTGGCTGCCGTTACCAGGCTGTGTCTAGGCCTTGTCTCCCTTGATCTTGCGCTTTAGCCAGCCGAACAGGCCGCCTTTCTTGCGCTTCTCAAGCTCCGCCGTCTTGTTCTCCAATTCGGCCGCCTTCTCTTGAGCCTGAGCAATAGTCGACTGCAGCTGGCTGACGTTGGGAACGTCGCCACCAGCCTTCTTTCCCTCAAGGGACGCGTCCCGAGCGGCTGCGTCCTCAGTAGGCTTGGTTTCTCCAGAGACTGGGCCAGTTGTGGTCGCCTGGCCTGCTGCTTCCTGGGACTGCAGTCCAGCAGCCACGGCACCGGGGCCAGCCGGACCAGCAGGAGCAGCGGAGCTAGGAGCCAGTGTGGCACTCTTATCTTCAGATGCAATGAGCGCCGGGATCGGAGTCGAAGGCGTGCCGTTAGCTACAGAGCCTGGCGCCTGTTCCTTTGTCACCGCAGCAGCGGGCTCAGTGATCGGTTGCCGTTCAGCCTCAGCACCGTTGGTCTCGACAGGGACGGTGGCAGTTGCAGTAGAGAAGTCAGGAACCTCTTCCTTCGTGACAGCAACGGCGGGAGATGCAGCCGGCTCAGTGACCTTTTGCGCTTCAAGTTCAGACTCCTTGTTACCTTCAGGGACTGTAGCCGCCGCCGCCGCCGGAGCAGCAACCGCCGGGGCAGTTCCCCCGGTTGCTGCCGCAGCAATCGGCAAGCCGTTCGTGGAAGTGTCCCGAGATTCAGTGGCACTGATGGCAGAGGTCTGAGTCGTTGGCTGTGTCTCGAGGTCCTTCGAGGTTTCTCCGGATTCTAGCCCAGGCACCTCTAGCGGCGCTCCAGCTGCAGCAACACCGGCTGTTGAAAGCTCTGTGCCAGCGGCTGTATGCTTCTGATAGTCTTCTTGAATGTCAGAGACATTGGCAGTCTTGGAGGAGTCTGGGATAGACTGGACAGCATTACCGCCGGGAAGAGCCGACACTGCAGCGGCGCTCGAGTCCTGCCCCGAGGGTGTTCCTGGGTAGGTCCCCGGCATGCCATCCTGTAGTACACCGTTAGCCTTGGCTGGGGCTGCGACATCAGCAGAGTCATCGACCTTTGGCATCTTGTATGGTTTGGTCTCGTCCTGGATGAGCGGGGAGGTCTCATATGGACGCTTCGCATGCGGTTCTACAGCCGATAACTCAACCGCAGCAGCGCTGCCCGCTGTCTCTTCGCTGCCCTGGGCCTCCTTCGACTTTGGTCTCTCGGCCAACGTGGTGCCTGCAACTGCTGTAACTGCGCCACCCGCAACTGCGGATCCCACCAGAGGTGCTTCTGTCGAACGCGAGGACTCGAGCTCCTCTGTTGGCACCTGTCTCGACAGATCCTCCGTGACTGGAGCGGCGAGCGACTCATTGGCAGCTGTAGTCTCAGCAGGAGCAACCTCCTTCGTCTCTGCGGGCACAACCTCTTCAGTCACCGGGGCAGCTGCCTCTGTGTCCTTAACGGATTCGCCAGCAACAGCAGCGCCCGCAACGCCCGCAACTCCTGCACCTCCAGCGGCTAGGAACAGGTTAGTATCTGGCTGGAAAGTTGGTTGTGTATGCCTAGAAGTCTCTCCTCACCTGTCTTCTCGGCCGTAGTAGGCTCTTCTTCAGATTCTGCTTGGCTAGTCTCGGACTCTTGCGTCTTGCTCACGGCTTCCTGTTGTTCCGACGTCGCCGCAGCTGTTTCAGGCGCTGCAGATGGAACCTTGGTCGAGGTCGTACCAGCAGCAGCAACAGCTTCGGGGGCATCCTGAGTCGCAGCGGCACTGGCTTCACCGTCACCGTACAGGACGCGATCTTCCACGGCGTGTCCTGGGCTTCTGCAGAGATAATCAGCATTCAGTTCCATGCCGTCGCGTTTTTCATGCAGCGTGGAAGCACGATTGCCAGGGTGCAACTAACACGATGTTCTTCACGTCAACGCCTTTCTTCGCGGCTCCTCCACCACCGCCGCTCTTGCCCTTGTTGCCCTTTCCCTTCTTTCCTCCTTTCTTCGCCATTGCGCTTGGGGTATGTTGTGTTGGCGCTGGGAGGTCGAATTCAAGATTGCCTTCTCGAGCGAGAACAGCGGTAATTACTCAACAGATGTGACCTTTGAAGTTGTCGCGTGTCCGAACGTTGCGGAGGGTTGAGGGTACTAGTAACCGTTCGGGTGAAATGCGGTAGGGGATCGACAAAAAACGGTCGAAGTCAACGGCGCTGGTTGAGTCCCAATTTGCGCGCCGATCCGAGAAAGATTGCGAAGCTGGGAATGAGATGGTTCGAACAGACAGAACAGAACAGAAAGAGTTGAGTGAGTGAGTTGAAGGCGAAAGGGAACAACCGAAAGCTTCGCGACAGATCACATGAGCAGAGAGAGTCTCTCTTTGCGGATCGCAATTACGCTTTTCCAAGGGCGACCTTTTTTTTGGCCTTTTTGGTTTTTGCCAGATCGCATCGCATCGGAAACGGGCGCATCCCTCGATTGAAAACAGTTTAGTGAACGACGCCATTCTGTGTCTTCTACGAGTCAGAATCAAATCCCTCTCTGGCAGTGGATTGTTCTCCGGATTCCGGCCGCACGCGTCAGTACTTCTTACTTCTTTATTGGGAGAGTTCAACTTCTTGATTGTGCGATTCTAAATTTATCACTCGATCCATTAAATCAATCAATCAAGTAGTTAATAATAATGACTGGTTTTAATAATAATATTATTATTTCTATTATTCATATTGAACCAAATGAAAGTCCAGACTTTCTAGCATCATGTAAGTAATATTACAGTAATTACAGTAATTAATAACGGAACACGGTGGCCTTTGCCGCTTCTGCAAGGGCCGTGATATCTCTCATTGGTTGATCCTGACAGAATAACTGCCCCACTTTGTCTAGTCATGTGTAGAAGTTAGGGAAGAAGCCCTAGAATACTACTACTTAACTAGGTATGTTACAGATGTTATGCCTAAGTGCTATTTATTATTATATGGTACAATGGTATATATATATATATATATAGAATCCAGAGAGAGTACTTTCTAAAAATATATAATTTATGCAAGACAAATTAAAGTAAAGTAGGTATCATGCGAGTTCCCGGCCACGATATATCATCATCAATGTCAGATCGAGATTATCTCTCTCTCTTTCTAAAGATAAGCAGTAGACTAGTTATTTATTCCACGCGCGATAGACATTGTCCTGATAAGCTAGACCAGACCAGATCAGTTCAAAGGATGCCTCTCGGTCTGTTTTACCGACGGAAGGTCCTGACCTATTATCACAGACTACAGACCAAGCGATGGGAGGGGGATGGGGTCAAGTCAGATGTATCATGCAGGGCGTCGCTGGTCCTGGTCCGATCGATTCTGGCAACTAGCTAGACAAGGGCAGGATCGGAAGCCGGCCTTTCTTGCTCAGAGCATGACAAGCATGTGCTTGCGCTATCAGATAGTACCACATAACTACTAATGCTCAACGTATTCGGGAAATTATGATCATATGGATAGTTTATACTAGTTACCATATTGGGACATGTGCAGTTAGTAGTCATAAAAGTAATATCTCCTGCCTGATAGTACCCAGTACGCTGTGGGAGAATGATAGTTGCCTAATAATATCGGGCACTAAAATCACTTCTCTCCTCTGCAGGTTCCAAGGTTGCAGTACATCTGGAGTGGCAGCATCCATTGGTCTTTAGCCATGTTGAAGCCAAGGGTGCTACTGGAGGCTTGGAAGTGGACTACACACAATGACGAGAGGACAAAATGTAAACACTCTGTAGATAACTAACTCACTTAAAGCGTTCGTCTTGCTGATCAACAGCATTCCTCTCTTGATCTGGCGGGCGTGACCGCCGTAATTGATACTGGCGGTATTCTACTCCAAAGAGTATTTTGGGCTGCCTCCAGTCTAAGGCTTCAAGCGCAGAAATAGACCCTGTCATGGAAGCCGACATCTGCCCGTTCTGACAGATAGACGTTGTCTATTTACACAAACCCCCGGTTGTAGGCGCCTTGGTATAACAAGCCTGCTGCAACTTACACGGATTTGGTCAGCTCTCCACGGCATGAGAAGAAGATGGAAGAACCTCACCCAGAGCTCTTCACCGAGAATCAATGAATATCGATTCCACCTTCCTCTTTCAAGGAGCTACATACCATCCTGCATGTAAGACAGGTTGAGGGCAGTAACTGAAACGCCGATCTTTTCTTTCGCACGGGGGAAGAGTCGGCGACAGGGTAATTAACTAGCACTAGTCTGCTACTAGTGACATCTCTATCAGGAGAAGTTGAAGGCACGGACCGAAGCGAAGTTCTTTGCGTTACGTCCCTTCCGGGGTCTCCACAGGTTTGCACTCCGCGGGTTTATTATTATTTGCGGATGACGTTAGAATCGATAGTAAGCCGTATGCTTCGCTTGCTAGAAAGAGGTCCTCCAGAACGTGGTCGGGCTGGGGGGACCCTCGGGTGCTCAGTATCCGAGACTTGAGCTCCAAATGGTTGCAAAGAGGAAAGTCGATCCCTCGTTTCGAGATGATTAGAGTATAGGAAGTAGTAAGTAATTGTGTTCGGCACCGAAAGCTAAGGTCCTCATTGCGTCTCGTAGAGTAGTAGCTGTCTGTCAGGCGGCTCAGGCCTGTCAGCGGCATATGATCCACGACTATCATTAGGGCGCCGTTAGACTTGCATCCGGGGAAGCAAGTAGATACAGAGAGCCGTCTCCGTCTGACCAACATTCATAGTACGAAATTGCATGGGCCGCTCTGTACCCCGTATTCATCAAGATGCCCCCCGTAGCGACTAGCAATCACTGGATCTCGGATAAATTGGTCCATGACCAACGCATGTAGCCAAATCAATCGATTCCAGTCGGTTGGAAAAAAGGCATGATATCAGCTGAGCAGAGAACGGGTAATTTATTACCCAACGGGAATCACAACCTCATCGAGGTCGTTGATCATGATGTAGGATTGACTGGAATCTTTCACATAGGTCCATTCCCCAGAAGCTAAGACAGACCATCGGCTTCTGTCTGTTCTCTTGTACCGGAATATGGCGGAACACGCGCTCAGAAGAACGATGCTCCTTAGTTAGTCCTCGCTATCGCGGAGACGCAAATCAGAATATGATGCAGGACTGTTGGGTCGGAAGTTACTACCGAGTCTACAGGCTGCTCCTGCTTATAAACACCATAGATTTGCCCCTCCCCTAGCCTTACCCGGCGGAGACGCAGAGAGACTGAAAGGAAAAAGATCAAAAGTCAGGCATAAGGGTTAGTTAGCGATGTATCTAGTGGAACCCAGCCTCAGCTGCATGTTTGGCCAGGGATGTCTCTTGCCATCTGCCTCACTACGTCTTTCCGCCAGACTTCAATCTTTAGCACCGGCCATCGTCCTGCGGAGGCCCACGGCGGGTCAGGTCGCGATCACGATTGCGTGGGATAAAGAATCCGCTGTAGGCCGTTAGGGGGGCATACCCTGCTAAGGAACCGGTCGAGTGAAAATAGGTTAAGCCAGCGCCGCTAAGTTAGTTAAAGCTATTAAAGCCTTAAAGCAGGGTTACGGGAGCGGAATGTGCGCGGTGGGAAAGGATGTAACTAACTATCGCTCGATTTCTTTGTCAGTCGCAAGCAGCAAAGAAGAAAGAAAAAAAAGAAGAGACAAAAAAAAGAGCAGTTAGGTCCACACCGGTGATTACAGTGTCGAATCCAGATGTGACTCTTCTATTGGGTCTCCGAAGTTGCTAGTTATTTTTGTCCATGGCTGGCTGGTGTTCCCCTTTTCTCTCTCTCGCTGTTCAGGTCTTGCCTGCGTGATTATCAAATGATTGATTGCCCCTCGGAATTCTGCCAATAAAGCTACCATTTCTTTGCTGTCACTAAATCCATAGTAAATACATTATTGGCACTTCCAGGTCGCGCTTCCTCCTTAGCCACCATCCTTCTTCCTGCTTGTCGCATCAACCTTAAAACAACGTCAACGCAAAAGCCAAAGATCATATGCAAAGACAGCAAGATATATCAAACACGAGTGAGAGACAACCCTCGTCGAAACCGCCTGTCACGATGTCGGACACTTCGTCTCCCAGAGAGCGAAAACTCTCCGATGAAAGCGAGGCAAGTGCCTACGGAGATGAGGATCTTAACCTCGCCAATTATCAACACTGCTGGGACAAAATCTATCGACATACCATCCGCCAGATAGAACAAATCAAAGGTCTGATGAGCTTGCATTTCGTTCCCCAGCCACGTAAATCTCGATAGAGATGAAGGGATCACGTTACTAACTCTTGTGACCACAGAGATCGAAAGAATTGCTTTCTTTGGAATTCCGTCCCAAGAGGATCAGAAGGACTGATGTCTCTTGTCTTGCCTGAACTTCCTTAATCTTTATGCTCTTTTGTTTTCTCGTCGATCTCAATAGTCCCACGACTCACATGCTTCTATTGGAGCACAGCATAATCCTGACTGGCGGGTTATTCCCTTCGCCACGTTCTTCTTTTCTTGGTGTTATTGGTCGGCTTTTCTTCAGGACGGAGTACTTTCGGAAATTTCATGATTCTGCATCTCGTCGTGGCGCAAAACTTGTTTTTGAGATAGAAACGGGGACGAACGACAGGCAACGAGAGACTCTTGAAACGGACAACAGAGTTGAGGCGCTGAGCGGGTATATAGGCGCCAGGAGTGTGGTGTATCTTCTTGAGCATTATCTGTTACACTCGTCATATCATTCGAGATTCGAATCAAGGTCTGCTTTCATGCACGGGAAACCTTTCGTTTGCGTTTTCTAGCTATCGTTTGAGGTTTTCGCGGTGGAACTTTACTGATCTCGGCTTCTCCTGAGACTAGGAAGTCAAGACTCGTGCCGCGGTATGTCTTTGGCCGGCGGGACCTGGATATTTGTGGCCAATCGCGCTGCCGGTACCCTTTCTGCGTAGCCTCACATCTCTCGAAGTGCATCTGAATCTCAGTGGACAAGTAGGCACGTTGGAATAAGCGTATCTGCTCAGAAGTGAGTTTGGAGGTACCATACCACAGATAACCACAGGCGCTACAATACATGCCGGGCTCTGCCGTTTGTGTGCGTTTGTCCCAGAAAGGGAAGAAAGTCGAGCCTAGTGGTTCAGGTTGATATTGGTTCAAGATAATTCGCTTCGTAGACTCTATCGCTCGGGGCAAAGGCGGTTGCTCGATGAGACGACCATCCACAGTATAGCAGAAGTTGTGACCTCGCATTTCGGGCCCGAGAGACAAACGTATCCTCCTTGGATGTGTAAACACTTCCGTAACTAGACGGCCGTCTGCTGTATAGCAAGGGCCGTGCTCGATGTGCTCGGCCCATTCCTTGCGCCATTCTGTATTGCAACGTTTCACAGCCTGGTCCAACTGGGATTCATCACCGTATATCCCCATGCTAAGTTCGTAGGCCTGTCTGACGCTGACAAGTTGAAGACGAGGACAGCTCCGAACCTCACACCAAATATCCTCCATGAGTGGATAAGATGATATATTCATCGGTATATTGTCAAGAGCGACAAGGCGTTTGATGGCATCTTCTGGGAGAGCGAAGACCGCCTTGGCACTCGAGACAAATGCCAGCTCGTATTCACTGTGGCTTCGAAGACAAGTGTAGCAGCAGCGGGAACACGAAGGGAGGAAGAGAAAGGGGCCGAAATCCATGCACGTTCGACAACGAGGGTAGCACATCTCCGCGAAGATCTGCCCTACGGACCATCGCGAGTCTACCTTGACTTTGCGCATGACACGCAAGGTTTGACGGGCATGGTTCTTCAGGATCAGATACGCCGGAAAGGAGTCAACGAGCTTCCGATAGCGCGAGTTGAGTAGACGTATTCTGCTCGTACTCTCGTAATCGAGGCTCCCTAGGATCTCATACATGATATCCAAGGGGATCGATCCTAGATATCCTGCTGACGGGGGTTCCGCGTTCATCTCTCCCAGGCCTGACTCATCAGACCGGGCGAGCGTGAGTTTTTTGGGGGTGCCCCATGTCCTGAATGCATCGAGCATCTCACAGGACGGCCGGGTCAAATGGTAGGCGACCCCTGAAGCCATCTGGACGAGGACGTCTTAGCATGTATGATGATGAACGCGGTGCTTGGATTGTCTTGTCTTTGTTCGCGAGTGGCCGGTCCTTTGCTCAAGATATTCAAGTCATAAGGCGATGACCGTGTCATACTTCCGTGAGGAGGGGTAGGTATCACAGCAGGCAGAAAGAGTCAACCACAGCATACTGCAGTTATGTCTATTGTGTTCCATGGTTGGAGTTGACTCTTTCAGGGTTGCCATACTTTACCAGGGAATTTGAGATAGAAGAAAAGTGTAAAAACAAAAGAAGGGGAAAAAAATACAAAATGAATGACGATTGCAGAGCGACATCCCATACCAGAAAGGGCAAGCGTGCATAATCACCGTCCAACAAAAAAGAAATCCGCAAAAAAGAAATGTGAATTGACCGACGCAGGGATCGAACCTGCAATCTCTTGATTCGTAGTCAAGCGCCTTGCCATTGGGCCAGCCGGCCAATTGTTGGAAGACTGCAGCCAGATAAAATTTATGAGGCCATTTCGGCAGCCACTCGGAAGCAGCGTGCCGAGTGGGGACACATCTCGGCGGGGGAACACGAGGGCCGGGGCGAATAACGCGGGAGGGAAAAGCAGACTTGGTGTTACTGGTCGGCCGTGGTGGTGGTGCCCCATCGCAACGTCATACGGTATTATGATTTATGGTACTTCTAGAAAAAGACAAAAGAGGGGGATAGACTAGTTAGTACTAGGAGTAGGGTATGCCGGGTCCGCCGGTTCTCACGGCTAATTATTTGGCCATAATAATAATAATACAAATAATAATAGTTCACTTATCTCCCAGGCCTTGATTTGATTGATTCCTTCACACTGTACAGTGACATCAATAATAATAATCCATTAATTGAGTAACTATGGTATTCACAGTAATAATCAATATACTCCTTGTGTACTACCATAAGACCCTGGGAAGATCCTGGCGATCCGTCTGACTCTGTCCTCCCCGGGAAGCAGCACTGGACGAATAACGCGCTCGGACAAAGACCTTCTGGAATCCTTCGCTGCAGCCTTGCCGGATGCGCCATTTTCTGCTGAAACCTTGAGAATGTCAGCCAGGGACAGCCCATGCGTCATGGCGTTGTATACGGAGTATGGTAATACTACTGATACTGTAGGTAGAGTACGGAGGAGGAAGGCCTGTAGATAGACTCGACTCTCCTCGAGGATGGCCGTTGCAAGGCCAGACGGATCCTAATCGATCCTGCTGGGCGCACAGACTGGGACTATCGCGTCCGCTAAGCTGCTATCTCGTTCTAACGAGATCTTGATTCTGGGGAGAGCCAACCGCCGCGTCCGGCCAACTCGGCTCGTCGCCCGTCTCCACGGCTTCACCGGATTTGTCTCGGTGTGTGCCCACTGGCACCCACTGAATTAGTAGTGAGTTACGGTAGCCTCCCTGGAGTCACCAACTAACTCACTCTTGTGTCGGGCTATCTCGTCCTGTTTCGCTTCTCTCGTTTCGATCTCTCTTCCTCCTTCTCTTCCTCTTCCACCACATTCCTTCAATCTCCCCTCTCTCTCCGTCCTGCTTGACGACTACGATCCTGCACAGCAAACGATGAGACCAGAGTCTCTGCAGACCATCGACCACCGCCGCCCGTGCTTGCACACCTTTCTCCCCCGTTCAGGGAGTCGACTGTGATTGTGACGCGAGGAACTCCAGAGTCTAGACGTTCCAATTGATCCCAATGACACTTCGAGAAAAGGTGCGGAAGGCCATTCGCCGGGTCTCCCCTGGCTCTCCAAAGGACGATGGCAAGCCCAAGATCGAATACTACCGGCGGGGTGAAGTCCCCCGCTCCAAGTATCGCGGCCCTGTCGACCCCGAACACCAGAAGAGATTGCGGGCATGGACGTTTGAGGGGGCAATGGTGGAACGTCGACGGTCCGTCGATCTGGAATTGTCGCCGTGTGCCAGTCTTGACGAGCCTGTGCCCCCTCGTGACGATGAAGATCCCTCCGAAGCACCATCGCCGGACGTGGTCGACTTGCCGGACGGTACGTTCCGTCCTCTGCCACCGTCCATCATCCGTAATCCGTAACCCGTGCTGACCGCCGCTATATAGACGCCCCTACCGTATGCTACCAGGAGAATGCATCCGACCGTCGTACCAAAGTTGGCTCCCAAGCCTCGACTGCTGTCAACAGCGGCGACAGCTGGACCTCCTCCATAGTCACCCTGCCGACCGATAACCGGGGTTCCGTTGCTCCAAGGCGGTGTTCCCTTGTTCAGATCAAGACTCTACCACAGAGCGCACCAACGACACAAACTCGGTCGTCGCTAGACAAACCGACTCCCATTTCGCCTGACTATCTCGCACAAGCGTTGAACGCTACTCAGATCCGTGCTTAAGTCTAATGTGTGGTCCAAAACTGGAAGACCACGTGCACGACATTCCTTTCCATCATCTCTTAGTCGACTACTCTTCATTCTGTGCGGAGGATCCGCTTGCCAGGTCAAGAGGCCCGCACACATTCCTTTCCCTGTATAGACACGTTCCTTGGCCATAGTTATGATTCAGACGACTGGGACGGATAGATGGACTATTTATATTGGCATTACTGCCATCGACCATCTCGCATTGGTGCAAACGGCGTTATTCTTTTCGTCCGCCATGGACCTCTACTCCATAGCGGTCGACTGAGACATCCAAGCTGGGTTTGGATGGGCGTTTGTTTGTCAGGTCGAGACTTCGTGATGAACGACCAAAAGAGCAGGTCGAAGTACTTCGCGGTCTCGACTGGGGAGGTAACACTGCGCAGAGTTTTTCGGTTTCATCTCTCTCTGCCGTGTTACTTCTCACCGTCGTCATTCCTTGGACAAAATATTGCTTTTTAATCGCATTTTGCCGACAGTTATTGATCCTGTGAGAGCGTCGCATTACTCCTTTTATCATTACATCTTTTATTGCTGAGCGGGCAGGTTTTTTTTTTCCTGTTCTACCTCTGTTTCTATATATGTACATAGAGATTTCCCTTGTGCGTTTTTTGTTTTTATCTTGACCGCAGATCTATCCTGTATGGTAAGAGCAGATCTGGCAGGTGATCAATGAAACTCATTGATGAACAGAAAATTCAATCAATTTTCAAATCCAAGCGTAGGTACCAAAACGGCGGCAGCCAAGCGATATTCTGCCTTCTCTACCTTGTTGGCCTGTCGAACAGAAGCGGAACTACTTACCGAATCCAGTAACTTACCGAACGCCCAATAGGGCTACCGTATTATATCTCTTATCATATACGAGCCCCCCTCTATCTCATCCAAACCCGATATCTTTACATGCAACTAAAGCGATATCGCCTAACATGGGGGAAAAAAAATCACACAGACCCAACCCTAAATCCATACAAGATAACTAATCACATGTGAAATAAAAACACCAAAGTGGCGAATCCAAGTTAAACCCCCACGTGCGATGATAAGTGGTCGATAAGGCGAAAAAGCTTATAATGTCAGCGGGAACATATTAGTCGCTGGAAGGGAAGGGATGGGGTGGTGATATGCACATTTAGCCCTAATTTACTCTGACTTGAGTTACTTCTTACTAAGTTCTTAGTAGGTACTGAGAGTTGTTGTGGTAACTATGCAAGTAATTGGCTGGTTGGTTATGTGAGTGGAGAGTTTATTTTCTATTTTTTGGGTATGGAGTTTATCTGTATGGTATGGTATGCGCGCGTGGTTCATGGATGATCGCTGACTTGAGGAGGAGGGGATGTAGATCGTCGTTCTGGTTTTTGGATAATGTGGTTAGGTTATGGCATAGCATGGCATAGCGTTAAAGATTTCAAGGGTTTATTGTTGATCTGAGTTATCTCTCTCCGGACTCTGCAGAATTCAAGTCAGTCAATCAGTCCAATACTTCTTATGGTTTGACTAGGTAGTAAACAGCTCCCACAGCAGATCGACCATCCATAACGAAGTTCTATCTAGTTAGTTAGTTAGTTAGCCGCTTCATGTTCCATTTCCCCGGGAAACCAGTAAAGTAGGGATAGGATAGGATAGGATAGGATAGATGAGCGACCTGCATCCATCGGCTCGGGTATTGTGGTTTCTGTCTTGTCTGTCATGGATTCTGTCAGATGCATTATTGTGTAGGCATGTTTCATTCACTTCCGTCCCGAGACTGGAATGCTGGTATTGCTTTGATGATGATTTGTTCCCGACTAGGATCTACTAGCTTCATGCACAAGCTTGAGAGACGTGTCGAGCAGATTATGGATTTTTCAGATGGACGTACTTACGCGAAAGAAGCAGAGCAGAGTCACTCCTTTCAAGTCCGTCGAGTCAGACTCTCTGTTATCCAGCTCTGTGACATATTCCCTATATACTGGATTAATATTGCCCATAGAACCTATTCGCTTTCCATAAAATGGCAGGCTGGTATACTTAGCATAGGCTGATGGTATTGAAAACTTACTCCCAATAAAAGTTCTTAATCAAAGAGTTTTGGAGGAAATAATAATACACTATTACGACGCGAGACATCCAAAGCAGTGGCCGCATACTGATATCTTGACCTTCTGAGATATTTCACGACTACTTTGCTTTTAGGGTGCAAATAACGCCTTGCCGTCACATAGACACAGACGCGATACTGGAGAAGGTGCTCGTTGAGTGTGCTTCGATAAGAGTCCAATCCATCCGTTCTAATGGTGCGTTCAATATGTGGTTTGGCCATTCGAAACATGCATGGATTGGAAAATGCTGGAAATAGCAGAAGCTCAGTGACATAAGCATAGGAACGATTTGATGGAATGGCACGATATACGATAGACGTGAAGAGTAAGCGTTTGAAGATGTAAAGTGCTTGTAAAGAGAAGAGCTTATAAAGGAAATAGGAGGGAAATACGTAATATCAGGCATTGCCACAGGTGAATACCCCTTTTCTCATTCCATAAATCAGCCCTGAGCTTTATAAGGACTGCTCAGTTCTATAATCCAATCCATACGTTCTGAACATTGTACTTCCCGCTTGGTTTTTCTAATTTTAGTTCATTCGGAAGCTTAGCGGACCTGAATTGCTGGCATCCTTGGATGGTTTCCTCCCAGCACTGTTGAGATGCTATGCTGGTCTCGTAAGTCAATTCAATTTCATGTCTCTATTGATCTTCCTGAACTCTTGCGTCCTCAGCCGATTTGCCAGAGAAAGCCGTTCGCTCACTGGAAAATGTGGATGAAATTGCACTCTTCGTGAAGTATTTCGGGAATGCTTCCGCCACTGACTGATGTCAAGCGTCCAGCCCCTTTGCCATAATGGCGATCTCCTTTGACAATGGACGAGAATACTCTGTTGCCGTACAACAATTACATATGGTATGGAAGAGTGTCCGTGAGGATGAATACGTCTCTGGGTTCCTGTTCAAGATGGCAATGGTCTTGATATCTGACGTGAAAGACGAATTCGTCGGAGTTGTCCTGAGAACTGCTCAGCTCAACTACTTTTATCAATACATCACGGGCCGTGAGTTAGCTCATATTCCAGGGATGTAATCTGAGCCGACATAGTTTTTAGACCATTTGGAAGTAAAAGCTACTGGACCCCTGACGCTATCATCTGGTATGTCGACGGGACAGTCGCGCAGAAAGCGGACACATACAACGCTATACCCGGCCAGAGCATGTTTCCCCAGACTATTTCTCGTTTATAAATGTCAGTATGCCCCGTTGGGGAAACCAGCTGGGATACTTCTGACATAAAGAGCCCGGATATTATTATGCTCTTGTTAACAAAATCAACATCACTTGATACGATCCAGTGGCCGGTACGAGACTCGAAAGAGACGAGTCGTATATTTATGTCAATGCCTCTGAAACGAACAGCTCTGTCATGATCACCTGTGAGAACACAGTACTCAGCTCATTTGAGGCTACTGGGACAAGTACACCAGCTCCAGCGAGCCTCACCCAAGCTGAAGCGGTGCATCTAGTGGTGGCTCTGGCACGAATAGCAATTGTTCAGCGACCAGTGGGTTCTCTCAAGGTCTAGGCTCGACTTCATCAGGTTCTGCTCCTCCAATCGAACCATGTGTTCTGCGAGGAGCAATTTATACGACCTGGTCGCAGTTATAGCTCTGTTCGCCATTTAAGTCGTTTCCTATCCGGATCATGCAGATTTGGCGAGGACGTATATTCATCCGACTCTCTTTACTTAGCTCTCCATGTATGCCGATAGCGGGATTCTCGACTAGTACATGAATTAATTGGCCCTCAGATCTTTCGGGGACAGTATTTTTCAGAATTGACAAAATTTGAATAGCCTTGTTTAGCCAGTCGAAACGGCCTACCTGAGAAAACAACCTTTTATCGAAATCACAAAGGATTATAGATTTTTAGTCATTCACATCTCATGGTTATTGAGATTATCATCATACGGCTATGCACGGTTCGTGAATGCGGTAGATCTAAACAGAAATCCATGAAGCCTATGCATTGGTATATTCAAGTTCGATGTATGTGCCGCCAATCATCATAGAACGTTTAGTCCTCATGCGTAACCGCCATATCCAGCACTTCGACTCTTCCTCTACCGCGTGTCTCATTGTTGACAAATTCGCCTAGGCCTTTGAAAGCACCTGGCTCAGCGAAGCCGACAACCTCCCACTCATCTCCACCTATCACCTCCTGCGACTCGACCGACTCGATATAACTCAAAATCTTGTCTTTGACGGTGCCAGGAGCCTTAGGTGCATTCTCTGCATCCGACGCTGCGGCCTCTTCTGCCTCCTGGGCAGCCGCTTTCGATTTTGATCCTTTCCCGCCCTTTTTGTTCGATTTGGAATTCGACTGGGGCGCTTCTTGATCCTGTTTGGCTGCAACCGAAGGCGCTTTCACTGATTGCTTGAGAATAGATACAGGACAAGTCACCCGCAGACGCATCCTCGCTCGCATCACCGGAATCGGCTGCCAGGCGATCAGAGCCTTCATGGCTTCAAGCGCCTGACTCTTCGCTGACTTGTTCGTGACGACACCGGTCCAGAGCGGTTTTCGCTGTTGGGAGGCACTATCACCGTCCTTTGCTGCATCGTCATTGTTTTGTTGTTCCTTCTGGAGCTGCCCACTTGCAGAACTCAGCTGGTCCAAAGCCTTGCTAATCATTCCTGTCGTGTACACGCGCTTCGTGGCCGGGTCGATCAGTCGTCCAGCTACGATATCTAGCACCTCCTTCTCAACTCGCTCCAAGATATCTTTCCGCTCGCGCTCTCCTACTTGCACTTCACCCTTGCGCAGAATTTCCTGGATGATTTCGTCTCGAGAGACACCGGGACCAAAAGCCTTGGTCAGCTCTGCGGACGGCGCTGTCTGGGCCTTCGACACGGAAAGGAAGATCGTAGGAACCTGAAGTACATTGTCGAGATCGGTTTCTGCACCGGAACGGTACTCAAGGAGCTTATTCTTGTAGCATGCTAGTTCAAAGCGCTTTTTGCCTGGGAACGAGAAGTTCGTTAGCGGGGTTGGCGGGGTAAGGAGTTTCGGTGCAAAAAATTATCTCAAGGTATCCGCAGTTTTAAAGGGGACATCCCCAATATATTAATCATGCGCTTCAAGCTTACCCTTTTTTAACCGGACAATAGAGACATTTGTGAACTTAATCTGATTTGATGGTGTCTTGATGCCGACAGGCATTTTGACGGTGGATTCTGCGTGGATAGCAGAGAAATCTGATGTTGAAACAGGAACCCGCTCGATAAATGAGGCCCAGAAACGTTTACACACTCCTTATATGTGACGAGCGATAAGTTTTTGCGAGAAGACTGTTCTGGAGGTAAAGAAATAGCCCGTGGTAAAACTTGTCAGCGCGGAGATGGACGATTTCCATCGATTATGACGCTGTTGCGGTCCGTTTATGATGATGACTCAGCATAAATATGCTTGCCTAAATAGTTAGTTATGCACAACTACGCATGATAGTTAAATGAGCTGTAAACTACCAGCATCTTATTCGATTCAAGGGAGTATATGGAATCATGAGATGTAGACCTCAAAATTTAGGTTTATTTGCTGCGCCGTCAAGGAGTAGTTCAGGTGAAAGGTAGCTCCCAAAGCTTGGGTACTGCTCATTTCCATGGATCGCATTCTCTCATCTGTAGTAAGTCGCGTTCATTCAACGTTTATTAGTTAGATACAGAGTCTGGTATTTCGATATAATCTGCTCGTCAGTCATGATGTTCCGTTTCCTATTGTAAATTCTTCTAGGATTTTAGTATCTATTCCCTACGGAACGGTGCAGAGATACAGGCTACATATCTTCAAGTTACATATGTGTCCCCAGATCAAAAGGGTTGTCTCTCAAATCTATTACTTCACACGGACATAATCGTATCATACACCTCTGACCCTCATAGATTAGGTATCCATCAGTTGCTGCTGCCATAGACGGAGGATACGGCACGCGTGACCCTTCGCTGGGCGATCTGTACTTAGTGTCAGAAGACATGAGCCAAGCAAGCGGATACCGTTGAAGGTTTAGCAGCTATTATTCTTTCTAATTACTGAGAGAAGAGGACTCAAAAAGTACAATAATATATCTTGTTGGCAACCATCAGCGAGACGAGATAGCTGCGCCGTACTACACACACGTGACGCCTCTTGGCTGACCGACGGAAGCGGATGCAATCAGAACCCTAAACTAACTGGAGATCCGGCGGTGCCTGGTCGGCCATTATTGGCGGCCCCGGAGTCGAGCCAGTCGATAACCAGCACATCGTGACTCCACGGGTCCACCCGTATCAGGTCGACCCGTGACGCCGACACCGCTGGGCCTGGGGTCCTCCTCGCCTCCTCATCCTCTTCTCTTCCTCTCTTCTCTCACCCATCTCATCTCTCCTTCCTTCGGCATCGCATCTGGCTGTTCTGGTCCATCTCCAGTAAGCCATTGTTCTGCCGAGCCAGGACCTGTTCACATCTTTTTATCATCATATCTTGTTTGCGGAGGCTGCGACGTCATACATAGCTGCCTAGGCAACTGGACCCCAAGGTTCCTGATCGTCTTCGAGCCATCACACCCATCATAGCCATCAAACTTCCATCGTTTATATCATTATCACTATCACTGCAATTTCATCATGAGAGTCCTTCCTGCTACGCTCTTGGTTGGAGCTGCAACTGCTGCTGTTCCTCCAGCTCAGCAGATCCTGCAGCTCCCCAAGAAGGGAGCTGATAGCTTGGCCAAGCCGCTTCACCAGATCCAGGAGCAGCTGAAGTCGCTCACGGATGACGCCAAGTCTCTCTGGGATGAGGTTGCCAACATATTCCCAGATTCCATGGACCACGCTCCCTTCCTGTCCCTGCCCAAGAAACACACTCGTCGCCCTGACTCCCACTGGGACCACATTGTCCGTGGATCTGACGTCCAGAGCGTTTGGGTCACCGGATCAAACGGCGAGAAGGAACGCGAAGTTGATGGAAAACTTGAGGCTTACGACCTCAGAGTCAAAACGGTCGACACCAGCGAGTTGGGTGTCGATCCGGACGTGAAGCAGTTCAGCGGTTACCTGGACGACAATGAGAATGACAAGCATCTCTTCTACTGTAAGTGTCCTTTCCCGTCTAGTCCAATGGTCTGTAACAATTGGTACTGACAAAAGAAAAAGGGTTCTTTGAGTCTAGGAACGATCCGGAGAACGACCCTGTCGTCCTTTGGCTCAATGGTGGACCCGGTTGTTCCTCTCTCACCGGTCTTTTCATGGAGCTTGGGCCTAGCTCGATTGACGAGAACCTCAAGGTTGTTTACAACCCTTACTCGTGGAACAGCAACGCCTCCGTCATCTTCCTTGACCAGCCAGTCAATGTCGGTTACTCCTACAGTGGATCCGCTGTGAGCGACACGGTTGCGGCCGGCAAGGACGTCTATGCTCTCCTTACCCTCTTCTTCAAGCAGTTCCCGCAGTATGCTAAGCAGGACTTCCACATTGCTGGAGAGTCCTATGCCGGACACTACATCCCCGTCTTCACCTCGGAGATTCTGTCTCACAAGAAGCGTAACATCAACCTCAAGTCGGTCCTCATCGGTAACGGTCTGACCGATGGCCTCACTCAGTACGAGTACTACCGTCCCATGGCTTGCGGTGAGGGTGGATACCCTGCCGTCCTTGACGAGAGCACCTGCCAGTCAATGGACAATGCTCTTCCTCGTTGCCAGTCTATGATCGAGGCTTGCTACAACAGCGAGAGTGCATGGACTTGCGTTCCTGCCTCTATCTACTGCAACAACGCTCTTCTGGGTCCTTACCAGCGCACCGGCCAGAACGTGTATGATGTGCGTGGCAAGTGTGAGGACAGCAGCAACCTGTGCTACAAGGGTCTCGGTTACATCAGTGACTACCTGAACCAGCCTAAGGTCTTGAAAGCTCTTGGTGCCGAGGTTGACGGGTATGATTCGTGCAACTTCGACATCAACCGCAACTTCCTGTTCCATGGTGACTGGATGAAGCCCTACCACCGTCTGGTTCCCGACATTCTCGAGCAGATCCCTGTCCTGATCTATGCAGGTGATGCTGACTTCATCTGCAACTGGCTTGGTAACAAGGCCTGGACTGAGGCTCTTGAGTGGCCTGGCAAGGAGAAGTTCTCGACGGCTTCGATGAAGGACCTCAAGATCGTCGACAACGAGCACAAGGGCAAAAAGATCGGCCAGTACAAGTCGCACGGTAACTTCACCTTCATGCGCCTGTATGGTGGCGGCCACATGGTTCCCATGGATCAGCCTGAGTCCAGCCTGGAGTTCTTCAACCGCTGGCTCGGAGGCGAATGGTTCGGTTCCAGCCATTAAACGCTGCATTGAAGGTGTTAACGTTCTTTTTTCGATATTTTTGGATGATTGGACTCAGGTTCAGAATAGTCTTAGAATGCGTATATGATCCCTTTGTTTGATGTCACGCGGGCATTAGAGTAGGACTGAGAATGAGAATGTGCGAGTTGAAGCCTGTGGTGTGGATTCTGGTTTGACCGCATCGCAGTCTCCTAGCCTCCTAGGGGTGTTTGCTAAGTTTACAATCGAATTAAGCATCTACTTTATATCTCAATTTAATGGCCTACTCGAGATACTTTGATTGAAGTAATGAGTGATGGGCGTGAGGCTAGAAAAGGGTGCTCTGAACACGTAGATTCTAGGGGGCTTTTATTGCTCTTTCATGGGCAGGACAAATGGAAGTCTCGCAGTAGATGTACGATAGATAGACCCGTAAGAATCGTTACCCAGCCGGTGAGTTGAATTTGTTGGTTGGTCAAATGCGTTTCATTGGTATTTCTTCATTTTTTTCCCTTCCCGTTTATCCGTGCCTTGCAATCCGTCCAGATTACACCACGTAGGTACCAGGATGCCACATACAGATATCGCCAAACCCACTCCCCCAAGCAAGGAAGAAAGTGAACAAAAGAAAAGTTTTAGCCCTTCTTCTTGGAGACACCGACGGTACGGCCTCTGCGACCGGTAGTCTTGGTGTGCTGTCCACGGACACGGAGACCCCAGTAGTGACGGAGACCACGGTGAGAGCGGATCTTCTTCAGACGCTCAAGGTCCTCACGGAGCTTGCTGTCGAGACCGTTGGCGAGGACCTGGCCGTCCTTGCCATCGGTGATGTCGCGCTGTCTGTTCAGGAACCAGGTGGGGATCTTGTACTGGGTCGGGTTCTGGATGATGGTGACGATACGCTCGAGCTCCTCAGAGGTGATCTCTCCGGCGCTATAGAACCACGATTATCAGCATGAGTGTCTCCAAACCAAAAATTCGCTCCTCTCCATTCCATTCTCATCCAAGTACGATAGACTGTGTATGGGCGATGGCGAAAAAGACGTACCGCTTGGTCAGGTCGACATCGGCCTTCTTGCAGACCAGGTTGGAGTAACGACGGCCGACACCCTTGATACGGGTCAAGGCGTACATAATCTTCTGCTTGCCATCGACGTTGGTGTTAAGCAGACGCAGAATGAACTGGAAGTTCGTCTTCTCGCCGGACACGAGCGCTGTAGGATTCACACATTCACAGGTCAGCCATTTTTTCCATTTTCCATTTGTGCCAATATCACACGACTGGTCGATTCATCGACTCTCTCACTGATGCGCATCCCGATTTACGAGATCTCATCAATGAAAAGCAAAGCGACATATCAAGAAGGGTTGATGGGAACATACACATGATGGGCGATAGCGGGCGGTATCGCTCTGTACGTTGACTGTCGACGAGGAGTAGGAGAGGAAGTCGTCGAGAATCAGCCCTCCAACTTTTGCTTGTCCGTTGTGGGATCCGCCCATCGCGTCTAGCCGAATCTGTCGTGGTGCGGTGAGGGCTCGCTTGGAAATGCGCTATTCCAGAATGGGCCTCTTAGCGAGAATGCTCGGCTGTTCGGGTAATTGATTTTCCTGTCCCGGATTATCATCACGTGGTGTATATCTATCGCTGAGAATCGGTGAACTATGAACATCGCTTGAACATCTTGAAGCCTTGAACTCCTTGATCACTGCCCGAGAAAACTTGATCAGCAGAGTGCCAGATGCTGATCGCCCAATAGTCACTTCTTGGTATCGGCGGCGTTCTCAGCCAGGAAGATCTGCTTTCAGCTGCTAATTCATCCAAGACATTGCTTCCTCAGTACACCCCCGTGAAGAACGTGTGACAGTTGCCGTCTTGATAAAGTCTGATCAATTCAAGTTCTTATGCTCTGTTCCATCGTTGGTATACGGGTGGACCCCCTGGACTCGGTCATGACGCTCGTTGTGTCTGCTCGTATCCTTTTAGGCAGGACAGCTCCGACCGTTCCTGTTTCAGCGGACTTCAGCTCTGCGCTTGACTCCAATCGGGCCCTGTAATGTTCCTTGTTAGGCAATCTTGTTCCTAGTCCGTTGTTCAGTCAGGTAATTCTAGCCTTTCTGCGTATAGTCAACAAAATCCTCTTACCTACATGTCAGGGCACCTGTTTCTGGAGGCTTGTGATGGGGTCCTTTCATCGACGGTCGTTGATCTTGGCAGTATGGTTCTCGCCTTGAACATGTCTCCGCACAGTGCTTAGATCTCCACCAGGTATGGGCCAAGAGCATAGGGTGGTGATCATACAGACGAACTTGCCTTTTTCGAAAGGGCCAAACAAATCTCGAGACCCTTGTGGCTTTCGCCCTTCATCAAAGCCCATGCCCAGGACTCGATGGTATAGGAGATGGCTTAGCAGCTCTTTGGCTATATGAAATACCTGGTCTGAGAGCCGCAATGGAGGTCTTCTCTTTTTCCTTTTCATTGCCTTGATACCCAGTGTACTGCCTTGGTTTTCCGTTCTTTCTTTTGCTTCCATAGTCAGCAGTGCTGGTCTATCTTAACCACCATACTTTCTTTTCCTCTGCCGCGTCTGTGACCGCGCAGTGCTTACACTCATTTTCGATTTGATTCTCATCTTGACGACGTACATATTCCACTGTCATTCAATTGAGACCATGGCATACTTGAGACTGTATCAACTTCTCATCGGCCTGGTTGCCGTTACTGCAACCCAAGCTGGTAACATCGTCTACTGTTTTACTTGCCATGAGCACATGCTAATGGAAGTACAGCTCCAAGCATCTATGGCTGGGACGCACTGGTCCCTCGAGGAGTCCCTGATCCTGTGCGCAAGTTGACTTTCGTCCCTAGTCACAGGAAAGACAGACGCCAGACTGTAGGCGCTGGGGCAGATGAGGTCATCGAAGCATCGACTTCTGTCAGCGAAAGCGAGACAGATGTTGTCAGTGTTGACCAGACCGACGCCGAACTGGAAAAGAAAATTGTCCAGATCCAGGCTGGAAACCAGGCGATTATCACTGAACAGGATGAATTACGAGTGCAAAAGTTGGTCACTGTTCAGAAGGTTGGTTGATATATCACGCAGCTATTATTCGCGGAACATCGCTGATTTGGCTTTAGACCACTGTTGTCCAGGTCGTCCAGCAGGTGGTTGACATCCGTGCGGGAGTTGCTGTTACTTCCTACGCTGTCCGAGAGATCACCAAGGTAGCAGAACAACAAGAGGAAGTCACCCAGGTCTTCCAAGGTATGTTCGAATCCTCCCAATACTGTTCTCGACCATAGCTGATGGATGTATAGTGGCCGACGCGAACATTATCACCGTCGGCGCTGGTAGCTGCGATAACGGTGCCTCTGCAGCGATTCTCGGAACTAGCGCTGCTGCTTCCAGTATCGCTGCGATAGCAACAACCCCAAGCGCACCAGTTGCTGCCGTTACTACTGCTGCTGCAGCAGCTCCTGTTGTTACTACTACTACACCGCCTGCTGCTGCTGTTACTACTGCTGCTGCTGCTCCTCCTGCTGTTACTACTGTTGCTCCTCCTGCTGCTGCTGTTACTACTGCTCCTCCTGCCGCTGCTCCTCCTGCCGCTGCACCTCCTGCTGCTGCACCTCCTGCTGCTGCGCCTCCTGCCGCTCCTCCTGCTGCTCCCGCTGCTGCTGCTGTCGCGGCTAGAGCAGCTCCTTTCCAGATGAACAACCAAACAATGATGCTGATGCCCGCCCCACCACCAATGAAGGCGAACATGCAGGCTGTACCAGACCCTGGTGCTCAGGTTACCGGTGGTATCTGGAGCTGCGGAGTTTAGAGGATGTGTGCAGGGAATACTTGACCTGAAAGAAAACACAGCCATGTTCCTTTTTTCTTCTCTCTCAATTATTGCTGGTTTCGTTGCTGTTTAATTGGACTATGTAACTATCGCGGATGAGCATGGACGGGTAGCGTGGGAAGAGATATGTACTCTAGCGGCAGAACCCTTTTTGATCTGGACTACAACTATATGAACGTATATATATCGTGCAAATATTTGAAAATAGGACCAAATATGATATTAGTCCTTCTTAAGAAAAAAGGCCTATCAACTATATAACAATGAGATATAACTTTGAGCTCTTCATTACTGCGAACTGAACTTTATTGAGAGTCATTGGCAGCAGTGCTCAAGCAATAATCTGTACTGAGACATATCCAACCCCTACCTCTCTACCTAACACAAAAAAAAAAAAAAAACGCATGAGAATAACTTAGAAATCCATATTGTCTGTACCTATAATATTCAAGGGGGTATATCCAAAACAATACAAAACACACACGATACAAGAACGTCTAGCGCTCAGCTGATCTCCCCCCTTCAGAAACGACCACCCAAAATACGCAGAGAGGGAACACAATGCCCGCCATCCCTTATGAGCATAAGAAGTACGCGCGCTATTCCAACAAAACACTAACCACCAATAACAGACAAAGAAGCGAAGCCATCACAGCGCAAACGCAAGAGCCAAAACGCCCGCGATGCCAGCGACGCTTCCAGCAATGAATCCCGTCGGAGCCGGCGCCAGCGCAGCATTCGCCGACGACGACCCCGTTGCAGCAGCGGTAGCATTAGCACTGGCACTGGCACCGGTAGCAGTAGCAGCGGCCGTGTTGATGACGGCCGTTGAGACATACGCCTTCACATCCGGAGGAAGACTCGAGTACCAGGCGGGGGTAGAGCCGGCCTTGATGGCGCTGATGTAGGACGAACGGTATGCGGAGTCGGTGGCCAGGCCGTCGAGAACGGAGGATGGCACGGCCGTCTCCAGGACGGAGAGGACGGATGGTGGGATCGAGTTGGTGGGCAGTGAGGGGAAGCTTATCTCGCTGGGGAAGCTTGTGATAGCGGCGCTGTGTACGAGAAAGTGAAGTTAGTGTTGCGACTTCTTACTTGAAGGAAGAAGTTGTGATGATAATTGCTGTGTGACTGACTTACATGTTAAGACTTGATTCCTCGGCTCTCTTCTCGACGCCTTCCTGGGCGAAAGCGATAGTCGAGAAGAGGAGGATTGCGATGGATTTGAGTTGCATCGTGATGGTATTCTTTCTTTTTTTGTATTAAATGATAAAATGATATTCTCTTTGTGAAGAAGATCCGATATTTCGTATAACAGATAGTATAGTATATTCAATCCCTATTCTGTCAGGTACACTCAACACAGCAGGATGAAGTACGTAGTAAAAAACAGATATGCGATGCGACAGTAATAAGAAACTAGCTAAGTACGGATCCCCCGAATTCGGTCAAGCATTAATTAAATAAATCCTCTCATACAGGAGGCGTCAAAAATAAAAAAAATAGCAGAACTTTGTTCCGATCCATGGTCCGTCCAATGGCTGATAATCTAACGGAATTAGAAACAACACCAGGGGCGCAACGGTCGGTGGCGGTTGCATTAATATTATTGTAGGGGTCCGCCGTCTCATGGTACCGAGCATTCGGAGTCTGGAACCGAGTGGGCAGGTCTACGTTACCATCAAGGCTGTGCAGGCTGTCTTTTGTTCTGTCTCAGCCGGACGGGCCGAGGGGGGAAGAGAAGGTGAAGAAGTAAGCAACCTACTGCTGTGCTGGCAGCTCGAAGGATGTAAGACAAAACAAGAAATAGATAACTACAGGAGAGACACCCCTCCATCAGCACGAAAGGGTGAATGACCATCGAAGTAAGCCCTCATAGTCGCAGGGAAATTGCAGATCTCCAACGCGCGAATCGCCCTAAGAGGAGATGATCTGCTGAGTCTTCTAAGCTCGTGTTGGTCTTACAATAATTTTGATAATTAATATGACTATAATAATACGATGCGAGAATATGATGGAACAATCTCTCGTGTCTCTGTCGAAACAAAAACTTCTCTCTCCCAAAGTATCTACTATCTTGTTGTTCTTGCGGATCTCGAAAGTTTTCCAATAATAGAATATGTCATTCCGCCTCCTTTTCGGAGTACCATACAACCCGGTGGATCCGAACCAGCCTTGTAGTCACTCAGTCGGGTGTCTGAATTAGAACCAGACGCTAGACAGAACGTAAGAGTGATAATTATGGTAGGTTATGAATTACCGGTGCAGGTGCCGGTGGAAGACTGAAAGGCAATTGATTAAATGTTCCCCTATTTCTTGCAAGAGATGTCCAGATGTCTGAACTGCCATTGCATTGTTTAACATCGCACTGAAGCATCTTTCTGTCCTATCTCGAGTGACGGAAGAGCGTGGTTAAATTGATCAAATGTACAGTACTAGGACCTGGCCTGAAGAGTTGATTAGAATCCGATACGCGTCATACTTCCTATGTCAGACTGTGTGTATACACATGGGTTTCTTCAATACACCAAGTTCCATGGAGGGTAAACAGCGCGAACTAGCTAGAGAATCTAAGTCATTAATACCTCAAGAAGTAATAAGTACAGCAAGGAACTTTCTGTTTCTATATTGTCCCCAGTCAACAATGACGATGTCACAGTGCGCGGCCAAGTATACAGGTAACCATAGTAGTGATCCTACCTATCAAGGGCCCTATAGATCTCTTCAACATAGGCCCCTGTGTTAGCATTGCCCAGAGTTCCAGATGCCATCTTGTTCATTGCATAGCCGATAGTCATCTGGCGATCCAGATCCATAATTATCGTTGAGCCTCCCCAGCCTCCCCAGAAGCAAACACGACCTTGCGGTATCCCAGATATCGTCTCTGGCGCTGGTAGACCGACCCCTAGGCCGAATCGCAGAGATTTCCCAAGTACGAGATCCTGGCCATTGATCCGCTCCTGGATCATCTGCTCGATAGTTTCCTGCGAGAGATACGTCTTACCATCTCGAGTACCTCCCAATGATATCACTGACCCAATACGGCACAGAGAGCGCGCATTTCCGAAACCGTTCGAAGCACCGATCTCCGCATTTCTAAACTCGAGCGACATGGACTCCTCCGCTTCTATCACGGCCCCAATGAAAGCTCTGCGGGCGACGCTTTCTGGGCTAAGCCGGTCCAATGCCATAGGCGGAGGAGGAGTTATATCTGCCGTACGCGACCAGTCCTTTTGCTCTAATCCGAGACGGAAATCCGCTCCTAGCGGTTCAGCAATTTCTTCGGTGATGAATTGCTTCAATGATTTTCCAGTCGTGCGTCGCACCAGCTCGCCTATCAGATGTCCATGAGTGACCAGCTGATACCCGGAGGATTGACCAGGAGTCCACCAGGGTGCCTGCTGCGCCAGTTTTTCAGTTGATTTTGGTGTATCACAGATCTCCTGAAATGTAATGGGCGGCTCCCATGAGGGAAGACCAGATGTATGACTGAGGACATGGCCCACTGTAATGTTCTCCTTGCCATTGGCAGCGAACTCAGGCCAGTATTTCGATACTTTCTCATCAGGATCCAGAACGCCGCGATCGATGAGAATAGCCGCAGCTAGTGCGCAGACGACCTTGGAGCAGGACCAGACCACTGTGAGGGTGTCTTCCTCCCACGGTCGAGTCTTTGCTGGATCAGCGTGGCCGCCCCAGAGGTCAATCACGGTCTCTCCCTTGATGTCTACACAGAGAGAGGCTCCGAGCTCTTCGCCTTGGGCGATGCGTTCTTGGAAAATGCGACGAACATGGTCGAATTCGGGCTTGCATAAGCCATGTATCTCAGCCATGACGCAGTGGCAGCAAAAAAAGGCGAGAAAGGATTATTGCGACAAACTAGAGTATTAATATTGCCCGAGAGATGACAGAGAATTATTTACTGATCTTTGAAAAAATGTCGAAAGGAGATTGATTTGCGAGATATAAACCGGTCGTTCGTTATGCAGGTGCCTAGTCAAATAATAATGTATTACTTCGTTCACCCCTAGGAACTTTCGTAGTACCGCGAAGCGGGGCCATATTGGCTCTAATAATCTATGCAACGTGGTAGCCTAATAGTAACACCAGATAGGTAATTATAGAAGAGAGAGAGAAGAGAGTATATTTAGACTTCGATATAATATACAACACATTAATTATGAACTCCTAATACTAGTAGCGCCTCCCAGTTCGACTAAAGACACGACGTACAGCAAACAACAGTACGTCTCACATATGATATGTTTTTCGTAATCGATCATTTCATTCCATCCCGTCCATGCCACAAAAGCGCCTTTTGTTCTCTTTTCCATCTTTTAAAACTGGCACCAGTACCAGGTAGATCAGATAGTGGTATCTTCCCACAATCCTGGCAAGCTGTAACCTGATGCACTGCTTGTATCATTACCCCGCGACAGCTGTTCAAACTCGGTAAACAGCTCAAGCGCCACCTTCGCGCTTCGCGTATTCATCCTCAATGTTTTCCGCGTAGAGTCGATCGGCCTCTTCCTTGCTCAGGCTCTGGTTGCTGGAGGGGTTCTCGAGCAGATCGCCGTTCTCAGCTGCGTGGTAGCCGGGCGCGGTGACGGTGCCACCGCTGCCTGTACCAGGAAGACGAGTGTTGCCATTTCGCGGGATGGAGGCGAGGGCTTCGAGAGATGCGGTGCCGATGCTGCCCTGGTCACGGACGGTCTTGTCCTCGGGACCGTTGGGGTCGTGGTCGGGGAGAGTAGGCATGGGAACTGGCATTTTGGATGATTGTCTTGAGAGGGGAATCTGAGTGGAAAGTTGGAAAGTTGGAAGCTTTCAGTGTCCTAGGTTCTTGGGATCTTGGCTCTGAATATGGGACTCTGAATGATCAAACGGACGAGATTCAAGCTCGTATATATACAGAGATGTTAGTGACTGAAGACTGTCGTTCAAATCTGAGAAGAATGGTTATAAGTGACTCAGATGGCGGAAGCAGTGGCGATATGTTGGATGAACAACGTCATCTGCTACTGGATACCTAGGTACAAACAGCCGCCAAGAGAGGCGAAGCAGCTTCTTGATTTGATTAACTAGAGAGCTTCTAGAGAAGTAATTGCTAGAGACGCCAGGAACCGTAAAAACAAGCTGCTAAACGTTATGTCCAATCTCGTATCTCGTTGCTGCGCCTCACGAGCTCGTAGCTCACCACAACAGGTCACTAGCCACGACGCGTATATCGCCTCCCGAGACTCGCAGCTGCGCCTCAAGCTCCCAACATCTAACGCACTGCAATCACAAGATATTCATCATTATCTACCATGCATCCATCTTATCATACTACATCACTACATCTTCTTCTCCAACCGCCAGCATATAGCTGACAGACTGATGAAAAAGAGAAAATTGTTTTCCACATGGTGGAAGGTGCCAAAGAATACGCCTGCCAATGACCCGAAGGCCGTTGGACGGGTTGTTCCTCCGCGCTGTGCAATGCAGGGACCAACCCGTGGTGGACCGCCTTCATGATCGCAGCCACCCAAACAAGGTAAGTATGAAGAAGAAAAGAAAAAAAGCGCTCAAGGGCGCGGGAGACGCTGTTTATATATCTGACGGTGGGGAATACGAGATGGCACTAGTGTAAGCGAGATTGAATAATCGCATATTATTGGCTATGTTTCAGAACAGATTTTTGTGCAAATGGTGGGAATCGCCGCCATATTGCATACTCACGTGATGGGTCGAATGGGACAGCCACGAGAAGTTGCCGCGGCTGCAGTTTTCCTAGCTTCAGATGAGAGTAGTTTTTCGACAGGAATGGAACTGCGAGTTGGCGGAGGCCATGCCGAGCTCCAACATCCACCGAAAACTTCTCGGTTCTGAGGAGTCACGGGCAAAGTACGAGCACATAAACATGGCTAATGAGTTATACTCTGGTTTCGAGGACTTCTGATAGTCTCAGACATGAGTAGTAGTACCTGATGAACTTCATATTCTTAGGACATCATACACAGCGTGTACGGGTAGTAGAGATGGATACTACACGAAGGACAAAGCTACATAAGACGAGACGTCGATGATCGGTCGTCGATTGGTATAACTACGAGGTTTGTCTCTATACATGCCCCAAGGTATCTAGACTGCATGCATCATTCACACGGGAAAGCCGTGACCAGTGAGAAAGGAATATTTCCACCCAGCTATTTGCTCACAAGTTCAGGGACCAGTCGAAATATCGAGGAACAAGATACCACGCCCTAAACTATAAACGCTGTAATCGCAAATGGATATTGCAAAGCAGTCCGGCAGGAACACCGGAAGAGATCGAACGCCTGGTCAAAAAGCGATGCTGGACCCGTCAAGACGGGTGGCATGCAAAGAGGAATTTACTCAGAGCTCAGAGCAAGACAAGCATCCACGGCCAAACCGACTCTAGAACAAGACAAGTTAGCCAATGCTTCGTCAGGAGGTCGCGATGCCACTGGCTGACTTACCTGCCCTCCTTCATCTTGACGACATCATCGATCACATCCTTATCCAAGTTTGGGAACATACCCGAAAGCGTTCTGGGTGACTGTCAGCATCCTGCACTGCAGGTAAAAAGGTAACTGCACATACTCTACAACGTCATTGTGTTCGGCACGTTGTATCCTCCGGGCTTCCGCGACTTCAGCACTAGCTTGTCGCGCAGCAGCCTCTTGGGCATCGATGGACCCAGGAGACTGTCGTGGCGCTGCTGTCCGTGGCCGTTCACCGGATCTTCGCTCTTCGACACTGCTGCGTGGGGGTTGATAGACCGCTGGAGAGAGTCTCGGGGAGGTACCCGGCCGAGGAGACGTGGCTGGCTGCGTTAGCCCAGTCTCCTCAGTGAATATCCTCCCGATCGTAGACAGCGGTTTCTGAATCGTCCGTAACAAGCCCGCAACAGGCGCACTCTCCTCGTCACTGGATTGAGCCGCATCCCTTCTACGGGAAGATGGCTCTGCTTCGAGCGAAGTTCGCGGTGTCAATTCCGATCCACTGGAGACGGACTTCTCTAGCGGTCTAGAATCTAGTGACGAACGGGCCTGGGCTTCGGCTTGTCTATTTTGTTCAGCAATGGCGGAGACGGCAGCTTCCACATTCCGCTCGAATTCCTCATCGCTAACAGTCAAGCTCGTGCGATCGAGAGTCTCGATAAACTGGATGGCTCCAGACTGCACATGATTAGCGTGTTTGTTCAGCCGTACTGAACAGTGTTGCGACGTACTAGTGAAGATAGGTAGTAACCAGCTTCTCCGCCGAGCTTTTCCTGGTTACGGAATCGAAGAATATATTGAACGTTGGAGACCAGATGCTCGGGATTTGCCTGTAGAACTACGTAGATCAACATCGGCATGAACGAGTCTGCTGAAGTATCGGCACTCTTTGAGTTTCGCAATAGGCCTGCCATCAATCCAATGAGTCAAGTGCCAGGACAGAATCAAGCGTGTGCGTTCTCACCAAAGATGACCTTGCAGCAATTCAAAATGCAAATAACCTTGTCACGGGGTGCCCGATACCCTTTGATCTTTAACAACTCTGTAAATAATGTCAGAAGAGTCACCGGCCAAGCAAATAGAGAGAGTCTTCTAACCTTGCTGCGCCAGATTCAAAAAGCGACGACCGTGTGGACCGACCGGCGATATGTCTAGATGCTCCTCTCTTATCCAACTGTAAATTCGAATCTTCTGTGCCAGAATCTCATCACGCTCAACATCCTCCTGATGTTGGCCGCGTCTTCCCGGGCCTAGTAACTTCTCTATATCCTTGCGCTTGCCTTTGCTGGAGTTCCTCGTAGGAGTAGGAGGCGGTGGTATCGCCGGTGAGAATGTCTGCGAATATAATCTGTTCATCACCAGCTTCTCCATGCCTTCCTTAGCATTATCGAATTCTGCGTCAGACACGTTCCTCCACACTTCACACTGAGCCATCTTGTTGGTGATGAAAGCCAGAAAATCGCTAATTATCTTGACTTGCTCGTGGACCATCCACTGCTTCTTCCCGAATTCATTGAGGAAGGAACGGAGAAACTTGGCTACCGGATCTGCAGTGCGGTGACGCAGTTGGTCCAAGAAACGATGAAAGTCGAAAGGCTGATCAGGCTCAGCCGGCGGGGGTGGCCCTATGGAGGTCGCAGAGAGTGGTGTCATCGGTGGTGCTTCTGGCATAGGCCCCTTGTGCGGTGATGGTTTCGGGGGCACGACGGGGGCAGAAAATGTCTGAATACTAGGAGGTCGCTTGGGCTGCTGAGCATTGTCGCCGCCTTTGGGATGCTCCAGACTAGACCCTCGGGGAGGAAACTGTCTGGGAGCACCGAGAAACTGTTCCGCCAACTCAAGTCGGGGGGACATGACTTCCTCCGTTCGCACTCCAGATTCATCCCCAAATTGGTCCATTATACTTTGTATCTCCGACTGCGAATCGTCACCCTTCCCGGCTCCGGGTTCAGCCTCCTGTTTGTCATCCATGCCACTATCCTTAGGCACGTCCGGTAACTCCTTCTCGGCGTAGTCAGAAAGCTTCCCCGGGGATATTGGCGATTGCGGAATCATTGGTGTTTTGGGGGTAGGGTCGAGATACGGCTGGTCCTTTTCGGGCGGTGGAGGAGGGCGCGCATCCAGGGAACTGTCGATACGCAGCGGTCCCGGCCTCTTCTCGGAGACAGAGAGCTCATCGACTTGTCTCGCAAGTGCTTCCGCCTGGACATTTGATGTCTCGACGGTTGTGGTAGAGGCAGTCACAACGGCGGGACCATGAGCGTACTGTTGCGGCGTACTTTTCGAAATAGTCGTCGTCTCCGCAGCTTGTCCAACGCTGGAGTCATCCTGCGGCGGCGGCGGCGGCGCCTCATCCTGGGATTCCTTCAACGACTCTCGAGACTCCGCGGGGACTGTTGTTTCTTCACGCATATTTCCCTCATGTTGTTGTGTTTCTGTATCGTTCGCTTTCTCCTCAGGAACCGAGGAAGACGTGGGGATGTCTGGGGCAGACATATGCAAGTACGGGCAACGGACGTAACGCAGAGCTCAGTTTAAGCAGGATTATTCAGGGAAAACAAGATGACATTCTGAGATGACAATGCAGAGATCCGGCTCTATTGGGGAAATAACAGAAGCAAAGAGACGGGAGGGTATCAGCTGTGAATGAGCTCTTGAGGTCTACTGAAGCTCGATCTAAAGCGGGCGCTCCTGAGGCCAACCGCAGGATCATCGTTCGCCCGAGATCCGTCCCCAGAGTCCCGTGGGGCAATCAACTTCTTCTTCTTTTCCAGGTCGCGCCTCGGCTTCGAATTAATTACACAACGAGCCTTGACGTGGAATATTTCCTGTGCTGGGAACTAGATGCTGAGATGTGTGGTATCTTTTTCTCTCTGAGCACATCAGGCCCTGTTCTTCCCGCAGAGGAGACAGCTACTTTATTGCGAAACAGAGGACCGGACAGCTTTCAGACTCATACTATCCAGCTGGGAATCGCCCCTGGTCAAGACAGCGTCGAAAAGCTTTCTCTTACTTTTATTTCCACTGTTCTGGCTCTGAGGGGTGACCATGTTCATGCCCAGCCTCTGGTTGATGACGCTAGCAAGTCCGTGCTTTGCTGGAACGGAGAAGCATGGAAAATCTCCGATGACCCCGTTCAGGGAAATGACACTGAGCTCATATTCTCCCTTTTCCTTGACTGTGTGAAGGTGAACGGGGATGTGGCATCTCCGCCGGACTCACTTGGCAGAATCTGTAACCTTGTCAACAGTATCTCAGGGCCGTTCTCCTTCGTGTTTTACGATGGGATTAATTCGAGAATTTATTACAGCAGGGACTGTTTAGGAAGACGATCTCTGCTCCAAGGCGTCGATGAGGAGGGAAACTTGAGGATCTGTAGCATCTGTGATGGAACCTCCTCTACGCATTTCGAGGAAGTTGACACTAACGGACTGCACATGATTGACCTTGCGCGTACATTCCGCGATGACTCGCTGGATACAGCTGTCCTCAACCACGCTGGCCGTGCATCTGCTTTCAATATCACTACTATACCTTGGCTGTCCAAAGACGACGCCACTACCCCTACTTATTTCCTTGTATGCCCTTGGAGGTCTAGACCGCGAGAATATCATGCTGACTACAGTTGCAGAAGAATCCCATCCCCTCTATGAATCGAGAAGTACCTGCAGGAACACCTCCTACACTCGATCTTGGTTCCCCTGCTGTTGAAACCCTCAGACAGAAGCTCTGGCGATCGCTTGAACTAAGGATTCGAAATGTTCCAGAACCCCCGCACTACTCTGCAGCACAGAATTCGAAAGTCGCCGTTCTCTTCTCTGGTGGTCTTGACTGCACAGTACTAGCCCGGTTAGCTCACGAAATCCTTCCGGCAGACGAATCCGTCGATCTTCTCAATGTTGCCTTCGAAAACCCTCGCGTTGCAGCGGCGGCCGCGAAGTCTCAGACAAAATCCAATGAATCCGTATATGAACGTTGCCCGGACCGCATTACCGGCCGTGCAGCACACGCGGAGTTGCAGAGCGTGTGTCCAGGTCGCACCTGGCGGTTTGTTGCCATAGACGTGCCATACAGCGAGACATCGGAACATAGAGAGCGCGTGAAGCGCCTCATGAGGCCACACAATACGGAGATGGATCTGTCAATTGCGTGCGCGCTGTATTTTGCTTCCCGCGGCCAGGGTACCATTGCCCAAGTGACTGGAGAAACGACGCAAGCTGTCCCTTATACTACTTCAGCCAGAGTTCTCATCTCAGGCTTGGGAGCTGATGAGCTCTTCGCCGGGTATGGCCGGCACGGGGTGGCATTTTCTCGCGACGGCTTCGCAGGTCTCATTGATGAGATCGACCTTGACGTCGGGCGTCTCGGGAAGAGAAATCTTGGACGCGACGATCGGGTCATCTCGCACTGGGGCCGTGAAGCCAGATTCCCCTATCTTGACGAAGACTTTGTCGCTTGGGCCGTGCAGGCTCCTGTGTGGGAAAAGTGCGGGTTCGGAACGTCTACTTTTGCTTCCGACGTAAAGGCTAGCGAGACTCCTGATCCAGACTCGTCAGCCAATTCCAACACTAACGGAACGGATATCGACGACATTGAAGCTCAAAAAAGGGTTCTTCGTCTGCTGGCTCTGCGACTGGGTATGAAGAACGTGGCACGCGAGAAAAAGCGGGCCATTCAGTTCGGGGCGCGTACTGCAAAAATGGAAAGTGGCAAGAGCAAAGGTACTCATATCCTGACCTGATTTGGCAATCTACCATTCCTCCATTTTCCTATGTCGAGTGACCCTAGTTATTTCTTGGGAGCATCCTTCGTCCGTGGTCCGTCATCAGTCGTCCCTCGGTGCCGTCTCATACATACATATCCTTGGGCTCTGCACAGCAGTCCCAACTTTCGCCAGCGATGATGACAGAACATAGGAATCAGATACTTCTGAAGCCACCTTTCCTCCATTTCACTTTCATCACATGCCCATTCTCCTCCGTCGGTTGCGTTCCCACGATCAGTTTCGCCGCAATGACCGCACTCACTTTTATGCCTTCCGACATGCACTTGGTTTTAAACACGCGAATGAGCCGGATGACCTTTTCCCCATTCGTGCCCCGCATGGGGGGAGTTCTACTCAGAAGGCATAAAGTACGCGTTGAGAGTGGCGTTCGGTTGAAACTGGTCCGCTGGGCTGCAACCGAGGGTGGAAATTAGGGAACATGTTGAGTGAGATGTGTAGCGCAAAGGACCGGCTCGTGAAGGTTAAAAAGGCAAGTCTGAGCTGTGCGTGTAGTCTATACCCTGCTATTAGCATGTATATATACGTATATACACCAACGAATACATAGATACTAGAGTTACAACAGACAAATAGTCTATCCGCACTTACCCTACCTTCGTAGCACTTTACCCAAAGCAATAAGGATAGATATTATCACTACTACTACTACACGAGCAGAAACAAGAAAAGCCAATTCCATAAGCGAATTCTCAAGTTCTTATCATATCATAATCATATCATATCCAAAAAAATCTCTTCAAGCTAACTAACCAACCTCCATAACAAACCAAAAAGTAAGTCAACCCCCCCCCCCCCCCCCCCCCCGAAAAATCAGAACTAAATCCAATCCGAATCCAAATTCTCCATAAAAAGTCCAAGCCTGAACTGAACATATAACATAACATTATCCCCCCTCCACGCCAAAGCATACAGCATATAGATAGCATAGCATAGATAAAAATAATTAACTAGTTACGAATCGCATAAACAGTACAGTATCACCATCAACACTCAATCAGATTCCTCATCACGAAGGTCCAGCCATCGTAAGGACAGCGAATGGAACGGGTAAGATTGAGAATTGAGTCGAAAAGAGATAAGGAGAATAGTTAGAGAATAGGATGCTGTTCGTTCCAGATAGAAGAGTGGCAGAGCCTGGGATTATCCAAAATCGGGTGTAGGGTATCGAACTAGTTTCATTGTTAGATAGAGACTGGGCAAGCCAGATGAAATCAAGACTCGAGCTTACAAGTCTGAAAAGAAAGCTGGATTACTCGCTCGCGCGCCGGTGAACGATCTCATAATGAAGGCAGCACGAATTCGACACTGCTTCGGCACTTAGGACATGGAAAGGATACGCGGGAGAAGTTAAAAGAGGATAAGGAGTAGATTTCAATACAAGCTATCGGAGAAAGTCTTGAGTCGCATAATAGTAGCATTTGAAAGAATAGAGGAGATTCGAGATCCCGACGGTATGCTAGGACTCGACCTGAACAACTATAGAACAGAACAAAACAATCTAGCCACGAGTCGATCCCGTCGCCACAAGGGCGGACCAGGAGACGTCAGAACCGGCCATTGCGTAGATCAAAGAGAAAAAAGTAGATAAGATGGGTGGTTTGATCACACCCAAACAAAGCGTGCATCTATTGTAGTATGCAGCGTAACAGGAAGATAATAGGTTCACACAGAACTGACAATCATCAATAAGCGCACATTTGAACCATATGAAAAGCACTTTTTGATCCCGTCAAGAGCGTCATAGTCAAGGCGTCCGACCTCCGGAGGCCGACTGGTACTCGAGACATCTGGGGTCTGACAGGAATTGGGGGGGCTCTACCCCCACCACCACACATACCCTTTTTTTGGACACAATTTGATCCGACGATATAGCACAACAGAATCAGACGACGCAAAGAACAGAAGAAGAAACCGAGTGATGAGTGGAATCAAACAAGTCATGAAAGACCACGGCTTTACTGCGCGGCCTGTGCGAGAGCCTTCCAGTACTCCTCGCGCTGGTGTGCCTCCTCGAGGCTCTTCTCGAGCTCGGCAATACGACGCTCCATCTCCTCCTGTCGCTCGAGCTTGCGGGCTCGGGACTTACGGGCCGCTTCGGTGTTTCGAGCGCGCTTGACCGCAACAGGATCATTGGTATCGTATTTGAGCGCAGGCAACGGCTTCTCACGCTTACGGATACCCGCAGTCGTCGAGTGCTTCGTTGACGGAGTCCTGGGAGCGGGGGACTGGCCGGGAGAGGACGACTTGCGGATCATGGGCTCCGCGGGAGGAGCAGGCTTGGAGGGCAGCGCGACGGGGATGCTGAGCTCGTCAAGAGCAGCAAACCCGTCGTTGGAGGGGAAGAGCGACTCCCACTCCTCGTGGCCGGGGGCCAGTTCTGGGTCGGCCGGGAACATGGGCGAGGTGTCGTGGCTGAAGTAACCCGGCGACTCGAAGGAGGGGGTGCTCATGTCTGTGAAGGAGGTGGAAGGCGGGGCCGAGGCATCCATCATGAGATCCTTGGGCGACACGGTGCCGGTGGGCTGGCATCCGAGGGGGTCGTTGCCCACCACGAAGCCGCCGTTGATGAATTGCTGAGGGGAGAACATAGTGGACTCTGGGCCAGACTCGAACTCGGTGCCAAAGGTGTTTGTAGAGAGATCGAAGAGCTCTGGCAGATCTGAAGATGCAGTCAGTATTAATTGAGTCAGGAGTGGAGGGTGAAGCAGGGACGGTATTCACCTTGCGCGATGTTGGATGCGGACATGACTCGACGATGCTGGGATTGCGGTTTCTGATTGGACGAAGGATTCCGTGTGCTATAGAACAGAGGGACGGGAGGGCGAGTGGGCTGTGGTGAATTCGAAGGCACTGAAGCGGCGTAGAAGCGCCTATGCAAAGGGTGCTTTCGGCTGGATGGACTGAACCGATAAGAATTGGACGTGGTGAACCCGGGAGACTGTGTGATCAACCTGGACACTCGAGGGACCTGGACCGGCGAGCCAGACAAGGGCTGCTGCTGCTGGTGTAGATTCAGGGAGAGTCGCCGCGAAGAGGGGACCAGGGGAACGTTGAAGGGTGACGCCTTAAGGGCAGTATTCGACGGTGCTGGAGCACGCGCGTCCGAGAGTCTGGCTGGCGGACGAGAGGCGGGCACTGGCGGGTAGAGCACGAAGTCCTCGGGCAATCTGTTGTTGTTGTTGTTGCTGCTGTTGTTGCTGTTCGAATTCGGATGCGCCTGAGGCTGCGGAGGCGGGGGCGTGGGGAGCCATGTTTGCAAAGAGTTATCCGTGGTGAACGACTGAAAGTCGAACGGAATGGTGCTGGTCGAGAGCGAACTTGAGCTACGCGGAGCGATGCTGAAGTTCAGAGATCCTGGGACAGGAGACTCTGAAGGGGTTGTTGTAGGGAGAAGAGATTCAAACGTAGTCCGTGGAGGGGCTATGGTGTCTGTCTCAGGGAGATAGACGAGGGAGTCTGCGCGAGCGAGTCTAGGCCGCCATGATGGAGAAGCAGTCAAATGTTCGTTCTGGGATAGATAATCTGTGGTCAAAGTGATGGTTGGTGATGAGAAAGAAAGAAAGAAGAGAAAAAAGAGGAACCCAGGCAGCGACGGGGGGATCAGGCAGTCTTATGGGGGACCGTTCGTCCTGGGCGGGTCAACTTGCCCGCTGTGTGCGCCCCGAAGCGAGCTGCCCGGCCTCGCAGCCAGTCAGCGTCGCCCGTCGCCGGTGTGTCTGGGGCCTCTGGGCGCAGCCAGTCAGGGCCCGTGCCCTGGGCGGGGCTTCCCGGAAGCGGCATAGTCGCCTGTCGACGGTCAGCCCCGCCCGCTGCAGGTGTGACTCACGGCCCCCCCGGGGCTCTGATTGGCTGACAGCCAACCTCCCTGCTGCACCCGCGTGCCAGGCGTACTTGTGAGATACCTGTGAGATACTTGACAGATACTTATGAGAGACTTGTCTCTGCTGCAGACTGCCCGCGTATATCCAGGTACTCACGAGGTATCCGTCTGACTGCTGGACCGCTCTATCCGCCTCGACGCGGGAGCATAAGCATCACCTGGAATCACACAGCCGGTCGAGCCGTTCAGCTTCTTCTAACTTCTCGTATCCAACCGCCCGCACCACCGGCTGCGGGTCCGAAACTCCCCGCGGTCTGGTTCTTGTAGTAATTAATACTTGTACTGCTTACGGCAAGAGTAGCGCGTCTCTAGTCTTCGAGATTCAATCATCATAAATCAATCACCTTCGCAATCCTGCATCTCACAGCCTCCACGGATGCGCAGGTAAGTGGCATAGTCCAACGGTCACCATCTGGCAGGTCGTCGAGTACATCATCGTCAGCCTGCCGTTGCTGCTCAGCCATTCTCATTCCCGTCAGAAACCACTACCATACCTACAATTCCAACTATCGATCCACATCCGCCTCGTGTCGACGCCGACAGAAGTCAATTCTCGATCCATGCGGGATCCTTGCCCGATTCGCTCCCCGCCATCCTGTTTGTGAGGTCCTGTGCTCCCTTTTCCTCTTCCACACTGGTCTTGTCCCAGGGCGTGACTTTTTTTTTTTTCTCTTCTCTCAAAAAATTTGAGACATTCCGATTCCTCTTTGGGTCTCCGCTCGTTCATCCTTGGCTTGGACCCCCGGGTGCAAGGGGTAGATCCAGTCAGCAGAGATCGCGCGTACGCATGACCATGGTTATCATCAAGCCATCTCTGCCGTCGTCTTGGCCTGGTGACGATTAGTCGGGATCTGGGGGTACTAAGAAATAATAATTAATTATCTAGGTATGCCACAAAAAAAAAAGACTGGTATAATAATGATATTTTCTCCGGAATTGTTTCTTCCTCCCCGTTGGCCCCCACGGCTGAGATGAAACACTCAGCGCTGATTGGCCAATTGTGGAGTTATCGATTCATCAGGTGACAGTGTGGGATGTAGCTTACATGTAATTGAGTCTATTGTCCCTGAACAATGGACAGATCTACTCATTTATCCTGCTCACTCGAGCAAATTCTTGAACATATCACGCGCAGCCATTCTAACATACCTTCCCTCTACATATCTCGCCTTACCTGCAAGACGGAATAGAATATCGTATTATCTCATCCACCCAATACGCAATACAAAGGCGAAGTAGATAAATCCTCAACAAGTTAAGAAATATCTAAATCTAAACCCCAGTTCAAATCTAACTATCATCACTGTCTACCCCAAACTGCAATAACTACCTAATGAGTAATTCTTTTTCTTATCAGCTCATGTATACCATACTCTATACTACCTCGATTCTCGATTCTCGATTCGTTTCCCTTTGTATGCATACAGTAACTACCTACCTACCTACCTACCTAATTACCATACTTCTATTTATCCTGGTCAAATACGTAACTTTAGAAGCGGTGACGTGTGTGTACCATAATCACAGTCACACTCGAATAACTAACTTGCTGCCTGGAGATCTAGACCAGGTCTGCGGATAGATATACTTAACTAGATCAGTCGGTTTAGGCGGGCTGATTGGGTTTGATTGTGCGTTCTTATCAGTAATCCGATATGATATAACTAGGTAGGTAGATAGTTCGCTTTTGCAGTATTGTAGCGGAGGTGAGAAAGGAGGCTGTATCTAGGGAAAAGAATCCTTGTCAGGTACTATGCTGCAGCTGGAGTATAGTAGTATGTATGTATGTACATACATTATACAGACCTTCAAGAAGAAATAAACCATCGCCAGCCATCAACGCAGTCACTTTCGACTTCTGAATCTCATCCACAAACGGCCTTGGTGTAAATCACCTGGATTCGAAAGTATCTCCCCTGTGAGAAGTCAAGACATACGCACTCTCACAAAAGTCGCCATCATACCTATCCCAGTTACTCCGTACACACGACAGCTCTTAAACGAACGACCCATGTATGTACGAATAATTCTTCACCTAAACAACTTCCCATCAGAAAAAATAATTCTCCATAATTCTCAACCCCCCGACCATTCCGTACCCATCATCGCGGAATCTATCCTGCTTCTTCTGATTCTTAATATCCGCTTTAGGAATCCTCGATAATTAATGCCCTGCAGGCGCGTGCAATCCATCGTTATCTCGTAAGGGGAAAAAAAAATCTATAAACCTGCGTCGATGTATCGTTATCACTCTGGTGGAAAACTATCCTCGTCTCCAGGACAAATCGTATAGTGAGTCTATATATACTCGAAGCTAGGCGCTGCGTTTCGCTTTTCCCTTCCATGTTTATTATTTCGCTAGGATCGTCTCGTCTCCTGCGCTTTTCCCTCTGAGTCTATTTCTTTTTTCTCTCGGATATAGTTTTTTTATAGACGATGATGATGATAATAATAATAATACAGTCATGCTATAAAAAAATAAATAAATAAAAAAAAAAGAGTCTAAAATCCCTCGTTGAGGTTTCTTTCTCGCGTGGATATATATGTCTATATACAGTTAACCCCACCCTACCCCAAACATAGTTAACTAAGTAGTTACTAGTAGTACTATATACTCTATTTATTCTATCTATCTAGACTTCAATTAACTCGTACCCATGCGATCTCCAACAACAAACCCCCGACTTTTCATCCGAGACTACATCTATCTATCTATCTGACAAACTAACTAGTTCGCGTTTTAGAAGGATCAACTTAGTTTAATTATGGGGTTCATTATCAAAAGTGGAATATGTATTAATTACGAGCCAAAAGCCCTTCGCCTACATAGAAGTTATGCGTTATGTGAGAACCGTGTGACCATAGCAGCATAGCTGGAACTTTCGACTATGTATATCCGTAATTATCTGACTTATGAGCAATTGCTAGGTTGGGATCACTATTAATGTTGCGTGCGGTGCGGAAGATACGTGTGTAAGATATGGCTCAGCAGTACAGAGTATACGTGCATGTCGCGGCTAAATTTAATGCATGTTGGAAGTCCTGTCTCGATCTTCAGGTGTACATACAAATACGCTTAAATCTACCGATTATCACTCATAGATAACTCAATGGTATTTCCTTATTAGGTATTAGGTACGAGGCTGTGCTGCATACATGGGTCGTGGTGACGACCGGTATCGTCTTCCATCATACTCGAAAGAATGGTAGACATGCAACACCGAACACACCCTCAACGGGTATCAAGATAAGCGCAGCCAAACAATAGGAAATCGAAAACGCAACAAGTGGTATCAATCTAGTCGGGTCGCGCACAACGTGAACACACGGTTCGGGTATCGTTGCGGAGTCAGACATAAAGAGCGAGAGCAGCCACACAAGCCACCACACACGTTAACGAAAGACGACTTGTCGCTGTTTTTTTGATAAAGAGAAAGGAGATAATATGGGTATCGTTGACATCCGCCACCTGGCACGTCCTTCAATGGCACATTATCAAGGTACAGCGCGAGAGAACACCAAAAAAAGAACGGGAGCGGTAGATTATTAAAAAAGCGAGTTTGAAGAATTGGAGGGGGTGGGGTTTTCCATCTGAAATCCTGCAGAGAACGATTTTTGCTTTTTTTTTTGTATGAAGATTCTCATGGAGCGACGTCAGTCATCAGGGCTGTAGAGATGCCAGAACGAGACGTATACCGCTGGTCCCACCACTTCTCAAACTCGACGACGCTCGTCCTGGTGGGAACCCTTCACGCGGCGGCCTGGATAGGAGCAGTGGTGGTGGCGACGTTGGCAGCAGCGGGAGCGTCAGCAACAGCCTCCTTCTCCTTCTCCTCCTCCTTGGCGGCCTCCTCAGCGGGCTTCTCCTCGGCGGGAGCGTCCTTGCTGATGGGCTCGGGCTTGTCCTCACCCTCGGGGATGGTCTCAGGCTCAGCGGGAGCGGCCTCCTTGTCCTTGCCGGACTTCACGGCCTTGCTGGGCTTGCGGAACAGACCACCAAGCTTGTTCTTGGGCTTGGCCTCGCCCTCGGAGTCCGAGGCCTCACCCTTCTTCGCATTCTTGCCGAAGGTGCCGAAGAAAGAGGTGCGGCGCTTGTCCTTGGGGGTGGTAGCCTCAGCGGTGGCCTCAGCAGCCGGGGCGGACTCGTCCTTCTTGGCAGCCTCACCCTCGGCGGGAGCCTCAGTCTCACCCTCAGCGGGCTTGTTGGCCTCCTCGACGGGGTTCTCCAGCTGAGGAGCGGTGCTGGAGACAGCAGTGGTCTCCTCAGTGCCGTTGGCCTCCTTCTCAGACTTCTCGGTGGTCGGGCTGGTGACCTTCTGGAAGAAGTTGCCGAAGATGGAGGTGCGCTTGTTCTTCGCAGGAGCCTCAGCCTTCTTCTCTTCCTTCTTGTCCTCGGTAGCCTCAGCAGCAGCAGGAGCTTAGGAAATGTTAGCTAGAGTTCTTTAGATGCCCAGTCGGATCGACTTACCCTCAGCAGGAGTCTCAGTGGCAGCGGAAGCCTCGGTGGTCTCAGCGGCGGGCTCAGCGGGCTTGGCCTCCTCAGCCTTGTCCTCCTTCTTCTCCTCCTTCTTCTCCTCAGCAGTCTCCTCCTTCTTGTTCAGGAAGGCACCGAAGATGCTGGCGCGCTTACGGGACTGGGAGCGGCTCTTGGTAGCCTTGTCCTCGTCAGCGGGGGCGGACTCGTCCTTCTTTGTGGCCTCAGGCTCAGCGCCCTTGTTCAGCTTCTCCAGCTCGGCCTTGTAGCCCTCGCTGGAGGTGATGGCCTCCTTCTCAGCCTTGGCCTCAGTGGCCTTGGCCTCGACGGCGGCGATCCAGCTGTCACGCTCTTCCGCAGAGGCGGCCTGGAAAGTGTGCTTCTGGCCGTTGGCCTTGATGATGAACTCAGAAGAGCCCTCCTTGGAGACGGTGACGTCGGCCTGTGCAGTCGTTAGTTTTGTGTTGTCTTCCTCCTGCATTCTCATCTAAGCTTACCAGAGAGAGGATACCGGCGGGGGTGGCCTTGTCCTCAGCGCGCTTGGCGAAGAACAGCAGACCCTTGCCAGACTGGCTGGCCCAGGCGGCGAGGGGGTGAGCGACGGAAGCCTTCTCGGTCTGGAGGTACTGGGAGAGAGACTTGACCTCGACGGGCTCCTCGCTGAAGTAGAAGTAGCGCTTGACGAAGCGAAGGCTCCTATTGTCATGATTAGCATCTTGGATGTTCCTGCTGGTCGAACCCTGTCTGAGGAGGATGACTCACTTGACGAGACCGGGAGCCTTGTATCCCAGCACACCGTCCGTCGCGGGGGTGACCTCCTTCTTGGCCTCCTCCTCCTTGGGGGCCTCCTCAGTGCTCTCCGCAGCGGGAGCAGCCTCAGTGGCCTCCGCGGGGGTCTCCTGGGGAGCTTCAGCAGCGGGAGTCTCCGTCGCAGGAGCCTCAGCAGGAGTCTCAGTGGCGGGGGCGGCCGCGGGGGTTTCCTCAACAGGCTTCTGGGTGTCCGACATGGTGAATTACAGGTGGTGGGGAGATTAGAATTTCAGTTAAGAAATTAATAAAAAAGCCGGTAATAAAGGTGTAGAAACGGGGGCGCGAGATCTGGGGTATCAGGGGTATCTCAACAAGCAAAAACAAAGGGGGAGCTTTCAGAGACGAAGAGCTCGGGTATCACAAGGGGACGCGCAGCAACCGGCTGATGGTCGAGAAGGAACCTGGGAATGGAACGGAGAGAGAGAAGAGAGAGGGAGAGAAAAGAGAAGCAAAAGAGAAAAAACGGGAGGGAGAGGCCAGAAAAAGTATCGGGGTTGTTGGTAAGGGGAGAGGGGGGGGGTCGGACGGGAGTGAGCACAGGACCAGGAGGGCAGGGAGCAGCAGGACGCTAGACGGTCTAGAGACGCTCTAGAGAGCGCCGGCGGGGACGTCGAGGGGCGGTCTAGTGGGTGGACAATCTCCCTTTTCCAGCTGTTGTTTCGCTCAGGAGGCCGACCACGCAGCACAGCAGAACACAATTTACCATACTGTATCTATGGTACAAAGGGATCTGGAGAATAATAGTGAGTTAGTTAACTAACTAACTAACTAACTAGTTAGTCAGGCTGGCTCGAGTAGCCTCCGTGCGCGACCCAAGGGGGCTCGACCCGTGCGGTGGAGTTGGTCGCCCAGGAACGGGCCCGTTTTGCGGTGACGGTACGTTGTAAATTCAACGACAATCGACCTGCGAGTCTTGGGCGTCTATCTAGTTACTAACAATCTACGTCTATTATGATTATTATCGATTCTTATTGGATTGACGCTCTTGTCTTGTCTGTTTCATGTGGAATGGCAGAACAACCAGTGACCCGTTGGCAGCACGGGCGCCGTGTTCGTCGACCTGAGACTCGTGCTATCACTGTATCATCACTCTAACTAGCTACACCATTGCGATACCAATCACTACTAGATTATAGATATTCCTACGACTCCAGCAAAAAAAAAAGGGTCGTGTCTGACCCTTAGTTTGCTGCCGCCACGCAGACCTGACAGGTCTTCTCCTCCTGATCGGCCGCCGGTGCTGCACGCTGCACAACGGTCGCCCAGTCGGATCTGGAGAGCATCACGATACAGACGCGATCCCGCATGCTGAATGGGCCAGCACCATCAACAGGGCTCTCCACTGGCAGCACAAGAATGGGAATTCTTCTGGAATCTAAGCCCTCTCCATGGAGTCCATGCTGGTTTCCACCCGTCCAAGAGTTGAAGTTGCATCTGTCTCCGCTGCTTGGGTTGACCCGTGGGGGAGTCTCTGACTCGAGCATCGCGACACGCAAGAAGAAGTATCTAGTAAGTACTCCGTAGAGCATGTAAGTAAAATACCATACTGACTGCTTCAGCCTTCGACACACCTTTCACGGTGGCGTCTGTCCCTCCACCAGGGATCATCGGACCAGCGTCGAGCACAATAATACATTGATCAATACGAAAGAATCTTTGCCCATCAAGCCATCTCGCTTCTCCCTTCTCCCTTGTCTTGTCGTGACGAGCGAATCGTGGCCCGTCGGGCGCATGACCGTTTCAAACTGCGAAGTTAGCGGGCCAGTGGTGGGATCCACTTGGTCTGCTTTCTTTTTTCTCTCCGGTCAGAAGCTCAACCCTGCAGCAAGCACGCGATGGGAGAAGAAGAAGAAAGAAGAGGAAGAGGAAGAAGTTGAACACACCTTTACTGCTCGCGTGCCGGATCTCATCGATGATGAGATTGCACGGGATTGCTTACTGTAGATAGATAACTCTCCTCGAGGAGATCTATGGTATAGTATGCAGCACAACCCTGAGAATTACTGGTTCCAAGTTACTCTAGTCTAGATATAGGAAACAGAAGCTATTCGTTAGTTAGCTACTTAATTATCACGGTTCACCACCACTCTCTCTGGCCACATCCAAGTGCAATAATTGCTGCTTTCTGTCTCTCTCTCTCTCTCTCTCTCTCCTGCAAATTATCTATCGAGTGCGAGACGCGGCTGCTGCCCAGCAGGGTGGAGTCCTGCTCCGTCCCCCGTGGCCATCGGGCGATCCTTTCATGTCGTTTCCCAGTTTCATATCAAGCACATCGGGATCACTTCAACACCGTCCAGATTGGCGCCGTCGACCACCCCACCGGAAACCGCCATGCTATCGTCTCATGTCTCAAGCAAGGTGAAACGGTGCATCGCAGGGCCAGCCCTACCGCGTCCCCTAGAGCAGGTACCAGCGTTAATAACATGGCTGGTCTTAGTTATATGTTACTACTAACTAACCTCTTATTGGTAATATTGGCAATAATTAATAACTAACTACTATCAACACCAGCGACCAGACAGCATGATACTACTGTTTGCCCTGCCCGATCGAAATAATGCTTCTGCTGCGACTAGACTATCTAACTATCTATCTAGTGTGGCAGCAGCCAAGCATCTCGACTTGCCGTGCTGGCATCGAGAACGTGCGATGCCCCCCTTTCTTTCGGGATGGGTTGACAGCCCACGACGCCGATCCACTGATCTCACCCCCCTTTCGCCTTCTTCCGGTAAGGCTCGCTTCCTGACTAAACAACCTTGGGGGAGCTCTCTGCCAATCCGTCCTCGCGTCGCCAGCCGATCCCAGGTCTATCGTGAGCTTGCTTTGCTTTCCTCACCACCACCATTTTTGATAAATAATCAAAAACCCCGTCCTTAGTGAAACGACCGTAACTAACCCTCTTTCAGCATGGACGCTTCCAACCGAGTTAGATGGTCGCACAAACAAGAAAAGAAAAGAGGAAGAAGGAAAAAAAAGATGAGAAAAGCAGAAACCGGAATGGAACACCGCCAGGAGGGTGGGTTTCGGTCCCTGAGTCAAGACAAGCTTGTCCAGGATGTTTCGCGGAGCTCTTCCAGGCGCGCGTAGATCCAGTCGATCCGTGGTCACTGGTGGATAGCGCCGTGACATCGTGGCTGGCCGGATTACTCAGTGTCAGACTCTCAGAGGCTCAGAGCTCTTCGCTCTGAGTCGTTATTTACGCTACATACGGAGCACTAGCTACGTATCTATCTAATATGCTGATCCTGAATAATTATTGTCTGCGATCAAATCACACTCGGTCAATCCGCGTCGTGATGACTCTCCCAGTTGCAAATTATTAACTACTTATTATTTATCTACGTAATATTCCCTTACTATATTATGATACTCCACTGGAGCTCCGCGGTCGGCCAACGGAATCATTCTTGGCGCCCGCAGCCCGAAAAGGCAGGCAGAGGAAACTTTCCGTAGTCTTTCCCGAACGAGTGGACTTTTTTGCGCCGCAATTCGGCCGTCTAGGAGGCAAAATATTAGGTACCAATACCATACTTAGCAGGTCATCGTTTCCTGATCACCGGGATTCTGCTTCCCGCCCATCTGGACAGAGTTCTCGGCGGGAATTTGGAAAGCCCATGATGCGCGGGGCAGTATAGCAAGATCGCAAGATGCGACTACTACTACTCCGTATCTACCCCTAGAATAATAATTCCCCGGTTCTAGCTATTCCATATGATCCGATCCCACATTGAATGGCCATCTTCCAGTCCCGACTGGCTGACCAGACAGTCAGGCATACGAAACAATAACGTGGCATCACTCAATAATAATAATAATAATCAATAAATTGTCTCTCGGACTTTTCCTCGCCGCCCTCCCTTGCAGAGTCTCGATTCTGGACCATTGCCCCTGCGGAGCCTTGCTTAAAGACCGTTTATTATCCCGCCATGGCGCTTATGATGGATTCAATGGTCTTGCTGGATCTGACTATTATTCAGATGGCTTTTCCATCACACTGGAATTGAATCAGAGTTCACACTGGTCTTTCTTTTTGAGTTTCCTATATTCATCCATTATTCCCCTTGCCGTGGGACATGTCACCCTGCACGTGAGAACAGCTGACCTCGTCGCGAACACGAGAGATGAACCTATACCTATCTATCTTTAGAAGATGGCGCAAACCCCGAAAGGAAAGACTGGCAGATCCGGGAAATTCTCCGGTGAAGATACCATATCCACGTCCCAAGGGAAAAAAAAAAACAATCATTTATCGGGAGAAGGCCACACCCATCCCATGAACCCCCCCCCCCCTCCCACGGTCTTTGCGTTTATAAGGCGCGGATTATTTATCCAATAGAAACCTCTCCCGCGTCACCAGAAGATCGTCCCATGCTTATCTATCTACATACTTCGCTCACGAGATCGAGTAGATTCACACACACCCCTCACCTACCATCAAATCAACAAGCAGTATACTATAGTACGAGCCTCAGCCTCAATCAGTCCAGTGTACCATAGCCCGCTGCTCGCGTGAGCGAACCCCCATATTGCGCATACCTACGGTAAGGGTCCTGGTTACTCGCTGTTATCTTTTTCTGTACGGTAGCACCCCTCACTCCACGAGTATTAAGAACGCCCTGACATCATCACGTCTAGTCCAAGACTGATATCTATGGTATGGTATGGCATGGTACTCTAGTTACATACCTACCTACGGTGATAATGGAGTGGTCGTCTGACCATACCATACATAGATAGATGCCCTCTCTACAAATTATCGATTCTGTTCGGTTCGGGTTGAACTTACTTGGTTACGCCTCATGGAATGTGGCGAACACATGACCATGAAGTAAAAAAAAAGAAAAGGTACTACATACGTACTCAAAACTCAAAAGAAACTTTACTTACTTACTTACTCACTAGAAAAAAACTCCCTTAGTTAATGAGAGTAAGGTGCCAGTTTAGTAATAGTAATAGTAATATACCACTGACAGAGGAGTATCTAACCATCTAACTAACTATTCATAGCGCTCTAGTCAAGTATCTAGTTACTCTATCCATATCCATGGAAGGATAGACGAGTACTGTATGTATGTACATATGCTAGGCGGGGCATCCCAGATCCCCACGTGAACCTCACATACCACATGCCACACCACACCACACCACACCACGCCACGCTATGCCATGCCATGCCATGCCACACTCCACCTGGATCTGGATCTGGATCTGGATCTAAATCCCAATTCCACGAGATAGACAAGCAGCCGATCGATCCGCGTGTATGGTATCAGATTCTTCCGATCGGAATGCATGAACAAGACAAGACAAGAAAAAGCATGCTAGATTGGATTAGATCGTATTAGGCTAGATTCTATCGGATAGATTGACTAGTTATGTATTTGACGTACCATATATGCGTTGATTATGGCATGCGTAACTTGTGCCGGTCTGCCGTTTGTGCCGTGTTATTCTAGGTATAGTATAGTAGAGTAAAGTGTAGTGACTTGATTACTTACTCTGTATACGTAGAAATGGAAATGGAAATACTATTGCTAATTACTATTCCTATTATTAATTAGTGGTATTGCTATTATTGTTCAATAACAGAGACAAAAAAGAAGAAGAAGAACAGAAAGGATGATATACGCTATTCATTTACTATACAGTACATATTACTGGTATGACTTAACCCGTAAGCTAATATTAATATGAAAAAAAAAAGGAGATTAGACCCGTCATTGACTTTAAATTTATAGAAAGACGGATCGGTAGAGGTTGGTAGGTAAGTAATACATACAGATTCAATGAATGGAGAGGTTTCTTTGGACGGGAGGAATATGCGGTATACGGTGTAGGAGAGAATGAAGCGCGGGTTGCATTGCGATGAGATATGGGTAGTTACCTAACTATGGTTATACATACTGAAGTTGATGCATTGTTGGATGGTAGCTCAATAATATACCTGATCCTGTCCAGCGCTGTCCAGCGCTGTTTTACGAGTTCGCATTGTGTACGATGGACTTGGATAAATTTACATACGATTACTAGATTGGATGACTCATTCTGTAGATTTCCTCATTTCTCAGGAAGAATCGAAGCAGGGCTCCAGTTGAATTTTTCTTCTCGGACAACAGAAGATAACAACCGCTCTTATATAGCAAAACGTAGCAAGTACAGTTGATTTCAATCGCTCAAAATACCACCCGCCTGAAATGGTTCTAGTCGCTATGTAGCAATGCATCGCTGGAAAAGAAACATAACACCAATAAGATAGAACGCGAGCAAAACCATCTTGCTCATCCGGCCATAGTGAGAACGTATCTATCATGCTAATGTCAGTATCAAGTACTCCAACAACCAGACTCAAGTCAACTTACGCTGTGATGCTCTCCATCCGCTCGGCTGTCAGCTTCAAACTGACTCTCAACAGCTCCTGTGCGATCTGCGGCTCGCGTTCCCGCAGTTCCTCCCACTTCTCCGCGCTCAGGCACCATGCAGTGCAGTCTTGCTCCGCTGTCACAGTGGCCGTCCGCTGTGTCTCGCTGAAGAAAGGCAGCTCTCCACAAGGTCGTCCTGCCACTATGAGTTCGAAATACTGGCCCTGCGGCATATGATACTCCGCACGGAGCATGCCAGACTCCAGAAGGTAGAAGTTCCTGGGCGCGTCGCCTTCATGGAACAGGACAGTTCCGGCCGGGTAGAACTCCTGCACAAAGTACGTGGTGGCAGGAAACCAGAAGTCTTCGTTCTGGGTCGTCATACCCTGGAAGGTCTGCAGGAGCAACGGCAGGGGCTGTCGGAAGGTGGACCACTTCGGCAGAACGGCCATAACAGCTTCGTCTTCGCGCAGAGTCGTTGTCGCTACCTGGTGGAGATAGCGCCGCCGCGGAGAGCTGAACAACGTATCAGCCGACAACGGAGCGCTATGTGCCTTGGGGACCTCGAGGTATTGCGTCGGTTGCTGCGGAATCTCAGATAACGCCTCCTTGCGGCTGTAGAACACCTTGAGGTAATCGTTTTCGCAGAACTCCAGCGCCGAGTTCAGATCCTCGAATATCTCCACACCAGCCTCCTCCTCGAAGAGCCCGACATTTTGCAGACTTCTTCCCACTTCACCTCCAACATTTATCCCCGATATGATGGTCTGGACGTTCCTCTTTCGAAGAATTCTGTTGATGCGCGTGAACGCTTCCGCGGCCGAGAAGTCCAGTCCGTAGACCCGGGAAAGATCGAGCACCAGGAACCGTATTGGACGCCGTGAGAATGCTTCCTCTTCTATAAGCCCTCGAGTCGTGTTCTCGACCTTGACGATGGTTCCGAAAAACAGGAATCCAGCCAGCTTGATAATAAGCGTTTGCTGTCCGGCTTCCTTTAGGTACCGTTGCTGGATAGGATGCCGTCTGACGGTTGAGCCAGCAACTGCGCCAGAGTAGGTCGCTCTGATGGCAGATTTGCGTGACGTCTGGACGACGAAGTTGACACACGCGAGGATTATGCCCACGAGGATACCCGCAACGAAATCCCAGGCACCCATTGTGACGACGATGATCACCACCTATAAGCGTCAGCATGCCGCAATCACAGACAGCAGATAAAAAACATACCGTCAGATACTCCAGTCTGTGCAATTTGCCCCACGTATCGATCAGCGCCTCCTCCATCAGTTCGATGCCCAGCAAGAAAATGAGAGCACCGACAACCATGATGGGTATGAATCCGATGATGACCGGTCCCACAATGAGAATACCTCCCGTAGCTACAGCCAGGAGTATGCCTGCTAGACGCGAGCTACCGCCGCTATCAATAAACAGGAGGCTGTTCGTGTAGACGAGATAGTTCTATTGCCGGTCAATACAAATCTACAACGAATGAACAAATCAGACAACGTACCTGTATGCTGCCCGCAAATCCAGAAAGGGCGTTCGTAACTCCATGAGCAATAAGCTCTCTGTCGACGTTCAAATTGTCTTCACCAGTCGAGATGCCCAAAGCCGGAACATTGATGGGAACGTGAAGCACACCGAAGAACGTCAGCGCAAACATGGCGGGAATAGTATCAACAAGAGCAGGCCAATTGACGGTGGAGAAGTCTGTTAACAAGTGTTAGCAGAACTCAGCCTATGTTCCGTCCCAAGTTGCACTCACCATAGAGCGTATAGAAATGGTACCACGGATTATTCGACGAAGGGGCATCAAATACCCATCCATTCTCTCGCAAAGTGCTCAAAGGAATCTTGGCGATAGAAATTACCACGTAAAATAGACCCGCAACCGCAATGAAGTAGCCACCAACAAGGAAGTTCGACTTGATAAAACGTTTCAGAACAAGAAGGAAAACTGCAAGCAACAAGGGTATCGTCCAAAGGAAAATTGTATCAAACTGAAAAAGCTTGTGCAAAGTCTCAAGATTATATTCGAGCGAGCCCGGCAGTCGACCTGAGACCTCGACACCTGTAGCCACCAAGAACCAGCCAACACCACCAATACAGCCTATAAGGATATGACGAGGGAAGAATCCAATAAGAGACCCGAGCTTGCAGGCACCCATGAGGAAAAATACAATGCCTGTCAAGACGGAGCTCATTGAGAAAGACAGAATAGTAGTTGCCAGAACGGACTTTGGATTATCCTCGCCCACTCTGTTCAGGATCATGAAGGCCATTTTGTGGAAAAATGGAACGACTTCAATCATCTCGCTCCCCACACCGCCTCTGAAGATGGAGCCGCCACTGGAAAACACCAATTGTGCAATTATAGTACTGACATAGAACATGGAGATGCCATCAGAACCAAGATCTGCAAATATCGGTTCGCCCAGCGGAAAGAGAATCATGCCGTAGGACAAAGCATCCAGGACGTTGAGAAGAAGTCCCAGGAACACAGCGGGAAGCAGGCTAACCGGCCGAACCACGCCCTCTTTCCATATCGTTCGTCTATTCCAAGACTTCGGATTCAGAACGAATCTCCGGAACTGCTCACCCTTCGAATGGGCCAGAGTGAATATATTCTCTTTCCTTCTTATCGCTGGGCCCTGGTTTTCAATGTCACCTATAGAGCCATAACCCTGTTGTTGATTCGACGATCTTGATGGCTTCCTAATCAGCGATGTCTGCTCGTTATCTGATAGCTCCGACTCGTCCGTCACTGTAAGGGCCGGTCTCGGGGTCAACTGCCCTTCACCATCCTCCTGGCTGCCAGTGTCATTGGGAGGGGAATTGCGTATCAATTCCGTCAATGCTGACGAACTGGGCTGGCGAGAGGGAGCAACCTGCGTCGATGGCAGTTGCGGGATCTCCTTTAAAATCTCTGTTGCGGAACTGTTCGCCTCCGACATTACCTCCGGATCATGTTGGTCTGGCTGCATGACATCCAGAATGGGCGGGATATCGGATATTTTTGGAAGCGACGTGCCGCTCAGTGCTGATTCCGCATCTGACAATGCTAACGAGGCCAGTTCAGCTGTCTGTTCCCGAACACCTTGAGAGGAATACTGGGCGGGGTCTGTTCGATTGCTTGTCAGTACGTAGATCTGCCTCAAATCCACCCCGTCTTTTGCCCGCGAAAGATTGTGTCCGGAGGGGCATACCTTGGGAGCCATGGAATAATGACCGATGGTAGAAAGATCGAGCGGGAGTCCGCAGACTGGTACCTGTGTACGAAGTCTCAGGTCTAAACGAACCGGAGGCTGCGTTATTAGGAAGATTCGCTTGGCCTCCAACAGCTACAGCAGCCTCTGAGCTGTTCTGGGCCCCCTCCTCCGCCATCGAAGGCTGTTCATGGCGTGACAGCGCCGAAGCACGGGAGTCACTCCGGCCGCGAGAGGTGAAAACACCCATGTCGATGCAGCTCAGGACCCCAGAGGCCTGTGTCGCAGCCGATGCAGCCGGACGGCCAGTCTCACGCGGAAATTTGCTGTGGTAGATCTCTGGCCGTGCGGACAAGTTCGAAGATCCTGGTGTATCGATAAGGATGACGCAAAGACAGGAACAGATCGAACAAGTGGCATTGCTCTGCGATGGAGGAAGAAGGACACGGAGTGATCAGAGCAGACGATGCAATGGCTCAGATACAGATAAGGTACGGCCCAGACGACTAATTGCTATCTCCAAAGAAAACCGGCCAAAGTCAATCATAGGACAAGCGCTTTAGTCTATCGCGGTGGAACTGCCAGGCATTCCGTCAGAGCCGCAGGCGCCCCTCTAGCTCGCGTGCTCTCCCGTGGTTATGCTGCTCAAGCGAGCTCAACAATGGGTTTTTGCGAGAGAACAAGAGCGCCCTGATCACTTAGCAAAAGAATAACTGAATAAAAAATTTCTCAGCTTGCTCGGGCCAAGGTACTTACTGCCTGCACCAGCAACGTGCATTGACATCGCCAGGCGAATTCTCGCGGAGCTAACGGGCATTTTACCGACCTAAGGTTGACTGGCCTCGATCCTTTATTCCTCCAAGTGTACCCCTCCTATCTAGCAGCTACGCTAGCAAAGGAGAACTGTCCGCGAACCAGATTCTACGAAGCCTCGAAGCTTGACAAACGATGCAAGCTGCCGCTTCATGGCAAATTATCCGACGAAGATCCTCCTCGAAGCCAGCAGATCTATAGCTGAAGAACGAACCGTCTCACGGCCGGGCTCACATATGAGGCCAAGATTGTCTCAGCGTTTTATGGTTGAAGTTAATTCTGCATAGCATATCGTCTAGACCCGAAGGAACATTTTAGCATATTTTATGGCCCACCTGGTTCAGGTTGTTGCTCTGCAAATCGTATAAGAGTACAATTCACTTTTTCCTTGATCCCTGCTGCCCTCCCGCCTGGACGTGATGTGCTGTGCTGTCTTACGAGTGTGGAAATGGTACGAGGACGAGGGAGGAGGACAAAGAATAAGCCGAGTTCACATGTCACTGTCATCATGATCATGTCGAATTCATATGCACTAGAGGAACATGACATGAGCTAATACTGGCCCTCTGGAGATTAGTTAAAGCAGGCAAAAAACATGCCTAAGCGTCATTGTGCCTCTGTAGTATATACACATCAATGTTTGGGTATCTTGACAAAACTCCCCAACTCCGTTTTATTTGCCCGGGGACGAGCCATCATGATCTCAAGCCAACATTAGCTCAGTCGTTGGAGGAACCCTTGCGCGATCAATCGTTCTACATCGCCCTGTCGCACATAGAATTGACTATTCTTGGTCAAATTGATAGCCCTATAGCGGCAATATCGGTCAGCATGGAGATCCCCACGAGTCGATCAACAACGCAACATACCCGTATTCTGTCTGGATCTCTCCTGCGTCCTTGAGAACACGCACATCGATAAACAGATCCTTCGGGGGCTCCAAGCTGCCCGTTAAATCGATATCGGTCCATTGACCCTTATATGCAGCAAGTAGATCACTATATTGTCGGAAGTATTCCTCCTCTTCCGGGCTGAGAGAGCTCTGACCACCACTTTGCGAGCTCATCGGGCCCTCCTCAGACTCCACGGGCTGCTGTTGCTCGAGCACGTCAATGCCGTTCCAACACATCTCCTCAAGCTTTTCCGTACGGACTCGATGGTAGGCGAGCAGACAGCGTTTGTTGCGCCGCATGCAGAGGTGATCGACGAGCAGTGCACATGCAATCGCTGGTTCCGCGGAGGGATTGAACGACCCCTCGAAGGGGGCCAGTGTGCGCGCGTTGTCCTTCTCTAGATCACGAACCTCACGAGCTACCGCCCGTACCATCTCGGTCTGATACGGAGGTAGATGGGCGAGGGACTGGGTTCGTTTCGCATGTTGGACCTGCCAGTCGTGGATAAATCGCGTCAGTGCTCAGCTCCGGCTTCAGGATCGGCCGGTCATGTACGTACCAATTTGTTCCCGATGTCACCGTACATATCTGCGGTATTCCAGAGTGGCTTTCGAGTAAAAATGTCAGAGACGTGGTGATCGAAGTTAAGTAATGTCGATAAGCGAAAGCAATCAGCTTAGGTATGGAGGCTATCCCGCTTAATCGGTACGCGCAGCGGGACGTGGCCGTGTATCACAGAAGAGCGCTTGGCGCATGCTTTGTCCCTTATTCTATCAATATCGCGCGCAACTAACCAATAAGCGTCTTCGATGGTCTAACGGTCATGATTTCCGCTTGTCACCCTCGAAAGGGAATAAGCGCGGGAGACCGGGGTTCGACTCCCCGTCGGAGAGTTTATTTTTTGCTTTTTTATTTTCGTTCCCCCCGGTGTATATACGCATCACTTGATTCTTCCTGTTTCCTCCCTCTCCCTGGAAGATATCTACTGCACATCTACATCGTCTATTATCTTGTCAAACCTGCTTATGGATCATATTCGACAGTCTTCTTTTTTGTAATGCAAATGCCTACGTGAGCTTATTATCGTACATACATAAGAGCACCCAAGAGCCGCTAGCCGTGTAAAGGCCTCAGAAAGCAGCGATCAAACAGAAGGAAACCAAACAGATTCTTGGAACAAAATGCAACATCAACCACTTAAACGCCCAAATGGACTCTCTCAAACTCCAGAATCCCCCCACCTGACTTTGCATTTCCCAACATGCCACCGGAATCCCGAAGTTCGAATGAGGACATACAGATCATGACATTCGTCAGTCACAAAAGACTCATAACGAAAGATGCATCACACCAGATTAGGTATCGATCCACTGGTCAAAGTCCTTGCCGACTTCACCGATGTTGGAGCCGTGACTAAGGTCCCAGATTTCGTGTCCATCTGGGAGGGCCTGCACAGATGGGTGGTAAGGGGCGTCGACAGTGTATTGCTGCTGTGGATTCGAGGTCACTCCCGTACTGAGAGGGAAATAACCATTGGCGCCACTATCGGCCTGCCAGAGAGTATACTGCGAGCAGTTGTAGGCTCCATTGCCACCCTCTGTTCCCCTGATGCCGTTGTCGAAGGCTAGCAACTGAGGATCCAGCTGACTGTCATCGGACTGGCCAGGCGTCGTGACGTTGGAGGGCGGCTGGAGTAGCTCATGATGCACAGCTCCCGGAAGACCCGAGAGCATGGTCGATGGGCTGTACTGGAACCCTGGAAGTCCCATCTTGCGGAATCGAACGTCTTCAACGTTAGGACCCATCATGCTTGGGTGAACGGACGGCTGCAGGTAGTGCATGTGCTCCGGAGGTGAAAGGATGCCGGCAATAGGTCGACCGGGGTTATTCATCTGCCACGAAGACCGGTTGGAGCCAGTGGGCCGAAGTGAGTCTCTATCATACGGAGTCGAACCGCGGCTGTAGCTGCTGTCGCAATCACCACTCCTTGCCCGCTTCCGTCCTTGCATCGAGTGAAGATCATAATCTGGATCACCAAGATCGCTAGGCTCTCTCTCCTCTAGAAAACGCTTCTTCTTGGGCGGCGTCTGGTTCTTGTTCGGTGTGAATTTGTACCCTGGATGAGCCTTCTGATGGTTGTCCCTCTCCAGCACTGCGAAAAGCTCGAACTTCTCTCTGACCTCTGGCGGCTCTAGAGGCCAGCTTTGACCAGATACTCTGGAAACCACTTGATGGTTGTTCTGCGAACACCACTCTTTGGTCCTGTCTGCGTATGCAGAGCGGTAGAGCATGAAGGAGTTCATTGGTCTCCCGATCCTCCCAGCTTTCTGGGCCTCCTTGTGACGCACATCGGCAGGTCGGTTCACCCAGGCCTCCATGTCTTTGACTGGAATGTGTGTGAGATGCGCTGTTAGCTGGCTCAACGGGGCAGATATGACTGGGCTAGAGCTTTTGTCTGGCTTTTCCTGCTTAGGTCGACGTCTTGTCCTAGGTGGCCTGATGACTCTTGGTTTGTCGCTTACAGTCTTCCTAATAGGAAGAGGGGATCCAAGAGACGCGGTTGACCTTTCGCTCCTTGCCATAATGCCTTCATCGGCAGCTGGAGGAGGTGTGGTCATCTGGACTGGCCGCACAAAAGCCTATCGATAAATGTTAGTTGCACAGCTCGATTCACATATACTGAGGTGAGTCTTACTGGATCGTGCATTGTCAACATCTGTGAACAGTTGTTCGACACATGGTAGCCGTTAAAAGAATCGTATCCATCCTTATCTCGTTAGCACTTTGTTTTGATCTCTGCAATAACAAGTCATCTCCACTTACGAACGCAGCTGTACCGTCTGGATGAAACATCATACCATGTGCAGGTATTTCAGGGTGCATCACCTGGTTGCCAAAATGTTCATTGTGGCCATATGTATGCTGCTGAAGGATTGCACAAGGTCCTAGCTGACTTTGAGTGAACTGCTCACTGTGCGTCGATTGCTGTGGCGACGGAGGAAGCCCGCCATTGATAGTTCCTGTGACCATCACGTTCGATGTCTAGGCTTGCAACAGGAGTGTGTGAGAAAATAGAGGACTCTGCCCTTCGCAACTCTATCGATCGTCCAGACCCGCTTTATGGGAAGGCACTGGAAAATTGAGTGGCGGGGCTCGATTGACAATAGAGCTTTGCTCAATGATGACAATGTGAATGAATGGGGTATTGGTGTGTTGTGTGTTATTGTCCTTTTTCTATTCAGCTGGTCGTCCGGGGCAATAGAACCTGATGGCTGATTCCGAAAAGGAAGACACCGATGCGTATGAACACCGTTTCTCGAGTGGCTTGCAATTGAAAATAAGCCAGAGGAAGATACCGATTCGGTTTCTCCCTTCTGAAAGATGATCGTCCCGTCCTCAATCAACCAAAAAGCGAAGTTAGGAAACGGAGATTGCGCGGACCGTTGTCGACTTCCCAACATAGGTCTGCAGCTATCAACAAGGAACTGTCCCTTGATATATCCAAAGACTGATCTGCAGAAGATATGTAAGAGAGAAGATATCAGAAGAGATATTAAAGGGATATCGCACTGCTTATGACCAAAATAATGCGGGGACTGAATCTAGATCCGGATGTAGGAAGATACCGAAAACTGGATCCGGGGGCGACCTGGCGGCGGCAGTGCGATCAGGCAGTGCCAGCAATCAGGCTCTTGGTGTCCAAATGCAGGTACTGGCGGGGAGATGTCTCATGGAACTCTTTGTCATGAGATTGGCGACTGTATGCCAGAACCCCAACGCTGAAGGTTAAGCTTTCAAATGGATGAAGGCTCTTTGTACTAGTCAACAGATTGCTATACTGGGAACGCGACAAGGACGGTTCTTCAGCTTCAGATGCTACAGTTTTGGCTGCTTGCGGCGGTGGACGTTCCCTGATATAGTTCACTGGACAGCAGTTGACCCGGTCAGGAGACGATGAGAAGCGATCTGAAGCCCCACAGAATGGCTACTGCCCCGTATGAAAAGAAGATCGGACGGTTGGGAAAAAGGTACAAGTTGATGTGTGTCGAAATGATATGCACCAGACTCCTATTTACCTACTTTTATGCAGTTGCCACGAGTAGTCCGTGGTTGTGTCCAGCCCAGGCAGGCGATGCTTGGCTCACTCTAACCCAACAGTGCTGATCCAAAAGGATTGGACCATAATTGAAGAGAGGGGTGCCATAGGGCGATGCCTTCTGGGATGCAAACGATAGGTAGCAGTCCGTCAAGACGCCGGTTCTAGCGGCTACGTAGGGTGAACAAACAAGGCCCCATGAGAGAGGCTTCTTGGGGATCTGACTGACCCTGCAAAACATCCCAATCGACCAGCAGGGGAATGCTTGTCGCAGAGGAGAAATATGGATACAATGCAGGAAAGCTCGCAAACGCCCAGGTACATTTCCATGGGACATCTTTGGGAGTGCGACCTGGGATGGGAATGGAGCCGCCAGCAGATCCCCTGTCGACACTAGTTAGTTCACGAACTGGAGCCGTCCGTACTTTTCGCTCTTACTACAATGTATCTAGGCGCCCACCAAATACCGATCTCCTCTCCACTATTACCAGGTGCCATACTATGGGCCCGATCAATACATGCTTAGTTCTACGCGGGCTGGTGAGAATTGAACCTAGATAGATACGAGACAGCACTCAGTCAGGTCCGGTGAAGACAGCATTCATGGGAGCTAGGCCAGCCCGGAGTCGAATTATCCGTCCTGCAGATTATGATGCGAAATATGCTCCCCAGTCCCTGTCAGGAAATATCTTCATTGGTCATTCGAACCGTCTTATTTTTGAGCCCAAGCCACACCGCTGTCGAGTCTTTCCCTTACCTCTTATCCTTCAAGTTCTCTGTCAGCGTCTAGGTTGGTCCTACCATGCCTGCCCTGTCTCTTCAGAAGCGATACGCGGGAAGGGCTCCAGTGAGATCGTGTAGATCTTCATGGTGATATTCTTCCAGGGGAGGCGACATTATGATCTTATCACGTGTGGGCGCTGTCCGTATGCAGCAAATACACACAGAGGTCAGAGAAGCCAGACCGCGGCTAATTCTTCTTAATAGGCTCAAATCGCGAACAGTATCTTTCCCTTACAGTGACCCCAGAGATTACGAGCTATCATGAAAGTGTCCTGATATCGCTGATGATTTCTAGTAGTACCCGTTATTGGTATATGCAGCACTCATGCTCAGGGGTACTGTGGTGGACTCCGTGAAGGAACCAACGTGCGAGGGATGATGCGATCTGCTGCCATTGGCGCGAACACCCCCGGGCTTGTTAGATTTTCCGCGGCTCCATTGGTTTGATTCCTTGTTTATTACCAAATGGTATCGCCATTACTAAGCTCTCTGGTTCTTAGTTAGTGTTGCTGATGGACTGCGCCGCATACAAATATCGGCAGGGATGAGCGGCTGGATTATGGGCCTAAAATGATCGCTCTTCACGATGACGGGCCAGTCGCACGATTTCTTATCTAAAGATATACGTTGGAGAGAGGGGTAAGGGTATCCAATCATTCGGCCGTACTGAATATGGGGCTTGATATGATGCGTGAGAAGCTTACTTGGCGCGAGTTCGAATGCTAACGGCTAAGCCAGGATCTATAAACGGCATGGACCAAGTTAGGAGCATCAATGATCTGCCGGCTCGCAACCTTCAGCAAGGGTCTAGCCTAGTGACTCTTCGGGGTCACATTGGGATTTCTCCGACTGAATGTATGATAGTTAGTTGACGTCTTGGCCAGTATATCATATGGCGGATGATCTACCAACTCCAGACCCTGCTCTTTTGCTATTTTTTCCCTAGCGCCCCTCTAAACGCTGCGGAAGATCATGGACTACCGCAGGGGCTGTATGCCACAGGTACCTCGATCCACTTGGTTCATCATCATTTCAGGATAGTGTTGGAGATATTTTTACATTTGAAAGAGAAAATAATGGCCGGGCCGAGCAGCTGGATGGCTTAACTATAAGCGGCGAAAAAAGCATCAGCTGTTTCAGACTGCTGCTTACCCGGCGCCAGAGAGATATCGTCGAATTGAACTTAATATCCATGACCTCGACAGTGCAATTGAAGTGAGAAATAAATCATCTGCTGGGTACATGGCGGAAGTAAAACGCCACGGGCTTAAGAGGAAGTTCTGGTATGTGGAGAAAATATGGAACTTGCAGCTGCGTGGTAGGGGTCAGTTAACTAGCAGTCCTGGAACCCAAGTCGGAAAGCCGGCTCCTATGAGATTGCAGATCCCCAATCTCAGACGATTTGCACCCCCGGCTGATCCCATCTGGGGGATCACTGTTTCAAGTTCTCCGGAGATCGAACGATCCTTTGTCACCGGTTCGTTTCAGTCCCATAACCAGCCTTGCGATCCGAATCCGAGATGATACTTAATTTAAACTCCGTGATTGCGCACGGGACCGCTCAGGACGGAGTCGAGAACAGGTGATTAGCATTTTGAGAACGACCTGGCTTGGAGGACCACCAGGTGAGTGTCTCTGGCTGTATGGTGCCAAGACGTTTGTGTGATACCTCCAGAAAGGAAAGGGATTACGGAGTATTATTAACTAGAGTACTTCGGCTAAGGGTCATCGGTGGTCCCGCACATGCTGAACGCAGATCAACCGAGTGATCGACCGTAGTGTGGTTCTCCAGATCACGATGTATATCTAGAGTACTATCCACAATGATCCCTTAGGCGAGATCTGATCTACAGGAAAAAGTTGACACCTTCTCTTTCAATGGGCTTGGGGACACATTGGCCGGACTTCAGTCTAGTCACCTCGTATTAACTAATACTTAGGATCACGGCCAGGGACTGTTCTAATTATTTTCGTCGTCGCATAGACCTCGAAGCGAACTAACCATGGTCTAATCTGCACATCTGACTAGGGTGATTTCCACCTTTGGCGAGAACCCCTATACATATTATGCTGAACTATTGTGCCGGCCGGCCCGTCATCAGTGCTCTCTGGACGTCGATATACGCAGCCCTCGAGTGGTACGCAAGGAAGACTACATGTTACTAAATGATATCCCCTATCATAGTAGATATCACTGCAGTGTCACTGTCACGCAAGCTATCACGAACTCCTCTGCGGTTCTCAGACCATGACTGACATGAAAAGCAGTTTAGTGTATGAATTGCCCCGACGCATAGACATGGATGTCAATTTGCACTGAAGGTTGCCTAGAAAAGGGACACACAAGCGCGGAATAATAATCTCTCGCTCTAAGCAAGTCAGTCTACCCCAACAGCGCTAATTTCAGAGCACTTATCAGTGATAGCTCAACGTGGAAATTAACTTTAAATGAGTTAGCCGAGCTCCGCTGTCCGAGCATCAACCGCTGATCAACTCGCGTGGACCCTGTGCGCTAGAACCTGTCAGCACGACTCAACACAGCCTGGGCGATTCTATCCAAAAACCGTCCGAATTTAACCGGATAGGCATCGCGAAGCTCAAAATGTACGTGTTTCTTTCCCCCCTGCAGACGGTGCTAATAGCCTAGAGGCCTTAGTCGTCCTATTATTACTACCTATCTACAGCACTTTTGGAACCCGTTTAACGAGCTGATTAGGATGCAGTCGCTTCTCTCCCCCCAAGCGCTGATCTTGATTCCCGTCTATTGATTATTCGTGATGCAGCACATGCTCGAAAAAAAAAAAAAAAATACACTCAGGATTTGGTGCCATATGAACGCTAGAATACTTCACGTGTCGATCATACCACTCCATCTTTGGGGCTGGTTAAGAACCAACGGTAAATCTATATTTCCTAGTCTGTTTTCCTTGGCGCCGTACCAACGCTTCCCTGCTTATAGTATCCCTGTTGACCAGTGTCCCATTGGTTATATTTGGCCACATGCGCTCGGCCCTCTTGTTTAAGGGACACTGGCAGACGCATCCGTGCGTGAAGACTCACCGATCATGGACAAGGTTAGTCTAGGGAGTACGTCCATGGGGACAAGTTGATAGGTTACTTACTCTCTTCGACGGCGCTTGGATATTGCTTACGCACTGAGAGGACTCAGAGGAGCCATCTCATAGCTCCAGAACATTTAGCGCAGCTCTTGCGAAGCGCGTAACTAATAGTAGATAGCTGAAAAATCGGTATCGACCCCGACGCTGAGATCGAGCAAACCCCTCAGGCAAAAGATGAGCCGAAAGCAGAGCGGCTCGAGCAAGTCTCTGGTGCGGCTTGATACAGGTGGTTAACAAACTCTTGCGTCTCTAAGACGATGATCATCCCGCCATCCGCTTCCTACACGGGATAGACGGGTGCACGCCAGAATAGAAGGTTCAAGTATCCCTGCTGGGATCTAATGATGGCGAGGTCATAGCAAAGCCAGACCCAGAGAGGCACTTCTAGCCATGGAGCTCACAGGGGGGCCGAGGAGCAATGACGTTTGGTGCACGATGCCACTAGGTCTACTCCGTACTATTTTGGAAGGCCTGGTTCGACCTCAGGAACGAACATTTAAGACGAAGCAACAATTGCCCTACCGCACCGTTGGGATAATCAAGGTCCGGCAGGCTGGTTGACTCGGCCTGCGGGAGTGATCGCCGCCTGGTCCGGAATCAGACACGTCAACGTCGGCTTCTTGGGATTGCTGTCTGCCAATCCCCCTCGATCACAGCTGCGGGGTGTGTATTACAGGGAAGGCATGGAAGGGGAGTACAATATCATTCGGAACATCCAAATTTGACAGAGCCCGCTTGTCATGTTGCTTAAGCGCCCCCTTTCGGTGCATGGCGGAAGATCACGCAGCGATGGGCATGAGAAGTGCCAAAAACGACCCTAGCACGGAGTCGTGCTTGTTTCCGGGTAATCCATGTGATGTCCATGCTGTATACGAGAAACGATGGACTCGTGAACGGAGCACTTGGTGAACACTCTACCTACCTACCTCTCTGCGCTCCGGGTAAGTTGCTATGACAAGCGAAGAAATTAATATCAGTTGAGACGCACACACAGTACTTTTGCAAACTTGAGCACCAAAACCAGTATGAAAATGGCCACTCCATCACTACTGACTACCAGATGAGCCCTCTCACTCCCAACGTCAAACCTACAGACTCCGCGCCCAGTTGCAGGTTCAGCAACCATTTGTGGCACCCTCTATATCCCATTTAGGCAGTTCTCGTCCCCCTCCCTATTTCACGCACCAGCGCGCGGGCGGTAACACAATCGAGGCGCGAACCCCGGCCAGTTCCTATTGAAACCGTGCATAAGAGTGGCCAACCGATAGTTACACCGATCTATCATGAAGGGAGAACAAATGCCTGTCCGTTCCATACTTAGCCTGGCGCTTCTCTCGGTAGCCGAGGACAATCACCATTTGGAAGTTCTTTTCTTTGCCTTCTTGTTCTTTTTTAGAACAATCCATTTGTCATTCTCTTATCACGCCGAAGCGGAAGGGGGTATCCCGGGAAGGCATCTCCCAGGGAAAAATTTAAAGTTCTATCACTGGCTTTCCTGTGCGTTTCTCATCGTGGGATTCCAAATATTATTCATTCGTACATTTACATACCCCATACATCCCTGTTGACTTGTACGTTCGAGAATCGCAGTTAGGATGCGGTGAGGGCTCTTTTCTGCAATCTGCGATGCATCGTTCTGAGAAGGACCGTCACACTGTACGTGGTGAACCGTACTTTACAGCTCCGCCTGCTTTCCACTTCGTGAATCAAATCCCTTATCTGCCATCGAACAAGATACGACTGAGAAACCTACGATCTACATCTATCTCTCAGCGTTGGTTGACTGTGCCATGCGTATAGTACAGTACTTTAGTTAGCACATCAGAGTAGTTACGCGCCCAATGAATAAGGCGCGAAGGAGAATCAATCAATCACCAACAGATATAATTCCAAATAAAATGTCATGTACTTCAGGAATATACAGACGTACGTAGATTACCTAACTATCCCCAATAACTAGTTAGTTGGTTATACCCCTCGATTACACAATACATCTAAAACATTCGGAAACCCACCTTAATCCGGAAATAAGGGTCTTCGAACCCCTCCTTATTATCCCTCTCTTACTCGCATAAAATATCATCATGATCACCAAGCGCTAAGTAGACAATATAACACCCCACATATGTTATCTGCAAGTACCCTTCATTCACCACGGCCGAAAGCAAACGGGAAAGCTTTCATAATCGTAACTTTCCCCCGCTCAGACTCAAACTCAAAGAAGTCTCATGCGAGCAGCCGGCTACTCCTAATTTCACTTCCCTTCTCTCAATGGTCAATAATAATCCCTAGTATACGTCACTAGAAGTAGCAGTAGTATAGCTAAGATGCATGGGTCAAACTCGAGCCAGCCAGCCCGTAGCAAACAATCTGCATTGTTCTAGAGCTGCCTCCTTGGGATTAAGGCAAAAAGCTTAGACTTATTGAACGATTAGTTATGTGCAGACTTGAAGGTTTCTGATGTGCAGATCCGTGAAGATAATGATAATGTATTGTATGTACATACATACATACGTACATACGTACAATGTGTATGTATGTATGTGCCCGGTTTCGAGTACGTACGTTATTCCTCGTAGAGAGAAAACATAGAGTAACTATCAAGTCCGATGGATTAACGACTACCCTCCGATACAACTTGATCTCGTAAAGTGAGGGCATCAGAACGATAATATATAATTCTGGATGCTCTCGCTTTCTCGAGGCCTCGATAGTATTATTCTCGAGACTCTATTATTATAGCGCTCGATATCGACCAAAAATATATAACTATTATTTTTCACTCCACCACTAAGAGAATAGAAAAGCTCTACCTTTTTTATTCACTGTACTCATTGAGAATATCAAAATAGATAGATACGAACTGAAGGGGGAAAAAAAAAAAGAAAAAGATATTATCCAACTCCCCCGAGCCGGAATCGAGCCGGCGACCTTTCGGTAACAATGGAAAATCCTATTACAGCCGAACGCCATATCCAACTAGACCATCGGGGGTTTTCGGGATGGCCGATCGGACGGGTTTTCGTCTCAACAGTGTAATGAATACGAAATACACTGTTTATTGATGCGATGCGATGCGATAACTAATTGGCCTGTTTGCATGTCGCATCGTGGGGTAATTCGAATCTTCGAATTCTATGCAAGTAGAATACATTGGAAAGTGCTTTCCCAAGGCCACGCTTGTCTATGAGATGGCTGCATTCTCGATCGACGTGTGGGATAGCTTTCGAGTGAACGCGCCAGGCGGCGTATAACTATCATAATCTTGAGAGTTTCTCTTTCCTCATTTCACAATACAGGACATTTATTTCCAGCTTATCCTCAAAGAACGACGGAGAAGTGTGTCTCTCGTTCAATGACTCGAAATTCTATTGTACAAAATGATCTTTGGGACGTACAAGACTCAGTGTTAAATACATGATGCGATCCCTTTCATCTTCATTGCCATGACCTGAGACGGAACCCGTCCATCACCAACGTTAACTCAAGTTTGAGAAGCAAAAGCAAAGAATACAAGCTGATCCCCTTTGACATTAGAAGTGAAATCTTGCCCAGCGAAATATATCCGAACTGGGCCCATCACAGGGTGCCCCAGCAGGAATAGCCACTTTTTTTCTTTTCTTTCTGGTGCGTGTACACCATGTGTTTTCCAATTGAAACATACCAAGCAAAGCCCATCCACTCAAGAGATGCCAGAAAGTCTATGACTCGAACACCACCAATGTCTATCAAAAACACGACGCGCGTGTTTCACACTCCAGACTGCGCCGAAAGGAAAATTTGGGGCCAGAAGAAAGCACAGCTGCTTATTGACGGTTAGGGTTTCCCGTTTGCTGGCCACTAGGCGCCTGCGCCTGTGCCATCATCTCATTCTCTCTCTGTCGCCTTTCTTCCTGCTCCGGTGTCATACACTTCACTGGCGGAGGAATTGGTGCATCAGCGGAGCTCCGGCCCATCAGCTTAGGGCTTGGTTCAAGTCGTTGAATCGGAGGCAAAACAGATGCAGCCCCCATGCCGCCAGATGTCATCGGCCGCGGAGAATGCTTCGTAGGGCTGAGACCGGACAAATGAATGCCCTGGGCGCCTTGAGGAGGTGGTGGCGTGTGAGAGAAAGAATTTCCAGCAGTAGGTGTGGCGGCGGAGAATGATGGAGGACGGCTATGGCCTGAAGAAGACGCGACAAAGCTAGCACTGCTTGGACGCGGTGTCTGCTGTTGTCCGAAAGGCGTAGAAGAGACTGCCATGTTTGGATGCGCAGGAGACGGAAAACCCGCAAGAGGACCAACATCGCGATTTCCCTGAGTCGGAGACATAGGTGGCCGGTTCTGAATTGGTGAGGGGAAGGAGTGGCTCTGAGTGGAGTGAGAGGAAGAGGGCCGAGGAGAGTTGAATGAGCCTCTGTTCAAATGAGCATGTGGAGTAGGCGGCGCAGTGTAGTTTGCCTGCTGGACAGGGTGTGGAGGAGGGTGGCCAAGAGTAAATTTAGGTAGATGATTCACCGGTGACATTCCAGTGCCGTTGAGATTCTTTGACGGGGAGAAAGGAGGTCGAAGATGACCATCCGAGCCGAAACTTCCATTCATAAAAGACAGCGAACGTCGTTCAGGTGAGGAAGGAGCGGGAGCGGTTTGGACCGATTCTTGAGCGCCATCTGTCTGTCTGAAAAGCTGCTGCGGAGGCAATTGCTCAACTATTGGCTTGTTGTCGGTATTCTGAGCCTGTGCAGATGCACCGTGGCCAACTTCTTCGGATGGGCGAGGGACGGAGACATGTTTGAGCTTGTTCGGTGTAGGAGAGGCATCGCCGTCCACGCTCGTCGGCTTCTCCCCATTGACAGCGTCGGTGGACTGCGGCGGTGAAGAAGAACCTCCAACGCGAAATTTGAGAGGCGGAAGCTTCGGACGTTTCGCTTCTTCCTCGTGGCGCTTGCAATCCTCACACACGAAGTGGAAGTCCTCCTTCTCCGCTTCTGCCTGAGGGATCCCTAGGCACTTGCTGTGCTGCCAGACATTGCACCTCTCGCATGCGACACTGTGAGAGCCATCATCCTGTCCCAGTGTCAGGAGTATCCACACGTAATCTGTAGGAGGGCCTTACCAAGTTCTTGCCATGGACACCGCAGCCGGAACAGTCAAAGACCCATTGATCTTCCTGCGCGAGCTCCTCCAGACTCTTCTTGCGCTTTTCCATCTCCGCTTTGAGATGTCTCTCAGACACTCTGCCCTCGCCGTTTTCAATCTTCTTTTGCTCCTCCGCCATCTTCCTGAGCTCCTCTTCGTGAAGGATCCGCTTCTGCTCCCGGTCCCTGATGCGTTGCTCCCGCGTCATCATACGTGACCGTCTCTCTTCTTCCATCTTCTTCTGTTGTTCCTGCGCCTTGCGAGCGGCAGCTAATTCCGCTTCACGCTTCCGTGCAGCCTCTGCCTCTTCTCTCTCGCGCTGCTCTCGCTCCTGCTTCTCGGCCAGACGGCCTGACCGCTTCGCTCCAGCAAGCAACTGCATGTTGAAGAGCTCTTTCTCGCGTTTGGCAATCTTCCGCTGCTGCGACTCTTCGATCTTTTCGAGTACCGGAAAGACGTCCTCCAGCAGTCTATCTCTGAGAATCTGCTCATTGGGATCTTTTGTCTTCCGAATTGTATCGACAAACGCCTGATATTCAGCGAGAGTAACAGCAATGCATTCCCATTTCAGACCGCCGGACGTGTCTTCCGCCTGGTTTTCATCGGCATCGTCCTTTTCTTCCTCATTCTCTTCGGAGACTCTCCTCCGTTTGGCAGCCCTGGCAGCAGCTCTCGCCTTTCTGGTATTTGCCTTGGGCTTGGCCGTTTTAGGTGCTGGGATAGGAGGGTCGGTACGACGGTACAGACGATTATCGTCTAGAACGTAGTATAGACGGTCTTCACGATCGTATCCTAGTTCTTCTATACGCTGTGGACAGAGTCAGAAGGCGGACACTCTAGTAACTGTCGTGAGGAGCTTACCCATTGTGTCTGTTCAGTCTCTCTCTGCTCCGGCATCTTTTCCCGGATGCGATCTGGGTTCCAGAACGTCCACACGGACAGCTGATGTAGGACACGCAGCTTCAGGAAGACATCGAAATCATTGAACTTCTTTGGCTCTTCTTCATATCCGAAAGGGTTTTTCAGATGAGGCGCCTTCGCGTTGTACTGACGCCGGGTATATTCGTCAAAATTGTCGCGCCTGTAGCTCATCGCCCCATTAGTACTGTTATCCACCACAGTCTCCTACCGCGATGTTGAATACGTACGTGAGTCCACGATGCGACGAAACGAACTTGAGCAGCGACAGCCCGATGTCGAGAAGCTTCTCCGAAGGGCCGGGTTTGAGGCATTCGGTCTCGAGATCCTGCGACCGGGGTAACACATTAGATCCAGCTCTCCACCAGGCACGTAGGTGATAAGAAGCGCATTGCATTGTAGTAGAAAGGAGGGCCTTCAGATAACACACGCGTTTCCGCAAATGACAGGATGAATTGGTGACATACCTCGATACCGAACTCTTCATCGATCTTGACGACCTTTCCGAAAATGTAGATATACTGCATGAGATTGGCAAACTCCCAGCAGTTCCGCAGGCGCGCGAGCAAGCCTGGCTCCTTGGGTTGCTGCTCGGACTCAGCCTCCACTTCGGAGTGGGCACGCTTTCGCGACACCATGGCGGCGGAAGTAGAGCGTCAGGCGCGGCGCCGCAGGGATGGTTCCCTCAACTTTTTTTTCCCTTTTCTCTTGCGGATGGTGTGGCCTTCAAGGAGCGGATACGATGGGGGATGGACTGAGTCAAAAGGAGTGAAGAATGACAGACAGACCCGCGAGGGACCAAAGGTGAGCTGGTTGTGGGAGAGAAAGTGGCAGCGCCAGAGAAGGGAGATCGCGGAGGACGTGTGGTTAGCTTCGTGCCTCGCTGGATGAGCTCACAGAGTAGACAGAGTCGAGAAGTCGCGTTCTGCCGCCCTAGACCGCGTCCGGTTAGTTTGGCCAGTCCATGATTATTTCGAAGTATACACAACTTCAACTTGCCTGCTCGCCGTCCCCATCCCGTTTTCTCTTCCCCATCTCCCTCTCTCTTCCCCTCTCACCCCCCAAAAGTCTCTCTGGCTGTGTGTTTTTCTCCCTCCATTTTTTTTTTTTTTTTTTTTTTTTTTTTTTTTTTTTTTTTCTCCGGCCCACCAACCCACCCGCGGCAATTGCCGCACCGGAACTATCTAATAAGAATATGGCGGGCTACCCCCGCCCCTATTATATACATGTATAAAAAAACAAAAACAAAAAAGAACGCCCGACCCCTTCCACCCCTATTATATACATATATAAAAACATACAAAAGAAACGAACGCCGGCCCGCCAAACCCTCCACCCCCCGCCGGGCCCAGAAAAGAAAGAATAAAAGAAAAAGAAAGACAGAACTAGTCGCTGGGTCCCTTACCTGTTCCTCGTCCTGGAGCCCTATCGATGTGGTCAGTACTAGTCTTACTACTATAAGCAGGGCATGTGAGGTATACTGTTGGGCTTCCACGTCGTCACCCCTGTACGAGCAGGTGATGCTGTCCGTTGACCCGCCGGACGGCGGGGGACGAGTTGGCCTTGGCGTATGCGTGCGAGGTCAAGGCGATCCGGATGGATCCCAAGACTATAACAATTATCATAAGTATCATTTTGCTGTTTATTCTCTTGATTATTCCAATTGACTTACCGAGCTCGTATGCGCGCCCGGCCCCACTCGAGGAACAGCACCAAACATGCCGTCCAGAAGGTGACAAGCATGAAGCGCAACAAGGCGGTCCAGTCAGAAGCAAAAGGGAGGTCCATATCGACACAAAGTTAATGAATGTATGTGGATAGTGATGTAGCAATAGTGATATACAGTATTGCTGTGGTGAGAAAAGGAAGAGAATAGTTGGGGGGGGCGTCCTCCAGTTCTATACCCGTTACTTCTGTCTCATCAGGAAGGTACCAAGTTACCACTACTCTACTACTGCTGTCCGTTGTTGCCCTTGCTCATACCCATACAGAAGTGGAAGCTAGAAGGAAAGAGCAAACGCCAGGTAAAGTGTACGGGAGGGATCCCCGACGTCTTTGCCGGAAACCGAGATCTTAGCTGTCTGGTTCTTGGAAGGTGAGGACTACCTACCTACCTAGGCAGGCAGTTAGGGAGCCCTTATCTCTTAGAGACTCAGTTGGAGTTTCTATGCGGACATTAATAAGAGCCAGTATAATAGAACCCCGAACGTAAACAGTAGGAAAGCTCTGCTAAGAAGTAAGCGTCGGGCAGGTGCAAGCCACGTACTTCTCTTCTCGAGCGTCTCCTCGATCTCATATGGAACCCGCTCACCCTCAAGCTCGACATCGTCGTAGGTGAAACTTCTCGCATTGCAGCTTACAGCAAGAATATGTGAATCAGCGCTGCCTCAGAGCTGGTTTCTACGTAGCCCAAGGGGACCGGAATACCGGGCCCTCCTATTTCTTTCATCCACACGATTGCATGGGAACTAGGTAGATTCTTGTATCTATATTGATGGCAACAAGTGCGATTGATTAATTGATCAGTCTAATGATAATCGACTAGAGTATTGCAGATGTTCTGATCGTAGATCGGATAGACTAAGTATCTAGAGTGGAGCGGCGGCAAGCAGCGGTTGCTGTGGCAGGGGATGTCGCAGTGGAGACAACTACTTAGCAGCCCATAATACATCACTTCTTCCTCCATCAACTAACTTATCTGCCACCAACTGCATGGAACCCATCAGGCGCCTTTCTCTTTGTTATCGGATGAGCCCTGTCTTACTCGCACAAGTGCCTGAAAGGAGCTATTAGCCGAACAAAGCTAATGCGCATGAATGTTTTGCTTGTGAGCAGATGTTGATAAGGCCCAGCACCCGGCTGTATGTACCTTGCACGATTTAGGTATCTGGTGAACTGTCGGACATCGAACGTCGCCGTCATACGGACGGGCCCTATTTCCGCTGGAGGACTCAAACGCGATTCCAAGGGCTATCGAGGTCAGAAATAAACGATCGAAGGGCAATTGGAGTCCCTCCGGGCCGCAACCATGAAGCCCTCTATACTTCCCGCTGGCCTGCTTCTCGCGCTATCAGTGCTAGCGATCGATACATCTCCTTTCTACCCACCATGGTCGGATCCGACAATCGAAAAAAGAGCTGCGGAGGTTCTGGATATTTTGTTAAAGCGGGATGATAACTGCCCGTCGGGGTATAATGCGTGTACTGGCCTGGGGAACTCGGGCGCATGCTGTCGAGATGGGACAATATGCTCTCTTGACGCTGCAAGCCACATTGCATGCTGTCCAACTGGCGCCAGCTGCACAGGATCACTTTCTGGATCGCCAACGGAGACGGGATCAACCTCAAGTGGATTTATGTTTCCGCAGCCAACATCCGCCTCCACCACGACCTCGGACTCGCCTTCGATAACCGGTACCACGGTCACCGGGGCGCCATACCCATTCGTATATATCCCGACGACGTTCGCAAATGCGCAGACTTGCTCTTCATACTACTCCCAATGCCAAAGTCAATACTCGAGCTGCCAGTCTTCTCTAGGAGGGACCAACGGGGTGACGGTGGCAGGGTCAGGTGGTGCCGGCATAACCGTCCAAGGAGCCACAGCAACGGCGGATGCACAGTCGATCTGTTCAAGCTTGAGTCGAAAGGCCTGTTATGGATTGCAAATCGGCTACTGTACTGCCTTTGGGAGTTCAGGTGAATCGGCTACCACAACAAACGGCCAGTTCGTCAACCCCAACGATGCGCCGTCCATTCGCGTATCGTCGAGTCTATACGATCTAGGTGTAGCTGTTGCTGTTGGTATCGCTGGAATATTTATCTGACGATATGATCTTTCTTCTTCTTTGGACGATTCTTTGAATTATTTTTTTTTTTGGATCAGAAGCCTATCATTCGAGACGATGAATGCATGATGAATGATTTGTGGTGGTGGACAGCGATCTCACGAAGTCATGATATCTCTCTTGATTTCTGAAGTACGCTGAATGAACAATGGGGTTCCTCATGGTCTTTATCTTGGGATCCCAGTTCCCCGCAACGGTTGGAATGCGATACGATTCACGTCCGGTATGCAAGATCGACGCTTAACGTTGAGTTATGACCATTATAGCATACGATTGGTCAAATTGTATTAGTAAATAAAAATAATATATCACCAGCTCAGAAAAGCGGACAACCGTAAGACCGTTTTGCCTTCCTGCGCTCGTGTGCTGTACATCGAATTGACTTTCCATATACATATGTAATTCGCGCGGCTCGCATTTCCTTTCCTGGAACGCCGCCCGTGATCATAGACAATAATAATAGCTTCTTCGTCGACAACATAGTCATGATCGCTCGACGCTGCGAGATGAAAAGTTGGACAAATTACCTAGATGATGTGAGGAAGAGGGGGGGAAGATGGGACGATCTCAGAAGTCTTTCCTTTTTTTTTTTGCGTACGGTTTGAGAATGTGGCGTATCTATAAAATGTTTTGTCTGTCAAGCTGCTGGTGAGAGAGGTAACTTATGTGCTTTATGCTTAGTTACCCTCTATTTCTTTACTTCTTTCTTTCTTTCTAATGGTGATCCGAGTTGACGGGTTCCTCGAGTATACTGAGCATGCGCATTAGGTATTTACGGTATGTCTGATACAGCTATATACATGTCCTAGAACCAAAGAATTTCAAGGTACTCCAGGGCAGGCCCTTAGATAGTAAACCCACCAGCCAGTTCCATGATTCCTTCAGGATCCACTTCCTCCCTGATCTGGCGCAGACGAGCTGCATTGGTCGCACCGTACAGCTCCTCAGCAGTCTTTCCGCTGATAGCGTAATTCGGATAGGCAGTATCCTCGTCCCTGTAGATGCCTTCGGAGATGGCAACCTTCTTGAGTCTCTCGATAGAAGCCTTCATCGCAGCGTACCAGAACTCGTCCTCCGATTCAAGATCCCATGCGAAGTAGAGATTGAGCTGAGAGAAAAGTTAGAATTGGGGTCTTGCACTTTTGCTTTTCAGATCCGATTGAAACGTACCGGAAGAGGGGAGTCTGAGTGTGGATAAGCGCTATCCGTAGCATATTTGCCGTAGTCCAGGAAAGGCTCGATGTCATAGCTGATGGAGGTACCGCTGTGCAGTGCCGAGATAGAGCCAAAGTACTGTTAAGAGAAGGGAAAAAAAAACTTCAAGTCAGTGATTCCGAGTCATACAGGACAGGACAGTATATCATGGATGACTCACATCAGTCTCGTTCTTGACGGCGTCGACAAAGCCCTGGGTCAATTTCGAAGTCGACAACGTGTTAAATGTACCGCGGATGTTGACCTCAAGGGTTGCTGGGAATTCTTGGACCACCTTGGAGAAGCTTTGTACCTTGGCTCCATTATATACGGCCGGGATCCCGTCGAACAGATCGAAGATTGCGGGCTTCGAAGGACCATCGTAAAAGAACAGGGTCAGCGAAGAAGTTCCTATCCCACTGCCCTCGAGGGTCGTGATAATCTGGGCCCTCGGGTCGGTGTTTCGTTTATAGAATTCGACAGTTGCATTCAAGATTGCTGGGACCTGGTCGGCAGCATAGTAGGCCAGGCCTCCATACACCTGATCGGTCTGCGGGTGGGTTCTATAGACCGCCGATGTCACAATGCCGAACCGGTTCAGACCTCCCTTGAGAGCAAAGAAGAGATCGGGCTGGGACGAGTCAACCGTAGTGATTGTTCCATTTGGCAGGACCAGGTTGAAGCTCTCTACTGTGTCCACGGTCAGCCCGTACTGGTTTGTCTTCCAGGAGAATCCACCGCCAAGTGTGAATCCTCCGACACCGGGACCAAGAGTCCTCCCTCCGACGACGTTCACTCCACTGCCGTCGATCTCTTCATAGAGATCGGACCAGATCACACCCATGCCAAGCTCAACTGTTGATTTATCGTCGTTGAAGATAACCTGGGCCATGCGGTTGAAAGAAATATGGACGCCAGTCGTGCTCGAGAACCCAGGGTTGGAGGCATGCCCGCCCGATTTGACCGCGAAGGGGGTCCTGTTTCTTGCGATGATCTTGATCGCAGTGGAAACATCGTCTGCAGAGCCTGCCTCTAGCACGCACGTTGGAATCTGCGTTGAAGAGACATACCAATGGTGAATGTCGCAGGAGAAATTGGCACTCAATGGGTATATCACATCACTGGCTCCGGTGATGCTGCCACTGATTTGCTCGCAGACGGACTTGACATCTGTACCATTTGATCGAGCATTAAGCTCATGCACGGCGGCCGACACTGATTGAATCGCCAGCACTGCGAGGAAAGACCGCTTCAATAGAGACATCTTGACAAATATCCGTGGGCACAGGCGTCAGTCCAGCTGCAAGCAGGGGGAGCAGCATTGGACTCTTTATAACTACATCTTCGGATACCGTACCGGGTAAACAAACATGTGCATCCGAGGGTCCTTGACTCGATTCAATAATGATTCGATGATGCTAATAGAAACCGCTTGTCCCATAGGAGGACCCGGGCCAGTTGAGGGCGGCATTATTAGCGGCGGCATCCAACATATCAAGGATGGGGCCCTAAAATAAGCGATCTTTTGAGTTTTGATGATCCTCCGAGTCAGAGTTGGCCATGGTCTTGGGCTTTTTCTTGTCCGCCGCCTCCGAGACGCTTAAAGTGGTTATGATCTTCACAGAATTCTGCATACCAGATCCCCTCGGCCTTTCCGCTTATGGTAAGTGATCCAGGTACAGCGGACGCTATTCCGCTCTTTCGAATGCTCATCCCATCAAGAAGGTCCATTCAATTGAATAATATCCACAGGAGGCTCTCTTTTCTGCCATGGGAATGCAATAATATTAATGTTCAGGCACCTCGTTTCTTTATACTGCCGGTGTGGGGAAATAGGCTTTGCCATGCTTCTTCGGTCAAACTTTATACACGTACGGCTTAATCGTGGGGTTGACAAGAAACGCCTGTACGGAGTAACTCAACATCATGGAACACGGATGCTGAGATGCCGCGTGGCAGCGCAAAATTGAATCGCGTTTCCGTCCAGTTGTGGGTCAGTGATTCATATCAAGGCCAATACTCTAATCCTCTTCAATCGTAGTTCTTAGTTATACCTATCCTAACATGGTAATTATCCGAAATTACCTGGACGATTGATAAGACAAGAAGCATCTCCGATCTCGCAGTGCAGCTGAGACCTTTCGAATCGAGGAGAATAAGGGTGTGCATGTGCTTGTATGTACTACCTGCAGGATATGTCCACCAATGATCCGTATCCCTGACAAGCCGGAACCCAGGGTATTCCCAGATAGTACCTAGTAGTTTCCGAGCGAAATCCCTCGTTCCTGAATTTCCTAACTAAGCTTCCGCTTCTTTAAAGTTTATGGTGTATGGTACATCCGCTATGTAGTTACGATCTGTTCAGAATCTAACAATATGCTTGAAAGATGAAAGCAGGTATCTATGATGAATATTAAGATGGACTTAAAATGGCATAGGTACCTAATCGAGTGCTTTTCTAGCTAGAAGAGAAGACTGAGAATACTCACATCATCATCAAATAGTATCTCAACCACCATCTGTGAGGATAAAACCGAAGTCAGTCTAAATAGAACAGTCAGTTACTCTCGTATGTCTCCACTGTCCTCGGAGTCTTGTGGGGCATCAGTCGTGTGGAGTAAAACGGCGAGGAGTTCCCGTCTCATAGTTATCCGAGATAACTTTTGATCGGTCTAGGTTCAGTTAGCGAGTCCTCATTTCTTCTAAACTAAAAGAATCGATGTGCATGTTGATGTGTACCTGACTAGTAGTCAAGATCTGCAACGATGTTCATTGTACAGTAGTACATAGCAGAAGCTTGGCTCCGACCGATACCTCCGAGGTCGGCTATTCAGGAGTTAGCATCACGGCATGAGTATGGTCGGGGCAGGCATGACTGTAAAAAAGTATTGAGAGTCGATCGGTGTCTGTTCATAACTTCATATAGTAGTTTGCCAGGTAGCTGCTCTATGAGATTTGATGTCAAAGTATATCTGCTGTACTTTTCTGTTTCCTCTGTCGTATTCCTCGTATCCCCAGAAAGCTAAAAGGGGAAGATCTAGACTTTCTTCAGGATACGATCTACCTTGCGGCCCGTGTTGAAGAGAGAGAGAACTGATGAAAATCTGACCCTCGCGATGGATTCATCAGTGCGTGCACTGAGAAAGAGAGAAAAACAAAATCCCAGAAAGAAAAGAGAAACAGAGTTCCAGTTCCAGTCAGGTCGTCAAAGAGCCATATTGGCTTGTGACTGTGCGGAATAGCTTAGTGCCCATCGCGTCCGGAAGGATCGTAATGGGCGGCGAAAAGGGAGACAGAGCGAAGCCAGGTACTGGAACACAAGACGCGCTCCATGATCTCGAAAAGGGGAAACATGGACTTTGATGCGTCTGGTGCGACAGACAGTCCATTCGGTTTCCCTACCGTCGAAGCTGCCGTATTCAACCAGTTTTATCAATTTGGACGTAGGAGTAGGTGTTTTTCTTAACATCACGTGCGACAGCAGTATATATGTCTCTTGAGTATTGGAAGCTCAACGATTCTCAGTAGCATGATTGGTGTCATAATCAGACCACGACATCATTAATTGGGAGTTTGATTCAGGAGAAGAAGAATATTGAGCATTTCCGAAAGTCTCAACAGGATGTGCGGAAGTATGAGATAAGAAATCACGAGTATGATGGTTATGAGAAGTGTTGTTAGACTTTGTAGATGTTTTTCGGGAGAGGTCGTCTCTGCCTGATGACTGTTCGAAATATCTTGGAAGTCTTATTGATAGACGGAAGGAGAGTTCATTGCGACTTTAGAACTACGCCTTGCAGGCTGTCTAGTCGCATGGAAGTTTCCTTCATACCAACACCGAATTCGTCTCGTACGCTTGGGACAAGGAGTTTCAGGTTCGCCTTCATGAGAAATGGCAGCAGAAAATCCAGAAGAAACAGCAACTCCGCGTCCACGGTTCCTATAAAAACCGCGACTGCGACTACTACGCGTAAAACGTCCTCTACCACTATAGCCCCGAGAAGTGGAGGTAGTTGCAGAATTAGAAAATTAAGGTTAGCCAGGAAACAATTTTATAAGGCATTTTCGTGAATATTATTGAGAGTAGACTGACTGATAACCTTCAGGAGCAGTAGCAGCGTTGACGCGAGATTTTGCGGCATGTTCTTGAGCAGCCTTTGATTTACGTTTCACGCTATCCGTAGCTGACTTCCTGAGTGTTGAAACCATGCAGCTTTGCTTATTATATAGAATGTTTAGAACGGTGCACAGTAGAAGGAAAGATGATGTTGATGTTTGGAGAGGATATAGAAGAGTCGAAGATATTTCAAGATGTTTAGGAAGGAAAATGTCTAAGACGGTGATAATTGCAGATGAAGATGCTGCAGGCGAAGATAGTCAAAGAGGAAGAGTTGAAGATGCAGAGAAGTAGTAGGTTGTAGAGTTCAGATACAGTGGGCAGTCAAGGCATGGATGAAGGAAACACCAGCCTCACTCGGGTCCACAGTGAACAATCCTAGGAAGCAAACCGAGGCTTGTACAGTAAAATTGCAGAGATCGAAGTGCAGTAAACATGGATGGGAATCAAAATGTACTTGGTGAGATCTTCTGCGGAACCAGCTGCGCCTAGGACTGAAAACAGGATGCCGGAAGTGTCCCTATTACCCACATGGAATTCGAACAGGGAAAATTATGGCAATGGGATTGATGTGCAATGAGAGGGTCATACTAGGTAGGTAAGAGAGAAGAGTAGATTACTGGAGCCGACACGATCAGAGAGTATGTCTAGCGACCTGGACTAGTGGAGCGCAAGCACGTCGCGGCTAAAGAGGCTGTAGATCCGTTCCTGTGCTCGCAAAGGGTAGATATCTAAGGCATGGCAAGGCTACAAGTGATTGGGTTCTCCAAGGTTTCAAGCGCTGAGGTGGCATCACGATGCATATGTAGGAAAAGCACAGCTGTCGCAGCTTGGCTTTCTTTGTCTAAAAACCATTCTTCGACAAGCCTGTCCTAATCCGTTTCTCCGAAATAATCTCAATAGTTAGACATTATAACTGATTGGTTTGAATAGTAACACCACAAGCATTCTAGCATGTTAACTGCAAGTACTACCGGGAACTAGAAACACTTCCCCGACATATTAAGCAGTTCTCATTGGCAGACATATCATATGATATACTCCTTCCCAACACATACAGGATGGACAGGCATTAAGAAATATTAACCTAGATGATCTGTATGCACCAGTTGCCTCTTCTAGAGTGTACGCCGTAATAGCCCCTACTTATTTGGAGCTTCGCTAGTCGGCTACTGGGAAAACACTAATAACCTCGTACAACATAGGTCATGTGAATTTCATTTTGGACACAAATACAAAGCTGACCCAGTTACTTCTTTGACTCTGAGAAAACCACCTTCTACAAATTTGTGCCATCATGCAAAGTACAGAAGGTGACAACAATACTCCAATCGAGGTTGATTATCAGGTTCGCCGTCCAGGCCGGTCCGAATTTTCTGGATCAACTGTAACTCAATATCGCAGACCACAGGTGACGAGTCATACGAAGATAGACTGTATGCTGGCATTGCTGTCCAAGCTCTTGAATGAGTGAGCATTTCACTTTGGGACCTTGTCTGACTTAACTCTAGATCAGCCTACAGTGCTTCTCTAACATCGTCTGTCACCAACTATCGCCATGAGAATGGTCGGAGATACCACGCATATGATGATGGAAGTATGACTTTAAAGATGAATTCTCTGAGCGAAACTGACCACTGAGCGCCAGGATACTTACTGCCAAATGATGAGCACGAGCAAGACCGTCTAGACATACACCATGCGCTATGTAAACAAATTCTCGACGGAAAACTTCTCTTAGCTCCGATTGAGAATCCCCAGAGAGTTCTCGATCTCGGAACGGGAACCGGAATTTGGGCGATTGAATTTGGTATGTAACTCTTTGCACGGATAAGATTCTAGGGCGGCCCTATGGGAATCTCTTAAGTACTAAAATACCTCCTTAGCGGACCAATACCAATCTGCGGAAGTTAGTTAGAACAGGAGAAATAATATTCAGATGGGAACTAATCAGGTCAGGTAATTGGTTGCGATTTGAGTCCGGTTCAGCCTGCTTGGTCAGTTCATATTCCTATCACCCATTCTAGATACTGAGAGGTTGCCTTCGCATAGGGTTCCTCCAAACGTACAGTTTTACATCGATAACATCGAGAAAGACTGGAACTATGAATCGCCCTTCGATTTCATTCACGCCCGTTATTTGGCAGTGGCAATGGAGGACTATGCCGGATTAGTGAAGAAGGCTTATCAGTCAGTGTTGATTTTTCTTAATTTTTGCAGAAACTGACCCGAGTTACAGACATGTGAAGCCAGGTTCTTGGGTAGAATTTCAGGACTGGGATCAATACCCGTTCTCCGAAGACAAGACTCTAGAAAACACCAACATGGAGAAATACTTCGCGGAAGTCATAGGTGCATTCGCTGAGAAAGGATACGAGGCTAGCCCAGGTCCAAAACTGGAACATTACTTCAAAGCTGCAGGTTTCCAAGATGTCCATGTTGAGAAATTTCGAGTGCCTCTCGGAATATGGCCAAAGTCACCACATCTTGTCTGCAAATATCCCGAGATCCCCCTAGTCTCGATATGCGACTGATATTCTTCTTAGAAAACGATTGGGACCTGGATGATGTTGCAAGGGGAAGAAGGTTATGAGGCAGGAGCGATGGCTATTCTGACTCGATACAAGGGCTGGTCGGAGGATGAAGTCCGTGTATTGGTGGACAAGACAAGGAAAGACGCCAAGGATCGTGATATCCATACTCAATTCCATTTGTAAGATCCTCTCACCAGATCATGAATTCTTGCTGATTGTATTTAGTTATGTGGTATATGGTCGCAAACCGGAATGAAAAAAGTTTCGAGCGACCAGAGACTGGGTGCTTTTTGAACACATCCATCATGATGGCCAACTCTCGTTTCATCGATTATATATGGAAAAGTGAATGAAATTTATTATTCACTTGGTAAATCTTAACGTTAGGAAATGAGAACAGCCAAGATGCGTAATTTCTCGGGGCAAACTGCTTTGTCGAGCCATATTTTCTATTATACTGGAACTCATAGCATGATCGGAATCAGTCTGCTTTCATTCTCTTTAGCTGCCAAAAATGGGGCATTGACCTGTCATTCTAATAACAAGCCACCGTAGGAGTCGATAATATGTGCTCGAGACAAACTCCATTTTCCCTTTCCCGCTACCTTATGGACAACTCTTTTTGTCTTAATACCTATCTCTCCGTCTGGGAATCGGACCTAAACTTTTCCTTCTGCGGAACGGCACTTTCCTCTTTAAAGCGATTTATTACCCATGGATGCATCTACCGTATGGTTCGGACGTCGACAGTATGTAAACTCCATTTTTCCTTTCCCGCTACATTATGGTCAACTATTTTTGTCTTAATATCTCTCCTTGTTGACATAAGGCGACTCGGGTAACTTCTACGGGCATCAAGTGCAGACGTTAGACACGAAAAGCATAGGGCACCGTGTATTCTAGCATGAGCTCACAGGATGACTGGTAAGTGACGCCAATGATACCTGTCTCCATTTCCTTTGAAACCATGGAAACTTCAAGGCAGCAATGATACGCAGTATACTGAGCATATATAGGTATCCTCTGTCGCTTCTGATTTCCACCCACAAATCGACCATTTTCATCAAATTCTCCGAGAACACTGAATATCCTCTTCATCGTGCACTCTGTTATCAGACCCCACAAAATGATCGAAGAGATCCTTGAATGTCTGGGTTTTTATCGACTTGCAAGATCGCTACGTCTCTGGCGAATCGAGTGCCAGTTTGAATGTGACCATAAAGATGAGATTAATTGGATCAGGGCATACAATGCCACAGAAAATCTCCAAATTGCTATCCTACAGCGCATACGTCGCCTCGAACGAGATCAGCAGGAACTTATGGCAACGGGAAAAATCCCTACCACTCCTCGCGCATTTGGAGATGACTGTTCCGACGTCTCAAAATACGGCGAGATTCTGGAAAAGGAGCTGGAAATGGCCCGGTGCATATGGCATACCAACAAGAAGGAACTGGCGGAGCTTCTGTTGACTCTGCCAGTGTATGGACGGGGCTTACGCCTTAGAGAATGGCGGAAGATTCGCGAGGTTAAAGAATTCCAGGACAAATCGATGCTTTGGATGGACGGCAGGGAGCGCTGTGCAATGATGGGAGGATGTTGTGGGAGAACTTGTCGCTGCTGCGACGAGCCATTAATGACATATTTCAAGCCGACAATGGATACGTTCGAATTGCAACGAGTCGAAGCACTCCATGGACATTGTACCTCAGAATGCAGATGCTGCATCCGACACCAGCGAGCCTATGTACCCGATGAGGATATCGAAAAAGTGCGTCGTAATTTATTGCTAAGCGACGTTGAAGAATGGTAAACGGCGAAATGAGGATAGTTCTTCAGAGGAGATGTGGGAGACGTGTTCCGGATGAAGCAGTCTTCTTAGCTATAGGACCAGTATTATTATTTGGGTATCCGATCATGCTATGAGATTCTGACTACACTACAAAGAGAATCTGGTAAAAAGACCGAACGGGTTATAGGATTGTATCGACTCAAGACTTGCTCAGCTTTAAGGGATATATTTTCTTCGAGACGTAAGTATTCATATGCTTCATGAAGACGGATCATAGTTGTAATTAAAATAATTAAAACCGGGTGTTGTGTTTGCTGAAACAGCACATATATCGCTAGCTAGCTGTGCACCTGAATGAAACGTGGGCTCTCATGTCAAGAGCACTGATTCTGACGAGGGGTAAACGGGCGTGCCTCTCCCCCGCGCCTGGATGAATTGACCAGTGATGAGCATTTCTACTTATCGTCGCTTTCTGTTGGAGGTGCGGTCCAAGGGCGGACGGGGTCCCTTGCCAACTCAACAGTCCAGCGCAGTATGGTGGTCATAGCGACAAAGTGATGCTAACTTGATTATTATTATTATTATTTAAATGATGCCCAGCCTCCTTGATGTACCGAGTAACTAGCTAGTAAGAGATCTATCTAAATTTGGATGTTCTCTTTGTGCCGTCTGCTGCCTGTAAACTTGCGCGATTGGCTGGGGTGCGCCCTCAGGAAATCGGGTGGTTGGTGTATGTACCTGGGAGGCTGGGATGGAAGGACATCGTCACAAGGCATGAGCAGGGCCCTCGCACTCTCTTTTCTCCCATCCTCTTTCTCCGTGAATTCATTCTCACATTCCTGGTACTCTTATCCAAACGTTAGGGAGTCGCAAGAACTACACTCGTTTCTCCGACAGTTGCGGTTGTTGTGCTCAGGCGATTTACCAGCCGACGGCTGTGGATACGACTCAAGCATAGCAACGCTTACAGCTGCTTTTCCACTGGCATTCTACGAGGAATTGGCAGTGTGAAGAACATACTCAAGGGCAAATTCGCCCATCTTGCCCTCATACTCTCGTTTTTTTTGTCTGTGGGTCGATCCAGCATTCCTTCTACCATGCGATCCTTCGAGATAGCGTCCGCGGCCTTATCGATACTGGGTCTGCTATCGCAATCACAGATCTCCCATGCAACTCCATTCCCACTCGAATATGATCTTGTTCTCGTGAATCGAGCCTGCGCAAATACGTGTGGTTACTACGGCCAGCTTTGTTGCACTTCCAGTCAAACCTGCAGCACAAACAGCGAGGGCCAGGCAGTATGCCTCGACGGGGAGAGTTCTGGCTCAGGAGAGGAATGGCAAATGTATACGACTACCTATGTAGTGACGGAGACGGACGTGGCGACCATTACCTCCACATGGAGTAGTCTCCTTGCCAGTTCTACAGCGGCGCCCGCCACGGGTACTTGCAGGCCAACGCTCGGAGAAACACCTTGCGGAGAATCCTGCTGCAGTGCATCCCAGATGTGTGAAAACAAGGTCTGTGTCGAAGGCGCTTCATCAGGGTACTGGAGCAGTTGGGCCTCCGCCTCCGCCACGGCAAGTCCTCCTCTTCGACCGACCAGCAGCGGTGAAGCTACCGTGACCCAAACCGGCGCAGCGACGACAACTGAGCCCTTTATCGCTCCGGTAGGAACTGGTGGAGCGACGCTCACGAGCGCCAGTGCAGGAAACAAGGGCCTCAGTGGAGGCGCTATCGCAGGAATTGTCATCGGAACGATTGCAGGCGTCATCTTCCTATTGGTTCTATGCGCCTGCCTCTGCTTCAAGGAGGCTCTGGATGGTCTCATGGCATTGTTCGGCCTAGGGGGACGAAGGACAAAGGAGACAACTTATATCGAGGAGCGTCACTCGCATCGTTCCCACGGCAGCAGGCCTGAACGGCGTACCTGGTTCGGCACTCGACCATCACGGCCAGCTGGTGAGAAGAAGTCGGGTGTTGGTGGACTCGCCACTATCGGACTGATTCTCGGTGCACTCGCTCTGTGCCTTGGACTGAAGAGACGCAGAGATCACGAGGATGAAAAGAGCGATTATACCTATCCTTCCTCGTACTATTATTCAGATTACTATACTAGCGCAAGTGAGTGATTTTTTCCTTTTCGCGGATCAATTGGGACAATGACTGACTATCTGTTCAACAGGCAGCGAAAGCTCAGATCGACGGACTAGAGACACGAGGAGATCACGGAGGTCACGCTCGCGCTCATATCGATAACGAACCTGACGCCACCAAAGAACTTCACGTTCCACTTCAACTCGCAAATGGATGTGCATGGTGACGGCACTCGCCTGGTCATCGGTATGCGGGGTTTGAGACGCTGTTTTCAACCGATACGAAATTCTTGTACATGCTTTCTCCGTCTTTTTTTGCGAATCATGACCAGGTACCTCGGGGATAGTGGTGCCAATGTAATTATGAGTGATATGGTTGGATGCTTTAATGACATTGATGGGTATGACTTTATGTATACTAAAAATAAACTGAAGAAACGAATGATAGTTAGAATGAAAAGGAATATTACTTAAGCTTCACGATCTAAGGTCCTTTGAAAAAAGTACTCTTAAGACCATCCACGACGGGCCTATACCACAGCAGCAATGATAGGCGAGCGGTTGAGCCCGACCAAACGCGACGCCAGTCGGGGACGTCACACATGCAGGTACTCGGGCAGCGTCCGGAAGCGATGCTCGTTCGTCGAAGCTTGAAGCAAGCCAGAGCTGTCAACCGGTTCAGCTGCTTTGCAGTCGCGACGTGGAGTACAGAGCAAGCCCTCGAGCCCGGATGATCCCGCTGGGTAGGCGATACCTTGCATGTCAGTCTGCTCGTGCATCGCTGCCCTATGCGAGGGAGACGTTGTCCTGTGGCGTGTCGTGGCTGACTATCCCGAGATACCCTGGTGGTGTAGCAGTCCCGGGAGCGGCGCAATCGAGACGGATGCTGTTGTCACCCAGGGCAAATGTATGATGTGAACGCAAAGTATTAGCGGTCTCTATCCTTCAACCGCAATGAGGTTGTTCAGCAGGATCGAGAGGAAGTTCAGATCAGATGGTGAAGGGTGGCGTCGACGCCAAACAGCACACACCCGGCGCTCGCTCCCCGCTCTCTGGCGTCTTCCCGCCCGATTACACATCCCCGAACTAACTCTCTTTCAGTTCCTCGACCTCGCCTACCCAGACTTCTCCATTTCTCTCTTCCGCCGCTCCTTCGACTCCCTCGGAAGCGCCCATGATTTTGCGCTTGACCCTTGTTCTCTGACGACCTTTACCTCCTCTGTGAGTTGATTCTGAGTTGGCAAGTCCTGTCTGTTACTCATCCCTTCGCGATTCCTCCCGACGAGGACCTCAATCAACCGACCCGTTCCTCTATCGCTTCGCCATGCTTCAAGCTCAGACTCCGCACGTCTTCTCCCACCAGCACCAGTATCCGCAGGCAGAGCCTTCCTGGCTCCAGCATCAGCAACAGCAGCATCACCAGCACCAGGCGCAGCACCAGCAGCACTCCTCCCTGGCTGCTCAGCAACATGCTCAGGCTCAAGCTGCTGCCGCGGCCGCCGCGGTGGCTCAACACCAGCATTATAACCAGATTGCTATGAGTGGCAACGGTGCTGCCAACGCTAGACAGGGTGCCGGCGCAGGAGCCATGGCAGCTGAGAATGCCCTCACTACTGCGGCATCAGCCATGGACGGTGGTATTAGCGAAGAGAACCGCAAGGTTTTCATCTGGGTCGCGGAACTGCTGGACCCTAACCGCAGGGAGGCTGCTCTTATGGAGCTCAGCAAGAAGAGAGAGCAGGTGCCGGAACTTGCATTGGTGATCTGGCATTCTTTCGGTACGTTGGACCCGTCATTATCCTGAGAGACACATCAATTGGGTTTCGCTGCAAACTACTTTTTAAGACGGCCATGCTGACTGCAGTTGAATAGGTGTTATGACCTCCTTGTTGCAGGAGATAATCTCCGTCTATCCTCTGCTAAATCCGTCCCAGCTGACTGCGGCCGCATCGAATCGAGTCTGCAATGCTCTCGCTTTGTTGCAGTGCGTCGCGTCTCACAACGAGACTCGCACTCTCTTCCTGAACGGTATGCTCTTTGGTCTTTACAAACGAGAGTCTAGGGTTCGACTAACTGATGTGTAACAGCTCACATCCCCCTTTTCCTCTATCCCTTCCTCAACACAACTTCCAAGTCGCGCCCTTTCGAGTACTTGCGACTCACTTCCCTGGGCGTCATCGGTGCACTGGTGAAGAATGACTCGTCCGATGTGATCAACTTCCTCCTGACGACCGAAATCATCCCGCTTTGCCTCCGCATTATGGAGACGGGGTCTGAACTTAGCAAAACAGTTGCAATTTTCATTGTACAGAAGATTCTCCTTGACGATATTGGTCTTGCATATATCTGTGCTACCTATGAGCGATTTTATGCGGTGGGAACCGTACTGAGCAACATGGTCACGCAGCTTGTTGAGCAACAGACTGTGAGGCTTCTGAAGCACGTCGTCCGCTGCTTTCTTCGGTAAGCTTATCTGCAGATGTTTTGTTTTGGTTTGGTCCCGTCTTTCAGGTCTCTTTACTGACTACTTCCAGACTGAGTGACAACAACAGGGCTCGTGAAGCTCTCCGTCAGTGCCTCCCCGAGCCACTGCGCGATGCCACATTCTCCTCGGTTCTTCGTGACGATGCGGCTACCAAACGTTGCCTCGCTCAGCTTCTCATCAACCTCTCCGATAACGTTGTCGATGGAACCGCCGCCACTATGTAAAGACAATTTCACTTAATATAATTGCTAAACCTTATGAACTTGCATGGAATGGCTACAGGCGAAATCGGATATTTACGGCGCAAAACAGCAGAAAGGTAAAATGTGCGAGAAAAGAATAATCGGGGGCGTGACGAAAAAAAAAAAAAAAAGAAAAAAAGAAAAAAAGCTGGGGCAAATTTTTTCTAAGCTTGAGATCGGAACATTGGGACTTTGGGCATCTGCTGTTCACGATGTATGGAATTTTTCTTGTTTTTCTGTTTCTTCTGTGTGGGTTGTCTTGCTTCGGTCTCGAACATCATGGCACGGTTTGTTTGGTGGCGGCGATATGGATGGTCTTGTCTCCCATGTGCATTTCCCTCTTCCCTTCTAAAACCCCCCTTTTTTTCTCTGTCACCACCTAGTCGGATAGACCTTCCTTGAGCGAGAGATACCAGGATCTATGCATTTTTGTCTCTTCTACTACCTTTTCAGTCTCTTCTCCCCCGACATGTCTTGCTTCATCTTAATGTGTAACACACCCATTCTTGTTGTACATGTCACCTTATTCCTGACTACTTGATGACTTATTTAGAGGCTCAGGTCTCTTTTTTTCTGTCTTCCCCCCTCGTCTCAGACTTGTCAAGGATCCGCGAGTGAGGAGCGCTCTCAAGGCCTGATTGGGGAATTTTTTTTCCATTTTGCATCAAAAGTGTTTATTGACGTCCATCTGTAATAATGCAAAGACATCTTTTTCAATCTTGTCGAATGTATGATACGTTTCTTTTCATATTATGTGAAATCCTAAAGTTATTCTGACTATCTTAGGACTCATCATTCTAACTTGCCGATCTCTTCCTCGCAACAGACGTGAATACTGGGTGTCTGGAAACCATGCTTCCCAAACTCCTGTCCAGTCAGTCAGATCTTAGTTATAATCGGAAATTCAACTAGTTATACATCTTTCCTGGAGGTATTCGGATCAAGATTGGGTGAAAAAGACAAACATCCTAGAGTTGCCAGACAAGCAGATATGATAGGCTTATATGTACTGTACAGTGACATCACACAGTAAGATGGGGAGAGTGAGTCTATTCGAGTCTTGGGAGTCCTATCGATATAGTAGTGATTTATCATTATGAACAGCCTTCCGAGGCTATCTCCGTAGCAGCTTGGGCACATGGAATGATTTCATTTGGCTGCTAATTGCATTAATGCCTTATCTTTTTTACCGTCGAAAACCTGCTGTACAGTCTAGTGTCGAATCTAAAAGCGCACGGAAGCAACGATATGATGATTTGAACCTCCTAGCTACTACCTAGGTTGCTTGATTTCCTTGCTTGATTTTAAGACCTAGGAGGGAGATTGACTCCATATTTATCTCTATAACGTACAAAGAATCTAGATCCTAGCGATCTACTAATGGGCTCTATCCTATAATTAGGATGCAAAGGACCTGCTCCAAACGGATGATTGACAGATCACCTGGGCGTACGCTTTGTTATGATATCCAAGTGGCGAATGTGAGGCGATCAACGACCCAATTGTGCTGATAACTTGTGTCTGAACAGTGAACTTTTGCCTGAACAGTGACAGCCCATAACCAACTGAGAGGATGTTCGACCTCAGTTTCGGAATAAGCAGACGTAACCTTTTTAAAGAGGCAGAGTGCAAAAGAACTTGGAACCTCCCAACCACTAGAACATCGTCCTTTCCCTGTACCGGAAACAGGCAGCAATGGCTTCCAAATAAAGTAAGAGCTTCCGCGAAATGTACAGGCTAGTCGCTTGTTCCGGGTCTTTTCACATTGTATATCTTGTTGTCATCTTTTAGCAGCCTCTTGGTTGAAGCCATGGGATTTGTATTGGCCGCTTCAGAAGTGCAGCAGATGAGGATTATAAAAGGCTAAAGGATGATGTGACAGTATAGGCATCCAGAGAGGAAAAAAAATAGTCTAAAGTACGTCAAGGGTAATTCTCTCAGGAACAGTCTTTGGAAAGTGAGAAACAAGACAAATTCTGGACATGGAGATCTGAAGCTATATTAAGGCTTGCTTGAACTCAACTTGAGGGCGAAGCTCCTGGGAATGAAAGGAAGATGCCCGCAGGTCCTATATGGGATATAAAGGGCTGGTGTGCAGGCGACTTCGCTTCCTCTAGAGCTTAGATGCGTTCCTAGTATATCTCTCGTGATTCAGTAAAAAATATGTCAACTCTTTCTTGCGTTCCCGCCGCTTCCGTAGACCGACAGCGAGATTACATGTACGTGTCCTAAGCGCCGATTAGTTAGTACTATACTAGTATTTGATATGTGAAGCAGCTTAGGGCAATCAAGTACCATAGGTGTATTTTCGGCATTGACGCTCTAGAAACAATCAATTAGTACCTGTACTTAAAGAAGTGAAGGATTAAGTACGGAGTACATACATTCGGTACGCCACCGCAGCGCCTAGTAGTATCAGTAGTACCACGCCAGCAGCCCCTGCAAAGATATGCGCGACGAATTTATTTGTGGGCCTAATTATATATTAGTTAGTATTTATTAATGCTTATGGGAAGAACATCCATAAGATCAGCCAGCGAACATGCCGTGGAGGATCGATAATTCATGCCGTGGAACTTTCTTCCATGCCTATTCTCCCAGTTTATCCCAATTGACCTACCGGCACTCGACGAACAGCACCAACAATGCGATCCAGAACGTGAGAGACCCGAAATGCCACCAGGCGTGCCCGTCAGAGAGTCGGGCCCCCTAAACGCCAAACGCCAAGAAACGAACGGATAGCTGCTCGTGGGGACTTGATAAATTCAATATGTAGTGAGTATGGATGTGGTCATCTCCTATTTTCGGGGGCAGGTCTTTTGACTTCGACCATGCCCCTGGCTCTCACTGGTGGGCGGTGCCAGTCTGCATGAATCCCCGCACTATTTAGCCACTGTTAGTTTTTCCGCAGTGTGAAAGAGTTATCTTCAAATTGCTGCTGACTTACAAATGATCCGCTGAGTTGTCGAGCCATTTTCTTTGCTATCTGTAGCATGAATATAAAAGGATTATTAAGTCTACCGGCTTTCTGGAGTTATTGAGCCTTCGATTTTTAAGGTATCCATTACCAATGGACCTTAGAATTTAAAAAGAATGTGTGCCTAATCTATGATAGTAGTGATTAGCCATTAGCTTTTTCTTGTGAAAGAGTCACCTTCAAATGCCTGCTACTTACTAGGAATCCGCGAGATTGTCGGACCATTCTCTCAGAAGTATGAGAAGAAAGTATAGAAATAACCCACTAATGAACTGCCTGAAGGTCAATGAGGATTTGAATTCGATCCCTTCCATTAAAGATGAGTAAATATGGTTAAGTATTACTGCAGTATAAGTGATAACAACATCCCCACTGAAGAGAAACAAAGGAAAAAGAATATACAGCCGGGGTGCTGTCCTCGAGCTCTATCAATATGGTCAGTAACAGTCTTTTTATAAGCAGGACTTCCAAAGCATACTTAAATTTTTTTCCCGCACTCCATAAGAGTTATCTTCAAATTCCTGCAGGTCATCTGATTGGAACCGCCCTACTTGGCCATTAGTAAGTTGTTTCTGCACTGTATAAGAGTTATCTTCAAAAGGCTCGCTGACTTACAACCTATCGGCCAGATTTTTGGCCCACTTTCGGGCTGTCGATAGCACAAAGTCCAGGATTGTCAACAAATGTATGTGTATAAAGAATATAAACCAGGTCAACCAGGAGAAGTTGGATCCCTTGACTATAACAATTGTCACGAGTATTACGATGCTGTTTATCCTCTCAGTTTATCCCAATCGAATTACCGAGACTAGATCGCTGCCATGGCCCAGAAGCACGGCACCCACAACAGCGCGACGAAGATGAGAGCTAGGCTCGAAAGAAACGAGGAACTGCCTTTAAGTATTTTCCTCAAGCAATAAATAAACGTCCACAGAACAGGAATTAATTAATGTAGTTGTGTAACGATGTCGCAATAGAGATGTACAATATTGCCATGGGGCGTATACCATCAGTGCTATGTCGAGGAAAGGAAAAGGAGAAGAGAACCAAGATTAAATGCTGCCGAGAGGCGACACCGCAGTAGTGACTAGTTCTTCCATTGACTGGATGTCTAGAGTGTCCTGTGGTAGTGACTAACCCTCTTGTTGAACAACAGATACTGAAGTTACTCCATAGTAGTGATTGGACCTTCAGGTGAATCGATAACCCAATCGCTCTGCGGTAGTGACTACTGGTCTCCTGGCGAATCGATTACGTAAAGCTTTTTCGATAGGAAATCTTACAGTAGCACAGATGAATATATCGCTGATGTTCTGATCTTAGATTATTATATCTGGTTTGTTAGTAGGATCCCGCGGATCGCAACTCCAGACGATGATATGCTTCTCAGAGTTCCAGGAGTATCGGATCTGAGGATAGCATTGTCGAAAGTCCGGCGAGTATAATTCACTGGCCTGCGCATCCGCCGTCCCCATTCATCTTTCTCTCCCTCTCATTAACCGCCGACAGACTCTCTGGCTATGCTTTTCTCCCAATCTTTCCCCACCAAACGCCGAGAAAGACGGAGCGAACTACGCCGCTACACCTCTTCAAGTTCTCTCGATATAGCCAGTAGCGATCTCTTATTATAGAAGGACCGAATTTGGATGAATTGCTTGGTCCCTATGTGCACCAGCTTCCCCGCTACCACCATTTTCACAACTTGATCCAAGTTTCCATCAAGATTAACCCGAAAGGCTACCTACCTAGCCATGACTACATTGGCAAATATCCTACGTCGCTTTTATCCCCAGACGTCGAAACAAACGAGTCAAGTCCACCTGCCGTTTTACCATACTTTGCCTATTCGTTACTACATTCTTCTGAATTTGAGCTCACCTGGACTGGGTTCAAAAAAAGCTACTTCCTGTGTTGAACCGCAGAATTCGTTAGTACCTTCCTCGTGAGAGAGCAACAATGGGCACAGTAAACTTCCCCGCCACAGTTTTGTTATCTCTCTCATTCTCTCTCTCTTCTTTTTTTCCTTTTCTTTTCTTCAATACATCAATAATTATATGTCTCTGTTGCCACATTCGATATCAGATTCGATGGCAGATTAGATGCTTTTCTTTCTTTTCTTTCTTCTTACCGTGCTATTATACAGCATTGTTTACATTACTTAATACCATTCACTTAATTTATTCAATAACTCAAAACCCTTTCGTTAATATGGCGTTCAACGTCAAATTTAATATTTCTTCCTGGGGGGCCGCGGGGAACCAGAATCCAGCAGACAAACTGTGAGTTAACAGACATTTCAAAGTAACTCCTATACAGCGCGGAAAAACTAATGGCTAAATAGGGTCGGGATCCATCCCGACCGGCGCAGTCTGCATTGACGATCCTATTCATTCCTTTCCTCTTCGTGAAGCGATCTTACCAGCAGGGTAATGAACTCAGATCAGAGCTGGTAGCCATCGACCCCGAGGGTGAACCTTTGAATACGATTTCATCTCTGCAGATACAGTGAGGTGGCTACTGTAGACGATGTGCGTCGTCAGGAATATCTCGACGTTCTGTATTGGATATCCAAACCACTCGACCAAAAAAAGAGGTCTCCTTTTGGTCATCCTGGATCCTGGATCTAGCATTCTATTTATGAGCAAAGAATGGTCGATCATGAGGCTGGTAAGTTTCACGGATCTATGAAAGCATTGTGCTGTCCAGAAACTTCTGAGAAACTGCATATGATGGAGCGCTGTAGTTAACCATTCCAAGATCCATGTTGCAGTCAACCTTTTGCCATTGCTTAAAAATGCCCCTGTGTTCCGACGTGTTCTGTCGGTATTCGACGCAGGCCTTGACGGCAAGGTCGTGATTGACGATATGGACGGGAGAAAAAGCTCGCAACTCAGCCACCGGGGCAATTTTGCATCTACTTGCATTGGTCCAGCTGTGGGAAGAGGCGCCTCAGGTCTCCTGATGTGTTGAACTCAGCCTTTACAAGCCAATGTGTGGTTTCCTCGCGGTCATTGCTACGAAGTGGATGGCACTCAAGACATAGTTGGGGGATGTGCTGTACTATGGGGACTTTTAAGAGAGTAACTGGCAAGGAGAGGCTGAAAGGCAGAGAACGTTCTCGTTAGCCAAAGAGCCCAGGATGGTTGTATGTACTTGGTTGCTTCTGCGTGTTACTAATCTCACATTGCTGATTTTCTGGGCCGTGAATTGAACACGAAGCGCATAGCTGTAGCTACTATCTGTAAAAGCGGAAGCTAATAGCAGCTAAAATATTTACTCATCCCTTCATGATCTTCTGGTGCCGAATCTCAAGAATAGGACTGACGAATTCAATTCTCCCTACAACAGTATGAGTATTCCAGCAGGCGTGTAGCGGCAGCAAGCGGTCTTGAGACGCTCGAGGAGATCCCGACAGGCCCCAACAGGCTCTCTCGAGACGACTTGTCCTGTTTACGTACAGGTATCGCAGCAGGCAATAGCGGGAACAGCGACGCTCCAGAGGATTGAGGTTTTGAACCACGCGTTGACCTAACAAAAGGATCCCACTGAGATTCTCCCAACACCCTTGGTTGCTCCGACGAGATGAGCGACGGACGATACGATAAGAAATGAAATCCTGCCCCAACCTGGGTATTGGAATCTCGCATGGATTTCAGATCGCACCATCGTGGATGAAAGGCCTCGTTGGCTCTATTCTAGTCTTCCTTAATGCTGCGATGTCAGATTCTGAATCGCATATGCAATTTCCTACGCTCCTTATACTATAGATTAGCGAGTCGAAGTAGTTGGAATTGAGTCAAATCTCCACTTGTACGTATCCCGAGAACTGAATTGAAATGACCACTCATAGACACAAGTCGAGTTTCTTCTCGGTGATTAGAAAAGTCATCTCGGATGGAGTTTGTAGTTTTTTCTCTTTATCAAAGACAAGGCAAAACGGAGCGATGCATTAGGAACTCAGTTATCCTGGGTGACTCCGGTACATTCATAACTATGATCTGCTTAATCCTGTCACACGCTCATGTGAGGGAGGTTACGATGGTTATCTATGGGTAGTTACTAATTGCTATTCTTGTCTATTTTACCAGTTAATAACCAGGTGTCATGGAACTATCGGGGATAGGTATAGCATAAGGTATCGTCTAGATAGTATCACTGTGCAGTTATATGCCTACCTAGCATCAACGATCTGGGCATGATATTTTGAAACTTGTGTATTCTATACGTTAATTGTCTATCTTCACCAGGCTCCATTCTAAGACAGATAGGAACAAGTAGGATGGTCTATAAAACATGCAGAGTAAGATCAATGAAGAGCGAGTTCATCCGGATTTTGAAGTCAAGACTCCCGCCCCGTCAGGTCTGACCGACACGGTAGAATAATTACTCATACCAACGCTATCGAGAATTTAATACCGCCCCTTGAAAAGAAAAAAATTCTCTCGCGTCTCAAATACTTGCTCTTGATTAAAGTTCCGACCTTCGACACCAGTTCAAGTTGCGTGTTGTAGTAACTACTTCTACTTAACTACCTTGGTGGGGTTGGCCAACGCGAGAAGACGGGTTCGGGTTCCCCTCATCAGCAAGCGCCTTACCGTAGTTAAACTAACAGCTCCGTGTTAATTACCACCTGCAACCTACGTATCAACAACGCAAAAAACACGAACAGCCAATATCCCAAGATGTCGATTCCCAACGAAGCGCTCCAGAAGGTACGTCGGAACATGAAACCGTCCCCAGGGAGGTAGGTACACATGTTATTTTTAGTCTCAGCGGCTAAGATTCGTGCGTGGCTACAGTTGGTGCAGGAGATCGAGTCGCGAGCCATCGTCTCGCAGCAGCAGCTTGGGCTCGTGAAGGCCCAGATCGGCGCGAAGCAGCGGGATATTCGTCTCTTGGAACTTACATCTACTGAGCTTGGTGGGCTACCGAAGGAGACGAATGTGTACGAGGGCGTGGGAAAGATGTGAGTGATTTGGGCACACTCGGTGGTGGTGGTGGTGGTGGTCGCGATTGGCGATCCTGGAGAAACTCCGGATCCAAGCTGGTGAACGAAAGACTGACAGGCCGGTTCTGGCGATCGTTTTTGTAGGTTCGTAGCTACGCCGATCTCGAGCGTCAACAAGCGTCTGGAGAGCGAGACGAGGGAATTGAAGACGGATATAACGGATCTGGAGAAGAAGCTACACTACCTCGAGACGACGCACAAGAACAGCGTGGATAATATCGATCAGATTCTGAAGTCTGGAGGGAGGGCGTAAAATCAAGCTATGAGCTACGAGACATGTCTCGTTCTTTCAGAAAGGGCTGGTGTTTCTCTGGCTGGGATGACGAGTTGAGGTCAAAACTCCATCCAAGCTGTACTACCGTGACCTTTCCACGTGCTTTCCACCCAGGAGAGGGTGCTCGTGGATCAAAATCTCAGATTCAAAATGAGAGAAAAAACAGCCGTTGGCGATGGTCAAGTACTTGTCTTGTCTGGGAGTCAGGAAACCACACTCGAGGCGACTTGACCGTCTTCAATGCAAATTATAGGATAGCCCCGCCTTATTGCCGACCAGCAATACCGGGCGGGCCATACTCTTTTTTCCCATCATATTCCCAATGTGGGAACGTTGTATGTATATAGCATTAGAAGCCTCACGAAAAGATACTCCAGAATAGCTGCCCAGAGCTCGCCACCGGCTTGTCTCGCCTTATCAGCAGCGAGATCCGGTGTGCTTGCTTTTGGGTCATCTGCATGTTGCAAGAAGAGGTTGAATCGGGCAGCAAGATGGTTGGTTCGGTCCACAGTCACGCCTTTCGGTCAGTCGCGCCGACGGGATATCATACTCTTGGTAGAACACCAGAGAACCGCCTCATGTGGTTCACGAAAGTGGCCTTGTCTGTTTTCAGGCGCTGGGAGAAAAAATATCAAACCACGTGTTGTTGGGCCAGCTTGCTGAGTGCCTTGTTTCCACGGTCATGATTCGAATGGATGATCACTGGCTATATGAAATGTTTCTTAATGTAGAATATACGTAAAACCAGCCACAACGATGTTCTGTATCAATCAAGAGCAGAAAAACCTACAGATAGATACACCTTGAAACACTCCCCCCTGCAGGAGGCGAAGAGCAAGATTCACTCAGAAAGTAGATTAGATACCCTAAGCGCCGTCCTCCAAGGTATTACAGCGCCAGGGCGAACCTAATAATCGTCATTTTACCTAGATACCCAACGTGAGTGGACGAAAGGGAAAGGATCGGGCTATCCCAGTAACTTAGTTACTGCTGTCTCTGAAAAAGGACATGATCGACTTAAGGTACCGGGAGGATGTTCTTCTAAGTTGTTCTTTTCTAATTCGCATACTCGGAAAGAAGGGTATGTGCGGAGTGGTTGGTTATTATTATTACTGTTCTGTGCATCCAACAAATAGTTACTTAATAGCTAGGATGCACTCACTCAACATGTGTGTAAGTACTGTAGATCTACCCATGCGGCGAAACATCAACATGTAGGACAAGACAGAAAACAGCAGAAAAAAGAGAAAAGGTCTGCGCCACTGTACGTACCTTAGGAGTAGGTACTTATTTTACTGGAGGTATATTCTACCATAAGCGCCTCTACGGCCCAATACGATCTTAGATTATGACTCCTGCGACACTGCCCTGTAAGTGGACCAGCCTTCGGCGCCATGAACCCGTTTCATAATCTCACGATTGCTCGATCGTCAATAACGGATGGAGCCCGATATCTAAGTAGTGGTTCAGTTGGTTAGTTGGACAGCGAACGCCTCTTCTCGAACCGCTGGCCAGCTCGACGATCGACTGTTCCGATCTCCATAGCCCATACGGAGTACTTACTCCTCGCTGGCACTAATGATCACTCTCGAACTATCGAGTAGGCACATAAGAAGCCTCATTCCCAGCGGGAAAGAAGAAAAAGGGATCGGTCTTCTGCCCCCATGCCCATTTTATCGTGTCACCACCCCCTCCCATTCTTCTTATTGCCCCATTGCCCACCCGCCGCAAAGTCCAGCTGAGCCGGTCCAGATACGAGCAGACGACCCCGCCATTGTATTATTACTTACTCTACGACGACTTTCGCATCTTTTCTTTTCTTTTTCATTTCCCCCTTCTGCCTTTTTCGTGCGTGTGTGATCTTCTCCCGCTAGATCCCACACAATAAAAAAAAAGAAGAATATCTTTCATCGCGAAACCTTGATCTGCCTCGGTCTTTGTTGTTGTCTGCCCTGCTGTGCTGTCCGCCCCCACATCTGCATCCGCAACTGCACCCAACCCGTCCGAGGAGAAACTGGACCAACGCTCTCTCTCAGGGCTTTCGGACGGTCCGTTGTGACTGGAGGGGATCCAGGTCAAATAGATAATAAATAGACCGCTGATCGCATCCCCCCCGTCTTCTTGAAGTTGGGGTGTGATTCTTTAAAACCGCCAGGCCAGGAGGGATAGTTAAAAGATACGGAGTACCTTCTATCTCAGGCAACAATCATCACCGGAGATCCAAGATGGCGAGGAGATACTCCTATTCCGAGTCATCGGAATCCGAGTACAGTGAGACGGATGAGTCTATCGATATCCCCTTCCCCAGGAAGAGGGTGGTCTACCGCCGACGCTCCATATCACGACACCGTGCCAGTCCAGATCTCTCCAATACCTATCTGAGCCCCGGTGTCCATATCCACCGTTCGGTATCGACGGGGCCCCGACGACGGAAGGAGGAGCCACCAACGCTCGTTGTCGATATCAATAATGACGTCCGGAATCGCGCTAAGAGCAAGACTCGTCTCTCCCGTAAAGACACTCTGTACGATGACTCGGAAGAAGAGACTCGACAGAAACATCGACGGCCGCGGGCACGCACCACCACCCGCGTGCCGTCTCCGCCGGTTCGTGATTGGGAAATGATGGTGGACCAACGGATCCTGGCGAAGAATGACGCACGTCAGGATCTCGAGTTGAACCGACTCGAGCAAGAGATTGCACGGCTCGAGCGGGAGGTTGCCCGGCGGACCGCGGAGGTGCGTCTCCTGAGACCGGGAGAGGATCGATACGAAGAGGAGACGGGCCGAATAAAGAAGCTGGAGAAGTGGGAAAAGAAACTGGAGGAAGCGCGCCGCGAAGCGGAATGGCGGGAGAAGATCAAACGGCGTGAGGAGAAGGAAGAATCCCATCGCGAGGCCGAGCTGCGGGAGGAATTGAAGAAATACAAGGAGAGAGAGGCAGCCCGTCGCGAAGCGGAATGGCAGGAGAAGCTGAAGAAGTATGAAGAAAAGGAGGCAGCCGAGGCCGAAAAGGAGCGCATCATCAAAGAGCTCCGCGATGCAGAGGCCCGCAAACTGCTGGAAGAGCAGGAACGCCAGAGGGAGCTTGCAAAGCTCAAAGCAGAAGCCATCGAAGAGTATAAGGCAAAAGAACTGGAGCGGATGGAACAGGAAAGGAAGGAGAAGGAGGAAAAAGAGAGATATTTCCGAGAGAGGCTAAAGGAACTGGGTTACGTCGAAGAGCAGATTGATAGCCTGGTTATCAACAAGGATAAGGAGAGCCGACGAAAGGAGGAGAACAAGACGACGTGGGTCAAGGTGAGAGGCCGAATCTACTTATCGTCATGGCTTCACTGTCCTGGATATGCTAACATCATCGTCTCAACTTCCAGGTCCACCGCAAATACCTCCTTCCTGAGACCTTGGATGCCTTCAACCTGCCATGGGAATGGGACAAAGTACGTCAATAACGCCCCAGTCCGATCCCAATCTTTTTTCTTCCAGTGAAATGCTGAAGCGATCGCAATCTGCTTCTGGTATGGAACCATACTGACCCTTCACAGAACGACAGGAACTACATCCTGATCAAAGAGTACATCTCCGAAGAAGTGCAGGAGGAACTCTTCGCCCACACCGAGCGCATTCGCGGCGGAAGAAAACTCATCGAACACACCTCCAGCTCCCAAGTCGAGCTCAAAATCCCCGAAAAGGGCAACAAAGACAAGATGTATCTCGTTCGCAAGAAGAGCCCCAGGCGATCGTGGATCTTCACGTGAGCTGAATCCGGGGATGCGGAAAAAGGGAAAAGAGAGCCACAAAAGCTTGGACGCAGTGGAGATTGATTCTGTATTTTGGATTCCGTCGCCGCTTTCCCCCACTTTCCCCATACTGAGTCTTTTGTTTCTGCTCAAGCATGCGTGATGTTTATCAGAATGCCGGCATTCGATTTTAGCTGTCTCTTTTTGTTGTCTTATTCTTTTTGGTTTGCGAGTATAAGAATGTCTCTGGGGATTCGGACTATATACCACCCATCTGACGAAGTTAGTGACGATTGTTGATACCACGATGAAATGAATGGCCTGTCTTGAGTTGATTGTAATGTTATGGCTGTTTCTCTCTTCGTTTAGATGCTTTGCTTCATTCTGCTGAAGCCTGACAAATCAATGACCTGACGAGTAGAGTTGTGATCTCACATTCCTTGCTTAACGTTACCCAAGGGGATATCAATAAAGTCCAGTACGCAGTAACTTCAAAGCAACAAAAGGAAATAACAATCGCGACGTCCATACAGCGCCATTCCAATATGGTTGTACATATATAGGTTCTGCATCATCATAATCATCGTACATACGACATACAGGGAAAAACAGCGGTTCCGCGAACCTGCATAGAACTCTCATATATATGAGTCTCCTGGTCCCACTCAGTACTTATCATATCACCGCCTGAGGCCCACCTTATAGACTCATCTTTTGTTCATTCAGTGCCCAGCGATTTTCCGCTCGCAGGATCAGTTCTTCGTATACCGTCCACGCAAGGGCCGAGCTAAGTGCCTTCCTCGCCATCCGGAGACCCAATCCGCCAAACAAACTACGCACTCCGTCCTCCTGGATCATCAATCGCGTTGCGCGTAGCATGTTCCCATACTTGCCAGGCATGAGCTGTAAACGGGTCTTGACAGCATCGAAAGGGTTAGTTATGGCGGTTGCGAGACCAGCGGCCATGGCACCCGAGGCGAAGTTGATCGATGGGGAAGAGGACGAGAGAGGGATGGCCCCTCCGCTCGAATCGATCAGACCAGCGAGGCGTCGCTTCGACTGCTCGTAGAAAACAACGTAGAGTCCAGCGTAGGGGGCATCCCGGACAGCGGTCGCCCCAAATCCGGCAAACAGACCACGGAAGCCTTCAGTGCGCACGATGTCGCGGGCTGCCCCAAGCAGACTGCGATAGGCATAGTAGTCGGACTCGTAGCGCACCTTGAGTACGGTTACGGGCATCATAACAAACCCTGCAGCCACTCGGGCGACAGCACCCGTGGCCAGGTTCGCCGTGTTGGAGAGTTTAGGGAGCGCAGATGAGCGGGCACCTGCTTGGGAATTCCCATGTTCGGGATTGGCAAGGACGCCGGGGGGCCCAGCTTGCGCGATGCCCTGACGCAGGGCATTGAGGGATGTGAAGTATAGGGCGGATCCGAAACCAGTTCGGAGTGCAGACGGCAGAGTACCGCGCCAGAGACTGCGGATGGGGTGTGGAGAGGAGAGTATGGCGTTAAGGGTTGTACGAAGGGAGGCGGTCTTTCGAGACTGCTGAACGCGTGTCTTGAGCAGGTCCGCAGGTTGGAGGAGGATCGAGGAAGTCAGTCCTGAGAGGAGGCCGGCTGCAAAATGAAAGGTTGTTTTGGAGGCTGCAGAGAGGGTCAGTCAGTCCATTGCATAATAACAATGCAGTCCTTGAAAGACACGTACATGTCGACGTCTTCAATTGCGACCCCGCAGGGGATCCATTCGACATTTCTGCCATCCGCTTCTGCGCTTCTGCAGCAGCTGGTATCGTCATGAGGATGAAAAACGAAAGAAGGATAAGTTGAAATTCAAATGACAGTTGACGATAGCATAACTCCGCAATGGCAATAACAAGGTCGAAGAATCATCAATGAGCAAGAAAAACGCCAACCACCCTGATGTTTTTAACCGACACTTCAATTCGTACTGATAGCCGGCCACATCCTGGGACCGATAAATGATCAAGAGAATGAAAGGGCGAGCGAGTGCAGCAAAATGAAAAGACGGTCGGGGAAGCTGGCGGTAGCAACGGGTTCTTAACAAAAAGTGGACGATCTGCAGTGAAGTCATCAGCAGCGGGATCGCCCTTATTGGTTGCGGATCCGGAGCCGCCGGCTGTTCGCTTTTGGTTTAGTCAGCTCACTGGACAGCTTCATGTCTTTAGCTTCATGTCTTTACCACTACTATCTATGGCAGAGTGCTCCTAGGGAGCCAATGTATACAGTCAAACTTAGTTGCAAACTTATCTAGTTCCAAAGATCACACAATTACATGCTCTCCATGACCAAGGTTATCACCTACTAGGTACATACATACCTTAGGTAGCTACCATAATGTGTCATTCTTTCGGCCTATCTGCAATAGATTAGCTTCCATGTATTATTCTTCTGACTCTCCCTCGATCCATCTGCCGCTTTTCTGTGTCGACGCTCTCTATCACCTCTATCCACCATCTTTAAAACGTTCGAGAACATGGGATTCTTTGCGTCTCTCGGGTAGGGTCGGAAGTTAAGTTCACGGGTGCCAATCCGTCCACATGGACGCTCGTCAAGAAGATGAGCGAGAGGGACGACCAAGATGATGAAGATCAATACCAAGAAGACCCGGCTCCTTCTTCAGCATGGGCCCTTTTTCAATGTAGAGAGAACAATAACAGCAACAACACAGCAATCATGAAGATATACATGCAGTCAGTTTCCCTCCTTTTGCATAGCTCATTAGGCTGTGTTGGAGCTCTTCGTCCCTAGCAGTAGGCTGTTCCTAGAGACAATTATTTGTTGACTTGTCGGTCGAACGGTGTTCAGAAATAGTGACCTGGATTTAGAATTCCATACGCAGGTTCAGAATTTGAATTACCAGCAGTTAGACGACGGCAAGCCGACGGTTTCGATCGTTTTGCGCATAACGAGTTTACGTCTCTAAAGACTTTAACGAGCAATCAATGCAAATCAACCCCATCACTCCTTGACTATAAAGATGAGAAGCAAGACGACTTTGGACCAGTCCCGGGTGGGTTCATTTTGTATCTGTTGATGAATGAGCTGCCGGGTGTTCGCCTCACGGATGACTTTTGGAACTTGGAAAGAGCCGAGCGTGATAAGATCCGCCAGTCATTCAAGGCTGCATGGGAGTATGTATCGCCCTTACTAACCTCTATTGCTCTATCTCCCTCTCCCTTTCTGTTCGTCTGTCTGTCTGCAAGGGACCAAGCTTTTCCTCTGGCGTCTATCATGGCTAATAAGTATTTTGCGTTAATATAGGGATTGCGTTCGATGCGGTGTCTACAAATTCGGGGCTGACATCTCGAATCTACTTTGGGATAAACATCGAGAAAAAATGTATGCTTTTTCTTTGTCAAGTCCTCTTCATATTGGCTGACTTATGCTTTGATAATAACAGTTACATCGTGGGTTTTCAGATGAGCCGCCCCTCAAGACCTGAAGATGTCTGGTGTGATGTCTGATGGCTCACATGGGGCTTAGCGAAGGGACAGCCAGGTTATCGGTCGTACAAAGAGGTTCCAAAGACCTCGGATACCTCTAAGTGGACAATGTGAATGTGATTCTGTAGCTCAACCCCCATGCGGAAAACTTCCCCCCTTTAACTGATGTTTCGAATGCTATTGCTTTCACGCTATGATTCTGGCAGGTCAAAAAAGAATCTGCGGTACTCATATGATTTTCTAATTAGCGTGCAGCAATGGTGATTTGGCATTCCCATTGTTTTGTCCGGATGGTACCGACACAGATCGTGGTGCCCATTTCAAGCAAGATCCAGTCAGTAACATTAATCCCATGAACAATCGACTAACTACCGCGCAAGTGCTTAAGTATGCCTCGTCAAGATAAAAATAGCATCCGATCCAACCAACACTATCACTAATCATACCATGAAAGACAATCCCTACACCAAGGAAAAGCCCCAATTTCTCAAACAAGTCATGCCAAGCTCCCTACCCATACAACTAATATTCCCTTCTTTCTCAGTACTGCACAGAAGCGCGCATCCGGTTATAATCCGCCTGCGTGATCGGTTCGTATTTGGCGGGATTCTGCTCGCTCATACAAGCAGGAATACACTCAATCAGAGACGTAGGATCCGGGCTGAGAAAATATGGAATCGAGTATCGCTCTCGAGTCATTCGATTTGGTCCCTCCAAACGGTCAGAGAGCGGCGGTAGGGCGACACGGTGGTTGGTGGAGCGTAGAGAATCTAGTTATCGTATTAAGTATTTAGTTCTGGACGAACTAAAACAAATAAAATAAAAAATAAAAAGAGAGGAGGGGTAATATTAAGCATACCATTACTCCACATCTGCAACAAATCACCCACATTCATAATAATCGCATTCTTAACCGGCGTTGCGGACACGAAAGTCCCTGGATTAGTGATATCTTCAACTTCCAAACCACCGCAGTCATCCTGAAATAGCATCGTGATAGTACTCCAGTCCGTATGCGCGGGACAGCGTGCCATTCTCTGGCTCTCAAGTTCCTCCGCAGGCACCGGTGGGTAGTGTAGCAGACGAATCTGGTTGTTATGGCCCGAGTGTTTCTTCAGGATGTAATCCTCATCGTTGTCGAGGCCGAGACCCAAGGCTATGGCACGCAGAATCTCTCCGCCCACTTTGAAACACTTCCAGTAAAATGCGTTCATGAAATTTCGGAATCCAGGAATGACTTCGTCTGGGATCCACTGGTTTGGCTGATCGGGATTATTCTCACTGCCAATATCGAAGCTCTCCTGAGAATCATGTTAGCACACACCGTCAAACACGCAATCATAAAAAAAAAAAAAGGCGCAGCAATCTCCCCACAGAAAAGCAGATACCTTGGAAACCAAATACCCTACCTTACAATCAACAACCTCCCTCAACTTCTTCACCAATTCCTCATCCCCATTACCACTACCCTCTCCCCGAGTCTTTTCCTGCGACACCTTCTCCAACCCCGGCCACGAATATCCTCTATGCACAGCCCATCCTTCCGGATGCGGTGCCTTCATCTTATCTTCGTGGCTGAGTGAAAATAGCTTCTTTGACCAGTCGAAGGCTTCTTCAAGTAATGTCTCTGCAAGTCCGTGGTTGATGATGTAGACGAATCCGACGTCTTTACAGGCGCTGACGAGTTCTTGTGCCACGCGGAGACGGGCCTCGGGATTATCATCTTTCCATAAGGAGAAGTCGATGGTTGGGATCTTGAAGGTGGATGTGGATGAGGAGGAGAGGTTGGTGCCGTTGATGGTGGCTTGGTTAGATGTGTTTGGAGATAGCATCTTGGGTCGGATAGAGAGGGTGTGTGTTGATTCGCATATGATAGCAGAATGGCAGAGTTGAATTTGATATGTCTTTAGTTCTCGATTCGCTTTTTAGTCACTGAGACTTCGAAAGATAGTTCACCACTTATATATATAGAATATCTTCACTTCATAATCAGTCTTATTGTCTCGACACAGTGAGCACAAGAAAACACATGCATGCATGTCTGCCGTATAATACTCACACTCTATAATTACCCAAGTTCAAGCTTCTCGAATCGAGACTCAACGACGAGAACCAGAACTTAAAAAGAAGGGTTCCATAAGACTTTCGAGATTCAACTCCTTCGATCGTTGGTTTTAATACCTACTTATCTTCGCTTCCCCCCGCGGAATATCTCCGCCGTTAGATAAGAGCAAGCTTAACCCCACCTATCAGGCTGTGTGAAGGCCGAATACCATAAGCCGCGGGGTATACAGAGATGGCATTCCGTAGTAAGTTCGGAATCGATGTGAGTACTGTCTGAATCGATATCTTGAGGCCATGTCTTGATTCATGGCAATATTTACGTTACGATTTTCTAGTCTATACTCTGGGGCTGTGAAGCCACCGCCGTATACATTGCCTCTTTCTCCTTGGATGATTGATATGCGCGGCAGACTACTTGAAAAAATGCAGAGAAGACGTCCAATAGATTTATCCATCATATTTCATTTCATCTATTTGGATACATAGGGGCTCATGGACATGCTTTATGCCGCACAAGCAGAAGCTGGCTAGGCAACTGCTCTAACCCCGCAAGGCGACTTCGAGAAATGTGGACGGCCGTCAGCGTACATTGCAAGGAAGAATATCTTTTTTTGTAATCCCTCAACCGTTCGCACCCGATCGACAGTAGTCACTCCGTCTGTCTTGCCACAACTTTGACCGTAAGCGTAAAACTGCATCATCTGCGATATGGGCAAAAGCGGAGTAAATAGAACAATAGTAAAACGGAGAAGCTTGAGAAAACCGCAGTGACGGAACAACAAAGACCAGGGAAACCATAGTAATTCTGAGGAACCTTTAATAGTCGGATAGCAGTAAAGGACCAAACGAAACCGTTTCCGCCACGAGATGTGCCTCCCCCCAAACGCCGTCCGATTGGTAGTAAAAGGCGGGTATATCCAGCACCACGATGCAAAATGTACGGAGAATAAAAAGGAGCGATGAAGGAGAAAGCGGACGTTAAACACGACACTCCCGCATAAAGATATTTTTTTTTTCCGTCGAGATTGTCGCCGTCATTTAGTTGGACTTTCCGCCCGGAGCGCCCCAAAAGATTATTATGTCGAAAATTTCTATCCCTCTCCATTATCTGGCCCCAATGCCGAACATGCCGACACCATAGCTGCCACTCCGTTCAGGTATCGGGGGCGGGCCTCTAGGAATATTGTCCTGAAAATTATTAGTACTCCAGCAGTCCAAGGCAGTCCAGGTATTATCTATACCTTCTTCCGCCTTTTCTTGCCGGATTCGCTGTTGGAATACAAAGCGTCATCGTCATCATCCACGTAGCCCTCGCCATAGCCCACGAAACTATTATCATCATAATGTCTCTTGCGCCCACGACTCGGTCGAGTGCGCTCGGGTTCTGTAGCAGTCGGCGTGCCATTCGGTTGACTGGGTTGTCGAGCAGCGTTTGGAGTCGCAGCGCCAGACACTTTCTTGCTGTCTCCGGGGCCTGGATGCTTCGGTGGCTTTTCATGACCCAAAGCATCCTCCCAGAACTCGTGGTTCGGAACCGTTCCCGGTTCCATCTTCATGGCCTTCATCTGCAGCTTGTAGAATGCTGAGTCGAGGTCTGCGACCCGTATCTCCTTGCCAGAAACCTTTTGGTTCTGCCACTCCTCCTCGGGCCACATCGTCAGGTCCCGCAGGCCGCCAGGCGCTCCCGGATCATGCTTGACGGGTTTATTCCTTCCCGCCAAACCGAGGCCTTTAAGCTTTCCCTCATAAGACTTCCTGAGCCGGTTGATCTTCTCTCCCGTGACGGGATCCGTCCTGGCAACGGATTTCGCGATGGGGCCTAGTCCATAGAGTGACACCAAATCCCAACTTGGATCTGGGCCTGTCATGGTATGGGCTATGAATAGGAACATCGCGTTAACACACGTCCACAACCAAGGAGAGAAACCAGAGTGTATATGTTGGACGGGGAAAAAGACCGCCACGGGGAAACCTTACAAGTTTTGCAGAGATGGAAAGCTGGGCCAAAATCTTTCTCTAGAGAGGACAAACTGAATTCTCCTTCGTCTCGAGAAATGCCCGCTCCTCCATCCACGTCCATCGCGTCTTCATCTTTGACTGTTGTTGAATCATTCAACTTCGTCCTTCCCTCTCCTCCCCGCTGTCGGTCATGATCTGACCGGTGATGTCCCGAATCGTCCATCGTCATTGAGTCTGCCATTGATCCCGAATCCTGGCCCTGTATCCGGGCGCCCGATTTCTCCGCATTCTCTAGATCTTCCGCAGATGCTGTTCCCATCAGGTGACCACTGACGCTGCTTGCTGGAGTAGGAAAAGAGTTTGTCGCCGCTACAGTCGGCTGCTGCGACAGCTGCGTAGACATCGGAGTTGAGGAAGGAGGTGAAGAGAGAGGTGCTGTTTGTGACGTCGTCGTCTGGCCGGGTGATGCCTGTGTGGTAGTGAAGCTGGAGGCATAGTTTTGAGACCCGACTGACATCAACGGAGGAGATGTGGGTGTCTGTGGAGTGTGATCGATCCCAGAAAGCAGCGGTTGGGTCGCCTTGCACGATCCAGCCGCTGGAGACGATGGGGAGAGAGGTCCTGCTCGGTAGGAAGTCGTCGAACCCGAGACCGACATGAGTTATCGGGAGCCGGTCAAGCGCAGAGAGTGCAGGCAGGAGCCTGAGCCGCCCAGAGTCTGTACCGACAACGAGATCTCGGGTCGCTGAATCGGCAATGAGGGCGAGAGAACGAGGTTGTGGCTGGGGTCTGCCGGGTGGAGGATGGCTCACCGGCCCTGGGGAGGTAGGATGCGACCGTTCTAGCAGAGGCACATTCCAATCAATCGACACGGCTGCCAGCAAGAAGACTGTGCAGGCAAGAGGATCGATAGGTAGACAGATGGTGAGGGGGATCGTAGGGAGGAGACTGATGGTCGGCGGTGGTTGTCGAGCGACGCCCTTTGTTCCTCAGTCTGGGAGAAAGCGACGTTACGAGGTGTTGGATGACGGCAAAGGCGAGGAGAGCCCGCGCACGTGACTGGCCGGGCTCGTTTCGCCTGCTCGCGGCGGCACGCGCGCTGGTTGGTCCGCGCCCGCCGGTTCTGGGCCATCGCGTCTCCATGGGGGATTCTCATAGTTAGTTAATACCATAGTTAAATAGTTAAAAAGATAGCGGGTTATTACAGAATACAGCCACCATCACGGTGTTTCTTATCCATTGTCTCTATCCTAATTTCGTTGAGTATCCTATTATCAGGTCGCCCAGTCCCAGTCAACAAGTTGCTTGATTCTTTCTTCAGCGCATTGTCCTCGCTCGCATCGCACTATGTGAGGCTGGTCTCTAAGTAGTCCCGCAAGGCAATAGTTACCACTCGTAGTCTAGTGTCGGGAATTACTATGACCAGTGGGCCATGATATACCATCCCTTCCATCTATCATCCCTACGGACCAGACAGTGACTGTGCTACTAAATCATTCCCGATTGTTACTATGGTCCCTAGCCGCGCAGGGATACAGTAGCCGGTGAGGGGGGCAAAAGTCCGACCAACCGGGGCGCATCCCATCCTGCTGGTCAACGAACGTTCGGTCCCGTGACACGTGCAGGCTTCCCACTCCTCCTCGACGAGCTTTTTCTGTAGTTGGCCGCGAAACTGAGAGATGGAGATGGTGATCTATCGACGGTGAAGGGGAATGGAATGCAACGTCTACCTTCTTGTCTGTCAAGATAAATGGCCTTTTTAATCATTTCCTAGTACTACGTAGTATGGCCAAGAAGCACACGAAGAATGGGTTTCAAACGGCTATGAGGGATGTACCCTTATATAGAAGATGGGAAATAAATGGCAAATCATTCCGTCGAAATACAGGGTATTATTGCTTCCACACAGAGTCATCAACCTGTCATTCTCGTCCACAAGCATACCGATTCGGGAGACGTGACGAGATTATAGACCATGTTCGTGCACACATCAAATACCATCAGAAAAGCATAGCCAGATCTCGCAGGAGACCCTTTGTTTGCTACCACCAGGGTGCACCACAGAGATAACGAGCGCCTTGCATATGAAGCCCCAACTCGCTTATTGATATAATATGCCAAAAAGAAAAGCCGTCGCTGCCGTCCAGAGGCCGTCATGAGATGCCTTGTCCATCTATATATAGTGGGTAATAATCCAAGTCAGGAGGCTCACGATCGGTAAAAAGTAGCCGATTCGTTCACTAGATACGCAGAAACATCCGGGATGTCCTCCTCTAAGGACGCCATCAATTCGACTTGCTCTTGCTGACTGAGAGTCCGGTTCCGCCACGGAGGCACTGGATATGGCGCATTCGAATACTGCGAGTACTGATCACCGATACTGCCTAGCCACATCGGATCAACGCTTGCGTCCACATATGCTAGGTGGCTGGCAGTAGTCGACGCAACAGTGAAATTCGGATCCCAGCCCGGAAGGCCGGGAACAACGGAGGGAAACGTATTAAAAGGGGTAGCAGGGTCGAATTCATAGCCGGCAAAGTTGGTGTTGAACGGTACATACGACTGGTTGCCGTAGTTCGCCTGCTCAACGCCTTGCTGGGTGGATACCTGAGACTGAACTGGCGGTGCAGTCGTGAAGATCTGTGGTATCTTCGATGCCTCTACCGCAGGTACGTTGGGACCGGAAGAGAAATGAAATGGAGGATCCGCTGAATGCCCCCTTGAGACCGTCCCCGTCGAGGATCTATCTGAAATGGAATAATCACCGCGTCGGGGTTGTTGTGTTGAACGTATTGACGTGGTTGTAGTACTGGATGGACTAGACATCGGTGGTGGTGTAGCGACGTCTTGCCCTGACGAGGGAGTCGCGTGGTTGGATGGTGAGTGTACCACGAACGAATCTGCGGTATCGTACGCTTTCAGGCACGCGGAGATAAGGCTCCTATACAGCCGCAGGGCGGACTCCACCCCGGGCCATCTTTCCGCAGCCAGTTGAAGTCCTTCAAGTGCCACATGGATGTACTCGAGCACTTCATCAAGAGGGTGTTCCTGCCGAATTTCTGGGTAAGATAGAGACCAAAGAATGGTATTCAGAGCCATGAAGAGAGATTGCGTAAAGATCCAAGTCAGGTCAACGGACCCGGTGGCAATCTGCTCGCGATGCATTCCCACATTAAACGCCGATGCTTCATAACACATCTGAGCAGCACGTAGGGAGGGCTCGGGAACCTGTGGGGATGGCCGAAACATGAAGACAATCATTGTATTACGTCGCCCTTTGAACCTGCAGGAAGGTGTTATTCGCATTTCTCTGTAGCGTCCGAATTTCCATGAGAGGATGCGCTTACCATTTCTCACTCAGACCGCTTCCTCCATCATTTTTCGGACAAGAAGCGACCCAGTCATCTAGCTTTGCGAGCATTTGTGTAAACCATGGATCCTCGTCGTTCACAGGAGTCTCTCGCTTTTTGAGATATAGAGTGCGTCTGATCTCTGCCTGCAGAAGACGCATTTTGAAGAAGTGGATGGCGATGCATTTGGCTAATACGGGCTTGGCCCCTGGCAAAACCCCTTCGGGTGTGATGAAGCGATCATCGACTAGCTCAAAGAATTTCACGTCAATGTGGTCGTGGCTGATGCAGAAGGCGCTGGGACGGCCCAAGCTATGGGAAAGGCCGTACTCCATGGAAGTGACAATCCAGAAAAGCCTCCTTCGCATTTCGATCTCAAGCGCATTCAACGGCTCACCGGTTGGTGATCGAGTGATTGTGGATTCTTCTGTCAGACGTAGGTCCTGGCAGAGTTTTACCGCTACGCCGACAACCCAGTATGCAGCAGTCCTCGTCGGGGTCAACAGGGAGTATTGAGCGATAAGGACCAAGCATTGGAGAGAGCCCAGGTCCATCCTTCTTAAGGAAGGCTCCAGGAATGGCAAAGCTGCCAGATAATAACTATCTGCCAAACCTGCATACGCTGTGCTTAGCTTTTGCATACTAATTGCAATGACAAGTCGCAGCTGGAAATTTTTGCAAGGGTCATCGCAGCCGTTGAAGACGTCTTCTACGTCTTGTCGGAACGATGGTTCGTGGAGAGTGGGGAGCATGTATTGTGCTGGTTATCATTAGCAAAGACCTGTTCAATTCTGCGTAGATAGGGAACTTGGGACGTACCCCGCACCACGAAGAGGTCGATAAGCCGATATGTCAAGTTTCGAGGTGGAAGCTCTTCCTGCGGCATGGAACTAATCATAGGATAAATCTTTGACGTTGGTTTAGAACTTTCCTTAGTGAAAGTATCCTTAATTTCCTGCGCTGTCACTTCGGGAACGACGTCTTTGATGCTTTTCGAGTCCGTGTTCTGCTTCGCCATCTCCATGACCAAACGGGTAATTGCGAGACCGCTGGATGGACCGAGATATTTGGGCTCGTCATTCTCCTTAAATTTGATACGGCCGGCACCTCGTACCATCATCTCCGCATTCGCAGCATGCTGTATGTCCCGCTCAGCTTCCGCAAGCTCCCTTTCTAACGTACGGGCTTTTTCCCTCAACTGTAGAATATACGTCCTAGGAATGGTACAATTCCTGGCAGGATCGTAGTATACACATCTCGCATTGCTCCGTTCACATGGCTCGCATCGTGGAATTCCCGGATCGCATCTGGATTTGCGCTATCACAGAAGCCACATCAGTGGACGTCGCACAAAAGAAGGATTACAGGCCATTCCGTTACTGGCCTGATAGCCTAGACTCACCTGTCTACAGCGCGTACAAGCAGTTAAAGTGTGCGCAATCCGACCATCTGGAATGTGCACTGATTTCTGTGAACCTCTCGACGAAGAGTGCCTCCATGGATCCGTAAACTCGGGCCCGGACGGAGAGGAGTTCCTCTGCGCCATGGTTGAAAACCCCCGTTATCCCCAAACAAGGGCCACCAGTGTCGTCAAAGAGGGTTCGATGGTCTGTGTCACAGAGATTCTCCAGTCCGCCAAGTGACCTTGTTTCAAGATCCTAGATTGAAGAGATCGGAGCTCGGGCGCAATGTCGGGGTGAACAACGACGCCGTCATGATCTCCCTAGGAGCTGTCAGGACACGTCCGGGGCCCCAAACACAGCACGAGGAACAGGAGGGCTGGTCCTACGTATATTTTTCACGTATCTGAGTTCGAATTGACCCAGCGTGTCTGGTTGATCGGATGCTGAAGTGGCTGTCGCCGATGGTCGGCGCCGCAGCCCAGATTGGCGCAAGGTGCAGTCCGTCTGTCGTCCGGCCTTGGTATCAGAGGGCAAGCGTCTCGTCCCCCTGGTCTGTATAGAGTAGAGTAGAGTAGAGCAGCCACTGCCAGCCAGAGAATCTGCCCGAAGCCTAGACTTTGGGGAGACGAACAATAATACTCGGTTCTCAGACTCACAGACTGCGCCGTTGTGAACGACGGCCCGTGACTCGTCTGGTGGGGCTGGCGTGGGGTCCCAGAGCAGAGTCCATCCGCCAAAAGTACTAGAGTCGAGTTCTGAACCACAATCCTACCACTAGCGACCTCTTAGTTGGCCTCTCATTCAACCTGCGTTGCTGACGCTTATCCGGCCTTGCGGTTGGAGGGAAGCAGAAGCGGTCGCTCTCTTGACGTCTAGCGAGCTAAATAATCCTAGTCCAGCGCCCTTTTCCTATCACCCGTCTCTCCTGAGATATTATTATTACACCCGGACTGCGAATTGATGCACTGGAATGTGTTCTGTCTCTTTTCTTGGACTAGAGTATCCAACCGTTGATCACCATCCGTTGGTCTTATGTACTACATGATCGACGTTCCCCGTTAACGTCTCGAAGCTCAATCCGCTACTCGCACTGGAGGAGGGACGCAGACGGAGACAACCGCAGCAGTCACTTAGTCGAACCCCTCCGCCGCATGCGCTGGATGAAAAAGCCTTGGGCCCCATCTGAGATCCACCAATATTGATCCGTTGAACGCCTCCGCGGAGCAATCAAGCTCGTCAGTGTATCTCTTTCTCGTGGCATCTATCTGTCCGGCCCCTGAATGCTCGGCTACTGTGCACTACTTAGCCGTCGTGGAAGGCTTCACAGTTCACACAATATTGTTGTTGCCGGACAAGAACGCCAGTTCCGGCTCCGGCTCCGTGACACTGCGACAGCCCTATAGGATCCAGCCCACTAGTCGCCCGTCCATCACTGTCATCCAAATTTACCGATAAGGCTGGCTGCCATTCAGCTCATGCAGGTCCTGCGCCGGGCACCATCAGCTGCACGAAACGCGGTCTAACCAACTGACAGACAAACTAGTTGGCGGTGGTGAGGTCAGTTACATAATATGATCTCCTCGGTCATATTCCATTTCCTGAACGTTTTTCTCTCAATTTGCACCGTCACCTCGCTCCTGTCCCGCAGTCCTCCAATTGCCGTTCTTCAGGCTTGTCTGTACTCTGCCGGAGATGGAAGCGATATAACCATAGTCAATATGCCCGTTAATCATGTATGTCTTTCCTGGACTAGCATGCTGACTGTTCCGTAGATAATGTCCGAAGACGAGGATGTCCACAGCATCATTTCTGGAAAATCCTTTGCTGAAGGTCAGTCGACCTGTGGCAGCCTGCTCCAGGTGTCGCACCGCAAAGATCAAATGTGATGGGAAGCTACCTGCATGTTCTGCTTGTGAGAAAGCGGGCAAAGCAAGTAGCTGTTCCGGAGCGACCGATGAATTTGCCAAAGGAAAGGAAAGGAGCTATGTAGCATCTCTGGAGGGGCATTGCGAAAGACTCGAAAGGAAGATTCGTGAGGTCCGTCGTCGTCAGCAGGCTCTGACACAGGATGGCTCCGAAACTGCCCAGGAAAGTTCCATCACGTCCATCTCAGCGGGGGAATTCAGGGAGAAGGCACGCCGTAAGGAGGTATCTGATATAGATGACCTTGTTGGAGATTTTGGGTATTTGTAAGGAGAGCGATAGGCAGTGTCTGCGACCATCGCTAACCAGTCCCAGATCTGTCAATGCCACATCGAGAGATTTCAAGGGGATCACATCGCGGACTTCATTTGCGCAGCTCCTTCTCACTGTCGCTATGGGAGAACCGCTTCCTCGACACCCGTCGAAGACCCTACCGCCTCGCCATGAAGCCACAGGACTTCTCGAATTCTACTTCGATAATATATTCACCCAGCTACCGTTCTTTGCGGAGACAAACTTTTGGACCTCTGTAGATGCAGTATACCAGGAAGGTGGCCGTTTTGCGAAGCCCTTCGACCATTGGATTGTTCGGATGGTACTAGCCATCGCGTCCACTTCGTTTTCGCAGCAACGCGGCGACCAGGATCAAAAGAGAGCCCTCTCCTTGGTTTCCGCAGCATTGGATTATTCAGAGGATGTTCTTCACCCGGGATCAATACCTGGCATCCAAGCTATTCTATTGCTCGCCCAGTACTCTCTAGTTGACCCCGAGCATTTTCGCAGCTGGTATTTGGTCGGATGCGCTGCTCGAGTCATGGCGGATCTTGGGTTGCATCAGGATCTACCTTCGGGTGCCATGGCAAAGGATCGTTTGGAACTGCGCCGTAAAGTCTTCCATTGCATATACTCCTTAGACAGGTCCGTTACCTCTTCCTATGAGTGTGTTTACTACATGCTGATGTGCCCAATCAGATACGTGAGCACAGTGTCACAGCGGGCCTTCACATTCTCAGACGACTCCGTCAGTGTTCCTCTGCCTCCTATCACACCTTCATCTACACAACCGGCCGCCTCGTACCAGAATCATGTCTTCCTCAGAAGCACTGAACCGGCGTTCTATCTATTCCAGATACGTCGCATTCTGTCATCCGGCTATCAAGAGATGTTTTTCAATAATCATAATCCGTCACCGCAACCACTAGTCCTCACATGGACAATATGTGCGAAGGCTCGCGACTGGTTTAACAAGGCCCCGAAGAATGCACCACATTTCTTCACTCTCCTGTATCGCCTAGAGCTGCTTTATACCATTGTCGTGGCAGTTTCCCCATCTCACCGGGATCCTTCGATTTGCGATTTCAGCAAAACTATACTCTTCGACCGGGCCATTGATTACATCAGTCAAGTCCATCATGTGATTGGGAACACTGGATCGTTACCATTTTTGACGTTCATCGATATTCAGCGAGTCGACTATGTTGGGCGACGGTTGATCGATCTGCTGAGCCAAGACTATGAGCTGCTTCTCAGCAATTCTATCCCCGAACCTCCTCCGGTACCAGCGGGGACTCCAGAACCGCCCTATCTAGCACCGGAAGACCGCATCAATTGTCTTGGCAGAGCAGTGAGGTGTTTCCGCTACATTCGAGACATTTTGGAGTTCTCTGTGCGAAAATGGAATGCGCATGAGCTCTTGGAAAGATTTGAACTAGACTCGACAGTCGTAAGGCGGCGACTCGCAGAGACTCCTGCAGTTTATAGGGCCCCACCCCATACATCCTTTGTCACTGGGGAGAATATGCCATTGAATAGCTCCTCCGGTGGATATTCTGGATTTGGTCCTGGAAATATGACCTCTCGCAGACCTTATTGAATCTGCGTCCCCGCCCTAATGAACGGTCGCCCGACATACGGATTGAATGAGCGCCACGTTATCTGGCACCGTTCCTTCGGGAGGTGGAATCTCACACTGAAGTCTGCCAGCAGGTTACACGTTGAGAACGCCTTTGTCATCAGTTCCTCGTGTCACTACAATCAGTGATGATTTTATCCTGAAATGAAGATACCCAAATTTACGATTACAAGGAAATCTCAACGGCACAAATTATATATGCGACGGGTTGCGCTTTCGGCGTATGAACTCAACAACATTATTGTCTGTAATTTCAGGAACCGGTATATACGTACCCATGCATATTATATATCGCTTGTTGGTGCGGGTTTCTGCGATAACACGTCATATACTTCGAATATTGGGGAAATATTTCCAGCACTCTGAATAACCCATGCGCGTATATACAATGGATAGTACCAATGTCGAGGCATCGTGCAAGAAGAGGAAAGAAAGTCGTTACTGATAGTACACGCATGTATAGTATATATTGGCTTTCTGCAAGCTCAAGTCTCCGGCACTCTTATGCGATGCGGACCCGGACTGTTCGTAAGATGAGGATAGGATTATGGCAATCTGGACTGGGGAATCCATACCAATCCTGCTCTTGCTACCTTTAGAATCTTGGGAGCACCTTCTGTGACCTACCAGGTACTGTAGCTCTTGCTTGCTCAGTATCATTCGTCACTGGAATAGCTATCCCGTCGTTGATATCTGGGGCGGAGTAAAATCCCGGCCAACGGCGTAAAGCGTAACCATCACGCCTCTCATGTGTAGGAGATAAACTCGACCTATTTAGTATATACTCCACCTTGATTGTATGATATAGCAGGTGAGGTCGATGAGAACAAGAATTTCCTCGTGAAGGCGTGTTCTTTCTTAACTACGTTATTTTCATATCCGCAGCTTTTTGGTAGGTTATGCTTTTGCGTAGTGGGTTATCTTTTTGCTCGTCTTACCCTATATACAGGTAAAATGGTTGAAACAGACGAATTATGCGATCTTAACACTGCGCCTATGTCAACTGCTTCATAAGTCGAGAACCCATCGGCTGACAAGTCTACAATAGAACCAATTATCGAATGCGTTATAAATGTATAAAATCAGTATAGTAATAGTACTTGAGAACTTGGAACTCTCCAGAGAAGGGCGAAAGGGCTGTGCTACTAAAGCATTAGTCCACCTAAGCTAGTACCTGAATGACTATCTTCCAGAATAATGATCTCGGCACTCAAAGATAACAATACCTCAGCCACAGCGGCTTGCACTTCCACCTGATGGCGGTGTCTAGGTCTTGCATCGATCCTTGCGTCTTTTCCGATTGTAGGACGCGGAATAATGGACCGCAGGGGAACCAGGGTTCTTCTTCCAACTGGGAACAAGCAGGTCCCAGGAGATGACCAACGCGTTTTGACCCCGTATGGCTGTGCAAGCCTGCCACGACAGTGGGACCCTGGTAGAGTAAAGCTATGAGGTACCGCTGGCGTGGAAAGGTCCGCATACCTTTCAAAGCTCCCTACTGCAAATCAATAAACCTCTGTCGAATCGAGTGTCTCAAGATTCTCGAAATTATATGACGACGTGGATCGGCCAAATTCGCCTTTCTTTGCTTCTGCTGTCGCGTGGTGCAGGATAGTTAAGAGTATGACGGAAGTCAAGGCCCTGTTCGATTATATAATCCGGGCTGGGGGCCACAGAAAGCATCTCGATCATCTCATGGCGTAATTAGACAAAACCGGTCAGATATTGAATATTGATGTATCCCAATAGCTCATTGTTGTGATGCTAGTCCCCCTGACTGCTACACAATAATCATATGCACCGCCACCTTTTCGTTCCCGGCGCGCGGGGGAGTATGTGAAATATTGAAAGTGATAATCGCAAGGGGCGCGTACGTCTAGATCTTAGATTAGGGCCCACTCAAGTCCATATAGACTTAGAGTGATGGTTCCTCTGCGAGTCTGGGGCGACGTCTATCTTATACAAGGATACCCACCACGGATGATAGAACCTTCGATCGCCGCCCGAGGACCTGTAAACAACAGCCTTGTCATCCTCCTGGGAGTCGGGACATGCTCTGGATCTGAAGTAGGGCCAGCTCCATTGAACGCTACAGGAAGAAATCGGATTATTCTCGCGGGTATGGAAGCACGAGCGGTCAATCGTACGAAAAACAAGACGCCAAGTCTCCGTGTGGTCTATCGTTGCCAGTTACCTGTATTAGCCATGTCTCGGGCCTGTCTAAACACGTGAAGCTATAGAGCATGAACCCTCCCGGCGAAGTAAAAGGGCCCAGAACCAGGCGAGGAGGCTTGTGAATATCCGGAAATGGCAACACTACCAGGTCAATGGGTGGTTTTGTGTCCGTAACAGCGTGCACTCGAAAGACAGGCCATGCTTGATGTCGCGATGTCTAGTTAATTCGTGTCATGACGTCAAATTGATGCGGTGCAGGCGCTGAGCAGGGAAGAAGTCGAGAGGATGTATCGACAGACAAGGTTTGAACTCACGATGCAACTCCTGAGCCGTGTGCGCCAATCTCTTACTTGAACAGGATAAGAGACACCTGCCGTCTCTTCCCAGCTCGATCCAGAAAAACGAGAACCGCCCGTGCTTTTGCTGTCATAGCTTCTTCTTGGCTTGGGCTCTTAGGGCTGGCCCACCTGGGAAGCTGGGGATGGCGAACGACGTAGGAAGACTAAGCTTGCCATTACTGCAGAGGCTGGAATAGCAGAGACGGGAACAGACAACAACCATGGCAGCGAGACGACGCTCAGTCTCTGCGTCCGTGTAAGTAAGTTAGTAAGTTATCCAGGAAGAATTCCGACGATGGGTTGTCCAGTGACACGACACCGTGACGTCAACCAACCAAGCTCCCTTTGGGCGCCTCCTTTGTGAGGCCATGAATCACTCCATGCCAAACATGCACATTCCCTCCCTCACGCAACCAAACCCCCCTTGACATTTATAACAGTCAATGGCTCTCTCTCCTGCCCATCTTCTCCTGAATGTTTTGACTGCCATATACCCTGAAGCCCTCCAATACAGTGCTTACACCCACCCCCATACCCCCTTCATTCCTCAAGTGATACCCCAGTGACGGCTGTACTACTAGACGAACCTCGATATCCCCACACAGTATAATTTCCCTAATATACCCTAATTGCTGCTGTCGTTGAGCTCGATCCTTTTACTTGACTTGACTGGAGACTCTCTTGGTGAAAGAACCAGCAATAAACAAACCGGTGCCATCATGTCGCCGAAAGCAGTTAACCGTCCTGTCGACGCCAAGCAGAAGGACAAGGCAAGTCCATTGTGCTAACACTTCGATTCCAGATCAGAGCAATCATGCTGACAACTGTATTGACAGGACATCAACACTAAGCTCCAGCTCTACGGCATCTACTCAGGTAAGTAGCCTAGATTCCAGCTTCCTGAATCATTATCAGATTGTACGAACTGACGACTTATATTACAGCCTTCGAAAATGGAAAGCTTCCAACCGTATGGCCTCCCAATTGTGCTCCCATCCATAACGAGGACACGTGTATGACAACCCCCACAGAATAGGCAGTGTGATGTCGCCTTGAACAGCGCTCTCAAGTCTAAGGCTCTCACCTCTCCCCCGAAAGAACTCTCCAGCGAAGGCCGGCGTCTCGTTCAGGATCTGCGTGACGTCATTGACCAGTCCAAAAAGCTCTGGCTCTCCAAGAACGACGGCAACCTGCTCCAGGAATTCATCTGGAATGCCACGCATCTCAATGCCGGTCAAGCCAACAAGCCTAATGTGCCTATTGACAAGCAGTCCGCACAGCAGGACGGTAGCCAGGCTCTCGAGGGTTTGAAGACCCTGGGAGAGCTCCTCATCACGAACGGAGAATTCCGAAAGCTTCGTACGTCGCTTCATTCAAGAGAATTGAAAATTTTTGTGCTCAATACTGACAACCTTGCACAGTCAGTGATGCCACTATTTTGCTTCGTGACATTGCAGGTGACGCTGCTTTGAAAGCGGGCAGCAAGGTCAAGCCTTCCGAAGAGCAGCTCGCTGCCATCGACGAACCTGCCCCGGAGAATACTTGGCACGAGAAGCCCAACATTTCCGCGGACCAACTGAAGTCTCAGGTGAAATCTAAGACGCAGAGGAATGCGCCCGGGGTAAGTTCGATCTTTAAAGATCTCAGATGAGTTAAAGCACCATATGCTTATTTGACAATCAGGACCGTCAGACTCTCGAAGAAACTGCAAACACTGCTACCCAGGCGGCCACGGGTGGTCAGGATCCCAGAGAGACTGGCAACATTGATGTCCGCTCCGGGGCTCAGGCGGCCACCTCGAAGGCCCAGGAGGCGGTTGAGCAGGGTGTTCCAGAGGAGACGAAGGGCCAGGCGCGCGAAGTCACTCAAAAGACGAAGGAAGTCACGAATGAGACGAGGGAACGTACGAAGAATTACCTGAATGAGAAGGTTCCTGAGGAGCGACGGGACCAGTTCATTGGACGGGTCAAGAAGATGCTCGTGGAGATCCAGAGTCACCCTGACTGTAAGTACTCCTGCAACGAAGTCTCAGACCGACGGCCAACGAGATTGCTGACATTGCTATCGCGTTTTTTAGACCAGCAAGCTATTGAGACACTGCTTACTCTCGCCGAGAAGTACACAGGTCACGGCAAGGATCTGACTTCTCAGACTGGTGGATCAGTGAAAAACCTTACTTCTGATGACAACCTGAAGTCCGCACAGACTAAGCTGAGAGTACGTCTTCCCGCCGCATGTGAATCGATGTAGATTATACTGACGGGTGTTCCAAGGTCCTGATCGAGCGTTTTGCCAACTACACTTCGACCGATGATTTCTTCGATTCTTTGAACGCCATCTACCGCGACGCTGACCAGGATTCTCAGCTTAAAGGCTGGTTCAAGCATGTAAACTCCTTCATTCGGTAAGTGGATGATGTATAGAATGTAGTCATTATATCAAAAGCTAATCTTAAGTCAATTAGAAAATGCCTGCGGGAGCAAGGCTACGTCCTGAAGGATGAGGCGACCAACGAGTGGAGGGAGCTCTATGACGACGGTCGCTTCCTGCTGCGCGAGCGCTACAGAAATCATACCGACCGTGTTGCCGATGAGGTCAAGTTCTTGGCCGACCAGTTCAACCAGGATCCTCAGAACAGGGCCTTTGCAAACTCTATGGAGAGACTGTTTAAGGACCTCGGCCAGGATCAGAGCGGAAAGCCTGCATTCAAGAAGCATCTGATCAAGGATATCACCAACGTCATCTTGCCAACCATCTTTGAGAACGTTCGCTACGTCCCAATCCCTCGCATTGAGGTCTCTGACCCAATGGTCGATGTGATTGTTGAAAATCTGGTGATCGAGAGTGACAGCTTGATGCCGAACGTTGTCGAATTTGGCACCGACAACTATTGGCGCTGGGGTCGTAAGAATATCGGCAACAAGGCCGACAACAAGATGATGATTTCTGCTTCCGGTATTCAGCTTGACTTGAGAGATGTCAGCTACTATGTCAAGAAGAAGCAGGGATTCCCGTCGCTCACCGACCTGGGTGTCATGGATATCTTCCTTGGCGGCGAGGGATTCAGTTTCAAGCTTGCTGCTTCCAATGCTCAGAAGAAGGACCGACAGAACTTGTTCAAAATAGACGATGTCAAGGTCAAGGTCCACAACCTTGACTTGAAGGTCAAGAAATCCAAGCACAAGGCGCTCTTCACTGTGTTCAAACCCCTGCTGTTCAAGGTTGTCCGTCCTGCTCTTGAGAAGGTCTTGGAGAAGCAGATCCGGGACTCCTTCGAGAAAGCTGACGCCTTTGCTTACGATATCCAGACCGAGGTGAAGCGTGCCCGCGAGTCTGTCAGGGAAGGGGAGGATCTCCCGAACGTCTATTCACAGTACATTAGTGTTTTCCGCAAGAAGATGACGGAGAGTAAACAGAAGGCTGAACAGATCGCTAAGCGCGACACCAAGGTGCAGACTGCAGTCACGCACCATGACTCCATGTTCAAGGATATTAAGTTGCCTGGCGGTATTAGCAACAAGGCGACTGAGTACAAGGAGCTTGCGCAGAAGGGCGAGCGCTGGCAATCTCCCGTGTTCGATTGGGGCAGCGCATCTGAATCCACAGATTTGCCTCGTGCCCAAGAGATCAGACGCAAGCCTCATAGCACTACCCAGAGCCGCCTCAGGGATCGTGGAGAAGCAGGCCAAGAGAATGGCCAAGAAAGTGCTTCTGGAAGATACGCCCTCACCGACGCTGATACTACCAACGCCTACACCAACGGTCGTACCACGAACGGCTACAGCAACGGCGGATACAAGGCCACTGCACCCAACGGAAGCGTTTCTGCTACCAACGTGGACGGATACCCCACTGATGGCTTTTCAAAGCAGATCAACCAGGCCTTCTCCGCAGACACCTCTCGTGATCTCTCCGGTACTCTCAAGCAGGGTTCTGATGGTCTGACGGTGCCTGGGACCTCCGCTACCGTTGACCGCGTCTAAATGGCCAACAGGACCCGGTAGGGAGAACCTAATGCGCTGATACCCAAACAGTCTGTTCTATGACGAATAGATGTGCTACTTGCAACGCGTGATACCATTTCCTATGTATTGTGTTTTCGTGATTGATTTATGCGCAGATTCTGACGGCCATGTACCTGACGGGACAGACGCCGTAAACAACAGCTAACATGATGTCAAGCATATTATGACCAAGCCGTATCCAATCCTTTCTTATTTCATATCATGCGATCTAATCTTAATACTGCTACCCTCGAGAGGGCCATGAGACTAATACAACCCTACAAAAACAAACACCATTCATTTGCGTTCTGTACTACTAGCTAGTCTTTGTCAGACGAATCTCATTTCTCTTCCGTTTATTTATGATGAACCTTCAGCTCTATCTTGAAATGTCCTAAGCGGAGTTTCTGCTTCTATAGTATGACGCGGCTAGAACCTGTTCTCGCGACACATGGTGTATTCTACACTATTAGAATACTTATTGGGCAAGGGCTGAAATCTACCTTGGTGGATTTCGTCATTGCCTTGGTACTACACAACGCTATCGAGGTCTGAACGCAGCTTCTTAGCATCTAGTTTTCCCTCTCATTATGGCCGCACAAAGGCCGCATGGACTTGCTAGATCTTTCGGATCTAGATTTTTTATGTAGTGACAATATAAATACCTACGGAGTAAATGTCCCCGTTCAGGATAGACCGTTTGCTTCCCTGTCATAGGATTCGACACATCAACAGCTTGTCAATAGCCTCAGATACAAAATAAGAGGACCGGGGCAATCTCATCCATTGCTGGATGCGCAAGTATAGCGTTGCTTTTCGTCTTTCCTTCGCTCTTTTCGTACCGTGAACAAACTCTGGCGTCGACGAAGAGTAGTTTCATGATCTTGTGGTACTTATATATCGTACCGCACACTTGTGATCGATGCACTTCGACATGAGATCTAGAGTCCAGCGATATACCACACGCCAGTACACGGACCAAGAGATCCATGTTATACTTACGTTCCTCTAGTCTAATTGGATTTTAGTGTCTTGTACTAAAAGTGTAAGCAGGGCGTGTCCCAACCAACGCCAAAACAGGAACCGGACCAACGAGCCACATGCAAGGTGGTTTCGCTTGCCGGGACCTCGAACCTATTTTTTGCTTCCCTGTCGTATCTATAAAGCTAGGGAGGAAACAATCGCGCATATCTTAATTGCGAATATTTTAGAGGTTCAGGGGTCCTCCTGCCTTCTTTATTAGAGCTCCTTCCGGCTGCGAATTCGCTGCCTCGGCTTGTAAGTAGAGTTCTCGCGCTAAGTAGGAGGTCAGATCAGATCTTCCAAGGCTTCCAACCTACAAAGCGAGCGGCTTTTCTGAATATCAACGCCGATCCAGGGCTCTCCGCGAAGAATTCGAGATTTCAGACCGTGGAAATAACTGCGAATCCACAGCAATGCCGCCCTCGAAGACCACGCAGGCCTCCACGGCCCCGAGCTCGCGCTCCGCCTCCTCCCCTCTGGTGCGATACTATCTCGCAGCGTACAACCTCGTCTGCGTTGCCCTCTGGACTACCTGCACGCTCCGGACCTTCCTCCTTGTGCCCATACTAGCACCGAGGGGCCACCTCCCCGCTATCTTCACGCATGTCTTCTCCCCGCTCCTCACCGTCACGCAGACGCTGGCGGTGCTCGAGATCCTGCACTCGTTGATCGGAATCGTGCGCGCTCCATTCTTCACGACTTTCCTGCAGGTTGCGAGTCGATTGCTGCTTGTCTGGGGTGTCATGTTTCTCTTCCGTGACCAGGGCAATGGCGGTATCGTTGGCGGTGACTATGAGGGCGCAGGGAAGGGACTCACTCAAGGACCAGGCGCGAAGGTCGGCGACTTCGCTTTCCTCGGCTGCATGGGCGCATGGGGTGTTACGGAAATTATCCGTTATGGATTCTTTGCTCTGCAGGTGCTGGGTTTGAGAGTTCCGAGCTGGTGGATGTGGTTGCGGTGAGTTTCTTTCTTCTCTTTTCTGGTTATTTTTTTGCAGGAGACCGCAATCTGACGATGGACAATTTGCTACGATTAGATACAACACCTTCTTTGTCCTCTACCCGATTGGTATCTCTTCGGAGTGTATCCTCATCTTCAAGGCACTCGAGCCTGCTGCGGAATTGAACCCGCTGTACAAGTGGTTCCTGATTGCGAACCTGGTCATTTACGTTCCTGGTATGTCTGCTGTGGTTTTCATTTAATGGAGCAATGCTGTATCTGGAACCAATACTGATAATTATGTTCGTTTCAGGCTCCTACATCCTCTACACCCACATGATGGCGCAAAGGCGCAGAGTTCTGAGAGGCAAGAAGAGAGTGGACTAGATGTCCCGCCAATGGAAGAGTTATCTAAGATGCTACTTTGGCAGTCATAATCCGGGCATCATCAGTTGTTCAGCTAGACCGAGTCTGCAGTAAAAGCTTGGTCACTGTCCGCTCATGATACACTTGATTCATGCAGACATCACAGATATCTGTCGACGGTGCCCGACCTGATGTCCACGATTCTTGCCGTATGAAAGGACTGAAAGGACTGAAACGGATCGAAATCACCTGCCTGCTAGAGGGGGGTACCCAAAGCCTGTATATGTACACGTAGACATGAAATAAAAGAAGTATGATCACAACCGCGGAGACTGTATCATATGTACGACATCATAGCTCTTTCATGATATCCCGGACGGCCTTTGCAGCGAACGACTTGCGCTCGTGCTCGGGGAGTTCAGCGCTCATATCTATATCACATATGTCAGCAAGAATGCAAGATAATGCTTATCAGATAGCCGGGGAGCACGCAGACCTTTGATAGCTTGCATTCTTATCATGAGAGTCTCTAATGCCTCGACTTTCATTTCCCGATCTTCGTCGTCGTCATCATCGTCAAACCCATTGAAATTGTTGTCAGTTTCACTTCCAAAATCGTCTCCATCACCGCCGCCATTCTCGATCGCGAATCGCAAACCCATCATTTCACGTCCGAGCTCATTAACCTCGAAATCGAATCCGGCTTCGCTGTTGTTGTCGTCGCTGCCCTCCTGGTCATAGGAAGATGCTGACCAGTCCGTCGCTTCGAGGACCTCTTTGATGCGGGGAATACCTTCGAGTTCTGCAAAACATTAGACCATTACCGACAAAGATGATACGATAAGCAACAGCTAGGATAAAGCGCCAACAAACCTCCATATGGATTCCTCCTCACCGGACCATTTTCCTCTTCCTTATTCTTCGGGTCCCACTCGACGACCTCAAACTCCATCACGCCCATATCGTACAATTCATCTTCCCACCATCCTACCCCGAACCTCTGCTCTTCCTTCGGCTCACCCACTTCATCACCACCTGTCCGCATTCTCTCTTTCCCTTTCTCTTTCTCTTTACCAGAAGAAGAAGAAGAAGCAAGCACCAACAAGGTAGGCACTTCACCCATACCCCCCCTCTCCTCCTCAATCTGTCCCTTCACTTCTCCCACAACTTTTATCAAATCCTTAAGCGCGCGCACCTCCTCATCAACACCATCACGCTCGTCCGCAGGGACTGCTTCTTCCGGGATCGCTGAGCTCAGAGCTTCCGGATTACGCACACAAAGAACCACCGCGCCGATGGCGTCTCGAACGACGCGCGCATCCGCTCCGAGGAATTCATCTTTCCATCGTGTAGACGTAGGGTATGTAGAAGCGTTTTCTGACGATGCGTTCGAAGGAGAAGAATCAGTCGTAAGCAGAAGCGGCACTTCATCAACCCAAATCGGTACTTCGGCCGTGTAATACTTTGTTTGTATTCGGAATGGAGCGTGTGTTGTGTAGCCTGCGAATGTTGTGGTGGTCGTCGTCGTAGTAGTAGTAGCTGTTACAGTCGCTTGTCCTTCCTCCTCATTATTATTATTATTCTTCTTCTCTTTTTCCTTTCCCTCTCCAAGATCGTTTGATGACTCTGTCGTAGCGCTTGTGGTCGTCTGCGGCGGGGTACTGACCGGTACACCAGTGAGGGAATGTAACAGCGACGGAATGGTCGATTGCGCATGCGATGCCGGCGAAAGGATAAGGAGACGGCGCGGATTAGAGATGTTTTTCACATCTTTTGCGCTCTTTTCGCCTGCGACGGTGGGCATTGTGGCAAGGGGAAATGTTGGTGGTTGGCGGTGGTGGTGGTGGTGCTGATGTCGGATAAGTAGTTACCTAGTGGCGGTGGGAGGAGGATCGAGGTTGGTTTTTGCGGAAGTATCGAGGGGAGTAACTAGGAGGTTTCAAGTTAAATGAGGATAAGTGAGATGAAGGCACTCATTATTTGTAAGGATGATTCCCGAGTGAGATTCTGGAAAGAGGGAATAAGATATACGTAGCTATATGATAAAGATGTGAATGGAGCTCGGGGGATTTGCGCGCGGAGAATGATGCGGAGAGAGCGGAGACTAAGTAGGTCCGTAATAATTCCGCTGCCAGCCAAGGATATATAGAACCATCACCGCTTTTTATTACAAACTGGAAAGACAAAAAAAAAAGAAATTTCGGACTAGGTCATTTTTCATTGTAGCTCTCTGTGGCCTTCTAGAAAAAAGCAATCTCAAAAGTCGCCATAAATTTCAAGCCATTAAAAGTATCCGACATGCTTTCCACCTTCCTGACCCAGTCCGAACAGGCTGACCGGGCAGTGAAGAACTGAAGTTGTGCCCTGGTTGATGCCCGTATAGATCTCAGATCTCAGACCTGGAAACAGATCGAGAGATATCCCGTCGAAACAACTGGCGCGGATATAAGGTGAAGGTGAAAAGGGGATACGCATGAAAATAATGCCACATATCTCCCCAGCGCCGGGATGAACATGTACTGATGTTCCTTTTTTCCTTTTTTTTTTTGAATGAGTCCCCAAATGAAAATACGCATCTATCCTCTCCTTTGGCCTCTGGCTCTGTTGACTGTGGCCTTACCACGAGCGAGACCGACACCACGTCCACGCTGGCCTCGGGAACGGAACATGGGGGCGTTTCTGTGGTAAATCCAGAGTCAGTTACAAATGATACTCAGAAGACTGAAGCACGGCTATCGTAAAACTCTGCCAGAAGAACCTCGCTGTTCTGATATAGCATTGGACCGCGAATCCAACATACCTCAGCATATCCGGCACGATGAAGAATCGCACATGGCTTCCCCGAATGTAGACCTGGTCCAGATGTGACACACGACCATCGCGCGCTGTAACGGTGATATCCTTGAGCTGAACGTTCATGTTGTCCTCAGCTGTAAATCGCATTCGTCAGCGTGCCGCAAAGACAGATACAGAATGGTGGACGTCGATGAAAAGAGACATTGCCAGCCACCAACAGCGTCAAGATGAGACACTCCGCATGATACGCACCTTCAAGGAGCTTTCCTCTGTAAACCTGGCCGGACGTGATCTCGAGGGTGACAACATGGCCCTACGCGAACATCTCGTTAGCCAAGCTATCCACGACGTGCGCTTCAACCAAACTGAAACCCCAGGGGGATAACACACCTGCGCTTCGTTAAGAAGCTTGATCGGGATTCCGATCGTGCTAGTCTGCTTACCCATCTTTGCGATGATGTGAGCGATGGAGAGAGGGAGAGAGAGATAGGTTGCTGTCGTCTGAGCTTCGGCGGACAATCGAAGATCCAGGGCGGACCCGTGGGGCGCGAGTTTTGCGGCTCTGCTGAAGCTTTCCGCCTTCCAGGAACGTTTCCGGCCTACAAAGAATCGAGAAATTAGAAGAGTCTATATTTGCCCTGGAAGTTCTGATTATCATTATTATTATTATTACTATTTTTTTTTCGAAGATCAGGGAGTCCTCCCCCCCTAGATCTTTCCACAATATCATGTCTCTGACCTCTTGACCCAACTATCAACTCCATCACCCCAAAAGTCCTCTTCCGCCCATCGCAACAACCAGCATAAAATAACTAACCAAATAATCAAGAACACTATATTATTCTCACCACAATGCCCACCCAACTGAACTCCAGCTTACAAGCATTCAACCTCGCCGTGTCCACATTTCTCAAAAACCCCTCACAACTCCTCCCGAACCTCACCATCCCAACATTCATCCAACTCCCCGAACAACTCGGTCCGCACGTCTACCCATCACAACCGCAACAATCAAGGAACTCTCCTTCTTCTTCTACATCTCCTTCTCCTCCTAGCAGATCACCACCCTTAATCCGCGCTCTCGTCGTCGATAAAGACAACACCCTCTGCCCACCCAAAACGACACTCTTCCCAAAACCATACCTAGATAAACTCCACTCTCTCCGAACATCGCCTACCTCGCCATTCAACAAAGACAAGAACCCCCACTCGATTCTCATCGTGTCAAACCGCGCCGGAAGCAGCGCAATCCACGAGGCAGAGGCGCAGGATCTGGAATCGAAGCTATCCGATCTGAAGATCCCCGTGTTTCGACTACCCGCAGGGTCGAGGAAGAAGCCGTTCTGCGGCGCGGAGGTTCTTGCGTGGTTCCAGGAGAGGGGCGTCGTTGAGCGCGCGGATGAGATTGCGGTCGTTGGGGATCGGATTGGGACGGATGTCTTGATGGCTGTGGGAATGGGTGCTTGGAGTGTTTGGTGTAAGGATGGGGTTACCGAGGGGGTGGGTAGGGATGCGGGCAAGACGGGGTTGGATTATAGGGGGTTTCTGGCGAAGATGGAAATCGTGGTTGAGCGGTATTTGAGGGAAACGAAGGGGTTGAGACCTTCTGTGCCAGAGGGTTGGGAGGCTTAATTGGAATGAGTGTCTGAATAGACTGAAGGGTGGAATCCAGGCGTTGAGTTGAGACGCACCCTGCTGGTTGGATACTTCAGCAGGAGAGAAATCTATACAGAGATGCCACGAGGGCTTTGATGGCATAGCGTGTGACCCGCCTCGGTCTCAAGACTGGAAGGCGTCCGGATATTCTCAACCGGCTTATGTGCCAGACGATGATGCACGCCTGCGAATACTTGGTTTGTCGGGTTACACGTGTACATTGGTCATCTTGACTCTAATCTGGGCGGTAGATCGGGGATAGGTGGTGTACTGCCATACAGGAGGACATGGGCAAGATATACCCGAGATGTTTAAACATTTTCGAAGACACATAGTTAATGGGGGAAAACACATTCTCATTCTGATCTGCTGTCCGATTTTGTATATTTATTTACCCCAAATGACTCGCGATCCCTGACAAAGCTGGACTCGCAGTCTTAGCATACGAAACATACCCATGAGAATACAGCGAATGGCGCTCTACGAGAACTGTACATAACTATATGTGGCGTCAAATGGATGCCAAGGAGCAACTACACACCACCAAAATTCCCAGACCATGACTCAGATTTGCATATAGATATATAATGGAAGTGGAGTTCCAACACCTGTAAGGGCACGAATCAAGTAGAAACAATAAGGAAACTAATGTCAATATTCCCTTGTCCCCCGACCCAGAAATGCTAACTTTAGTCGCTTCTCAGACCGACTTTCTCGCATGCTCACGTAAAAAGATTCGAGAAGATCAACAATATCACAAATAAATCTTTAGACTGGGACCGACATCGAGCCTTCGGTTATAGGTATAAAAAATAACCAATAGAAGTGAAAAAAAAAGAAGAACCAGTGACCAATGTGCTACAGAGCCGGCCGTAGAAAGAGAAGGGTATTAATACAACCAAAGGAGACAGTGCCAGCAGTAATGATCAAAAAAAAAAAGAAAGAATTCGACTGGCACAGGTTCACTGTCCTGACAGTCGCTGCCTGAACCATGCGGATTCGTAGGGTAGCCTCAAAATATCACCCACACCCGTGGTGACTCCATGAGAAATCCTGGAAGTTAAGAATATAAAAAACAAACACCTCCCGACTAATTTGTGGGTTTGACGCCATGGGGCCGGCCATTCCGAGACCGACCATCCATAAGCCTTTCGAGACTTGGTAGGAAAACCATATAGAAACAAAGAACATCACAAATGCACCCACTCGATGCAAAGAAATGTCGATAGTGGGGGGGTATATCCGGCAAAGCCTCGCGTAAATAACGTCGATACGAGCTAGCCACATCTTCACGATCCAGTAGCCAAGCTACCGGGGGTCAACAGTATCGAAAGAAATGAGGCCATTAAAATCGGCCTGATTGCTATTCGGATGTTGACTTTGCAATCCTTGCATCGCGAAGTCGAACCCGGAGCCATCCAGCCCACCCGGAGACGACAGGCCTAGGTTGAGATTCTGCTTCGAGTACATCTCGCTCAGCATTGTGCCATCATCCGAGAAGGTAGACGGGTGTTCGCTACCCAGGGCCAACATGTCTGGAGTCGGGCCATGGTGGATGGTCGAGAGGGGTGGTGACTGATCTGCGATCAGAGGGTCGGCTGGGCCAACGGTCGAGACTGGGGACGCTGTTTGCATCATCATCTTAGAGTGGTCCACCATCGGAGACGGAGACATGAAGCCAAGGTTATACTGAGCGCCCATGTTAGTAACAAGAGACATCGGCTCAGATGTACGCCCTGGTGCGAAGAACGAAGGACTGGCAAAGTCCGAAGTGGAGGCTGTCGTGGTAGCTGACATGGGGTACGAGCGGAAGTCCATCCCATAAGCACCTGACGTGTCAATACGCAAATTTGGTGCCAACGGTTGAGCGGACTGAGGAATAGGAGCGAAAATGCTAGGGTCAGGCGTGAACTGAGTCGTTGGCTGCTGCATGTGGAACGATGGCATCGGGTTCTGCATAGCAGAAAAGTCAATGGCAACCGGCACAGACCGACTGCGTTGGCGCTTGTGTCCGCGACCAGCCTGCAAATGCATCGGGAAGTGGTTCTCAGGGTACATTCCCATGAAGTTCTGGGCCACATGGTTTGGCTGTGAGGCCGGACGGTGGATGACAGGAGACGACATGGGAGCAGACATCGGATAATGGTTGAAAGCCAGACGGTTCTGAAATGATTCAAGAGACACAAGCTTCGCAAGCTGAACGCTCAGGACTTTAGGATGACCTCCGAGGTGATGGACTAAGATCTGGCTGGCCTGCTGATCTTCCGTGAAATCTCCACACTGGTAAAATCCGCCTGAGTTCGACGAATCCATGTAGAACAACGGCGGCCGATTCAACTCGACAATGAGACCACCAGGCCGTGGTGGGGTACCGTTGGCATTAGGCGTTTGGTCGCCAGATTCAAGAGTGATGTTTTTGATATGGGAAAAGGGGTATTCGATTTTGTACCCTGCAGAATCGTTGTTGATATAGTAGGTCATACTGGCCTTCTCTGGGGAGTAGAAAATAACCAGATCCATCGCGTTTTGTCCAACGCGGCGCCAGCTGCCAATGCTCAGAGAGCGGCAGGTAAAGTGATGAATGACTGCGATTCAATCAGTAACCTCAGGGCAAACAAATTTTGCGATCTCGCAACATACCGATTTTGCCGGAGTGCGCAGATTCACCGTTATACGCTCCAGCAGTGCCGTATCCTCCCAGGCCGCTCGTGCGACCAAAAAGGTCTCTGGTTCCAGGTTTATTTGGGTCAAATTGCATAGCCAGGTATTGACGCATTGATTCCGGGATCGAATCGCAGTCTTCGCCAGTCTCGATGCTCTTTTTCGCGATCATCTTGATCTTGGCTCGTCTATCGCAAAGAATCAGTTCTTAGCCCCCAGAGCGCATGACACAATAACCGTCCAAGACTGTCCTACCTGTTCTGGAACCAGATCTGCACCGATCGTTCCGTCATGTTGATCTCCTGCGCTATCCTTTCACGGACGGCAGCTGTCGGAGTGGGGTTCTTGTTGAACTCGAGCTCGAGCGTGACCAATTGATCCTGGGTCGCCCGCTGACGTTTCTGGTTCTTCTGCTGCTGCGTCAAGGTGCTCTTTCGCGCTGGACGACGAGAGCCAGACTGCGATGCAGGGGCGGTCGAGCTCGAGTTCGATGGCGAGGGGGTGGAGGCCGTAGGCGTCGTAGTTGCCGACGTCGACGACGACGGGGCGGGAGTGTCTGTCGAAGACATAGTTCAGGATATATATAAAGAAGAAACCGGGTCGACGATCAGAGATGGGCGTTATCCGGGATGCCGGATCCGCCGTGATCGGGTCGAAAGAGTAAATCGAGAAGAGGCCAATTCGTCTGTCTCGAAGCCGCCTCAAGCGCGCAAGAAAGACAGTCAAAGGAATGGAAGCCCTGCTCCGCGACCGGACGACGCGAGTCCGTCCGGTTGTCTTTTTGGGATCGAGAAGCCGTGCTGACAGGCGTGGACAGGCGATGAAGGAAGAAGCTGACCTAGGCAGCTGGAGTGTAGAAGACGAGGCCGTGAGGGCGAGTTGAGTCGGAAACGACTGAACTGGGCTGGCACGAAGTGAGTGTCCTGGCAGTTGTAGTTGTAGTAGTCTTGTGTGGTAAAAGCTGGTCAGGCAAAGGTGAGAACGGTAGGGACCGATCGAATGAATCGAAGAGAGCCGAATGAGCGGTATGGACGCCGTAAAGGAGTGAACGGACGATCCGTGAGGCAGGAAAAGAGAAAGGAAAGGAAAGAAACGGGAGGGAAAGATGGACAGCAGGTAGGGTCGGAGATGACGTTGGAGGATATGAAAGATTGGAGGAGAGAAAGGGAAAAGGAAGGCGAAGAGAGGGAGAGAGATCGTGAGGGACTGACTGACTGGGCTGGGCAGCGAGGAGAGAGAGGGCGCGACAGGGCCCAGCGGGCCGGGAGGGAGTGGACGGGTTCCTAAGCCCGGCGGTTGGTGGGCTGTACCAGATGGTACGGTCTTGTTCCTGTCTGGTTCCTGGCATTATTTTGCCCTGGAGGGGGAAGAACGGCGGCCTGACTGGTGGACCGTGCGAGGCCTGAGACCGCCTTTGCGGACCCTGCGGAGGGCGGTCAGGCCTGCCCCAGGAGCAAAAAGTCAGGAAAAACACACCGAATTGCCCAACTTTGCCTGTCTGTCGTCCTCTAGTTACCATACCCATACCATACCATACCGTAGGTACCGTATCTAGGTACCCTCTCTGCGCTGCCGCCGTTGTCCGTCTGTCGCCCTATTCTACTTTTTTACTACGTACTACTTTGGCTCTCGAATCGGCTTGGAGCACCACTCCAGAGTCCAGGGAGAAAGACCACCCTGCCTTCTTCTCCACGACATCATCCCACCGCTGACGGGTTAGGTATTACATTCGTGTCCCCAGTATGAGTTGCACTATATCAATCATTCACGTCCTCATACAGAAGGTGAGATAATCCTCAAGAGGTAAATAGACACCTAATGATACGGTCGAGGACTCCAGAGACTCCATAGGCTGGTGTAAGTCCAGTGACGAAAGAACTACTGGGCTCAACATGGATCAACCAGTTGTGCTCCGTCCACCCTCAGTGGTATCACGGTTACGACGATACGAAAACCCTCGCCAATCCACGGGTGAGTGATGCTGGCTGAGGCAGTTGTTTTGCTCCGCTGTGCCTGTTGTTGTTCCTGCGCACACCTGTATCATGAGAGCAGCACTTGATTGGACATGAGAGCCAGAATACAGTTACCAATGGAGCAGACGCTGCAGACAAGGTTGACCACGTAGGTACGCCTGGGACACAGAGTGGTGCCACGGCATAGCAAGCATTCTAGAGGACAGCATCGGGTGCATGGTTGATCTCCAATGCAGGGCGAGAGAGCGTCCCGTTGCCCTGGCTGGCTGGCGACAAGGCGCATCGCTGCGAACAGGAAAACTCGTCCATTTCCTGTCAATGCAGGAGTCACGTTTCACTCGGGGAATAATGGCCGAGAATTTTGTCTCTATCAATTCTTTCCTTTTTATCGACGACGATTGATATCAAGAGAAGAAAGGCAACGACAGCGGCACCCTTCTCGCCACCAGCAAGGGGAAAGCTCATGCCAGATAGAGGACTCCCTATCATTATTTGCATAGATAGACCCGTGCTTTCAACAATACCATAATCCTTCTATAGAGGCTTTCGGACATCAAACGGAAACCAGCTCTGCGCTGGGCGGGGCGTTCTTCGTTGGGATCCAGTTCTTGTTGCACTGGTCCGCCGCCAACAAGACTGGTAGAAGACGATCGTTCTCGATAGAGGAGAGGCCTATGCAGCGGCGGATGCGCCTCGAACACCGGAAGCCATGATGAGCCAACTGACTTCTAAACAAAGACAAGTTGTCGCGTGCAAAGTTTCACGTCCGCGCCCCCGGGGCACACAAGGGATCATCCAGGTACATAAACTTTGTCAAGGATGCATTTCTTTTCGTATTGTATCAGGAAGCCATTGCGTAACACGGCGGCAAGCCAGTGTTTACAGCACCTTTTACTTGTGCAACAATCTGAACCTTCAGGTAGTAGAAGACCGGTACCTTGGATGAAGGGTTCTTCGGTCAGTCTCGACCACTTCTATCCTTGGATTCTAGCGGGTATCTGTGACCGGGACGCGCGACTCGGGATCAACAGAAACCGCCAAGGGTGTCCCCCTGAAACGTGCAACAGGTTTCGACGGCGTCTGACGGGAGTGCGCGTCCGCTCCCCTCCGTGTTGAAGCCCGCATTGGTCCACTTGGCGGCGGCCACTTCCAGCCTAGCGTCAGGTACCCGCGGATCGCTCGCACTCTGGGCTGCGCTCATTGGACACTCGGTTCTGACAGCTGGAGATGCACGATGCTGGCGCCTCAGAGGCTGGCCTTGGACAGATCATATCCACCGTTCAGAAACACGGCAGCCCATCCACGGTTCGATACGCGCTGCTCTGCTCAGATCCTGCTGCAAAGTTTGCGCACAGATATAGAACCGCGTGATTAAGTTAACCGTCGAAGATGTCAAGCAGTATCGCCGTAGCACTGTCGCTTCCAGAACAACATCAAGATGGACCAAGGCCAAGAAGAACAATCAGGTGGGATGCAAGACGGAGGATGCCCCGCAGAGCCGTCGGGACGCGGAGCTTCTCTGGCAGTTCCGGGCCAAACGGCCAAACTGGAATTGGCGTAGTGATGGCCCAGAACGGGAAGATGCTAAAGCTACTAAGACGTTCGATCGATTTGTGAGAGATCCGCTGCGTGTGGGATACCGAGAAGTCCGCGAAGCACGAATGGCAGGCAAGGGTGCCTTGTCTGGCCTCCCGCGCTTCTTGGAGGTCTTCATCACTGGCAAAACCTCGGACCTGTAGAATGCTTAGTCGTCAGGGAGGAGAAGCAAAGAGAGCCTTGGAACATGTGACCGGTTTGGCAGTAAGCCAACGTACCTCGATTTCGTCTCTCGCTCGCTCTCTCTTGGGGTGGGTAAAGGCATCTGTGCCCCATTGTGCGACGGTTAGATGCTGCTTAGAGACACGTTTGTGCTTTATGTTGCATCTCTGCAACATCAACATTGCGCCGCCGTATCCTCCATCGTGGATCACTCGTCTATGCCCAATTATAAGTCTCGATTTTTCTCGATTGACGTACTGCAGTTGTTTTTTGTTTCGGGGGCTGGACAATGGGCGCGCGCACTCAAGCTTCCAGGTCAGCTCGGATCGTTGCAACTGAATGGCGATGCCAGGAAATTTTGCTGTGGCTCCCTTCGGGCCTGCTTCCTTGCGAATGAGGAAATGACCCAAGAAAGAAAAGAACTTTTCTTTCTCGCTCACGGAACTGAAGGGTTAAATATTAACAACTTCGGCCTTTATCAGAGCCTCAAGGGGCTCAACGTTGATGCAACGCTAACGGATGTTGCTGCTAGATAGCGAACTATTGTATTTATTCATTCTTAGTTCCGCAATTATAGGCACAGTGGACTGGTGATCCTCAAAAGACAGCAGCGCACTTAGCCATTGACATGTTATGCTGGCATTTGCGTTTCGACTGCGTTTTGCAGTCATTCCCACAATGGCATTCTCTAACGATCTGGCACCATCTGCTGCCTCTCGAAAGTCTCAGATATCAACCGAAAACTTTTTATTACGCATTGAAACCCGGAGTCAACCATCCAGCTCTAGTTTAGAGTCGTGTCCTATAGTGGTAATCTGTCCGCTGTTTTAGGGTATAATGACGGCAGCTAATCTCATGGGACGGATGGCATCGGCCACAATATGTGCTCTAAGCCTCTAACTGTCCAAAATTGGATTATGGCCGGCACTATCAGCCTTCTCTCACTCGCTGTCCCGTTTTCTGATTTCCTTCCAAATGTTCTGTGTGCATCTATCAGCTCTGAGCGGTGAAGGATACCTGTGCACAAGGGAAAAGAGCACCGAGGCAGACCCCACTGTTCACAGTCCTTATCTACAGACGTCCCAGGCACTCTTAAAGTATAGGACAAGGTTTCAACTATTGAACCAGACTTCAACCGCTCTATGCGATCTCACAGGATGGTGCGACCGTTTACTTATGTGCGGGGTAAGATCGACATTCGACGTTTGATCCGCGACTGTACGAGTCCAGCATAGTTCGTTCCATGGTCCATGCTCGATGGCTTTACATTGTGGTTATCAAGAGCAACTTCAAAATTCGACCCTTTGAACCGTCTGGTCCAACTGTTTGGCCTCAATAATCACGCCGGTCTTGATTCTCCTCTTCGATGTGATCACCCGCGGCCAACCTCATATGAGTTTCACATATCGCTAGACCACAGGCTACCGATTTCCCAATATAAGATGCCAAGAGTGGTAGCCATAACCCCTGTTACACGCATGAACCGTTATGACTGTTATAGATGGGTCGATAAGATGTGCGAAACGGATTGCACGGGACATCAATCTATTATGGGTGACCTTTGGAGTAAGCTTGTTTCACCCACCAAACATGCTCATCCAGTGGTCACTTGAACATGGCAAAGGCGCTCTCGATTGTGGCTCCCATTCTCCTATTGAACAGATTAACTTAGTCATGGGCAGATGGGCATACATAGAATAGTTACTATTAATGATTCTGCGCGGGGCTTCGGTGGAATCTATCATCTGGGCACAATCTGAAGATGACACAGCCCATTTATCCAGCGTCAGGCGAGTCTCACCACCGCCTACTAAGTAATTAGCATTACTAGGTACTCTAGTCAGCCCAGAATCTGTAACGCAGTCCTAAATATGCCACATACGGGAGGTGACTCGGGCGCAGTAGAAGTTGCGGTGGCGGTTTATCCTTACTCTATACACCGTGAAAGGCTCCCAGGCTAACATTGATAGCTGTACATGGTAACTGCTTCTAGTCAGGTAAGGGCGAGAGCTTCGCTTAGAAGAGTAAGTTATACTAAATTGATGCAGTGCTGCGCCACTACCTACGCGCAGGAGACTTGAATACTCTGCGTTGCGGAGAATCTTTAAAGCTGAAGCCTTGGCAGTGACTATCGCATTAAGATTCATGCTTTGATTCTTGCGACCATAATCGCGAGAGAGGATATCGTCGACTATTCAATTGTGTGAGTTTTCTGTCTGGGAGACTAGGATGACTATCTATCTACCTTCCCATATTTGTCGTAGATTCCGTCAGCAGACGGAGTGCTCCTGCTGCTAGGATACTCAAACAAGTCTTCCCCCTGCGATCTGGTGGTGAGATTCTCCAGGGTGGAGTCGTTTCCGATACCCCTTGGGACCTCTGAACGACGATCATATGCGCAGTCGGTGTGATACTGGAATTATTTCTAATAAAGGTCGCGGACAAGGAGCGCTCTGACTAGCCGTCTCCTTCTTTCTTACTCTCCGGCCTTTGACTTGTACAGTACGACAGTGTCACCGTTGGACTGCTGAGTTCTGCGTCTTCTCCATATCCGTTCCATCGCGTTTCCTATCGCAGCAGAGGCCAAGTTCGAACATTCTCTTGTCATTCTCTTGATATTCCTCCAGAAAGTAAGTTCCCAATGCTAAACGGCCAGGCTTGATTCGTGGATGGCTTCTCTTGAGCTCGCGATCCGATCGATGTACGCCTGGCTCTAGGCTGACTGACGGGCCAATCCGACCACCGAGCGGCGATGGCTAACATGGCCGGCAGTAGCGCTTGGCACGGACGCTGCACGTAAAAAGTTCCCGGGCGCCGCTGGATCGAGAACTATGTACTCGAACAACAGTGTCATCGAGGAAGTAGATGCTCCCATAATGTCGACGTCCACTTCCTTTCCTAAATACGAGTCCACATTTCTTCCGCTCGCTCCCGATCCGGAACGGGAGATTGTGTCTACCCGCGGCCAGCATTTGCCAGGCATTTTGCGACGGTTCTCGGGGGCGAGCTTACAGCAACCGTCATCATCGCCATTTTCCGATGGTGCCACTGGAATCGGCGAGTTCGATAGCAGACTCTCCGATTGGGAAGGGTTTGCCGCTAGGAACGACGATATCGAGACCGGGAACTGGGTGAGGGATGTTCGATTGCTGTCGCACCGGGCGCTGGGAGATGCTTCTTCAGAGCTTCTTCCTCCAGACGGGGAGGCCGTCCAGCCGATCAAGCGCAGTGCGAGATTGATTGGGAATATTGGGCCGCGGTATCCATGGTATGTTTTCTGTGGTACCTCTCGTGCATGTGTGAAGCGGTTCACTGCGGATCGCATGGCGCAGTCCTCCTGAAGTCGGCTCACGATGGATTGGTGATTCAGGGAGCAATTCTACACACCGCCTGAGAAACTGAAGAAGCTTCGTACCCCAGTGTACGTCCTCTTTGCTTGAGATCCTTTTTTATTTGCGTAGTATTCAGCTGATATTCATTCTAGTCGGAATTATTACGAGCGGATGAACTTTCTGATCACTCGATACCTCTTCATTGACCGAATGCTGAGCTCGTCAATCGCACAAGAACTTATCGAAGATTATGAGCAGAAGCATAAGAATTCTCGAAACCGCCTGCACACGATTGCTGAGGAAGCGCCGGGAACTCCCCAGCCTGTTTCTCCCCCCGACTCGCGTCAAGGTTCCCGGGAAGGATCATCGGCCGAAGGGATAGAGAACAACAGCGATGGAAGGACAGCAGGCGTGAGCGTCGATCAACCTGCTGGTGAAACCACTCCTCTGCTGTCTTCTCGCTCTGACGAGCATCCTCACCCAACGGCTGGTGTGAGAAGCGGCCCAGTTGAAAGCACGAATCGCATTGTCATTCTTGCCATCTATGTCAATCTGATAGCGAATGTCCTTCTGCTGGCCTCGAAAGTCGTCATCACACTCATGACGAGCTCCGTATCAGTTCTTGCGAGTCTGGTAGATGCTTCACTGGACTTTTTGAGTACGGCCATCGTATGGTTCACGACCAGACTCACAGCAAGGCGTGATCGATACCAGTATCCAGTTGGCCGTAACCGTCTGGAGCCTATTGGTGTGCTTATTTTCGCGACGATCATGATAACCTCTTTCTTCCAAGTTGGAATCATATCCGTACAGAAATTGGCATCAGATGACCATGAGGTTGTCAGGCTTGGAGTTCCTGCGATCGCAATCATGGGCAGTACCGTGGCTGTCAAGTTGCTCTGCTGGGTATGGTGCCGAAATATCAACAATTCGAACGTTCAAGCCCTAGCACAGGACGCCATGACCGATGTCATTTTCAACGTCTTCAGTATCATCTTTCCCTTGGGTAAGTTCATAACTCTCCTCCTCAGACTTGACTCCAGTGGACACAGCAGCTAATACCAAACAGTGGGTACTTTCACAAACACTTGGTTCCTTGATCCTTTGGGTGGTCTCTTTCTGTCCCTGTATATCATGATGAATTGGGCCAAGACCGCCAGAGAACACGTTCATCATCTTACGGGCGCTGCTGCCAGCTCCGATGATCGTAGTGTCCTCATCTACCTGGTCATGCGCTTTGCGGAGAGTATCAAGTGGATCCAGGGTTTGGAGGCCTATCACTCAGGAGACAAACTCAACGTCGAAGTCGATGTCGTCTTGGACGGCAACACCACCTTGCATGACAGCCACGATATCGGAGAGAGTCTGCAATATATGATCGAGAGCATCCCGACGGTCGATCGCGCATTCGTCCACCTGGATTATGCTTACTACAACCTTCCTACTCATTTTGAACGAGAAGCTCGGTGAGTGATAAAGGAGGCGTAAGCTCTACAATTCTGAGACGGTTTGCCGTGAAGATCTCCCGTGGGAATAACATCGTCATGGTTTATATTCGAGGCAAGCAAGTTCTCGTCAGTTGCTGGTTTATAAAGATGAAGGCTCAAGACAAGCGTTCTGGACACTGCCTGGCCTGGATCAAAAGGCGATTCAGCATTCATCAATAGAAGGGGCAGGAAATGTCAATATAGATTTCTCCTATCCTACGATACCCTTATTTTTTTTTACCTCCTTTTTTGGCCGTTTGGGATTGTTTGGTTAAGAGGGTTTTTGGAATGGAGGTTGAGACTATGGTGTTAGACCCTGGATATTCCGTATAAATCGATATCCATAAAAGAATATATATATATATACAATGTTAACAAACCCCAAAATTCATGTCTATTCCATTTCACCTAACACAAAGTTTGCGTCGAGTAGAGAGAGCAATGGTTGTGCGATACTACGATATACGGTCAGCGGTAAACACCACCAACGCAACAATTCCTGATGTGGAAATATCGGTTCCGCACAAGCTCGAGATGTGCGGTTAGGCCAGCTGTACCCCGGACATTTGGTTTAGCAGTCTCTCTGGTCAAAAACAAACAGAGACCAAACAGAAACAAGTCCTTCGTCAATCCTTCGATCCCCCTACACTTCACCGCCGTCCCAACAAACCGGCAAAGAACTCCTACTCCTGCGGACCTTCACGCTCATCACCTCCGCCGCCGACACATCTCCTACTAGCCATCTACCGCGATGGCCGCTGCAGCAGTGCAGTCCATAAGCTCATTGCTGCAACGAGCAACGATCGAAGACCATGAAGAAGTACTGAAAACATGCAACGCGGCACTTAAAAAATCCAAAAACGACACACAGGCACAACATGTCAAAGTTGTAGCTTTGTTGAATCTCGATCGATACGATGATGCATTGCGGGTCATTGAAGAGGGCGGGGACGCGCTCAAGAAGAGAGCTGCGTTGGAATATGCTTATGCGCTTTATAAGTCGGGGAAGCTGAGTGAAGCCGTGGACGTTGCGGCCAGATCGGGTGCGGGGAGAGGGGCTAAGCATGTGGAAGCGCAGGCGGTACGTATTATCTTAATTGTGATTTTGGGACTATGGAAGTATGGTGTATGATTTTGGGGAGATTACTTTTGCTGATGGGTGATTCGATATAGTCATACCGTGCTGAGGACTTCGTTCGAACTGCTGCGCTTTATGAGGAACTTTCCCGCGATAAGGAGTCGTTGGGCAACGAGGAGAACGATCTGCGTATCAATTCCTGGGCTACGGATGCTCAGCTACAATGGAAGCGACAGACGGATGCTGTGCGGCATAAGAGACCGTCGAGGGAGGATCTGGAGTCATTCGAGACGGTTTACAATGCGGCATGCGGGAGTCTGGCGAGAGGGGATCTCAACGAAGGCGCACTGCTGCTGAACAGAGCGAAAGGTCAGCAAATGAAACTTGATTCTGAGAGATTGGAATGGTTATACTGAGAGATAACAGAGCTTTGTAAGACTACGGAGGATTTGACACCAGAGGATAAGGTTGCGGAATTGCTGCCCATCGCTGTGCAGCAACTTTACGTCTTGATCCGGCAAGGGAAGTTGGACGAGGCGGAAGAGCTGATTAAGGAGATATCTGTCAATGAGTATGTTGACTGCAAATTGGATTTGTTCGAGAGGGGAGCTAACTCGATTGCCAGAATCTCGGAACTTTCTACGAAGAAGATCGCCCAGAACAATATAATCCTAGCTGGCCGGACACAGGCAAATCCCTTCCTTCTCTACAAGGCATTCCACGAGACGCCTTCTTCGACAGACGGTGACAAGCTCTTTGACTTCCAGAACAAGGTCATGACGGCAAATTCATATTCTGCGGAACTACTGGTGCAGAAATATGACGGGGTGATTCGATCTACGTCAAAGGCGCTTTCTCAGCACCCCTCGCCTTCAGTTTCGGGAGACGTGAACCTCCTCTCCGTGTACAATGCAGCAGCCCATGCGCGGGAACAGGTGGGCCAGAAAGGTCTGAAGGAGATTCTACCTCTACTCGAGAACCGACCTAAAGATATCGGGCTGGTCCTGACCGTGGTCCAACTGTATGTGGCCGTTGGTAACATCACGGCTGCTATTGGTACGTTAGAGAGTCTATTACGCAGACTGGATGAATCAATCTCAGAAGACGACCACGATGCACGATTCAATCCAGGACTGTTGAGCGTGCTTATTGCTCTTTACAAGCGTGAAGGCCGCAGAGTTCAGATCAGGTCGGAACTTGCCAAAGCCGCGACTCATTGGCATCAACGATCAAACCCGCCAGTTACTCTTCTCCGGGCCGCAGGTGCATCTCTTCTGCATTCCTCAGACCCCTCAGATCTCTCACAAGCGGCCGTACTGTTCAGCAGCCTTCGCCAGCAGGATCCGTCTGATCGATTCGCTCTAGCAGGCTATGCTGCTTCGCATGCGACTCTAGACCCATCCAAGGTCGAAGCCGAAATCGAGAAACTGCCCTCGGTACAGGAGCTGGTATCAGATGTCGATGTCGCAGCTTTGGAACAAGCTGGTGTCCCCCTGTCCTCTGTGACCGTCGCAGCCGCGGCCGCGGCCTTCGCCGGTGCAAGGAAGAGACCTGCAAGCGACAAAGAGGGCGCAGCAAAGAAGCGCGTGCGGAAGTCCCGTCTTCCCAAAGACTACGACCCCAACAAGACAGCCGACCCAGAACGGTGGTTGCCACTGCGTGACCGCTCCACGTATCGGCCCAAGGGCAAGAAGGGCAAGCAGAGAGCGGCTGACAGAACGCAGGGTGGCGTTGTCAATGAGAAGACAGAGGAAGCTGCACAGCAGCAGAGATCGCAGACACCTAGCGGTGGAGGCGGCGCAAGTTCGAAGAAGAAGAAGAAAGGAAAGAGGTAATCTAGACGCTTCCTTGTGGATGGTTAGGGGAATGGTTTTATCATCTTGCATTATCATGGCTAGAGACTCATGTTTTAAAAAGGCCCACTTATATCTAGAATCGAGGCTGAAACTGTTACTTAGCCTCTTTTACAATAAAAACGAGCTCGAAATAGAGTCTACACTACATTATCTGATATAGAAGCTCTGTAGGAAGTAAATATGGTTCCTGGCGTAGCTGTATATAGTTCATGACATGCTGGAAATCGTGTTTGATAGAACTATATTAGCATTACATTACTATCATTTCATCATACTCAATCTCGATCCAATATAACCCCCAAGTAACAGCCAAATTAAACACCACGGCAAACATAACCCCAGCTAAGAAAACGCCTAGCAATCAACCCTTTCAACCAAGTGGTGTCCGAATCGTCCCACACTGCCTATCGTGCTGCTCAAATATCATCCTCGACACCCTCAAATCCTTAATCGCATCCTGCACACTCGTCTTCACCGGCTTTCCATCTACCACCGACGCATAAAGAGCCTTGAGTTCTTCCACATATGCATCCTGCTCAGTACCGCTGCTCACCACTTCTCTCTTCCTCACCTGTCCATCATTCTTGACCTCGTCGACAACGACCTGTACCAAATTCGGCGACTTATACTCAATGCTCACTGTCTTGTTCGACCCATGAACGACGAGACATGCATCTTGCCGCGGGATAGAGTCCACTCCAGACTCATACACCACGGGAAAGACCCGCTCGTGACTATCATGATAGTAGAGCGAAGCCGAGTAAAATGGATCATTAACAGTAACCCCCACGACTGCATCAGGTAGACCGAACAACTCCCTTATTAATGATAGATCATGACATCCCAATGAGCAGAGGAATCGACACATCGAGACCCGTTCCGGAGTAACGTCCTGGTAAATAAACGTCTCTTGGAGCAACGTATGGAAAAGTTCCACGACTCCTTCCTCCCTCCCGGAGGGAGGTTCCGGACCCGTCGCAAGGGTAGAGGAAGAAGAAGACGATGCTGCTGCTGCTGCTGCTGCTGCTGCTGCTGCTGCTCTCTGAGTATAATAAATCTGTCCGACGAAATCCCAACATCGAACATGCATGATCCGCTCAATACTATCGACTTCTCTCTTAAACGACTCAACATAACTAGGCGCAAACCGTCGTGCATATCCTACGAATACTTTCTTCCCCATCCCATTCCCTGGTACTGTTTCCGTCTGTCTCTCCGCAGCCAGAATGCGCTGCGCACTCTGAATACTAAATGTAAGTGGCGTTTCCACGAAAACATGCTTTCCCGCCTGTAAGGTCGCGATGGAGTATGTTTCATGATATTCATCCGGGGTGAGGATGAAGATGAGATCGAGGTCTGGGTCGTGGATGAGCTCGTGTGGGATAGTGGTGGCTTTGGGGATCTTGTGATGCGTTTGGACGAAGTTGAGGGTTTGAGGGTCGATGTCGCAGATAGATGTTAGGGTGTATTGGTGGTTGAGGGATTGGAGGGTCGGGATGAAGGTGTTTTGGGCGAGGTTGCCAACCCCGATTATCCCGACGCGGAGAGGAGATTCTGGCATCCTCATCGTGGAGTGTGGTGGGGATTTAAATCTGAGTGGCTTTTGCACGGAGTATGTATGTGGTTGAGGCCGTTTTCGAGAGATTTTCCACGAGAGCGAATGCCAGTCTGGAGTAGGCTTTGGTATTTTAATAAGATCTAGGTAGTGATACGAGTAGTAAAGATATCAGAAGTGATAAGTCAGTAAAAAGAATTATTAAATTCAAGAAGAGCATTCCGTAAAAAAGAATCCTGCATGGAATATTTTCGATATGACATATCAGCTGCGTCTACTCTCTATGTATGCTGCGCTGCCTGCCTACCACCCGCTCACACTCACCCAAGGTTCAGTGAAGGTCAATGACTCGGAGCCATGATACGTGACCAGGATGAAATAAGTAAAGTAGATGTTCCTTATAGATGCGATAATACAGGATTTACATGTTTTTGTTTAACAATGCCTTGCTTATTCTCTCTTACCATAGAGGGCCTTGGGACGGTAGAAAGCGACAGTGCTCCATATTACATGGCTGGGAGAAGATTGCATGCGGTGTATGAAAACGCGGGCGGATGTACTGCACATATGGTACACATTGGAGAATGCGATACCAATAATGTAAGGGGTTGCGGAAACCGCACTGCTCAACGTGACATCAGTGGCTGGTAGAGATCTTTTTGTTGGGGTATGGTTGCTGGTGATGGAGTCTGTTAATATATTTCATCGATAGATGAAGCTAATTGATGTTGTTGGAGATGGTTTCAGTTCTCGTGGCACGTTATATGTGTAGGGAGCTCTGTTCATTGTGTATTGAGGATCTGCCATAGATACTCTTGAAGATTAGAGCTCTCTGTGTGGGGAATCCAATACTACGTAAAGGTAGAAGCTGAAGTATATTGTTACATTCATTCCGATAAGAAATGTCGATAAGGCGATAGAGGGGTAGTGCTTTTGGGGTCCTTGGGACATGATGTCGTCATCGAATCTATAATTAACACTTTGTGTGCCGCATATAGGTAGAAAGCTGGCAGAACAGCTTTTTTTTTGTATCGAAATGGAGTTTTAACCAGAGAGCTAATAGCCTGTTTATACCTAGTGATGAGGCTAACTAGGTAAGTAACAGCCCATGGATAAGACATCCTCTGCTTTATGGTATTGTAGATGGGAGCTAACCCATCTTGATGGGCGTTGCGAATTATCGTATTAAACCTATTCGAGTTGAGTGACCGAGTTAATTAACATACGAATTCATTTCCCGATATATGGAGGGAGAAACTGAGAGCCCAACTTCCTTTTTGACAGAAAATAACTCCTTAGAGAGAAAGAAAACGATTCTGATCCTAGAGATTTCTTTCGATCCATGGTCGGTTGGACCGGTGACGATGGTCATGTGGGGATGTCTTCGTTTTTAGGTCTAGCGAGAACGTGGCGGTGCGGATCCATCAGAGAAAAAAGTAGCCTGATCTTCGATTTCCATGGCTCATCGTCCGAAACTGACCCAATGAAGTATTAGGTTTCATCTCTCTGAAATGAGATTCCGTTTCTCTCTTTTTGGAACATCTCAAGACCGCATCCGCCGGCTTCAAAACATTTCCCAGAATAGGTAGATGCATCGCACTTGGAAATGCAGTTTGCCTGAAGCAATGTTAACATCACAAAGCTGTTGTTCAGCCGCACTCTCTTCCATTTGGCAGATCTCAATCATGTGTCGCTGTGACTCAGATGTGCTGGAAACGCAGCAGCTGCATCTGATGTTGCTTCTGAAATACATGAGTATCGTATAGGCGGATCTTAGGGAAACCCGTGGGGTCTAAGTATTGGCAGCCTAGGCTGATGGTCCCGCTTTCAATCGTCATCCTATCTCATCAGCCACAATCTCTGTTTCTCGGTCTTGCTCTTTTTTTCTCTCAACACTTGTCCTTTGTAAGAAATATATACATTGTCACATCGCTTACCTTCTATATATATATCAATTATTGCTATTGTTGGAAGTCAGTAAACCAAAGAGACCATGGGTGTAAGCTCTCCTTCCCTTCCCTGCCCCGCGCCGATGCCCCGCGTCAACGCTTCCCTTGCGAGGCAAATTCCCCAGGCTGGCAAGGATGGATGTGCAATGAAGAATCGATAGGACTCACCCACTGACATAAACCATCAGTTTGCCTCGAAAATCGCAGCCAGTCAGGCAGCTGGAGCCTCCACAGGTGTTTATGGAGGGGCCCCTCCGTCTGGATACACGGGCGGCCCGCCTCCAGCCTCTCTGCAACCAGGCAATCCTGGAGGATATGTGAGTATCCCTTGCCTATTTCTGTTCTGCTATGTACAAGCAGTACTTGTTGCATGCGTTCTCACTACTGCGTATTGTTGGCATCCACGACCAACTGTCATGAGTGAGATGAGATAGAACTGACTTGTTCGTGTTGCACAGCCCGGTCAACAGCAGCAGAGCCAGTATCAGGCATACCCGGGCTCATCTCAGTCCCCAGCCCAGCAGTACAGCCAAGGCCCACCCAGCAGTTCGGTAAGCAAACTCTCTCCTACTTAGCGCCTGCAAATATATTAGCAAACCTCGGGAGACGCACGCAACACTCTATTACGTACCCCCTTTCATCCCATCTTGTATACTTTTTTTTTCTTCCGTTTCTCTTATTTCTTTCATCCGATCTCTTTTCATCTCAACCCGGATTTTTGGGTATATTGTGTGTGGTTTTGCGAGCATGAGTCGGCCGTATAATAGTCAGTCGCCATACCCTGGACAGGGCCATTCCGCCGCCCCTCCATATCCGGCATCATCTCCACACCAGCAATATCAGGCATACAATCCACCAGCAGCTTTGAGACCGGGAGCCTCACCATCGCCTTCTCCATATCAGCCTCCATCTTCTCAACAGCACCCACCGTATGGTTCATATCCAGCTTACAATCCACCTTCGCAGAGCTACTCTAGACCTCCACCCCCGCCGCCGCAACCATATGGATCTCCGGCGCCGCAGCCATATGGACAGCAGCCTTACCAACCTTCGCAGCCCCAGTCTTCTTATGTATATTGGCACCACCCTCTGTTCATCTCTGCGCAGAAACAATTTTCTGGACTAACATCAAATTCAAATCTTCTAGGGGCAGCCACACAGTCCTTATCCACCCCAGGGGGCCGCCGCTGGTCCGGGGTATGGACCAGGTCCCCAGAGTGGGCCTCCTGGTGGCTCTCGACCTGCAACACAGCATGAGGTGTCAGCCTATAGACAGCTTTTAATAAGTACCATCCAAGAGAAGCAACTTCAACCCATGTGGCCTCCGGAAAGACTTGAAGCTTTACTCCAGGGACTCGCGAAAGATGCGCCAGGGAAGATCGACTACCTTTCGAAAGCATGGAGAATGTCCTCAGAGATTGCTATGGATTTCCTCAAACTGTCCCTATTCGATATAATCCTCTATATCGATGACAGTGGATCGATCATGTTCGAAGAAGAAGGGGCGCGATTCAAAGACCTTAAGGAGATACTGTCACTTGTTGCTACCGCCGCATCTCTGTTCGACCAAGACGGAATTACCGCACGTTTCATGAACTCGACGGTGCAGGGAAACAATATCAATAGCAAGGAAGCTGCAGAAGCACTTATCACCCAAGTGCGCTTCCAGGGATTAACGCCAATGGGGACCAGTCTGAGACATAAAGTTCTGGAACCGCTGGTAATTGGCCCTGCCAGGAATGGGCAGCTGAAGAAACCGGTCCTTGTTATCACCATTACAGACGGCCATCCCGCTGGTGAACCCACTAAAACAGTGGTAGACGTTATTAGCCACACGGTCGATGAAGTCTCGAGGACACGATATGGCCATGGAGCAGTCTCCTTTGAGTTTGCCCAGGTCGGTTCTGACCTGAAAGCGCGCGATTTTCTGAGCAAGCTCGACGAGGACCCTAGCATTGGTGGTCTAATTGACTGCACATCGAGTGAGTTTCAAAATCTTTGGGTCACCGCTGTAGCATACTGATACGGTGTAGCTCTTGAGGTCGAGCAAGACGAGATGTCCCGAGCCAATCCTCCAGTCGAGCTTACCAGAGAATTATGGGTAAGATAATACCGGCGACCTTCCCGTTTCCAGAGGCTATGTTCAGTTGCTCACATGTTTGTAGTGCGCCAAATTGATGCTGGGAGCGATTGATTCCTCGTACGACACCAAGGACGAGAAAAGGGCTGGCACCGGAGGTGCCCCTCCTCCCCCGGCTGGCCAATATGGCGGTTATAACCAGGCGGCATATGGCCAAAACCAGGCCTATCCACCCCAGGGCTACGGGCAACAGCCGTATGGACAGCCAGCCTACGGACAAGGACAACCACCACCCTCTGGACAGGGTGCATATGGTCAACCCCAGACTGCCCCGAGAGGATACGGTCAACCGTACGGCGGATATGCCTCTCCGCCCGCAGGACAAGGCCAGTATGGACACCCTCCGCCCTATCCGCCACAGCAGGGAGGATACGGGCAAGCACCACCTCCCCCGCCAAGATACTAAGGCGATGCTGTACAAATTACTGTACTCCTATCCTTTCCGCCTTGAATAGGGTACCTGCCTCTGAGTGCTCCTTCTTCGTCAGCGAGGATTGGATTAATCAGTGACCTTTGGAAAAAGAGATAGAGGGTGGACCCACTGGTCCACCTTGTCATACGTCAATGTCAATGCATGTCTTTAATATGTACAGAAATGCGCGAGGTGGATAATCTCGCGGCCCTACGGAGTCTCGTCCGTAAGGATTATTGTTTTGCGTTCCGAACATTTTTGATAATAATAGTATTCTTGAGCAACCATGGTTTGAGTAATCGCTGAACAGTTGGATATGGTATCGGCGTAATTTGCTCGTGGTTTCACCGTGTTCTGAGACCGCGGGGGAAAACCGCCAAAACGTCGGGTGGCGGAGAATGCTTGGAAGTCAACCACGGACGCCCGACAGGGGACGCGACAAGTGGGCCAGGGGAGCAGCACGATAGGTAAGTGAGTCAACCCGGTCCAGGGTCTTAGACATCGTGGCGACCGTGTGCCCGCAGAGGTTCTGCTACGATAGGGCAGGAATAAGTTAACTCGTTAGTGGATGGCAAACACCACAAGGCACCAACGTTAAACACTCGGACGGTTCAGACGCCAAACTCGGGGGGCTGTGCACCGTTGTCCACTGTACTCGTAACTCCCCCAGACTCAGAGAGCGGTCGAGCCTCTCAGGCGTTGGGGGTGACAGACCGGCCTCTATACGGTTCCACCAGGCGAAAACGATGGTGTCCTGATATCGTATGGATGATACCTAATAATGGCAGGCTGGGAGAAGAAAAGAAGCGACGCGCAAGTGCTGCTGCCATGGTCGATCTTTCTCCGCACTGACCCCGTCTACTCTAGACCTTTCCCCAACCCTGTTTCTGGCCGCAAACGCAGAGATAGCAGCTGGCTGCATTCCAATTAGCCATCTGCCCTGCAACCGGGTAATTAACTCTGCTGCGAACTCCCATGAGGCCTATTCCGTCTCTTATTCAACTAACGCTATCTATCTTTTTTTTTTTTTTTCTTTGCCCACTTCCCCCACTTCCACGGCAACGCAACTGCTAGTTATTCTTCGTTGTCTACTCCGTACTTGAACTGCCCTGGCGACGAACTACCATCGCACGTCTTGGGACTACCGTTGGGGATAGACCTCTTTCTCTCCTTCTCATCATTCCTTTTATTGCTTCTACAGCAGGTGAACAGGACAGCACAGAGGCTACTACCGTCGTTTTAACGTGGCCTGGCATTGCGTCATTCGTTTTCGCGATCGACCTTCCCTCCCGGCGACGATCCACCAAAGCTTCAGACCGCTCAACGACTTCTAGAAAACAGGTCCACAGCCCAATGTGGACGGCCTGAACCGTGAACATTGGATCTTCCCTTGAAACGATGCATGCAGGTACCCTCGGTCTTGCGTCTCTCCTTGCGATAAACCGTGGATCAGCTTCAATTGGAACCCCTGCCGGCCAAGAACACACAACAATCTTCGAGGAATCAATACGGGGATAAGCTACTGGAGGGCTACAGGAAACCGCAAGCCACGAGAAGGCGAGAGGTGACCGGATATTCATCTCGTCGAGATGCTGGAGAAGGACGATGAACTCGGCCAGGGAGCAGATCAGCCTACGCAGGAGCTACCAGCGCTGGGAGCTGGTGCGCCGGGCGAGGCCAGTGACGGAAGGAGATCTATACAGGAAGTAAGAGCTGGAGCTGGCTCGCCGCTGCGGAACACCTCGCAGACGCGAGGTCGTGCTGTCGAGAGTCTGGATAGACGAAGGACGTCCTTCTCTCCAGGGACTCGTTCGGACCCGGCTCAGAGATCATCGCAGCAACACCATGTCCGCTTTTCGACTGATCTTGAGCGCCCTCTGCCCAGCACCGAGCAGGAGCCTCAGGTCGTGGACAGGCGACCAAGCTCGCGAGGGTTGACTCTGGATACCAACCTGGCAAGGTCAGCCCCGCAGCCCATCGCTAGATCGCCAGAGAAGGGCTCAACGTCCCCTTTGTCTCCCAATGGGATGCTATCCCCTCTGTCGCCTCAGAGTCCGGATGGGGGTCGATCCAGATCTCGAAATCGTGGCTATTCCCTGCGACGGACTATCTTTGCCAAAAATATACAACCCCAGCCAGAAGGGGACGGGTCAGTCATCGAGCTGGGGCAAGCCCAACCGTCGTGGGCTTCCACTGCAGATGCAACTACGGAGAAGAACCGTGTATCGTCTGACGGGAAAGGAACGAAGGAGGAAGCTCCTGGCACTCCCGTAGTGACGGTGCAGTCCTTTTCGCAGGACGACGGCTCGACATTCTTCTCAGATTCATCCGAGCAACTCAAGGATGGACCAGCCTTCTCGACGTCAAAAGCTTACGATCGATGGTTGCGGAGAAAAGGGACTCATGCTCTAGTGCGATCACGATTGCAGAGTTTTGCGGAATCTGTCCGCAAGAATGTCCTGAGGATACGAGATATCCCGCCTAGCAAAGATGGCCGCCACATCGATCTCGACCCTACGCGGACTGACTCGCTGATCGATGAGAGAACGGGCAAGCAATACGTCGGTAACTCTATTCGCTCCAGTCGGTACACGCTCTGGAGCTTCTTCCCCCGCCAGCTGGTAGCGCAATTCTCTAAGCTTGCCAACTTCTACTTTCTGCTTGTCGCAATCCTGCAGATGATACCAGGATTGAGTACAACTGGTACCTACACAACTATCATTCCTCTGATGATCTTCGTTTCGATTTCGATGGGCAAAGAGGGGTTTGATGATCTGCGGCGTTATCGTCTCGATAAAGAAGAAAACGATCGACTTGCTCACGTCTTGCGCCCTGGCCAGGAGCGCACACAGGCTTCAAGTCTGCCATCTAGTGACTGCGAATCAGCGTTGAGCGCTCTTGAAAATTGGGGCCTTGTAAAGTGGCGCAACATAAAGGTCGGCGATGTGGTCAAGATCGAGCGGGACGAGCCCGTTCCTGCCGATGTGGTCCTGTTGCATGCGGATGGACCCAACGGTATCGCGTATATCGAGACCATGGCCTTGGATGGTGAAACAAATCTGAAGAGCAAACAGCCATGCCCGCCAGTGGCGAAGACGTGTGCCACGGTCGAGGATATAATGAACAGTCCTTTACACTTCGTTGTGGAAGATCCTAATCTCGACCTGTACAAATTTGACGGCAATGTCACCGTTGGAGACGAGAAACTTCCCTTGACCAACAACGAAATCGCCTATCGCGGGAGCATTTTGCGGAATACCGAACGAGCTATCGGTATGGTCATCTACACGGGCGAGGAGTGCAAGATTCGGATGAATGCAAACAAGAACCCGCGCATCAAGTCACCTGCACTTCAGGCCAAAGTGAATCGCGTTGTGATGGTCATCGTCGCCGTGGTCCTAGCCTTGGCTTCTATATGTACGATTGCATACAAATTTTGGTCGCAAGACGTGGAGGACAGGTCCTGGTATCTCGACAAGGCTAATGTTGAGTACGGCCCGATCTGGACATCCTTCCTGATCATGTTTAACACCATGATCCCTATCTCCCTCTACGTCAGTCTGGAAATTGTCAAAGTTGCCCAGATGTTCTTGATGAATGACATCGATATGTACGACGAAGAGTCAGACACGCCCATGGAGGCCCGGACATCAACAATCAATGAGGAATTGGGCCAAGTCAGCTATATCTTCTCTGACAAGACGGGCACTTTGACGAACAATACGATGCGTTTCCGGAAGATGAGTGTCGCCGGTACCGCCTGGTTGCATGACTCCGATCTGCGAGAAGAGGCTGCTCGAGAGGGCGACCGTGCTAAGCTCATACATAAAAAGCGCAGCATCAAGGGCAAGAAGGCCATGGGTCGGAAGTCCAATGCGGGCTCCATGAGGAAATCAAATGTCTCTGCGATCAATAATGAGCTTGATACCCCGACACAGACAAGATTTGCCGGCCGTGAAAAGCAATACCGAGGAGGCCGTACGGGCGATATGCTGGAATATATCCATCGCAAGCCATATACTCTGTTTGCTCGTCAAGTCAAGATGTTCCTCCTGTCCATGGCGTTGTGTCATACTTGCTTGCCGGAATCCGATGAAGACGGTGAGATAGCATTCCAAGCCGCTTCGCCCGATGAACTGGCACTTGTCACAGCTGCCAGGGAATTGGGATATGCTGTGATTGACAGGAACCCCAATGCGATCACTATTCGGACGTACCCGTCTGGGCGGGAAGAGAGCCCTGTTGACGAGACTTATGAAATTCTGGATGTTATCGAATTCTCCAGTGCCCGAAAACGAATGTCGGTTGTCGTTCGCATGCCTAACCAGCGTATCTGTGTCTTCTGCAAAGGTGCGGACTCCGTTCTCATGAAGTTGCTCAAGCGAGCTACACTCGCAGAAGAGAAAGCAGTCGAAATCGATAGGCGCGCCAGTAAAAGGAAGACGGAGGAAGCGATCGAAGTAATGAGACGGACCAGTGAGCACCGCAGCCGAACTAGCACGAGCCGCCCAAGCTTCAGTGGGAGAAGATCTAGTGTATCAGGGAGACACATGGCCTTGAGGGATAGTATCGATGTCTGGCTCAAGGACAGGGAGACCGACGGTGGTATCCTAACAAGAGACAGCGGCTCCGAGTTCTACAGTTCGCGCCCATCTGCCCAGTGGGGTCGACCGTCCGCGGCTTTGTCTGATTCTGGAAGCTCTCTGCAGGAGGATGAGAATGAAGAGCTGGTCGAGGAAGCTCTCGTCGTAAACGAGAACGCGGTGTTCGAGAGATGCTTCCAGCACCTGAACGACTTTGCAACCGAAGGTTTACGGACGCTCCTCTACGGCTATCGCTTCCTTGACGAAACAACCTATAATGACTGGAAGAAGGCGTACCAAGAGGCTACCACCAGCATAATTGATCGTCAAGAGAAGATCGAGAAGGTGGGCCAGCAGATCGAGCAGCAACTTGAACTGGTTGGCGCAACTGCGATCGAAGACAAGCTCCAAAAGGGCGTTCCCGAAGCAATCGACAAGCTGAGACGGGCAAACATCAAATTGTGGATGCTAACAGGAGACAAAAGAGAGACTGCCATCAATGTTGGCCATTCCTGTCGCCTTATCAAGGACTATTCGACTGTCGTTATCCTCGATCACGAGACAGGAGAGATTGAACGAACTATGGTGTCAATGACATCAAACATTCAGAGGGGAACAGTCGCCCATTCCGTGGTTGTTGTCGATGGACAGACGCTCTCTATAATCGAATCGGATGAATTTCTAATGGCCAGATTCTTAAGACTTGCGGTGCTCGCTGATTCAGTTATCTGCTGCCGTGCCAGTCCCAAGCAGAAGGCACTGCTGGTGAAATCCATCCGCAAGCAGGTTAACGATTCTATTACTCTCGCCATTGGTGACGGTGCAAATGATATCGCGATGATCCAAGAAGCCCATGTCGGTATAGGTATAACTGGAAAAGAGGGTCTCCAAGCGGCCAGGATATCCGACTACTCGATCGCTCAGTTCAGATTTCTTCTGAAGTTACTTCTTGTGCACGGCCGTTGGAACTATGTCCGCGTTTGCAAGTACACACTGGGTACATTCTGGAAAGAGACACTGTTCTACCTGACCCAAGCTCTCTATCAGCACTGGAACGGGTACACGGGAACCAGTTTGTACGAGCCGTGGAGTTTGAGTATGTTCAACACTCTCTTTACATCTCTGCCCGTCATTTTCCTGGGTATATTCGAAAAAGACCTTGCCGCGTCCACACTTCTCGCTGTACCTGAGCTCTATACGAAGGGGCAGCGCCATGCTGGCTTCAACATCAGACTCTATCTCGGATGGGCTTTCATGGCCACATGTGAAGCGGTTGTCATATTCTTCACGATGTGGGGTCTTTTTGGCGAGGCTATCATGAATATTGACGCTGGAATCTTCCCCATGGGTCTCCTCTGTTTCACCGCGTGTGTAACTGTCATCAATATGAAGTTGCAGTTCTTGGAGATCCACTACAAGTCAGTATTATGTGTTGTCGTCATGATCATATCTGTCGGGGGCTGGTTCTTGTGGAACATCATTCTCTCACGGCAATACAACAACATCTCCGGCAAAGGCGTGTACGACGTCCGTGACAATTTCCTGACCAGGACGGGCCAAAACTTGCCTTTCTGGGTTGTACTCTTGCTCGCGGTTTCAGCAGTCCTCTTGCTTGAGTTCGCTGTCAGCGCAATTCGTGCTCTTCTCTTCCCCACCGACGTGGACATTTTCCAGGAATTCGAGCAGGATCGCGAGATCCGCAAGCGCTTTGAAGAAGCAGCGGCAATGGAGTTGCAACAGGGTTGGGACAGAGGAAGTAAGAAATCTAGTTTTGAACTCGCCAGGGAGACCGAGGAGATGGAGGCTCGTGAGAAGCAAGTTCAAGAGCTCCTTGAGCGTCCCAGGGTTATGACAAAGACGGAATCTGGCCGAGAACAGGAAGTTGTAGACGTCGAGCTGGGAGCATATGATAATGGAGTCAGTGACTCCAGCGGAGAGGGTGAACATGATAGCTCCGGCGGTGCCGGGCCTCGTCGTTCTCTCGAAATTCACGAGTTGTTCAGCAAAGGGTTCGGTTCCATCAGGAAAGGTCATGATTTGCGATGAAAAATATCATGTTTGTTTTTAGTTTTTCTGTTTCGTTTAAAATACCCAAGGGTTCGGTCTCTCCTTTGAATTTACACATACATAGGCAGGCGTGTTTTGGCATTGCACTATACTTTGACTTTATTGCCCATGGATACTGTTCTGCAACTCTAGCATATGTTGCATCCTGCATGGCATTGTGATATCCTGCCGTCTAGCCACCAGGTACATACCTGATTTCTTATCTGTATATATACGGTTTGCAGATGCGGTGTGCCAGATAGCCATATTAGCAGCTAGTTGGATAGAATACGTTAGCTAGTCCTAATGTTCTAGCAGAACTTGTTCATACTTGAGGCCTGATGCTCGAACTAAACTTGAATAGTTACTACATACCTAGGTAGTATTATATCACTTTGTTAAGTGTTTGCTGGTCGCGGCCAGTGATCTTAGGGTGCTTGTTTGCTTTGATCAACGTCCAGGTCGCGGGGCAGGAGCGGTGGGTGCCGAGGACGGTGAACCCTGTCCAGTTATTATTTTCTTCCTAGCAGGACTTATCCAGAGAACTAGAGTTCTTAACCCAATCTCGTCGCGTCTTGCCTTGCTAACAGCCTTCAGGGTCTAGCATCGCCTCATCCTTTCGTTTCGTGGTCACACTGCCTTCATCATCCCCGCTGTCTAGCAGCAGTCAGGCATCCAACAAACAGCAGTTGGTCGCCCACCGACTGCGCCGCCCAGTTTCAATATCTAAGCAACGTCTGATATGCTCTCCAGATGTCAAGAACCAATTCATTATTGGTTTCTATCCGTCCTGGCTAGCCTGGACTCGGGCGCTTCCTTGGATATGATTATTGGGCCACGATTCGCGGCGCTTATGCTGCATCAAACCAGCATGGCGAAACGCCGATCCGTTACACCCTGGTCAAATCCATGTAGCACAGCCTTGCTCGACAGGGTCAATTGTGCCTCTGTATGATGTATATATGTTAGCGATGCTTCGTCCATTCTTTGCGTTTGCGTTTGTATTTTACTGCTGTTGCGGCCCTCTGGAAACCGCCTCTTTGATATTTATGGGAAATGCCATCCTTCAGTACCTCGCTTCCGGAGCTGAGAAAAAGCTTCACGCAAAGGACAAGACGGATCCGGGCGTCGTTTTATAAAGTCTCTGCGGACAAGAAGCTAATAGTGAAGGCAACCGCTGACCAAAACCTGCATCCGAATGAAAATGGAGCTATCCTTCATTGCCTGGAACCGAAAGGCGTTACCAGCGACCATCTTTGGAAGGAAGCATACGAAAAGCTTCAGCAGCAGCAGCCGGAGCTTATGAAGGACTTTGATGTTATTATGCGCACAGAGACTGGGACAGATGACTTTTGCCGCACCGTTCACGAAACCATTATCAACAAGAAGGTTGCTGCGTTCAGCAGCGATAAATGGAAATTCCGACTCCGCAATAAGCCGATCTATGTGAGAGAAAGTGTCAATAATATTGTCAAGATTATTTCGTCACTTACAGCTTTCATGGAGCCCATATCAAATATGGAACCGCTCCATGCTGGGCTGCCCCTGGCAGCTGTGTGTCTCTTACTTTCTGTAAGTGGGAGTCTAGAGAAACCCAGTCACGCGGTATTTTAGCTATGAGAAACTGAGTAATGCGAATCAGTTTGCAGAGAACAATGAGGCCCAACGTACATCTCTCCTTGATGGATTGGAATATATCTCAACGACAATGCACTCTTTCACTGTTACTGAAAGGATCTATCTGGCCGGAACGCTCACAAAAGCGACCAGTGACTTGAAACGTGCTATTATCGATGTATACGTACCAATCCTCGAATATGAGGTTCGGGCGTTGAGTTACTTCAATAAGAATCTGCTCAAACGATTTGGACGAAATGCTTTCAAATTTGATGACTGGAACGGCATGATCGATAAGATAAAGTCATATGAAACTCACTGTAACACTTTCATCACGGTTTCCGACATTGAATGTCGTCAGGATCAAGCGCAACGGGTCCAGCTCTTGCTGGAAGAACTTGATCGCAGGAATGACGCACTGATCAGAGAAACGATTACCTGGCGGAAGAACGATCTTGAATATCAATGTTTTGAATGCTTTAGAACTATGGAGTATGAGCGCTACAAGGATAAGAACCCTTGTCGTGTTCTCGGAACCTGCAATTGGTTTCTTGATCATCCAAGGTACCATAAGTGGCTGCAGGACCCGCAAGCGAAATTACTCTGGGTTTCGGCAGATCCAGGATGTGGGAAATCAGTATTGGCGAAGACATTGGTTGATGAGCAATTCATGAGCCTGAACTCGACCGCAGCGGATAATGTGTGCTATTTCTTCTTCAAGGATGACGATCCAAGCTCAAGACAACCAACGAACGCCATAGCATCTTTTCTGCATCAGCTATTCACACAAAATCACTCCCTTATCAAACATGCTTTACCATCGTTCCAACGCAATGGAAACAAGTTGTCCGCGTTATTGCAGGAACAGTGGAATATACTGTTATCTGCCACTGCAGATCCCAGCTCAGGAACCACCATTTGTGTAATCGACGCACTCGACGAATGTGAAGATACAATGCGGAATTCATTCATCCAGTTACTTCGAGGTTTATCATCATCCCGTGAACCACTTCAGCGTCTCAAGTTCCTTGTTACTGGGCGTCCATCGGCCTTCTATGGTCGCTTGACACCGGACGAAGTCCCTGGTACGGAAATTCGTCTCATGGGCGAGAGTGATCAAGAGAAGGAACATATCAGTCAAGAGATAGGGTTGTTTATCGATGCCAAGGTTGAAGCATTCCGCAGACAACGACAGCAATTAGGGCTTGAAGATGATGCCCACGAGATGATTCGAGAAAAGATCAATGCTGTCGACCACCGAACATATCTATGGCTATCTCTCATATTCCCAGAGCTAGCAGAAAATCCAGGTCTTGGGGTTGCACGACTGCGGCGGAAACTGGATCGAATCCCCCAAACGGTGGATGAAGCATATGAAAAGATATTGAACAGAACCACTGATAGAGGTAAAGCCCTGAGAATACTTCAATTGGTCGTGGCCGCCGCTCGCCCACTGACGCTAAAGGAGATGAATATGGCACTAGCATTAGCTGAAGTGGATGAAGTAGGCGAACTCAGCTTGGAGCCTGAGGTAACTTTCCAGGATACCCTGAAGAACAGTTGCGGTTCGTTCTTGGATATCAAGAACTCGACAATATATCTCATCCACCAAACGGCTAAGGAATTCCTCCTGAGACATCAAGCTGCTTCTGAGAGATCAAGCTCCAGTTCATGGAAATCGTCGGTCGATTTTGAGGACGCAAACCTATATTTCGCCCAGATATGCGTGTCATACATCTTCCTTCCTCAGTTCGAAAGCGACATTATTATGGGCGATGTTTGGTGTCCTTCGGCCTCACAAATAGAAAAGCATGATCTCCTCAGATACGCTGCAAAATATTGGCCTCATCATCTCAACGAATGCACATCTGAAGCAAGTTCTCCGTTGGTGGATAACGCAATTGAGTTATGCCATCCAGTTTCTGGCCGGTGTAAAAATTGGCTGGGGATATACTTATTCGAGCATCAGATCGACCTCAACTTGGATCGTTTTACAGATGAACTCGAGGTGATTGCTGTCACTGGCGTGAAACGTCTGCTAGAGGTTTATCTTCAAAGAGGAATCAACTCACTGGCAATGTTACAGGCCATTCTCCCTGCTCGTTTCGCTCAGCAATTTGATATTGAAAAGATCCTTCTAAGAGGAGGTGCAGAACCTCATCTAAGAACTGCGTACGGAGACACATACTTGTCTAATGCCGTGGCCTATGGAGATTTCGCCGTCGTGAAAATGCTTCTCGATAGGGGCGCTGATCCTAATGAAGATGAATACGGTTCAAGTCCCCTATCCCGGGCAGCAGTCCATGGCTATCACGACATAGTCCAAATACTACTGGAAAATGGTGCCCGCCTCGAATTTCGATGTAGAATGCGTGGCCGTACACCATTGTCATACGCGGTTGAGGGTAAATACAGGAAACCAAGCTTTCATCAGCCCCCGTGCACATCCTCGCGACGTGACTACGCAAAAGTTACCGGAATATTACTTAGTCATGGGGCAGACATCTATACGCGGAGCCTTAACAGCCAGACACCACTCTACTATGCCATCACTGGTCAGAATACAGAAGGAGCGAAGCTACTTTTGGACTCAGGTGTCGACCCAAACTCTAAACTCTGCCAAAGGGAATTCGCCCTTCATGTTGCAGCTACAAATGAAGATGCGGCCATCGTGGAATTACTGCTTAGTAGGGGTGCCATGCTAGACATATTGGATGACTATGGACGCACCCCATTGTCACACGCTGCTGAGTGCGGGAGATTCGATACTGCTAGAGTTCTGCTTGATAATGGGGCGCATCCAGATCCGATAGACAATAAAGGTCGGACACCTCTTTATTATGCAGCGGAAAGCGGAGAGGGGAAACTTTTCAGGATGCTCCTCGACAAGGATGCCAACCCCGACTCGACAGATGCATGTAGCAGCACCGCTCTTTGGGCTGCTTGTTCATACGGTCACATCAATATCGTCAAGATGTTACTTGACAGGGTGAATAATCTCAACCCGGTCACGACTTGGGGTGAAACCGCACTGTCTGTTGCAGAGCGCCGCGGCCATGGACGTATTGTTGAACTATTGCAAGAAGCAATCAGGAACAAAAGCTCAAATGAGCCGTCTCTTGAGTCAGAAGTGCAATTGCCCTCCAAGGTACTCTAGCATGATCATCACGAAGAGCTCCCAGAAACTGCGATGAGAGGAAATATACCCGTTTTAAGTGCAATTTGTCTCTACGCTTGGGGACCAAATATACTGCCGAGTTTACGCCAAAGCACGTCTGGAATTGCTAATTTCCTCGTATTCTTTTTGGTTGAATCTTGTATGTTATTTTTTTTTTCTCCCACAGTTACATGCAGGTTTCGGACCTTTTTCTTTTTGGAAAGTTTCTGTAGAGCATCTAGTCTCTTGGTGAAGAGTTGATTTCTGCCATAGAGTTTCCAGCGTCCTGGCTAATACCGCCTGGATCATATACTTATACCAATAGATAGTTTTGAGCAATATACCTTTTTTGGATTCATATTATCATGTCTTGAACTTGAAGGTTGGGAACTTTCTTTTCTTTCTTTTTGGCATGGAATCTAGTGTTTTGGGAGGATATAGCTTGCAGCACGGTACCAGCGCATAATTCCCAGGATGCTCAGAATGCCATTGACATGGTTCTCCTCCGTACAGACAGCCGGATTATTGTTCCTGGCTTGATCCGGTCGAAGGAAAAAAAAGCGAGTTTCTTTCGACGCCACAGGTCGGTAAAGATGCCGTGATCGCTGGACGGCTTACCCAGGACGGCTTGTTTTGAAAGGCTTTAACAAAGTTCAGTTATGAACCAGAGAAAGGCATTGACGGGGTCTTAACGGTTTGACCAGCGTCAGGGCCTTCCGGGAGGTAGACTACAATACATGTACGCATGCAGTCAGTCTCACAGCATCTGTCTCGGTTGTCTCTCGGAGATTATCAGATCATTCGATCAGAATGCGGCCGTGTGGCTGGCGATAACTCGACTGGGATCTAATTTCGAACCCAAGATCCTATACCTCACAACCTCGACGTCATGTTGCAGCCTTGCGTGGCCAACTCAGTTGAAGCCTTGTCCCGGGATAGGATTCATCATCGTCCATGGTCTAAAGGCGAGGACGCGCATTCCTCTTGGCTTACACCCCGCCTTGGCGTTTCTGATGGCTCGCCGAGCCCAATGACAGGCCGGGTTTGCTGATTATCAAACCGACTCTGGCACTCCCCGAGATGCGTCGTGCGATCCCTTCCGTTTTGCGGCCAAGTTGGACGGCAGCGGCCATTCAGAATTTCAGAAGGAGCAGCGGAAGAAGACGCCGGCCGTGCAACGCCAGTCGACCTGAGAGTATCTCCCCAACGGTCAATCATCACTGGAAGGGGAGGGAGACACGGTTCCACTGATGATCCTGACCTGGGAGGGAATCGCTCTACAATGGGCCCCATGGTCCACCCTCCGGTTCTTCATATGGAACAGTTTATGAACGGAACTGTGAGCCCGCATCTTTCGGTCACCGGCCGCTGATGTCGAGACGGCTCGTCACTCAGTATCTCTTTCCTCAAGAACCAAGATCAAGGGTGGACATCCATGTGCTGCTCTCCTGCCCACCATCCTTCCGATCGATGAACAGCAATGTGGATGAAGACGTTGGAGAAGCTCTCCCGCGGTAGCTCCGCACCCAGCAGGAAGATTGGCCGTCTGCTTATTGCCTCTCTCCTCGTGGCAAGCTGTTTGTTGCTATGGAACAACTTCAAGACCAGCTTCAATCAGAGCCGACTGCTAGCCAGCTTCAGACAATCGAAATCCTCACCACAACCGCCATTACCACACTCCTGCAATGCTACAACAGAGACTATTGAGCGATACCAGCTCACGAGGCCGGTACAGTTCTTGCGGCGGGAGATCATCGCCAGTCGATCGTCGTCCGACCTGAAATTTTCAGAACCGCTGGACGCCCCTCTGTTCGACTATCGCAGCGCGAATCTGACAGCCCAGCTGCTCGGAGAGCAAACGCTGGACGCTTGCTCGCACCCTCTTACCGTACCGGTCCCCACGCCGCCGGCGCAGGTGGACGCCTCACATATCGACTTTGGGGTGGCGACGACATATGATCGATTATACGAGTCGTTGGACCAGTTCGCGCACTGGGCTGGCAATAGCAATGCGCGCATCTTCGCTCTGATCGAGCCGCATGGCGGCCACCACACGATGATGAACAAGGCCCAAAGCCTGGGAATCCATTTGCATATTGTTGAGTCGGATATCGAATATAACGCGCGATATTTCTCATTGCTGAAGCTGCTCGAAGAAAATGCACTGGAAGAGACGGAATGGTCCTGCATCATCGACGATGACACGTTTTTCCTGTCGATGCCTGCGCTCGTTAAACGACTCGATCAGTACGACTCGTCGAAGCCGCTCTATATTGGCGGCTTGTCGGAAAGTGTCGCGCAGATCGCAGTGTTTGGCATCATGGGCTTCGGCGGCGCCGGCGTTTTCGTCTCGCGACCGCTTCTGGACCAGCTCAGCGAGGTATTCGCCGAATGTCAAGCAATGGAAGGGACGGGAGACAAGAAGATCTCCCAATGTATCTACCAGCACACGTCGACGAAATTCATCGACGACCAGGGCCTGCGCCAGCTCGACCTGATGGACGACGCGTCTGGATTCTTCGAAGCTGGTCGCGAACAACCGTTGTCCGTCCACCACTGGAAATCATGGTACCAGGCCGACATGATCAAACTGGCCACCATCTCCAAAATCTGCGGCGACACCTGCCTACTCCGCCAGTGGCGTTTCTCCGACGACTGGATCCTCACCAACGGCTACTCGATCGTCAAGCGCAGTCGAGAAATTGCCCCAGGCACAATGGAGCGAACGTGGACCTACCACAACGGTGCAGTGCTGGAATCCTACTTCCACGCCCTGGGCCCTCTCGAAGACATAGACCCCGGAAAGATCAGCTATCGTATGGAAGACTCCATTATCGAAGAAGACGGTCGCGTAAGGCAATTCTACATCCATCGAGATGACGTCGAAGGCGATCGCGTGATCGAGTTAGTATGGCGATCTGAATGATCCGATAAATTTTCATTGATGGCTTCTTTCTGATCTGACTGGCGTTTCTTATCATTCCTGGTGTGCGTGCATGCGTGTAGAAGGGAGTTTTCGCGAACATTGGTTAACTACTTTCTCTCCTGAGATCGAATCGAAAATGGTTATGACTAATTAGTAACTATGCTTAAACATTTTCGTTCTCTGTCATTTTATTTTCTGTTACTTTTTTGCTACTTTTCTATTTTTTTCTTTCTTTCTTATTATTTAGATTGATATCCATGGTAGCAAGAGCCAGTCACGGAGATGAGGAAACAGACGATTAATGTGTATTCTTAGAAACTAAAACTAATCTCTTCAAAGTTGCTTCTTCGCTGGAGGACTAAGTAATAATTCGTAGTTTAATAATTCAATAATTTATGTATTCATGTAGTCATGTAGTCATCACCGTTAGAGATCATACTGACTGCAAGTACTGTTTATGTATGTATGTACATACATCCATGGCGCAAACATGCGCGTCATGATGATGGGGTTAAATATCCACGAAACAAAGAAAGTATATATATATATACAGCCCATAATCAAATGGAAAGAAAAAATAATTCAAATAAACCGCTCGAACTCCTCGACCCAAAAAAAGGGATGGATATCAGGACGGACCCAATGTAATTGATTCAAATAACCAACGCTGAAGCCATACCCAGCGTATAGTTTCCATTTTCAACCTCACAATAATTCTCAGTATCATCAGACATATCATCATGATTGTTAATGTTAATGTCAATGTCAATGTTATTGTCAATGTTCGCGTCAGTGCCACTATCAGCATTATCAACCCAAAACAACAGATCTGACTCCACGTCCTGTATAGTATTACTAGGCGTATCAAGACCTAATATACTCCTTGAGCGTTCCAGGAGTTCTGGAAAGAGATATGATTGCGAGCCCCTGCTTTTGGATAATGCGTTGAGCATACCCCAGAGAAGTTCGCGGGGGTCGATGATTGTTAATGCGAGGCGTTGTGTGGCTGCGAAGCGTAATGAGCATGCTACGTCTGCGATGGAGGTGCCTAGGTCGAAGAGTTTTTGTTCCTGTGTGTTCCAATGGAGGGGGTTAGTTAGGGGATGGTTTTGAAGGGAGGGAGGGAAGGAAAGGAAAGGGGAGGGGGGGGTCTTACCATCCCTATTCCATGCGCATCGAGCGCGCCCTGCGATACTGAACCTATCACGTCCATCACGGCTTTTCCTACCAAAATGGGAAGATGGAAAGGAAGAACCGGCCCTCTGGTAGTAGTAGAGATAGGTATTATGGATTGTTGCGAAGAAGAAGAAGAAGAGTGACGGTGACGATGACGATGACGATGATGAGCCAGGAAAGAAAGAGCCCACATTTTAGCTTGCAGCCATTGCTGCGTGATGAGGATATCGACTTGTTGAATCTCAAGCACGCCGTCTAGCGTGATCTGGTTGGAGAGGTTGGATTGGATGGTGCGCGTGGGCGGTAGTTCGGAGTATCTGCTATCGCAGCCGGTGGAGACCCAGTCGTAGAGATTGACTGTGAGGGTTTCGAAGATGTTGATGAGGTTGAGGAAGCCGTATGTGAGGATGGGGTCGTCTGCGTAGAGAACTTTGGGTTTTTCGATCGAGTTTCGTAGCATTACGGGTTTGGCGCGTTGGAGGGCGTATGCTCTGGATGGAAGTTAGGAATCAAGGGTGAAATTGGGGGTGAAATTGGGAGGAGTGATTATGTTATGTATTACCTTTCTGTTATGAAGAGTAGCCAGAAGACTCGTCTGCTCTCTTCTGCATCAACTATGTCCATGGTGGAATATGTTGATTCCCGATGTAAGCCTAGGGTATGTGCCATGGAGATGCTCTGGCTGAGGTAGAACCATGCATGGTCTTCTTTGTCTAAGTTTCCATAGGCGGCGAACAAGAAGAATGATGTTAATATGCTTTCGATGTTGACGTTGCTTAGCAGATCTAATTCTGCTCTTGCCCTTACTGCTTCGGTCAGGAGAGCCTCCCCATGCGGAGATGATGAACCGTGAGTGCTGCTGGAGTCTGTTCCTGAGGGGTCTGTCATGGACGACCCATCTCCATCGAGATTCAGTTGGATATGCGTCGCCGCGCATAGGGATGCCATGAAGGCATATCTCTGCGGAGACAGTTTGAGCGGTTCTGCACTGTCTGATAGCAACTGCTCCCGATGCACGACCGGCATGATGGGGAATAAGTACTTCAGGAACACGTTCGCATGGGCGAGTAGAACCAGTGATGAGAGGCGTCTCGCGTGCGGACGCAACAGGGCGCTACTATCAGAGTCATATTGGAGGTTCAATGTCTTCAGAGAGGATGTGGATTCAGAGGATGAATAATTGCGCCGGTACAGATCTGGTGGAACCTGGTCTTGTTCTCCGGACCGTGTTGACGATTCTGTAGAGTCTTCATTGTGTGGATGAGAGCAGTATGTCGGGCTTCGACGATCTGTGGAGTGGAGTGGCGCCAACAGAGAGAGCCTGCGGAACTTCGGGCCCTTCCGCTGGAGAATATGAGCGTAGGTACATGAAAGGAGTAGTCTCTGGCATTTGTCGCAGGGATTGGCGCGGTTGCATTTGATCTTTCGCCGACGACAGTTGTCGCAGGCTTGTTTCTGCGGCTTGGGTGTTGATGCTGGTGATTCCATTATGGTCCGCGGCTAATGAAGTATTTAACAAGAAACAATTAGGTGGGGAGTAAGTAAACAACTCCTGAGAGGGATGTTTATATCTTCGGTTCGACTTTGTATATTATATGATGCTCCTTTGCCCGGTAACAGACCAGACCAGGGCTCACTGTGCGAATGTCCGTGCAAGGCCCGGGATGGAATATGGCGTGCCTGTTCGATGCAGAAATCGGGAGAAGACCTGGGGTAGCGCGGGGTTGATGGCCGTTTTGGCGTCCGGTGAAGACTTTCGACGTCTGGAAGGAGGATAGTAAAGACATCTGGGGTTGACAGTCTGTCGAGTGCACTAAGATCGAAGATCCCTGATCGTCCTATCCTCTTAATTCATCGGCTATAATCCGGGGACGTGCTCGATTATTTTTTTGCGTCAATTTTTGCTTCACGCCGTTCCAGGTTGCTTACTACGGACGATGACCCGCTTAGTTCTGTTTCTATCACATGTTGGAACTAGAACTACTTAGTGAATTAGGTATACTAGCTGACTTTATGACCTTAAACGAAGTCGAATTGGGCTAAGTCCTTACACCTTTGCGGCATGTCTTTCACTCGGAACTCGATCATTTTGAGCGAGAGGTGCTCGTCCAGGCCTTCTGCAACGAACGCGACTCCCATCATGTGCTCATTTGCTCGTTTTACGTCAACAGCGCAACCTGCAGCGCTGATGCCGTAACGTCCACCTATTCGATGTTACCCATATCGGATCGGTACGTTCAACAGGCGGTGGTCCGGCGATTGGGGCAGAAGCATACCGTATCGTCAAGGTATATGACTACTACTACTACCTGACGCGATCGTTCAACACGCGCCAACTTTGCCTCAACTTGAACAAGCTCTTCCTCGAACTTCGTTCAGCAAGCTGCTGCCTGCCGAATTAAATCACGTGAAAGTTTATCCCTTGACGGCTTGACTAAGTATCAACCAGCAAGAAACGACAACCCAAGTCAAGGAAGGATCTGAGAGAAGTATTCTGGCCTATGTTTTGTTGAGGTATGTCAACCTGCTTCCTACATGCAGCATATCCTGGTATTGGCTAAGCAGACATCATGGCTGACAGAGACAAGGTGTTAACTAACTTAACTAATTCGTTATACAAAGGTACAAATTTACCTTATCAGTCAGTGATTACCTCTTCGAAAATTTCCCATTAGGGAAATTTCTTCGAGAACTTCACTGCCCATACTAATATTACTAATACAGATCTACTTTTTATACAACGAATCCTCTATACAACGAATTACACTACCTGGCTAAAATGATTCGTTATATCCAGGTTTTACTACTGTACTGGGAAGTCCTCGAATAAAGACAATTAGCGCCAGGGATCGGCAGTGCCTAGAACAACTCCGAGATTTGTACTTCCTTGATGAAATCAAGCCTATGACAGGAAGCAATACCAAGGGTTTGGAAAAGACAGAGAGCAGTGAAAAGGACCACAACCACAGAAATGAGGACAACGAATCATCGCCAAGAAAGGAACGCAAAAAAGAAGTTAGGGAGGACAACTACACTCGCCAAACTCGTCGATTAACAAAAGATGCAAATTCTGATACCTCGGTTAAAGAGCGTCCAGCAGATTGGGTCCTAGGGCCCAGTCTATCAGCTGAGGATGCTGTTCACCGATATGCGCCCCTTTTTGCACACGGATGAATAGGGAGATTATTTGTGGGGTCACAGAGGACAATAATACCTTTACTACAGTAAAACCTGGATATAACGAACCTGCGTATAACGAATACCTCGACATAACGAATTTGAGACCGTGTCAAAATTAAAATCCCATACAAAAATTTCTTCTAATAGAGATAGGTATGCCTTGACATGAAGTTAATGGACCCTGAGAACAATTTTCTGCCTGAAGAAATCAGAACCAATAGACATAGATTTCAATTGGGGCGCCCCTGCATAGTTTTCACCTTCATGAGCGATTTTCACTCGCCAACAGAGAAGTTTGACTGAATCTGACGTCTGCTCCGGGAGGGTGACATTGCTTCTAGAAGGATACCTTGGAAAACGGACAAGGAGCACAAAATCCCGCACCCAGAATAATCTAGAAGGATGACCTGGGTCTTGGTGACCGGGCTGTCTCTGCGGGGTTTGTGTTGGTATTGGTGGATAGAACGCTATAACAGCTTCGATTATTGATGTATGCTGTATCTATGCATAGCTAGATGATCTCCCTTCCAGAAGAGTTCCAGGCGATCAATGTAGGTTCGTCGTTTCGAGATCGACCAATAATTAAGAGGCATTGCTAAGATCGTTGACATGCAGTTGGTTTCTACTTTTTGTGTTCACGTGCAGCGCGGGGTCTCATCCTTGCGATGCAAGGAATATGGCAGCTGATGGTTCCCAACGTCCAAAGAGAGTGAGCATCCCACCCAGTCAATGTGTATGAATACTGGACGAGTCCAGTGTAAAGGTGCAAAGACGCTCTTTGCGATATAGGTCCTCTCAATGGGGCATCAGAATGAGTAGGCTAGAAGGCAGCTGCACCCGAAAGATTCTATGGTATGGCTGTCAATCCGGGATACTCATGTCAACCGGCGACACCACATTGGTACGCAATGGCTACGGTACATTCTTTCAAGTCTATGAGGAGTCGAGGACTAACGGGGACATTATCCAGAACATTCCATCATCGCTCGACTTATGAGCCGACACGGACCGTACTTATCTCCGTACAGTGTGCAGTGAAGATGCCTCCGAGTGGGATCCGAATTTGTCTGTGCCTATAGTTTACTACTAACCAAGCCGGGCCGAACAGACAATAAAATGAAACTTGTGGCCGGCAGGCTTTGACGGCGTTTGATGGTGAAAAGCATATCAGAAGATCGACATTGCCGTCCCCGCAAGCATCGGGCAATTGTCGGGGATATAGCCAATCATTGTGCACAACTAAGAATGACAGCCACAGCATCATGGACGAGTACGAACAAGTCACTCTGAATTTTGAAACAAACTCGCACCGGATAATTTGGGAAGAGAGGGCACGGCCTCAGATTCCACGCGCGACTCAGCGGATAGGACATCTCTTTGCGTACCTGATCTTCTGTCCGTGTCCTGTCATACTACGGTACCTGCGTATTAGCATGAAGCTGCCGTCGCTCCGAGACGCAAAAGCCCCGAAAGCCGAAATTGACCAGGATAACAGATCAGAAAGAAGCGAAGACAAACAGAATACAAGTCATCTTCGAGACGCGGTTCTGCCTAAATCAGAGCTCCAGCTTCTCCGCAGTGCGCGGGCGGACCCCGCAAGAATTAATAGTTAAACTGGATCTGGAAGGTCGGTAGAAACTCAACGGAGCTAATGTAATAATTAACATGTATCGTGTATCATTACCTTTGCTAGCTTCGGGGAGAAAAGCGGGGGATCTCTCCGGGGTTTATACAATGAGGCTACAGTAGTAGTACAGAACATCTTGAGCTTTGCGGTTCGGGGACTCCCGATCCATTCTTGGCTCTGAAAGGTTATAGCATATAAGGTACGTGGATTTCCGGTGAAGAATTCGTTGCCAGCTTGTATAATGTACAGTGACGGACTAGACAGCGTCTGACACCGGCATTGATCGACGACATGGGCGGTTTCACGCATTATATGCTGGCCAGCGCCTGGCTGCCTCTGACGCTGGGAGCGGCGATCTCACCAGCTCCAACTTCATCCACGGCGTCATGGGGACCAGTATTCACCGTGCCAGCGTCCGCCGACGAGGGTGCTCAGTTGGTAGCCAACATCAATGATCCCCAATCGGTCAATGCGCAAACGGTCTGCCCAGGCTATGTGGCGTCGAACGTCCAAAACAACGAATTTGGATTCACTGCTACATTGAACCTCGCTGGAAAAGCTTGCAATGTCTATGGGACAGACGTTAACTCTCTGAACCTGACGGTGCAATACCAAGCAAGCGACCGCCTGAACATCAACATTGGCCCAGCACATGTCGATGCTTCCAACGAATCTTGGTATATCCTGTCTGATGATTTGGTCTACAAGCCTACGGTTGATGGAACTGCTTCCATTTCACAGAGCGACCTGTTGGTCTCGTGGTCGAATGAGCCTTCCTTCAACTTCAAGGTCATCCGCAAGGCAAATAAAGATGTACTTTTCAATACAGAGGGTACAGTGCTGGTATACGAAAATCAGTTCATCGAGTTTGTCAGTGCACTACCTGAAAATTACAATCTCTATGGCCTCGGCGAGAGGATTCACGGGTTGCGACTGGGGAACAATTTCACAGCGACCACCTATGCGGCTGACGCTGCAGACCCCATTGACGCGTAGGTTTTCCTCTGCAGTCTCCACTGTCATCTTCTTCGGTAGGATTTAGTTGACAGTTTGCTACAGGAACATATACGGAACTCATCCTTTCTATCTGGACACTCGATACTATGAAGTGGATTCTAAGCAGGGAACATATACTTTGCTCACCACCAACGAAACAGATCAATCAAAGGAATACACTTCTTTCTCCCACGGTGTTTTTCTGAGAAATGCACATGGCCAGGAAGTTCTGTTGCGTCCCGAAGGGATCACCTGGCGAACATTGGGTGGCAGCATCGACTTGTACTTCTATTCGGGTCCGACACAGGCTGATGTCACCAGGAGCTATCAGACAAGCACGGTTGGTCTGCCAACAATGCAGCAGTATTATACTTTCGGTTATCATCAGTGCCGATGGGGGTACCAGAACTGGTCCGTAATGGCCGATGTGGTCTCCTCGTTCGCAAAGTTCCAGATCCCTCTGGAGACCATATGGTAAGCTGAACCAGACGTTCTCATTGCAAGACTTGTCACTAACATAGTTCTCTCATTCCAGGTCAGATATCGATTATATGAATGCGTATCGTGACTTCGAGAATGACGCGGTCCGCTTTTCGTATAGCGAGGGCGCGGAATTCCTTGGACAACTACACGAGAACGGCCAGCACTGGGTTCCCATTGTCGATTCGGCAATCTATATCCCCAACCCCGAGAATGCCTCTGATGCGTAAGTGCCCCATAATATCCCCGGATGTAGCCTTATAAAAACTCACAAATGTCGCAGATATGACGTCTACACACGCGGAGAAGCTGACGGCGTGTGGATGACAAATCCTGACGGAAGCCTATACATTGGAGCCGTCTGGCCTGGTTATACCGTGTTCCCAGACTGGCACAATCCCAAGGCTCATGAGTTCTGGTCAAATGAGATCGCAACATGGCACCAGAAAGTGGCATTCGATGGCATCTGGATCGATATGAGCGAAGTCTCCTCGTTCTGTGTTGGCAGTTGCGGTACTGGAAATCTGACTCTCAATCCTGTTCATCCTTCGTTCCTACTCCCCGGAGAACCAGGAGCTGTCATATACGATTATCCCGAATCCTTCAACGTCACCAATTCTACTGAGGCAGCCTCTGCGTCTGCCGCTTCGGTCAGTCAGGCTGCGGCCACAGCTAGCGCAAGCGCATCGACGACTACAAGCTATCTTCGAACAACACCCACACCTGGCGTACGTGATGTGAACCACCCTCCGTACGTCATCAACAATGTCCAACCTGGACATGACCTGGCTGTTCATGCCGTATCCCCCAATGCTACCCACATTGACGGGGTCTCAGAGTATGACGTGCACAACCTCTGGGGTTATCAGATCCTCAACGCTACCTATCACGGCCTGCTGAAGGTTTGGGAAGACAAGCGACCTTTCATCATTGGTCGATCGACATTCGCCGGCAGTGGTAAATGGGCTGGCCACTGGGGCGGAGACAACACCTCGTTATGGGCGTACATGTTCTTCTCTATCCCACAGGCCCTGTCCTTCTCGCTCTTCGGCATTCCCATGTTTGGAGTCGATACGTGTGGTTTCAATGGGAATTCCGACGAAGAGCTGTGCAACCGCTGGATGCAGCTCTCTGCCTTCTTCCCTTTCTACCGTAACCACAACGTCCTGTCAGCAATTTCTCAAGAGCCATACGTGTGGGCTTCCGTCATTGATGCTTCCAAGGCCGCCATGAAGATCCGCTACGCGCTGCTCCCTTACATCTACACCCTATTCTACCTCGCACACACCACCGGATCAACCGTTATGCGTGCCGTCTCTTGGGAGTTCCCCAACGACCCATCCCTCGCCGCAGTCGACACCCAGTTCCTGCTTGGGCCCTCTCTGATGGTCGTCCCCGTCCTCGAACCACAGGTAGACTACGTCAAGGGTGTCTTCCCCGGTGTCGCCAATGGCGAGGTCTGGTACGACTGGTACACCCAGAGCGTATTTGATGCAAAGCCCGGCGTCAACACCACCATCTCCGCTCCTCTAGGCCATATCCCCGTCTTTGTGCGTGGCGGAAGCATCCTCCCCATGCAAGAACCCGCTCTAACCACACGAGACGCGCGAAAGACACCCTGGGCCCTATTGACTGCTCTGAGTGCAAATGGCACTGCCTCCGGACAATTATATATCGATGATGGAGAAAGCATCACTCCTAACGCAACTCTCAATGTCGACTTCGTTGCTTCTAATTCGAACCTCGTCGCATCTCCGCGCGGCTCGTGGGTGGAAAAGAATCCCCTCGCGAACGTGACTGTTTTGGGAGTTCCGACTGCGCCTTCGTCTGTGACTTTCAATGGTGCTGCTGTGCCGCGGGCTTCTGTGGCATATAACTCTACCTCGAAGACTCTATTCGTGGGAGGACTGCAGGATTTCACCAAGACTGGCGCCTGGGCTGATAAGTGGGTGCTCAAGTGGTAAGGAAGAAGAGATGGTTTGCAATTTCATAATGATAATCTCCGCTGGCATGTTATTCATCTGATTTATATGATGGGAAAATCTAGTTGGGATATATCCGAGATTCTTGAGCTAGGCTCATGACCTTATTCAAATGAAATGTTTGTCATTGCTAGCACAGGTATTTAGATGCTTGTTATATATGGAGATCAAAATATATACTCGATGCATATCGACATCAACATACTGCCTATCTTGATCAATATCCCGCTTATATCTGGCTCGTATATTTCCCATGCTTTCTCTTGGAAGCAAGCCAAGATTTTAAATATGTTATCTCCACGTATCATCCACTTCTGCCGTAGTAGTCCCGCACTTCTGAGGAACATCGTGGTCTCGATTCGGGTCGCTCTCCCACACGATGCTACCATCTGTCTCCTTTTTGATATACTTATATTCAATAGACTCACCAGCAGGCAAAGTGACAGTTCCGTACCACAGCGGATTACTACTTGTGTACTCGTCCGCGCTCAATGCGACAGCCGAATCCGTGTCCCATGATCCGAGCGCGGACACGGAGCCGACTACGTAGACGTTCTCACCGTAGTTAGTTGTCGCGAGAACGTCGAATGTCACCGCCACGGCGGTGGGCGTGGTAGTGCATGAACCTGTTGTCGTTGCAGTGGTACTGCCGCCCCAATTGGTGTTGGTTGCTGTGCTGTAGGGTCCTGTTGCGGAGGTGGCTGAACAGACTGACGGGACGCTGCTGGCTGATGTCTCGCCCCAGGAGGCTGGCACAGTTGCGTTTCGTCGGGCGGCGGCTGTTAGGAGGGCGGCGTATGACCAGGTCAGGTCGTCTGCTGAGAGGGGCGTTCCGTCAGAGCGGGAGAATTGTTCCGCAAGGGCTCCAGACGATGGGGTGTATTTTTGCTATGATGCTAATCAGTATCTAGAACGGGTATATGTATGTTGCTAGCGGGTTCGAGAAGCAGACTTACCGCTATATCCATATAGCCGTCCGCATATGTTCTCACGGCGGCTACAATATCACTGTACGTCGTAGAGGAGGACTGATACGTCCCGACCGCGGCGTCTGAGTAAACATCTTGGAAGAACGCCAGACTCACGTCCGTGATTGTCAACTCGCCTGCGCGATTCCATTGATACAGGGCATCGTAGAGTAGTTCAGCAGCTGCAAAGGTACACAGGTACCACGGGTTTCCACCCTGGTACGTATCTTCCGGATACCTTCCAACCGCTACAGCCTGACCTTGCGCGATGCCCGAATTGATCGAGTACACGGACCGGAACGAATCCGTGACTACTTTGTGATTGGCCAGCGCACGCGCAGAGCACGGTTGGAAAGTGGAATCGTCGCAGCCAGCATCTGGGTCGAAGGTATGGATGCTTCCTAGGAGAGAGTTCGCATCTTTGCCGGACCTGCTACTGCCGAAGTTGGCAAGGACATAGGATCCCGTCCAGTACGACTGTAGGAAACAAAGGACCTGTGGCGCCTGCGAGATACAATTGGAGCAGGTGTGGCCAAGCTGTTCAGCCAGGGAATTACCTTCGACTAATGCGCGGTGCTGGACAGCCGTGGTAAAGAATGATGAGCCAGAGATTTCTTCCCAGAGATCTTTGTGGAGATGTCAGTCCGTCTGTCTCTGGAAAGTAACTAAGATAGGGTCATACCGTATCCGGTGGAGTTCCAGTATTGGGTCACGTAAGACAGATCATTCTGAACAATGGGCCATATGATCGAGTCAGCAAGTGAGGTCTCGCCGTTTGCCTAGGATATAGCTGTTAATACTTCGACCTAATAACCAGCAACGAGGATCGTATTTACAATAAGCCACTTTGCATATGCAATCATCGCCGTTGCTCTCAATGCGGGCCCGTCTCTCTGGGGACGACCCCAGGAGCCGGTGAACGCAGTCTCGTCAACATTGAACTTTGGTTCCCCGAGCCCACCGGTAGATAGGTCGCCAGAGGGGTTAGACACTGTCTGCAGGTACGCTTGCGCACTGATGTAGTTCTGGATGGTGGATTGCAGATCAGTGTTGCCAGCGATGAAGGTGTCAACCAGACACTTCAGAGTCAATGCCGCATCACGAGTCCAAGTATAGAAGTCTATGGTCTTCGTTAGCTGCGGGTAAGTATTTCGTGAATGGTTAAACCGATCACTTACAATCGGGATTCGATTTGCTTGGACTCGCGATGACAATACCAGAACTCGCTCCAGATGCATCGGCCCCGTCTGGTCCAATGTTGGTCAGGACACCTTGCAATGCATATGGACTTTCTGTCGCGAGCCATGAATCCAGAGAACCTGTAGCTCTCGGGGTAACCGGGGCCCGCGGCGGTACCACCGCAGTTGTTCCCTGGATGACCGAAACGGCGGACAGTATCTGCGCAAGATATTTTAACATAGCTGCGATCTAAACGATAGCGACTTGTTATGCCCGACAGATAGCGGAACGATCCTTGAAGGTCTCTCCATGTTGATCGCTGATCGTCGCTTTATAGAGCGTTGTTTGGATGTACCTGACAACTCATACCCCGCACTCTCAACCTGACCTCGTGGTATAATGCAGGTCGCGAGCGATCGAGGCCAGAGATGAGATTGGTGGCTTGTGGCTTCACATGCAGTAGGTAAGTTGCCTGCATTTCCAGTCTCTTCTTGGCCAGAAACTAATTTAGAAAAGGGGCATGATCTGACCACATCTTGTTATAGATCACTTGCAGCTTAAACGACCCTTAATATCTTATGTTACAGCAGGAGTGGAGCTAAAAGGCACGCCTCGGCGCGGAGAATTCCACAAAGCACCAAATAACATGTACTAGTATCAACAAGATCGAGCAGCTAACAGGTTCTGTCGTTTTATTGAAACGGTGTTATTGTAGGAACATTCCACCGAATTGCTTCCGGTGTTTATCCGCCCCCTGTCGGATACATTAGCGTGTTTGCAGGGTCTAGAAGACAGGCAGACTACCCATATCTCGATTATTCTCCGATGCATGAATATCCCCATGTCTTTACAGACTGCTACACTGTCCTAGTTGCTGAGTAGGATGCGCGAATTTTCAGTTTCTATCCCGTCTCATGAGGAACCTGTAAAGTTCCTTCCTGATTTGGATATGGCTGCGGTTCCGGCTTCCAAAGCGCGGTCTTGCTGATCCTCGCGAGCGTGGAGTTTACTACTGGAATCTCGGATCGGTGGGATGATGAGTTTCCGTCTTCTAGAACTATTTCCATAAGGTGCATGACCCTGGTCGAGTCTATTCCGCTTTGTTTCAAGAAGAATTGAGATGGTTACTAATTGTGAAAGCAGGCGAGACTATAAAATCTCATGAAGACGGGGAGGACAGAATATCGCCAATTCGTACACGAGATATCATTTTTATACCTTCTTCATTTGACGTTCTCAAGGGCGTCAAAATGTATCGCCAGTCTTTCTTGGCCCTTATCGCCTCCTTAGTTGGACTCTGCATCGCAGCAACACCTGCCGAATGGAGAAGTCGGTCTATATATTTTCTCTTGACTGATAGGTTCGCAAGGACGGATAATTCAACGACTGCTTCCTGCGACACTAGCGCAAGAGTATGTTCTACCTTGTTGGAAAGTTCACTGGGTTCTTATATAACAACTAAAATAGGAATACTGCGGCGGATCATGGCAGGGCATAATAAACCAGGTAAGTAAAGCCGTCACGTTATTAGAGGGAGATTCTAATATCATCAGCTTGATTATATTCAAGGCATGGGTTTCACTGCCATCTGGATTACACCCGTCACAGAACAATTGCAAGGCGATACTGGAGATGGAACTGCATACCATGGATATTGGCAGCAGAAGGTGTACGTCTCTTCATAACCCTTGAGCAGCTCGGTTGACACAGTCAATTAATAACTTACAGCTACTCAGTCAATTCCAACTATGGCACGGCCGATGATCTGAAAGCCCTCGCGACAGCCCTACATGATCGGGGCATGTATCTCATGATCGACGTAGTTGCTAATCACATGGTGAGGAGACCAACAACCATCAACATTAACAATTGACCAATTGACCAACGAACACATAATAGGGATACGCCGGTTCAGGAGATTCCGTAGACTATAGCATTTTTGAACCTTTCAACAACCAGGAATACTTTCATCCATACTGCGAAATTTCCAACTACAACAACCAAACTGACGTTGAAGACTGTTGGCTGGGCGACACCACAGTTTCCCTACCAGACTTGAACACAACCAGGTCAGACGTGCAAGATCTGTGGTATAGTTGGATTGGTTCTCTGGTGTCTAACTACTCTGGTAAAGTTGATTGGACTCTTCTGCTGGCAATCGGAGTATACTGAATATTCTTTTTCTGCAGCCGACGGTATCAGGATCGATACTGTGAAGCATGTCCAACAGGACTTCTGGCCTGGCTATAATGATGCCGCAGGTGTTTACGCGGTTGGGGAAGTGTTCGATGGTGACCCATCATATACGTGTCCTTACCAGAACTATTTGGACGGACTATTGAACTATCCAATGTGAGTGAAGAGGAGCTTTGTTTTCTATAGGCGACATTCTGATGCGCTGAGGTAGATATTATCCTCTCCTTGGAGCCTTCGAGTCCACCAGCGGTAGTATTAGCGACCTCTATAACATGATCAACACCGTCAAGTCCGAGTGTGCCGATTCAACTCTTCTGGGCACATTTGTTGAGAACCATGATAACCCCAGATTCGCCAGGTAAGGTCCCTCTGAGGAATGCATCGTTATATTGACCATCCCTAACTGCGACATCTAGTTATACATCCGATTACGCCCTCGCGAAGAACGCAATTGCATTTACGATCTTGTCAGATGGTATCCCGATTATCTATGCGGGTCAAGAACAGCACTACAGTGGTGGAAGCGACCCTGCCAACCGCGAAGCTACCTGGCTTTCGGGATATGACACAAGCAGTGAACTTTACACTTTCATTGCGGTTTCGAATGCCATTCGCAATCATGCGATAAACGCCGACGATGGCTATGTCACTTACAAGGTGGGTGGCATTAGTATTGCGGGCCTACTTCCAGAGCAGCTCTCTTTGATATCTTTCCCATTATAATCAAATAAACATAGAAAACTGACGATCAGAATAGAATTACCCAATTTATCAAGACGACACCACCATTGCCATGCGTAAAGGAAGCAATGGCACCCAGGTGGTCACCGTGTTATCCAATCTTGGTGAATCGGGGAGTTCGTACACGCTGTCGCTATCAGGCACTGACTACAATGCGGGCCAGGAGCTAACAGAAGTCTACACCTGCACGAGCGTCACGGTCGACGAGAGCGGCAACGTCCCTGTTGCGATGGCAAGCGGGCTACCGAGGGTATTCTATCCGACTGAGAGTCTGAGTGGGAGTGGTCTTTGTCAGTGAAAGATCGTTGATCTATGGAGGTCACTGTGTAGCGTGCTAATTCAAAATATGTTCGGTCCTCTATGGGACTGCCTGTCGTTCCCGGAGCATGCAAGAGGACCTATCGATCGCCATGATGATTAGACGTCGTCATGTTAACTATGAAATGTGAATTTTATGGTCATAAACTCGTATCCATTTCTTTTTGAGCTCCACGGTGGGTGGGCGTGGGCAAGGAATACTAACACTGGGAGCCTAATATGACGGCCAGCGCCATGTGCGGAGTGAATGATCGTCAACTATGGTAACATTCAGTTATTGCAAGGATAGGACTGCAGGACTGTATTTGCCATTCCGGTAGTCATGGGGATATTCCCGTACACCGGGCCAGGAACAGACTGCGATGGAACGAAGCCAGCGAGCAGCTGCTCCAAGGACCCGTATCCCTCCGGTAATGTGTCCATCAAAGATGACATGAATTCGGTGTTTTCCGTGGTCACTCTGCGCGAGTCCGCAAAATCCTCGGTTTTGGTCACGCTAGATGGCTGAGGTACAATCTGGGTTGATCGTCGCTTGAGCTCGTTGATAATGCATGCAAACCGATACGCTATGTGCTCTTCATTCGGAGACAGGTGGATCAGAAATGCTTGGATCTGGTCAATTAGAGGATCCATGATATTGAATTCGCAGAGAGTCAGTGCGGCGTAGACGACCACGAAGAATATGTGGTCGATAAAATCCACGGCGATGTATGGTTGAATCTGGAGAAATCTGGAAAGAATAGTACGGGAGCTCTTCATGATTTCAGGCAGGAGTCTTTCGCGGTCCGGTCTTAGCTTCAAGGACGTTCGATATAGCAATAACTGACAGAACCGCAGACCGAGGTCGAGAGTTGAGTGAGATTCATCTGCTGCAATCTATAAGCGCCTGGAACAATATTGGTATCGAAACGAGGAGGAGAGTGTTCTTACTGAAAAGATGCACCCAATCCGCTTTCCATCTTTCGATCTCATCATACTCTATCTCTCCACGTTGCATGCGCTGATTGTTGTTCTGAAGAGTCAAGGTGACAGCGTACAGCTGAATCTCAGCCACCATTTTCCCGTCATCGAATCTTGCCCCTGGGTGCTCAAGGATCCGAGAGCAATGATCTAGATACTTCTGTTGGAGGCTGAAAGGCCGTGCATTTCCAATAGCGAAGCTGCAAGGTGTTAGCAACTCCTCACGTCTTGAGGTGCAAGGTTGCCATACTGTAGCTGGGTCAAACATAGAGCGTTCCACAAGCGCAACTTCTTGAGCATATCATCAGTTACTACAGGTTCTGCTGGTATTCGATCCAGGAATTCAAAGGCTATAATGGCGTGGTTAATTGAGATTCCGCTGAGTAGCCAGCTATCCATGGGAACTTCCGTCTGAACAGTAGCCGTCCAGAGGCAAAGGAGCGTCAACGCTTGAAGAGATTCGTACTTTAGAGGAGGTGCACTCCACAAGACACTCGCTGAGAGACGCCGTACTTGAAGGTACATGGCATGGATTACCGGTAGAGGAATACCCGGCACATAACGAGAGGCGAACAAACAGGCTGTGCTAAAAAGGAAGGGTTCATTCTGCCTGAGATTTTGCGGGAGGTCGGAGACATCATGCACGGAAATCCAGGGACCAAAATGTTCAACAAATCTTTTGCGTCCGATTAGTTAGAGTGTTCGACAGAGTTCAATAACAGGAGGTAGCTTACAGCTGTATGAGTCTCTTGGCCAGTTTCGAATCAATCAGTCCTTTTGATACGATATCCCCTAGAAGATGGGCCTCCGATGCGAAATCTTCTTTTCGTCCGAAAAACTCGGACTGCAATTCTCTGATGAGATGGACGGGCTTCGGGACATACAGAGAGAGGTGGACACCCTCTTCCGACCGGGAGTCATCTAGTTCAGTAGTTTGGGACCATCCCGTTGACCGCGACGCCGGGCTGTTGGATGGATTCGGGAATCGTTCGATCATCTGGCGCATCATGTTGGTTAACTCTCCCATGCTCCGCTCCAGGGAGCTCAGTCGATCTTCAATCGAGGCGGGAATGACCGCTGCCGCCTCTGACCAAACCAGCGCATTTTCCTGATAGCGCTCGGGGGTCTCTGGGAGCTCACAGTCGATCCTGCAGAGCGAGTTAGTTCTCTTGAGAAAATGCCAACGAGATGCTGTACACGCGGTACTTCTTTCTAACCTCAAGGACAGACAACGACGGCAAGCATGACTGCGCGGTTCGAGATCACAGCGGGTCTTAAGCTTGCGACAGGTATTACACGCCGTCATGGATCGTCGGATCCGACCTTTTGGGCGAGCAGCATCGTCCCCGGTGCTTTCAGGCTTGATACTCCCGCTCTGGCTATTATTATTGTTGCCATTCTTCCCCTTCCACAATTGGGAGCCCTCGTTCTCCGATGGAGACTGGGCCATGAGCGTGGCTGATTCCCGGCAGCCCCCGGTCAGAGGAGTCAACATATGGCAAGAAACAAATGGAGTAATAGTTACTCCAGAACTCAGGATTCCGTGACGGGAGTCGCTCTGTCTCTAAATAAAGATACGTAAGCAGAATGAGATTCTGTGAGGAGACAGCCGCTATTATCAGTGCGGGCGGGGTCTCTGAAGAGCCACCAGGGGCATTGGCGTCTTGTCCGTCGACTCGCGGACAAATTTGGTACTGTTCAGATATGGGGATGGTTACAGTGCGCCAACAAAAAAAAGCTTGACAAGATAGGCGGAACGGAAGCTAGCGGGTCTTTTATCCTGTCCCTTTCTGGAAGAAATGAATCTGAGATCTTGATTATTATTGCTCGCGGATGGTGCAAGAATATGTGAATGGCTGCACATGGAGAGGATCGCGCTTTTTCTATTTCCTTCTGTGCTAACCATGGGCGATAGTTACTGTGTGATTATTAGTTGGTTCTTTTCATCTTTGGCGCCGCACGTTCCCCGGCCAAATAGCTAGTAAAACAAGCCATGATATCTCTGGGCATCGCGGAGAGCCGAGGTGTGGCTTGCACCACGGCCCGTCATGTCCATTATTGGCCTGGTCTTAAAATCTTCTAGAATATGACCAGAATGCGGCACATTTCCACGACGGCCTTCTGGTTGGGCGGACCCTGCAGTGTTATCAGCGTCGTTCCCTTCCAAGCGTTATCGCCGTTCGCTTGGGAAAGTTATATGTTGCAGTGGCAGAAGGGACGATATCGTTTACCACAGCATATGATTACGGCAGTATCAGATCGGCTATCGACGGATATTTTAAGTTGGTCCCATCTTCCTTGCGCTGCACAGTCGTTGTGCCACCATGCTCGACAGTATGCAACTATCACCGTTGCCAATCGATCCGGGGCCATTCGGCTCCATGGCGTCATTCTGGTTCGGGAATACATCCATTGCAGGAAGTCCGAGGTTTTCAAAGTGGTCCATAAATAATAATGACCCCCACGAAGGATGCGACCGACTTGGAAGGTCGTATCATCATCCCCGTCCCAGTTAGCACACACATGCATGTGGCTTAAACTCTCTAAAGGGGGGCGTGCAACCCTTTGGTTATCCCTGAACGATGACCGAGAGAATGATCACTTTCTCTTGATTCTAAATATTACCAGGTACTGCGCATGATCTGGACTCTCTGGACCCTGGTTTTATGGCCTATATGTGGAGGTTCTCCAGGGTAATCTCACTGCAGAGGATGACTACACCACAACGCTGAGCCCATCGTCGAATCACTTATAACATGCTCCCTGGAAGTCCTGTCGGTATGATTTATGATGGCAACAAGACAGATGAAGGCTCAGAGTCGATTATGTCTGAGATCTCCGTCGTATTATTACCTACACCTTGTCCGGCAGATCTACAGTTTGCAGATCGCTATGGATTCGATGATTCAAATGATCCGAGGGGCCACCTGGGGAAGATACTTATGCAAAGACCCGAAACGCACGATGCAACCCTGGCAGAACACTATGGAACTTTCCTGCTAGGCGCCGTCCAGAAGCAGGCGAAAATGAATCGCGCCGCCAATAGCCGAATTCGTATTTGAGTTGGAACCAGAATATCTAGAAGAAGTCTATTAGAACAGTGTTTCAGATGCCTTGTATTGTGGGATGACATCAATGTTCCAGGGGAAAAGAAGGCATCCTACTAACTAGACACTGTGCAGAAGTTGGTGCCGACCGAACGTTCTTTTTTTTGAGTGGAATCTTATACACGCCTATGTCGTAATATTCATTTGTAAGGTTATCTGCCTTTCTAGAGTTCTCATGCACATAGTTTATTTGGAGGACTTAGGCATTGCGAGACTGGAGAGAATGACGGAATAAGGGAATGGGAACACATATAGTGCACTATCTGATTCCAATTTAGTAGTAAGCTGCTTAAACCAATATCTATATCGGCTTCGCATCTTGTCGCAACACATGTGGAATACTTCTCTTTTATTTCACGTCTACAGCCAACTGTCATGCCAGCCAAAGCTACCCTAGAGATGGCGATGCAAATGTCTTTATCGAGAGTAGCGCTACTCACCAGGAACTGATAGGACATAAAGAAGGTAGCATACATCGGAAGAAAAGATGTCGTCGAGACGGTTGGGCCGAGCGACAGTAAATTAAGACTACTCGCATTTTATCGCTGGCAGCACTGGATCCGTATATAGAAGTATTCACGCTGACTTGAAAAATACAGTCCTCCATGTCGTCCACAGAGCCTACCTATGTATTGGCAGATCATAGCCTCGGTTGACTAACTATATAGATGGAGGCCGAACGGAACTCACATTAAATAATCTAAAAGAGAGCAGAAGAATCATATCATGCCTTAAAGAAACCTAAAAAGCAGGATATTGCAGACATTTTACTTAGAGTACATTGCAACTTCATCTGCAACATGTCTATAACCCTCCTTTGTCCCCTTCTAACGAGCAAGACTTTAGTCCTCCAACTGAAATTATCTCGAATATCGCTCGAGACTATGAACCCACATCTATATTCGCCTCGATAACTTATAACATCTATCGACAGATGGCCCCACATTGCACAGAGGTCAAGCTTTATTATTGTTGCCCAGCTTTTTACTGAAGCCACACATTGGCACAACAGCAAAAAGCTTTGATCGCTTAGAAATACAGTCCACTTCATTTTAGAGAGCTCTCAGGAATGTCCAATTGCGTGCTGTGAAAAGCAGATATTGTTGGTCTCGTCAATAGTACATATACTTAACTTCCCCACATCGGATGCGGAGACAGTGACGAGGGGCATCCCGACCTGATGCGGGACCAAAAGAACATATCCAACACAAACTTACAATAGCAGTAGCATCGGCCCCGCGGACAGGTCTTGTTTCTTTGAGATCCTCTATTGTTGTTCTTTCTTCATACTCCCTTTCCTTTATTGCGCAGTTGGATACAATACTCTTCTTTTCTCTGGAGGAGACGTTAACAGATTTTGTATGAAGACGGCTGTAAGAAGAATGGCGAATTTCTTCTCCCAAGAGACCTTCCGTCAGGCATACCCTGACCGGCCATTGCCGATGCTCAGTTATGGCCTTCGATTCCCCGAGGCTTGTGCTCGACATGTTGATCGTCTGGGATGCACGAAAACCTACATTCTCTCCTCAAAGTCATTGGCTACCAAGACCGACGCTCTGAAGCGGCTTCAACAGAGCCTTGAGGGGAAACTCGTCGGAACTTTTGTTGGAATCAGCTCTCACACCCCTCTTATAGAGGTTCTGAAAGTTATCGAGGATGTGCGGAATCTCGGAGGCGTTGATTGCCTGATTACCTTGGGCGGTGGTAGTGTCACGGACGCTGCGAAGGTGGTTCGATTCGCCCTCGCCAACTCAGCATATACGGCCGATGAAGTTGATACACTCTGGGGAGGACATTCGCATAACCCACGGCAACGAGATGTGCTTAATCCCCCTACCATCCCGCTGATTCATATCCCGACCTCGCTATCTGGCGGTGAGTATCAGCATATCGCCGGTGTCACGGATGAGAGGACACATGCGAAGCGGACTTATGAACCGCACGTTGATCCAACTCTGGTAATTCAAGATCCAGAGCTTTGTCTGCATACTCCGGCCTGGTTGTGGCTCAGTTCCGGTATCCGAGCCGTCGACCACTGTGTGGAAACTCTCTGCTCGTTGCAGAGCAATGAGAAGGGAGACTCAGAAGCCAAGAAAGGTCTGGTGAAGTTGGTGCCTGGGCTTTTGAAATGCAAGCATAACCCCACTGATCTCGATGCACGCCATTTATGTCAGCTTGGTGTCGTGGAAGCCATGGCTGCTGTATCCAGCGGCGTGCCTCTCGGGGCCAGTCATGCCATTGGCCACCAATTGGGTCCTCTGGGTGTCGGTCATGGCGAGACGAGCTGCATCCTTCTCCCAGCAGTCTGCAAGTATAATGCATCGAAGGGCGCCAACAACGATCGACAGGAGATCTGCAAGAAAGTGCTGTTGGAGGACGAAACCGTCCAGTCTACCCTGAAGGCTCGCAATGTCTCCAATCCGGACCTGGGTGATATCCTGGATGCAGTCATTCGCGAATTGGAGATGCCACGATCTCTGAAGGACGTGAATGTTGGAAGAGACAAGTTGGATGTTTTGGCGACCAACAGTCTCCATGATCTTTGGATCAAGACCAATGCAGTTCCTATCACGGAGAAGTCGCAGGTTATGGAGATTCTGGAGATAGCGGTGGGAGACCAGTGATGAACTGTGGATACTATGCCCTAAATTATTATGTACTATGTATAGATGCGTAGTATCAAAGCAGAATAAATGTTCCGAAAACAGTTATTCTAAAGAGGAAGTGGGACATTTCTCCATATCCCTGTGATGTCAACTGGTAGTCACAGTTGTCCGTACTATATACATGGCAAACCGTTATTAATGTGGTCATATCCCTTCTACAATCGCTGTAGCTTTATGGAACTAGTAGTGTATTGTCTTGTATAGCGGACCAAGGAATTTATCCGCTGCAGTAACCTCTACATGGAAACGGATAGTCAGGTAATATCATACCAAAATCTTCCTCCACCGATTCTATCACCGATTCTATCTGGCATTAATTATCAGTTGCAGAGAAGAACATATCGTTGCGGTTCAAACTGCTTTGCTTCCAGACAACCTTTCAATGTGAGACAACAGTTATATCCCTGGATACAGAGGAAACTTGCCTAAGATGAGAGTATGAATATGCATATCAACTATCCAAGAACGGACTTGAGACCAAATATTTGAACACTATCCTATGTCCTAATGGAGACAGACATATCCTTTTCTGCTTTCTTAAGAATAGAACATAGTATGATCACAGGCTGACTACAAGGGCTAAGGTCTGAATCCTTGCAGTTTGCTGTCGCTCCTACCTTCCACTAAAGAGTCAAATAGTGAAATAGCCTCACAAGCAGTGACTGTAGGAAAGTGCCGCATCCATAGATAGGGAGAAATGAGACGATAAGTGTGTTTATCAAACACCGTATTTTCTAATTGTCGTAATCGGGTTAAACCAGTAGCAATTGCTGCTATACAATTTGGAAATTCGACGACAGCAAGCAGATGCCAACGCTTCCTGTCCGGTCACATGAGCCATGTGCATCTTTCTAGCAGGTCGATGACGCACCGGAGCACAGGTATCAGAGCGGATGACCGCAGATATCAGGAATGGCACACGTGGTTCCAAAAGTGCAGGTTAATGACACACTAGGAAGACAGTTATGACGCAGACTCTATTCGATACATTATTGCATTGGTGCAGATATGACAGCTCGAGACACAGGAATGTGCTGCTGCATGTGGGTTCCAAAACCTGGTGAATCAGATCGGTCTCACAGTAAAATCATATCGAGATTCTGCTTCAACGCCTATGATCTATCATATCTGATCCGTTGGGAGAACTTATCTGCTCTGGGGGGCGCCATTATCAGATAGAAAATATGCGGGACGTTGGGACTTGTCGGACAATGCAAGCGATACGATCCTTGCTAAAGCCTGAACTCATTCATGGTCTGCCTGTATCGATCTCGCGTCAAGTACAGTTAGTCTATACGATAGATGTGAAGTTACACTTGAGCCCTTCAGGATGGCCGTACTGGTAGAGTTAAAAGGGGGTTTCAGCGGCAGCTCATCAATATGCGTCTTTACACCAGGCAAGATGGTAAGAAGGGACGTCACCAGGTGATGGAGACTAGGTTTGACCCCTTGCTATCGAAACGTGCTCTCTGTCCATAGAAGAAATCTTTTTCTAGATCTCTTTACTGATGTCTGCTGAGCGAGCCGAGCCCGGTCTCCTGCCGCTCTGAGGCCGCTCTAAATCTCATGATCGAGACTATAGATCTTGATTCAAGTCGTCACGATAGCTTCCGTTGCTCATCAGACCCATAGGTCTCAGAAAGGAATGGACTATGTAAGGTTCAGGATCAGTATGTATGCAGTCGTGGAGTCACAGATGGGGAGGACCGAGGCTTTCCCAACGAGTCTCTTCGAGATCTCCATAAAGGAATAGTAAATTCGTACTGTGTCGCAGATCTCTAGGTTTCTAGAGAAGTCAATCGTTAGTGAAGCGGACAAGTCAAACTACCGTGATGCGCGATTTCGGCACGGCGGCACAGCCCCTTTATTCCAGAAAATGTGAGTACATTGGTTTCTTCTGTTTACTGTATAATCTCGGCCAACAGAATAGGCCAACTACAGATACTTACATGCACCACAGACAAGTACTCGTGCGTAAAGCATAAGAACATACACCCACCATGTAGCAAGCGAAAAGATCAAAGCAGATGAGCAACGATCTCGAAGCCATGGATACAATAGACTGTCCTTTCGCCAGCCATATTAGACTACTACCTACCCTTCTTTACCAGAGATCAAGGTCGCGAAGATTCGGAGGCAGGGCTGTCCCGAGTTCCCGAATTCCTAATCTACACTCCCGAGATGGAGCGGCAATAGTGGGAACCCCTGGATCCTCTGTACGATCTTGGATCTCGATTGGCCTCCGGATGAGGCAGAGTAGATTCTGGAACATCGACTCGAACGGATGGTTTCCCCCAATAATGGATCGGAGGGAGATCTGTCAAGCGGCAAGATCAGTTTGTTATATCCACCAGAGTGCTCCTGTCATTTGCCGGCGCCTGATCCGGACGTATTAGGGGGTATAGAACCGCGCAGCCCTTTCTATGACACCTGTTCGTTCGAATAATAGCATCCGCAGGTTGTCCGCCGAAGGCTGCAAGAACCCCACAGCGTGGCAGTCTTACTTTAAAAGTTTAGACACCGAAGCTTTTCTCAAACTCACAGCCCCAGCCTTGAGCTTTTTGTCTCAGGCTGTTCCCACGGGTCGAGAGCGGGACGGTTTAGGACTGGGAAACCTTCTGACGTAGACGCCAAACCCAGGGCGGTTGTTCTGTTCCGTGTCGAGAATTTAAGTAGTACTGCAGACTATCTAGTGTTTTCCCAAATCTTGGGAACGCATCGCCCTATGGCAGCGCGAGAATTTGGGGTTGCGGCGCATGCATCGAAAGGTGGTTCCTGTCTCCTGCAGTATTCCAGTTATCGATAATATCGATCGATACGAGAATGTCTGAAGTTTGAACCGTTGCGGTCTCTGTCCGTCCGAGGAGGAGAGTTTGGGTCCTTGTTCGTCTGGACGCTCAGATCCTGGGGTGGCCGTAGCCCCCGATGGTGTTAGAACTAGTATACTTACCGTTCCCCACGATGGTGGCTCTTTGATCCCATCAGAACCGCACGGCGTATCACCGGAGGGAGGGGGCAAGCGGACGAGATGAGGCGTCCTGCTTGGTGAGAGAGATATTAGTTATTTAGCCTCGCGGATCTCTGGATGCTGCTGGTTCCGAATTATTGCTGTCGTGGATGTTGAGCTTCTCTGGTTCTCTGGTTGAAGGTTCTCTCTGGTCAGGGACGGGTGGAGGTTTCGGCGATCGCCCGTCGGGAGAAGACCGGAAACAGCCCAGATTGCGTGCTCCCTCTGTTCTGCTTCTGCTTCTGCTTCTTCTCTAAGTAACCAAGTGCAGGAATCTCTCCAGGAACCAGGACCCACGAGATCATTCTGCACAACCCCCCAAAACCCAATCAATAATAATAATAATCTATCGTGTATCCATCGGATGTACCGCGTCCTAGGGCCAGCCTACTGGACCCTCGCCCCGTGCTTGTCACTGCAAAGGCTAGCTGGCCATCCGCTCTCGTGGAATGAGGCTAACTGTTAGCTCAGGGCTTGTCGAACCATTGCTCCATCCTCAGTCTCTCCCCTCTCGGACGTTTTTGGGTTCGCAAAGCCAAGACGAACAGACAGCCTTCTAGAGAACACTTGCTGGCAATCCAGGACCATGTCACGGTCGCCCATGGTCAGCGTCTGCGACAGCACGTCCGGCTGGTTCCACGCTAGAAGCTGTCATATGTTGCAGGAATATCTCACTCTCCTTTCTCTGACGAGTATGCTCCAGTATGCTCCAGTATCCGGCTGCAACGATCATCCGTTGCTGGGAAAGAACGCTGGGAGAAAGAAAATAATAGGTCCCAATCCGTACGACCGGCGCTTGTACATACTTGTACTGCCAGCTAACTAGACCCTGGCGTTCCTGGGACACCACAGATTGCAGCTAATCTGAGTGGGACCGATGAAGGAAGCCCGAGGAGATCTCCCATCCCTGTTCTCTTCGACCACGGCGGCAGTTCTCTCTGTCTCTTTTCTCGAAACATGACCTGGCAGCCTTGGCTCTGGGACTTAGTGGAAACTCTGCCAGCGCCGTAGTAACTACATGTCTCGATCATGCGTGGGTCGATCATCAGTGAGATTCCTACGGTTGGCCCAAGTCAGCCGTCTGGGCGCTTACTCCGGATAGATGGTGCAGACGTCCTAAGCAATCGCCCGGGATCTGTGTCCGATTATTGACCTGCAGGGTACAATCTAGCGCCTCGCCTATCAACATAGGCTGCTGATTTTTCGAGATACAAATCTGTCTGGCTGGGTGCCTCCGTTGCATCATGGTACCAGTACTCTACAACAGGTGGGTCGACCAGCGAGGGACTCATGGCGATCTTTGCCGTGGGCCTTGGTGTTCGGTAACCGCTGTTGAAATTTCTGCCCCCTTTGGGGATTTTGACTTCCAAACTATAGCGATCCCAAACCATTCCCGTGAAGACCATCCTTGCTCCTCCACGATTGACTTCCCGGCCAACCCCTGACGAACAGGTGCTCTCCTCGGCGTCAGGTACACCCGGGGGAAGTTCCCCCTTGGGTTCCTCGAGCGATCCTCATGTCGGTGGTCTCCATGGAATCTTCGTCCCCTATTATTATTATTATTATTGCAAACCACGGACGCTTTCTCTCGCTCTCTCTCGTCGGCGCTACCTGGGCTGTAATGTGTCCCCAGCATTGGCTGCGTTCTCACCTGGAGAAATCCAATCACACCGGCCCAGCTGATCCTGGCAAACAAGGGCGGGCGCTTGTCGTGGAGCTGACAATCGGTGACTCTGCGAAGGACAGAACTGCAGTAATCCGCTAGTAGTCGGACGCTCCAGTGTGACCGTGAACCCCAGAAGCGACCGGGGAGCTTTGGAAATCAGATCCTCTATCGGAGGGAACCACGCGCCTGTCCGTCTAAAGAATTATTAGCGTGGGCGCCCGGATAGCTGACTCGATTCACGGCGCCACCTTGCACATCATTCCCGCGCCCAGGTGTCAGATCCTTGGCTCCATCTGTCAAGACAACCTTAAGGATGGAGAGGTTTGCAGGGTCCTATTTGCGCCCTCTCCGCTCTACATACCTTTCTGGGCTTATGGAGTAGTGGCAGTAGTTTCTGACTACCGTACCCACTCTGACCACGATCGTCATTTTTGGGCAGCCCCGTAGTGGCTTTCCATGGGGTCGGCCAGATGTAACAATGGTACGGATCTTGCATTCTAATAACTGCTCTGCCTGTCAGTTCGTCCTGCAAGTTCCCTGGGCACTCTCGATCTCAACGCGACTGGTGGCTTTCATCCGTAAATACCTCCCAGCCAGTCAGTATTTCGACTGGGCTTGGAATTGTCTTCCTTCAGCCTTGCATAACCTTGATTCAGCTGTCCCCATCAAGTCCCGGACCGGCAATGTTAACCAAATCCACCTGACCCTCATGTGAGTACATTCATATGTTGCCCGCCCCTCTGCTCCTCAGCCGCGTGTCTTGCTTGCACTTTCACTCGAGGAAGAGAAACTATCCCATCGGTTGGGAAGAACGTCTCTAGATATCTTCTTGTCAAAGTACATACATTACAATATTTCCATACCCCTCTCATATACCGGGTTTTCCCATGCCTGTTCTAATCGCCGCGGGACAGAGTTAGAGACGAGATTCATCTCTTTTCCCATCCTATGTCCCCTAATAACTACCGCGGGAACGAAGAGAACAGGAATATGGCCGTATCATATGCTAGCGGGCTTCCAGCCGGTCGCTCACAGACTCTCCCACCTTTCCGAGAGGTAAGATGATCCCATACCTTATGAGTGCGAGGACATAGCTGCTGACAGCTATACTTCAGTTACTACCTCCTCACTTGCACGAGGAGATAGATTCTACTCCATTCTATGCTTCTAGACAGCCTCAACAAGATCGTTCTCCGTCATATATCCCGGAATCAACGAGACCGCGATCTGTCCCAGGCTCTGCTCTCGGGTCTCCTGCGAAGCCACCCTCAAGTGACACCCTGTCTGACTTTGCCTCGCAACCGATCAGGGTCGAGGAGACTCAATTCGGAAACCACCGAGAACATGGTCTTCCACAGCCCCAGCCTTCCGGGAATTCATCGCCCATGGCTTCTGTCACAGGACAGCCTATGCAGTTCACATCTCGTGGACCTAGTCCGATCTTGCCGCCGATCCATAATCTACACTCTTTGCCTGAGCGCAATCTGAGTCGTGCGGGAACTTCATTCGACGATACAGCACTCCGCCCATCCTCGTTACCACGAGACTATGCCCATGAGGGCCTGGTCTTTGGCGTAAGGAATCGGAATGATTTGGACCTCGAGAGACAGAGCCCGCCGTCTTACACGGGCAGCAGTGTCCCTGTCTCGGCTTACAATCAGCAACCGTATGATACACCGCCATACGTCCACTATCCCCAAGCCTATAGAGGGGAACTTGAATATCCATCGCAAATAGTTCCTAATCCACAGCACTCCAACTTCGGTATTCTTGGCGACCCGATCGATTCGCGGAGCAAACGCAGACGAGGGAATCTTCCGAAGCCGGTCACGGATATTCTACGCGCCTGGTTCCACGAGCATCTCGATCATCCATACCCAAGTGAGGAAGATAAGCAAATATTCATGACACGGACCGGATTGTCAATCAGCCAGGTACGGTTCCTTCCGTTTCTACCATTTCATCTCTTCAAACGCTAACCTAGGCTCCGTGGTGGGTTTCAAGATCAGCAATTGGTTCATCAACGCAAGACGACGACAGCTACCGGCATTGCGTAACCAGATTCGCAGCAATGAAAACGAAAGGATTCCGCAGCGACAATCGCCCTTTAGCGATACTGAACAAGCCTCGTCTCGTGAATCTGTTTCCTCGCCGAGTCGCTCAGTACCCAGCCAACCGTAGGCAATTCTAGGGACTTCGATCCTGCCATACGGGCTCGTTTCTACCCTATGGCTAGCAACTTGCGCATTTTCCTGTTCGAATACCACATAATACTTTTACCCATCAGCATCCAGCTGACATACGGAGTTCAGGGGATTTGGGATCTCAAAATTTATGACGACTATAGCATGGGAGGGCGAATTCTGAATTTGCGAGAGAAAAGCGACTTTCTGTTTAATCCTTTAATTCTGGATGATTTTTGATACCTGGGGAAGAGATACTCTTTCACCCCTTTCCTGTTGTCCCTATAGACGCCAACATTTACCCAGCGAAAGGAACGATCAGGCATTTTGATACCCTTTCATTGTTGATGGGAGTCTATCATGTGAAATGATAAAATCATGGTGTACATCTCGCGCTTGAACAGTGACGGACGGCTTGCATCCCTTTTTCCTGTCATACCTTTTGTGTCTTGTGCCTCGTCCTGCGCCTCTTTTCTCAGTGACGGCCGATTATCAACATTGCTCTAGAATTCTGATCTACATTTCATGTGCTTACGTGAAAATAGGGGGAAGTGATTTCCTAAGGAGATTCGGTTCTATTCCCAATGACTATTGCTATGTACATTGAGATTGGTGCTTCGTATGCGTTGTGCCCACTAGGTTCCGGAAAAGGGATAGAAATTGACATCACATTTATGGATTGAAGGCTTAACGGCCCGGCAACCTACCATACGGAGGGCCAAAGTTCATTATTTTGGGCTCGCTTGTCATGGGCATTCGCCTCAGATCGTGACCGTCAATAATGATGGCCCGTCATTGTCTGGTACGCTTTCCCGTTCGAGACTCACGCCGGGTGCTTCGGCCGAGACACCATCGTCGGTCCGTTCCAGCAAGATATATGTTTACATGCAAAGTTACGCTCGTGCGATCAAAGGTCATTATTGATTGACGATTGACATGCGTCAATTATGATGGCATGGTGGTTTATTGTTCTGGAGTCGATGTGGTCGTCCAGATCCCTTGGCATGTCGCGAATCCACTCTCCAACGCTGCCAAACTCCTGTGGTTTCAGAACGGACACCTATTGGTACATCACACCAGCTGTGGTTCATCTCCAGTGATCCTTTACTGCAGAGCCTGCATCGTCCTGCTCAAAACGACTACTGATCAATGATCAACCCGAAGCCTGTGGCAAAAGTCCAATTATCTTGTGGCAGAATACTTAAGAGATACATGGAGAAAGCCGAATGATGTTTTTTACCTTACCCGCCCTGGCCAGCCAAGAAGCCGGCCAATGATCGGGACGCGCCGAAGTGGCATCGCTCGTCCGATAGATGCATTCGTTAGCGCGCCCAGAAATTGATTTGTGTTAAAGTTCGGCGAATGATGCCAGAAGCGCCGCAGTGACCAGTACGGAGACACCAGAGCTTTGCCCGCTTGAGGCAAGTCCTTTTACTCGTCACTATCACCTCCCCAACTTCGAAGACGCACTGGGCGCGTCAGCTTGCTTGTTGACCAGTGAGTGGAATCCTCGTATTCGCGCGGCGGCGAGCCGGCGCTGTCTGGATTCTTGACTCTTCATCACGGCTGTCTGGTCATTTCTCTTCGGCGCGTGTACACATACCCACCAGTTCGTCACTTGTCGGGAGCCTTACCGGAACCAGCAATCTAATTTGTGCTACCGAGTGCCTTAGGGGGATATGCGCCATGCGGGAAACTTTGAAAATGGCCGGGAGTGGATGCACCACAGGATCGGGATCGACAGAGGAATCTTGCCGAACCTTGTGCAGGATCTTGCTCTTCAGCGCTGCCTTTCTAAGCAGTGGATCTCTTTGATCGCCGACATGTTCCATTTGGGCCGTCCTCGACGCTTGACCAGTCTTTGGGAAGACAACACTCCATTGACCTTTTTTTGCGGCCTCTCCAGATTCGAGCAATGACACTAAATATGGAAGGTCGGGCCTGGTTCTATGCGGCTACCCATGCTATTATTGTTGTCTCCCATGCTAGCAAAAGCGGTCAATGCGTACCCTATCGACAGAGACGATCTGCTAGGTAAGTAATTGATCTGGATTCCCGAGCATCACGATGGTTATTTGGTGCGAAAATACCCAAGTCCTAGACCGTCTAGAGAAGCCTACATCTCAAGTAGGGAAGCAGCCTTGGCATGGTTAAATGTCACTCGCGGTCTGTGTGTGGTTGACGGCTCTCGGGCCTCTCGCATGCTCAAGAGCGTCAAATAGTGATATGTCCAACAGTGATACATACATACAGTGCGCTGGTTGTTCCTTTTTTATATATTTTTCTTTTCTTTCTTTACTCATATTAGCAGAATAAATCAGTGGCAGAGGCCCCTGATCGCATCAAATCACCGGGATTGCAATACCCGTGCTGTGATGTTTAACGCATTGGTTCACACGACGGGAGTGACGGGAGATGGGATTAGTGGATTTCGATATTACCGCCACATATATTGTCTCCTCACTTCTTCATAGGGGAAGTTACTATGAGGTCCAGGCGTCTGGCCAGTACTTATTGGTGTGAGTTTACTGGCCCCAGCCTCCATCATAAGTCATGAAAAGATGCTTTGAGCCCTATTCACTCACAGCCACATCTCGACTGGATTCCAATCAGTCGCAACGCAATTGGCAGGCAGCCACCAATACCAGCCCAATGCTTCCTGTAGCATCGCCTCTTTACTCTTGCCTTTATACTATCAGCTCTGGTGGGCATCCTTGGCATATTGGGGACTCAAACTACCCTTGCGGTCGGGTCCCAGCTGAAGATTATGGCAAAGTGCCTACGAAGTCCGGATTGTCCCGAAGATCCCTCGCACGTCAGCCAACACATCAAATCGATATGAGCATAGGAGCTCGTCCGGGTGAGTGGCACTTCGCATGGGATAATTGGGATTGTATCCGCATGTCTCCGCACCACCATTACTACGAACCCGGAAACCTGGGATCTTCGCAGTGTCGAATTCTAAATCTGTGGCTCCTCTATGTTGCGTGCTGAAAATCCTCGACTTTGCACCAATAAAGTGAGGCTGGGGAATATCGCTGTGGAAGAAGTGTCAGCCTAGAGCCTACCGGTAGTGTCCAAACGATATCTGTCTGGAAGGTCGAGCATTCAAGTGGACCGTATAAGCGGGAAATTGGCTATAGATGCCTAGTCATCAAGTCTAATTTCGAGTCTTGACGAACTACTGTCATTGACGTGGAAACTCAACGAGCCACTTCTCCCACTTAGCGCTAGCTGCTCGAGGAGAACCGACCGGAAGGACGACTTGAACCTGCTCCGCCACGCTGGGAAGCCAAAAGCATGATGATCGAGAGCACTAGTGACCCAGGAAATACTAATTCTTGGGCTGTCAAAGTAGTTTGTTTCCCGGGCTTCCCAGGCAGTCATTTCACTGGCCACTAGACACATTTCTGTGGTCGAGATCATATGCGTATCCATGGTTCTAATCACTCTTATTTTGAATAATGCCTTATATTCGGCAACTCATTCCGGGTTATACCAGACTGTCCCAACATTAGGATTTGCGGGGTTCTGTTAGGTTGGAACATCCATTCTCTTCGAAAACAGTGTTCGGCCATGTAGCGATAGTTCACTAAGACGGTCTAGAGACCTCGCTTGCATGCATGGTCCATGTCATGCACGCGCCTGGGCCTTGAAGAGACATCGCGCTGACATGTTTCAATTCCCATCACGCAGTCTGACCTGGCCAGGTCTAAATTGCATTCTGCAAGCCATGAAAGCCACGGTTTTCCCCAGAAATATTGTCCAGTCGTGTTTGTATACATAATAATATGCCTTGGCAACAACTCTACTTGAGAAAAAACGGACATCGCCACATTCCAATACCATCTACCGCTTATTAGGTAGGTGGTTACGAGAGTGCCAGGTTTAAGGATATATCTAACTGGGCCAGATGCCAAGGCAAGGTCTTCCCCGCTACAAGTCAGTATGTACGTACTATGTACTAAGCAACTGTGTGGAGGTTATCTAGCATTTTTCAATAAGGTAGTTCGGACATGCTCGCACGCCCTGCATATGCAGGAAGGAGGACCTGCTGCCCGTACAGAGTCCGGTCAACTTCCCTGCGGACATGAGATGCATGCATCTTCTCCTGGCTTGTTCTCAAGTAGCACAAATCAGAGCCCCCAGGAATATCATCACAATTGTGGCTTTTATTTTCCCTGCTGAATACAAAGAGAGCACGCTGATTACGGAAAATCTTTCGACTCTCTTTTTTGTCAACGATGTGACATGTACCGTGTACGTCGACTCGCAGCTGCGGTGGCAAAAACTGATACATGCCCGAGCATGTCCGCAGAGATCTCTTATCATTGATCGGTAATATTAATCAGTGAACATCTTACCTGGTCGTCGTCTGCCTTACATCTAGGATTCGTCAGCAGTTGGCTAACACGGGTCTAGATGATTCTCCTGTGTGCAGGGATCGCCAATAGCCATCTACTTTTGCTCCCGTCAGACATGATTCCATCCTACTTTCTACTAATCTCAGTTCTTTACATCATCACGAACAACTATCCTACCAGAACATGCATGCTCAGTGATGATGCCATACTATGATTCTGCGTCCAGCCGCGAGGTTAATCCGCATACTTTGCTCTCCTTCCCTCTCTACAGATGGATATCCAGGCATATAAGTTATGTCTCTCTTGGGTATTGAGTGCTGGACATCACGATGCTTCAGAGTGCAGCGCCACATGGCTTTATCTTGTCTAGTAGGATCTTTACCACACCGGGAACCCTATCTATAATTTATCGCCAGTCTGCTCCGGATGAGGAATGGAAATACTGCAAATATGCTCAAGCGCATGAGGAAATCCAGTGTTTGAGGCTGTTAGTCTCCTATCCCGAACGCGACTCACCTCTCGTGTATACCTCCTGAACTACGAGATGATGGTATTAATTACTGAGAGAACAGTTTGATATAGAGTATCGGATCACAATTACACAAGGTGAAATGCATTTTCTCATTCCTCCTTCTGAGGCCCCATCTCTGCAGGCACGGATTAAAGGTAGCACACTACTACAGATTAATGGGCATTGCTCACAGATAATGGCACACAGCAAGCATACTACCGCGATCACAGGAATGGAAGCTCCGACGATACGACGACTCTTCTTGGAAGTATCCACGCCTGTAAATACTGGACAACCGGCTCAAAAGCAGAGAGCTTCCCTCCTAAACCATCAAAAGAAATGACCACGATTCTCATCTTCCCAAAGAGAATATTTACCACCCAAGAAACGAGGGACCAGGCAATTCAGCAGATACGTGACAATGTGACATTCAGACCCCCAGCCCATGCAGGGACCAGCGAGCAGAACCTTAGGTTTGAAGGTCTATAGATCTTCCATTGTAGCATTCAGCTTAGCATCTTCTGCATCGGCAAGACGGTATCCACCAAATAAGCAGTACACAGGCCTTCCATCCCCTCGCTTAACCGTATCTCGGCAGTTGTTGAAAACACCAGCATGACCGCACAAATACTGTACAAGTAGGTCAGAAGAAAGCTCAACGAAAGGAAAATCCAGCTCGAGAATGAAGCATTAGACTCTCGCTACCTGTATTAACATACCTTTACGATTTCAGCATAGGATATCCCTCCTCCGTAATCGAAGTGAAGTATCTTCTTCCCATTTCCTCCCCGTAGATGAGTCGAAGTACTCCTCCATATACTGTACGCCATCCTCATAAGTGGCCTCAAAAAGAATTTCCCGGAGACAAAGAAGAAGAAGTCATCTAGGACGGTATGAGATCGATCACTTTTCAATATGGTTGTGCGCTCCAGCTGCCTCAAATTTTTAAAGCGGAAGAGATCGGACTATCGTCTGTCTGGACTCTACAGAAGGATGGACGTCCGTCATCACTTTTCTGTTTGTTGATATCATTGTTATTCCTGCTTCTTATCAATTCGATATCTACTGGGAGACGACTGGCATTTGTTTTCTTTCTTTCTTTCCTTTCCTTTCCCAGACCTCAGCTTTAGTTAGGGCTTTCGCTATTGGAGAAATCAATGCCATTTTTAAACCGAGCGTTACTTTTAAAATGGTGAACAAGTGAATCTTATCTGTATATTGGAAATTACTTGGATCTTATAGTACCCGGAGGTTAGTGTCAATTTGAACTTTTGTTATAGTTATAACTGTATATCTCTTGTTATCCAGTTATTCACATCACGTCTTGTCCAACCAAGCGAGGGTTTGCAAAAACAAGAGCAAAAAAGAAAAGAAAGAAAAAAAGAAGAGGGGAGAAGAGAACCTACAAGAAACAAAGAGTCATACTAAGAGCCGCGCAGGAAGATACACATACAATCCATACTCAATTCCATCCTCTTTTCCACCGCGCTCTAAACCAGCTCTCTCTCGAAGGCATAAAAGGAATGCCCATGAACCGAACTCAGGACCTTCACGACGACGTTGGGACTTGAAGATATAAGTAGGGTCCAGTTCATCATTGACGATGAGATGAATTTTCGAGATTTTCAATTTCTGTTAAGATATCCCGTGATTGTATACTTAGTTAGAAGGTCCTTGCTGGTAATTTATATTCGCCGTCCTCGAATATTCATAACATAACTACAGTAAGTACTTAACGTAGTAAAGTCAGTATAGAACTAACCGAATCCATCTATATATGTTATTATTAATAATTAGTTAATAACAGTCCAGGAAGTAACTAACTAATGACATTATGTCGAATCCTATAGTACGGAAGCAAGGTCTGACCTGGACGACTTGAATTGCTTGCTTGCTCGCCTCTAGGTCTAGGAGGGGGATCTGATCCAATATTTATCTTGTGGCATACAAAAAAATCTAGTAGATCCTGGTAATCTAGTAATCTAGTGGTATTCCTATAATCAGGATTCAAAGAATCTGCCGCAAACGGATGATTGACAGATCACCTGGCGTTTGCTTTGTACGCCGACACATTATAGTTCTCAGCTGGAGTATGCAAAGGAGTAGTTGTACAGCCTAGATTCTTGACTTAAGCGACCTTGCTGGAATGACACTTCGGAGATTGAAAGAAGAAGAAAAAGAAAAGGAAAAAGAAAAAAGAAAAAGACAGAACATTGCCCTGACGACCTACATTGCGCTTAGAATGTGGATGCTCCAGTTCATAGTTAATAAGTAACAAGTTCTCCCAAAATACATGTGTTTCCCCCTTGTCGGCTAGATGATAGTGAGGGGGATGTGATTGTACAGTATTCTGGAATCAGACTACAAGCAAAGTTTACAGAAAAGCTTCGTGAACTATGTATATATCCCATTGCAGATTGAAATCTAATAACAGATAGCCACCCTGACCCATTGATTAAAGAACCTGACACCTAATGTTCTATGCAAATGAACAAAACTCACAGTAATAATGGTAATAATGACAAGGACTGCTTGCAAAGCAGACGAAGTGCAATGTGGCAGCATCCAGACGGAAACAACCAATCCTTCCTCCTAACAAGATGTCAACCAGGGCTGCGCAGCCCCGGTGTGCCTTCATACTGAAAACGCGCGTTGTTGGACGCTAAGATAGCAAAATACCACCCCGTTGAATAGAAGAAACCAGGTCAAACGGGTGCAATGCAAGACAACATCCAGGGAATCGTCTCAGAAAAGCGCAATATGTACATCCAAGGAACAGTGATAACAATACCACATATCCCCCAAGATCCTACGAGTCCACTCGAAGATCTATAACCGGCGTGCGCGTCACCAGGCAAGATCACCATGTCTCCTGCAGGGAAGTTAGTCATTGTAGCAAAATCTAATAAGACATAAAAAGGCAACTTACAGCAATGTACTGGCCAGCCTCCTTCTTCTGCTGCCAGAAGGAGTGCGCCTCCTCACGGTTGAGGTTACCCTTGGCCATGGCTACGTCGACCAAAGCCTCCTCGACACCTTCTCCCATACCCTTGCTGCTGCCGCAGACGAAGATACGTCCATCAAGGGAGTTGATGACAAACCAGACCAGGTCTGCCTGGTGACGAACCTCTTCCTGGACATATCGACTCTCGCCGCGGCGGCTTTGAACCACCTTCTTCACTTTGTCTTCATGAACTCCCCATTCGCCACTGTACAGTTCATCCAGGAGAGAGTCACGAATACCCTGGAGCACCCAGACCTTGTTGGCGCAGTTGGCGGACTTCAGGCGTCTCTGGACGAAACCACGGAATGGAGCAATGCCCACACCAGCACCGACCAACAGCATAGGACCGTCTGAAACGAACTCCCTGGCGAGCGGGTTGGCCATCAGGCCTCGGAACATAGGCACGTGAATATCAAGGGAGCGAGGGTCTTTACCCTCCCGTTCAGCAGCCATGACCTTTTGGGCAAGACGCTCCAGGAAACCGGATCCCACACCGGTCCTCTTTCCACCTCTCCAGTCGTCAGCCTCATGCACAGTAACGGCAATTTCAATTAGACGACGCGACTGCTCTCCCTTGACCGTCCGTGAGATTTGAGGGTCCTGAGAAAGAGAGTAGAATCGCGGCATAAGCTGGTTTAGGGCGGAGAGAAGGTAGTCGAGCGGCGGCTGGCTCGAGGGGAACGCGGTCAACAGCTGCGACAGCGTAATGTGGCACCCGGTGCGGAGATCACAAAAAGCTCCCTGGCCCTGAGCTGAAGACAGATACATGAGAATCTTCTTCTCATTGGGCTCTGAAGCATATTCTGCAAATAGTCGGAAAAGAGGCTTGGTAGGCGGGTAACTGGTGATGTCCGAACACCAATTCAAGACCTCCCTTCGTGTAGTAACCAGGTCCCGCGGCTTGTCCTCGCCCCAAATCGTGGGCCAGCGACCCTTGGTGGTGTGCAGCGTGATCTTCTTGTCGCGGATAGCCTTAGGTATGCCGAGAAGGTCGAACACCATTTCCACTTCTTCCTCATTGTTCTTGGGGCACACCCCAATGGCTCCTCCAACGACAAAATCGACGTTTCCTCCTTCCTCGGGGTAGTCTGTCACGTCGATGTCGAAGTGGTAGGTGCGCTTCTCCGCACCCGGCCTGGTAAGCTCTCGCGCATGGTGAAGAGGCGCCCGGTAGACCTCATAGGGAGGATGGGGCTGGACGAATCTGGGAGGATGGTCCTCGGGAGTCGGTTTCATGTCAATGGCGCTGGCCGGAGCCGGAGAGATAGTGACTGTCTTCTCCGGCAGTGCGACAATGTTGGTCAACTCGCTGTCCAGACTCAAGTGGCCCAGCTTCAACCCCAAACTCTGGAAAGCTTTGTTCGTGGGCGGCACCACAGGATGGGCAGTAGAGCTAGAGCCATTATCCCTCAATGGCTGGCTCATGCAGCATCCGCCGCCGCAGCAAACTTTCTCGACCAACTGTGTACCTCCAGTGCCAACCTGTCCGAGGATTCTCTGCATGTCATCCGCATTCTGTGAGATGAGCACGGTCGACGCTCGTCGTCGACCAGGCTCCCTGGAGGGTTGCTTCTGTTCATCCCGTAGCTGCTCCAGGCCATCGTCTGACTGAGGCTCCGTCGCCGGGGTGGATGGAGCTTCCGAGTCACTCTCCGAAAGATTCACCGACTGCGACGACTGCGAGTCCGGAGAGGCGTCAAAGTTAGGGTCCGATACTGTCAAATTGGGAATATCCCGCGGCTCTTCTGGAATCGGATTGTCTGGGTGCGAGGTCGAAGATTCTGGGACCGCAGAGCGATCATGCTGGCGGGTCAACGTCGACGCCATCGCGGCCGACGACGGCGAGGGGGCTACCACTGCGTGCACTGCGTTCATTCCCAAGTCAGCAATGGCTCTTCCATGTCGCATTGAGTGTTCCTGAAGACTATCCCAGTTGTGATAGGGGTTCAATGCCCAGTGGTGCAGCGGTTCCATTGCTCCGGAACCTCACCAAGGGAACTGAAATTCTTGCCACCGCAGTATGGATAAAGAAAAAAACATACCCATCGAGCCGTGAGGTAGTCTTCTGCCAAAGACAAAAGTAGTCGTCCGTCTCAGAGGGAGTGAAGAGGATATCCGCCGGGAGAGGAGGCGAGACGGTGCGGCGAACAATGTGACGGCTGGACGGAGGGAAGACACGGTGAGATCATATAGTTCAGCAAGGCCAACAGCGGGCGGAGAGCGGGAGCGTGTTTAAAATAGATTGGTGGAGATGGAGAAGACGGCAGCTGGCATCTAGAATAGGAGTCGAGTCAACGCTGGGGGGGGAAAACAGAAACAGATCCCGAAACGGAGAGAGAGAGAGAAGGTGTGGGATGAGGATGGAGTGTTGAATCCGACGGGATTCCTGGATGGGGCGAACGATGGCGGAATGGCGGGAGGTGGAGTGGGTAAGGCAGTTGTAATCAGTAATACGGAAAGAATAATAAATTACAGAAGACGCTGGAAAGTTAAGCAGAAACCCTTTTTTGCTTTGCTGGTACTTAACTTACTTAGTTACTCCAGATCGGGTGAAATACCTCGGTTGCAGAATATGCCTTCTGTTCACGCAGTCAAGTCATGCAAATGCAGCTGATCATGTGGTGGAAGCCCTAGAGAACAAGGGAAAATGAATTAATAAATTATTAATTATTATCTAAGGGCAAAGTACAGAACAAATGCGTAATAGTGAATAATATCCAGACATTGGCCGCCCAAGCAGGTTCTTTCGACACTTTCCCCAGCCAAGCCAGCCTGTTCCATGGCTTCACTGTCATCTAACATAATTAATTACCAGTAACTAACTAGTAGTAGTAACTGCTAGAGTACGTTGAATTACCGATACCGCCACTCACGCTCGGTTCGCAGCCCGTTTGCCGCCCTGCCGAAGAAGACTGCAGCTGGCAGGAAACGGTGCATTTGGACTATCCATTATTGGGATCATTATTGGTCCACGATGGGCAAAGGTCCTCATCTTTTTTGCTGGAATGGGAATATCAGCCCAGCTGGGATTTCTGTCTGGTATTACTACTATTTCCCCAGACAGAGTCCAGAGGAACGGCCGCGGAGAAAGGTAACCGAGCAGATGACCGGCAGCAGTTGGGCTGCCCATCACTGACAGACTTGCAGGCAGTATGTATTGACCAGGATATCTTAGCCCGATCAGATAATCGATGGCCGTCTCTTTCCCCATACCTATGATTCTACAGTATCCTAACCTGGTGGCCAGAACAGGACATCGGCTGCGTTCCTAATCGCTACTATCCCCTGCACTACGGCCCAGTATTATTTCCCATCTTGGTCTCTCCAAGCGTCGTACGAACGCCAACTCGTTGGTGATAATAATAATTACCGACAGGCCGTTCCGGTTTGTATCCGTTGCTGTATTGGGACGAATAATACATTAGCCGAGTCGGAAACCACAACGCCGGAAACGCTCGATACGCCACCCCAGCAAAAAAGAACAGGTATCTAATCAGATCGCCTCCCTTGCATTGCAGCACGCCCAAGACAGCTTGACAGCCCAAAAATGGAGAGGATGAATGAAAACATCGATCAGCAAGAGTGATTTATTTTTATCGCCCACCTAATCTGTCTGATGCAGCCGAGAGAATTGATTATTGTCGCGCAGGTTAGTTACATAGCCTTCCGAGACAGGCCCAGATCGCAGTCGGCCGCGGTGGACACGTGCGCGCCACAATACCAAATCCGACGAAACGTTGACGAGCTGTCTGTCATCGCAGCGGATCAGATAAGGAGACAGGAGGAATTCCGCCGGCTCTGCCAACAGCCGAGTGGACTCACCGCGCAACACGCCATGGCCGTGAGAAGCAATGAATGACGGACTCACCGCTGGTTCTGCGGTAACTAACCATGATGTTTCTTGTCCAGGAAGACGATCGTGTTAGATAGTTAGTCTAGCGGATTGCCAGGGAATCGTAAAATATCGTAATATCGTAATAATGGGCAAACTGGACCCCGAAGGCCTTTTTTCGGTGGTCGCAGGGCAATGGTGGGGCTGGCCGATGTCGGCTAGTTCAGCCCCACGGAAGGATCATATCAGATTAGACCGTCGCTCCCGACCCTGTGGTTGGGATGCGCCTAGAGTTACAGACGGGCTTGATACAGCTACTTGTTCGTCGTACGACTCCATACCTCCATAATAATGGAGTCGCAGAAGGCTGAGAAGCCCATTTTCTACTCCACCACGCTAGAATCCCAATAGTAGCTCCAGAAGAAGATCGAGTTAGCTAAAGCAATGCGCTACATGATCCTGGGAACATCCGCTCTTCCCCGGTTCCAAATTCCCGGGGCGCGTGCTGATCATCAGACACCGGAACGTTCGCGCCAGGAAGTAAGTATCTATCGTAGACATGCGGAAAAAGCAAAAAAAGTGACAGCCAACATGCGGGGGATGGATATGACATTGGACATATCACGGAAGTAAATTACCAGGGGAGGTCCCGTCATTTGCTTTCCTCGGGCTGACCTGACTGAGACACATATTTAATGATCTGACTGGGTTGTTCGACCCTTCCCAGCAAACAGATGGCCGACTAGCAACAGACACGGAATGGAGACTGACGCGGACGGCATCTTCTTCCAATATTGCGATCCTGGTTCGTCATGATCGTCCAGGGCTATGGTATGGAGTATCTAAGTAAATTAATTAATTACATCCACCCAGAGACCCAAACGATGCCAAGGCGACGCAAGAAAGGGGCCGGTCGTTTGACAGCCTCATTGTCAGGCTTCAGCCTCCAGCAAAGTTATCTGATCGTGCTAATCCAGGACGGGAAACAGTCGAATGGCGCTGATCGGACAGGGATAAGAGCCATCTACGGAGTAGTCAAACATCAACAAGTATCCAGTCATCTTGCCCCTTGTCACCCGATCGAAGTCGATGGTCAGGGAGAGAATCATCCCCCTTTCCTTCCCTTACCGACCTGTAGAGTTAATTCGCTTCGACTGTCTGACGTGGACACTGTCCTCGTGTTGTCGCGTCTTTCGATCTTTTTGTTTACTCTCTGTATGACTCCCAGACGCGGTCAATCTTGCATTAGTACCTCTTTGTTTTCTTTTGCCTCCTTGGTTCTGGCCGGGGGACGATCATCCTAGACTAGGAGAAACGTTGCAGCAGAGTAGACTAACTACTGTCGAGATCCCCAGCGCTTTAGAACAGTCCCAATGTCTCGCAGGAAACTTTGAAGCAAGCGATATACTTGTCAACAACTTATTATTCACTCCATTCAACCATTCATATCAATCAACCCTACAAGAATTACAAATCCCTATCCCTTTCACATCACCAAAAGGAAAGTACCTAAAACCCACATATTCTCCTCGCCCGTATCGTGTCACGTAACACAACGGCATCGAGCATATAAATCTTCCTGCGAGATCAGCCCGATACTTTACTTTTCTTTTTTCTCTCCACTAGGAGCAAGAATTGATATGATCAAGCCACGTGTCGCGCCTTCTCTCACATCACATCACATCACAACCATGTCATTTGCGCTACGATTCGATGCGCGGATTGAATTCAGAGATTCTATCAGTCCTCTTTTTTTTTTCTCCCTTTATTCGAACCCTCTCGTAGGGACTGAAATGGAAAAAAATTGAAACCGTCCTTTTTCTCAGCGCTTATGGTGCTATGAGCTGGATATTCAGCCAGCCCTCTTTGCCTGTAGTCTACAGAAGAAAGAGGTTAAATTGCCATAATACCAACCGGATCCCGTTCTGCGAACATAAGTAATTAATTACTGTAGTTTCTTCCAGCCATATCTAACTAACATGAGATAACTACCTACCTATCCAGCTATACACGAAAATGTCTCTCTTGGGCATCAATACCAACCTCAACGTCAACATAAATATAAACACGTATTTTGTATCTTCACTAGTTAGTCGATGGATGTCCTCCTTTCCTTTTTTTTTTCATGTCTACCCCTCACAACGCCATGAATTGTTTCCGGAAGATCAAGGATCACCCTGCAACGTAACTATAACTAATTTACGTCGCGTGCATATCATATCTTATCAGATCGTTCTTATTTCTCGATATGTGTCCCACTTTATACAGCATAACACGCTAGGCTATGCTATGTGTCTTTATCAGATCTTGATGTGTAGGTGGGGGTAAGTAGTTAGTTAACTAGTGCAGTTTTGCCAACACATGCATGCTGGTTTTTTACTCATCTTTTGTATTATGTGGAAGGCTGAAGGAGGGGTATATCTATGTTGTGTGGGTTGTTGTTGTTGTTGTTGTTCTTTTCTCGTCACTTTGCATATGTATGTATGTATGTATATGCCTATGCGTTAGGAGCTAGGGATGTGGGAAGGAAGGACGTCATGCATTTGAGCTACATCAACAGGGGATAAATTTAGAATCAGAGTACTGTGGTATGCCTTTTGTTTTTACGTGTTCTAGAGTTCTATGATACATACGCTGTACAGCATGGGTCGGAAATATCTCCCAGTGTCGGAAAAGGGGATCCGGATGTTGATCAATTGCATCATTACTATTGATGCATCGTACTCGATGCATCTTGATGAGGCTCGACTTGAGCCCTCCATATCTCTCCAATGGAATCTATTGCTCTTCTGAACTTGTGTCTTCGTCATGGGAGTGATTGAGGTTTCCCCATAAAAGTTATCGTGGAAGATATTGAATGCGCAAAACCCTATCGATGGACGGCTTATTTATTATCCAGTCCTCCTGAAATAGGCCATGTTAGGAAGTCAGGCAGGTCTGACTTCAATAATCAATTTATTGCTCCTAGGCGAACCGAGATTGGAGTCTTCCTGCTCGATCCCTTCATCGTCCACGATCGTAGTCGTGTAATTGGTGTATATGGCAGCAACTACCAGTTTGATTTCTAGAAAAAATCAGCATATCTTTTTTTCTTTTTTCTCTCTCCTTTTTCTGAAACAAAATTCACATACCCTGCAAAGCGAAATCCTTTCCTAGACACATGCGCTCCCCGTTGCTGAAAGCCCAGAAGAATCGTCTCATATCCTCTGTAGGCTCGAGCCATCGCTCTGGCAGCCATCTTTCAGGGTCTGGAAACGCATCTGGGTTCCTGTGCAGGATGTACGCCGAAGAGCTCACTTTGACTCCGCCTGGGATTCCTTCGTAGCCTTCTAGCGTGGTATCTATCGTCGATGGTGTCACCCGGCGTTGTAGGCCCGGGACAGCGCAATGCAGGCGAAGAGTCTCCTGTACAATGGCATTTAGTAATGGCAGGGCATTAATGTCTCGTGTCGGGGGCAGACGAGAGGAGTCATCATCTTTTGACCCCAAAGGCTGCGAAGGGTAACTCAGTGCCGGCAGGAGACCTAGCAGTTCCTGACGCAGACGCGCTTGAAGGCTCCGGTCCCGAGACATCTGCCATATGAGGTAGGTAAGTGTAACACCTGACTTCTCAACACTTGCGAGTAGGTGACTGAGCATCTCAGATGCAATGACCTGCCTCATTGGTGTAAACCCCAAATCCATACTTTGTAGACCCTCAGAAAGTCGCTTATATACCACCGGGTCAGTCTCGATTCCATGTATCGGATTCTCTCTTTCACCATTCTCTGCGTGCAGCCACGCTCCCGTCTTCTCGCATAGTGAGAAACAGAACCTCTCGATCTCAGTCCATAGCCGATCTCTCGGATCCTGCCTCTTGAATATCGAATAGACACCAAGCCAGTGATTCCTGTATTCTTCATGCCGAATAAAATCTGTGCCATTGGCAGCTCCAAATAAATATCCCGACATAAAGTCCATACTCGCAGCCTGCATCAAAGAAAGCACATTGACCGGTGTTTTGCTCTGTGCCAACTCTTCTAGGGCCGGCAGGAGCTTATCCAGAACAATACTGGATGAGGTGATGCGGAAATCCCTTGAGCTTTGCAAATATGACTTAGAGTATACATTCGCGAGAATATTCCTCCGCAGAGAATGCGGCGTATACTCCATCATGCTCACGAGGTTTTCCATCCCAAAGTGCTTGAGAACATCGCGATACCATCGGTCCTTATCAAAGGCACCCTTGTAGATAATTTTCAACCCACGTACTGAGTTGACACTGAGTTCATTTGGGCCCAGTCGGACTATAGTCCCATGTCTCTGGTGAAGGGCATGTATTGTGCGAATCTCCGTACCGCAGCGCCTCTTCCACCATATCCATATCGGTAGGACGGGCGCGGTGAAGTGAGCATTCGGGATTTTAGCCAGAGGAGAGATATATACCGGATAGATGACGTATTTGAGGAGAAACTGGAGGAAGAAGAGGATAGTAGCTAAGACTCCCACAGCAAACATTGCGCATGGAGGGGCCAGGGATACAACTCAGTCTGGGGTAATCTCCAGGCAACTCGTTGTATAAGGTACGGTAGACCAAAGAACCCTCCGCATCGCTGAGATGAGAGAACAGGGTCCAAAACAAAGGTCACAAATGCTTCTGCATTAAAGTCAGGAATACGGAGTTGAGGTCTGCTCTTGACGTCGAAGAAATCATCTACGTACTGGTTGCCCGGCTGTACCAGCACAGCCCCCACGGGACACTCTTCGGGCGCCCTGATCCCTAGTGTCACGTGATCTAGGCGAGCCTATGGTTCACCTAGCTCCTAGATCCAATCAAGCAAGCTTTCTCCCGCTTCCTTACTACCCTACATAAGTACGAGAAATCACGTGTTATAGGTCAGGATATCATAACTCCTGCTGAGCTTTTTACCACTTCCTTTAGGTCATGGTTTTTCAGCAGTCAAGGCTCAACTTATTCCCAATATATTCTAATCAGTCATCAAGTAACGGCATGTGGTTCTCGGGCTCCTTTCCATTTTCCTATTGTGAATGTACTATTTGCCCAAGCTCAATCCATAGGTAAGTAGTCTTCATTTCGAACGCAACTGGCCAATATAATCGGCAGAGTTTCAGTGGTGAAGTTTTCAGTCTTTATCGATATCGATTATATCTTCGTCGAGCCTAGCGGACAGCATCTTGTTAACCCGGATAGTTGAACAGAATTCTCTGATCCGGATTTATAACCCACTGAGACAGTTACTTTGGTCCACAGAGCACCGGTCACGGGCTTATAGCTCCACGTTTGTGCCAGCAAAATACCAGCTGCTTCCTCTGCCCCTGGACTACTGTTACCGGCATCTGCTGATCTGGCTTAAATCACGTGCTACGAATACACTGCTGTCTTTGTATTTTCCAGGTTCTGCTACCTTAGTTGCCTCGGACGATACGAGATCCCTTCTCGTTGTGCTGGATAAAGTAAGCTACTTTCATTCCGGCATAGATAAAGAGCTTTCTGCCGAGTTGACAGAAGCTGGGCACAACTCTCTTTGAAATTATTCTCCATGTTTTGACAACATCGTTGCTCTAGTTCTGCAAGTTGCGGTAAACAAGGCAGCCGCCAACCGGGATACTGCGAAAAACAGGCATCCTTGCTTGAGCAAATGACTCGCGGATATTTTCCCTTCTCTTAAGGTCTTTCTGACCTGGCGAGAGTACTGGCGGATGGCTTTTTGATGGGTGAGGTCCAAGACTGCGCAACATTTCTTCCAGGGGCTTTTGCTGACTGCCTTTGGGGGCTGACCCCGACAATTTTAGACAGCAAATCCGGAGTGCATCTGTTAAGTGAGTGTGTATCATATGCCTGTCGGGAAAGATGAACAAGTTTTAGCTCTATCTCAAGGCCACCAATATCTCGAATCCGAACGTGCTTAGGCCTTCGCTAGCCCACGAGATTCGGAGGCAGTGACCCAAGCACTTGAGACCAATAATGATAAGGACCAACATCTCAGCTCATGTTATGGATGGCCTGAAAAAGGGCAATAATGCTCACATGTTACATCGCCCCGAAATACTTCGGCACGTCCAGGGGGCGGGGGCGGGTTTATTCTTACATATGATGCAATCTTCATAATCTGTTGCATCTCGGAAAAGAGGGCAATCGAGTCATATCGTGTATGTTTATATGCCTCTGTCAAGGTTAGGAGAAAAGGGTATAAATAGGCTTACCTCTCCGTTGTCAAAAGTCAAACTAAGGGGCAGAAACTGTACGCTTCTCCTCAGCTCTCTACTTATTTTGATATCTTTTTATCATCCGTGAGGATTTTCTCGCAATGCCCAGATTTCAGACTTACTTCTTCTGCTTGTCTCTGACCGTTCTGGTCTTCTCCCCACTGGCAATAGCCGTAGTGGACAAATGGACTCCAGCCGGGTTCAACTGGTCCGCCGTCGACCCCGGTCCCAAGGAGAGCTGGAATGGTCTGTATCAGAATCTCAGCGACCCGTCTGTGGCTGTCAGTAAAGAAGTCATGGCCTTGGGGCATGTGCGCACGGCATCTGATGGCTCAACGGCGTTGGCTATTCCTTTCTTTCTCGGCCTCGCTTGGCAGGCGTTCAACCTTGTCCTCACCGGTGCTGGGCTGGCCGGGGCAATCGTATCCTGTCAACAGAGCGAAGGTTCACCTGAAAACATCTTTTTTTGTGTCACAGGCTTATTGAGCACGCTCGTTGGCATCGGCGGCGCGGCTTCAGCGGCCAAGACCTATGCCCAATCCCGCGGTTACTTGGGCGTCGCGGCGAATGCGTGGTCAAACTCGGGTCTCGAAAGCATTGCACTGGATGTTTTCAGCAAGCGCGATCTTCTCACTCCTGAATTGAAGATCGCGCAGCATGCCCATAACCATTTTGTCCATACCGCCATCCGTAGTCTGGCCGTGGATGGCAGCGTGGAATTTGTGGGATACGCCGAGGACACTCATCGGCTGGCGCGCCGTACGTCGAGCGAACACCCGTTCGCCCCCATGTTTCGCTTCAATCACACCAAGCACGGTGCGATAGAGGTCACCTCGCGCGATCTGGGGGAGGCCAATGGGGGCATGCACTTCACTGTCTCCTATGCAGGTCATCCGGCGCATCATGCCGCTAGCACAAAGCGCGACGAGTATTTCCAGCACGAACGGCTCAACACCGATCTCTTCGAGGGACGCTTCGACTCTGGAGCATCTAACGCTGACCCAGCAACCATTTCCTTTGATGCAGCTGGTGCCTTCGACCAGATCGAGTCATCCGTGGAGTGCTACACGGACGGCAGTTGGCCGGATGGGAACGTATTGTCTGTGCAGATGTATGATCAGGCCAACCAAGCGACTTTTGGGTTTGCCTCAATTGGTATCTTCGCAGATAATAGCGTCGATTCCGGCCTTGAAGGATTTGAACCTTCAGGTATGCCGCTGGCTTCGCCGTCGTGTTAAACCTTTTCTCCACTTTCTGTTTGGCGATTGGTTCCACATGGCCTGAGAAACGAAGGATAGGCGAGAAGGATTTTTGCTGTCGGTAGAAGAAGAGAGATGAGGGGAAAGAAGCTGAAAGAGGGGTTTGGCAAGGGTTATAGTTGTGTTAAAGCCAAGTGGAATACGCACTTTTGAGAGAATCCGACGATCTTCACCTGGTCATTAACTGATCTACTGAATTAATGCCAGAAATGCTCGAGATGTAGTAAAGATAGGGTGCTAAAGGTAGTTTATGTAGTCTTCAACATATTGATGCAGAGTTCTATTGGCTTGTTAACGACTTGACTATAATCTGACTCATAACATGGATCAACGCCAATGGGGGCCAGATGTGGGAATTACCCGAATCCGGGGCACAGTATAGAGTATGTCGGACGTACAAAGTAGACTTAGTGTTATCCCCTAAATCATTATCATCAGAGTTCTTTGTCCTATTATCACAAGGCAGTTGTATTCAGCTCGCACATCATACATAAGTTAGGTCATGAGGTGCACTCAGCCTCACCAGCTTCCAACTGTCTTCTGCAACTTATACTTATTCTATCTAATTCACCTTCTTCTTCAGGCTCAGCCGCACTTGATGAATGGCCAAACTAGCAAATTCTACTATTATACTCCCAAATCACCATGCCACAAACATACTACCGCCGACTTATTCCGTTGCGATTATTCTTCGCTGTCGTCTTTATACTGACCGTACTCTACATAATTGCATTCTTTGTTTGGGACAGATCAAAGCCCTATGCCTGGATAATTCTCGGCATTGATATCTTCATCTGCCTAGTCGGTTGTCTGCTGGATCCTCAGACAGCAATCACATCGGTTGGCACACTGGATGATGGCACTAGAGTCCGCATAAGGCGGCCTCTCATCGGATTTCGACACTTGGAGAGTCGCGTAGGTCTCACCGGCGGGTATGAAGTGAGACCGGATGGATGGCGGCATGAAGAAGCTCTGATTCGTATTTGAGAACAGGACGGAGGTTTTTCCATCTGTGTATAGGTGAGATATCTCCCATCCCTGTTTGATTAGGTACGCAGTAGAATAATTATCGTCTCTTTGTTCAGTCACAGAAATATCTCTGAGATTAAATGCAATTAAGGAAATTCCAATGATCCGGGGCTTATCAGCATACAAATCCTCGAATGTAACCCAAGTCTTCGAATAATATCAAGGAAAGGATCGCAATAGCAAAAAAAGGTAAACAGCATTGTCAGTGTGGGCGAGTGTCCAAGGCGTGTCACTCAAATATTTCGACATGACACTTCTTTCGAGAGCAGAGTCGAATCCTCTCGCTGGCGTTATTTCTTTTTCTTTTTCTTTTTTTAACTGCGGTGCAATCACTGGAATGAACTAGGCCTACTTTTGCTGTAGAGTAAATTAGCTTTAAAGCACATCCAGTGACATTCCATATGCTATCTCCATCAGGGTTTCAGACTAGCTTTTCCCTTCCCCTTCCCCAAATCAATAGTTGATGACCGCTACAACAAGAAATCGCCTTGCTCTAAATCATGCATTCTTCGTAAGAAGGGGGGTTGAGATGTCACGATTCTTCCTATGGAAACATCTTCATTTCTTCTTTTGATGTTAATTCGACACTCTGGTCTGGGAGTTGATCTGAGATAGGTCATGATTATTACGCCTTGAATCCAAGCGAGGTTGTGTTGTCGCCAGTCAAGATGTCCTATAGTTTCCAGGACTGAACATGCGTGTACTCGGGAATTGGACATGTTCTAATACCTAGATTTATTACTGAGTATACCGATTGATGGCAAGAGAAGAGTGCCCTCCACCAATGGTTTGTTGGATCCCATGTACTAGTATGATTCTTTCAAGGCAGGGAGCCAGAGACAGTCCCAGCTCAACAATACATGTACCAGGCAGTCGGTTTTCTGTGAGCCCTGTACTATGGACAGGAGGGTATGCTGCATCTCTTTGTCTTATGATTTCATTTTTGGCTAATCGGCCATCTAATATGTAGCGATCAGATTGCTTCCCCGAGATGATCCACTGCCAGCGATGTTATAAAATATACAATACGCTGAAGATGGCAAGACCAGACTTCTCTCTGGTACTTTATAAATAAACCACCCAAAATCCCAAAGACCTCCTAACTATAAGCTCCATACCCAAAGTCTATAAGATGCTTGCTGATAGCATCGGGCTCAATTAATTCGAAACGCCGTACAGTCGGGCGAAATATACATGCAAATCTAAAGATCATTTACACGACACGGAGACTGGGATTGCTGACCAAATGTGGGTGTGATGATTTGCGTAGCGGAAATTGGACCGCTCGATCTGAGTTAGAAGCGCGGGTTAAGCGCTGGGCGATGGGCGCTTGAACGGGTGCGCTTCCGTATTACTATTTAGGAAAAATTGAACGGTTAGTCTAAGATCTGTCTCCGTACCTGGTGGCATCGTTGTTGTTGGGTGGGGGATCCATAGGCCGCGCGGAAGCCTACGCGTCTTCGGGGCCAAGGACTATATAATAGTAAGACCACGAGTCGGGAGATCAACTTACAGGACATATTCGTCCAAACTGACAACGTCTGGCTCGGAGAAAACGAGGTAGAAATACTTCAGCGTCTCTGCAAGCCAGAAGCTCTCCATCTTATCCGACTTCCCGGTCTGGCGGGAACGGACATCAGTGATGCCAGCATTCGCGATGTCCGTCTTGGAGAGGTTGTCGATGCTCTGGAACATCCGCCATGCAGCGTCTTGATATTTCTTGTCGCCAGTGATCCGGTACATAATGAAGACAGACTCGATTGCCTCCGGCCTACGTCACTTTATTAGCTTGTGGACTCCAAGGGGAAAAGAGCCTCCCATGGGTGTTCTGACGGGGGCCTGCACAGCTACATGAGACTTACCTCAAGATGTATCGACTATCTTTGACTTCCGTGATTCCAGGCTGGAGGCCGTGTTCCTCAATCAGCTTCTTGGCTTCCACTGCAGCTTCCTCGTCCGACTCGGTGCCGCCGAAACTGAAGTGCCGGCGGATGTCATGGTACCATTTCATTTCGTCCCAATCGCAATCCTCCTTGTGACTGCAGACGGAGGTATAGAAAATTTCAGGCATCACGCCCGTAGGCATCGAATCATAGGCCCAGATACACCCATCTGTCAATTTCCGTGCCGTGGCAAGCTCCTCAGGGCGATCGAAGATTCGCGCTCCGATACCGACCATGCCACCAATGAAGCAAGTGAGATGTTGAGCTTGAGGCTCCAGCCCGATTCTGGTCGAAACGCTAACTTGTGTATTTCCAGCTATGAGAACGTCTTCGCCGTTCTTCGTCATGGGACGGTAGAGCAACTTGTTGTTGATCTGGTCCATGGCGGCTTGGTACATATTTTTGTACTGCTGCAAACGGCCTCCTAGGAGTAAATATTCCTTAGGGAGATATTCATACGTGGAATCAGCCATTCCACCCATGGTGAAGCGGCGATCGGAGAAGTCGAGATGTTGCGCATCTACCATGACAGGCCACAGGCCGGGAATTCGGGTCGTTTTCTGGTGGTCTTCTAGGACATTCGTGACTCTCTGGACGGCATCAAAGAACTTCGGATCACCGGTGAGTTGCGTAAGACGTGTGAACTCCATGCTCAGCGAGCCCAACTCTGCAAGCAACGTGTTGCGGCTAGGCCTGATATCCAAACCTACTGCGGACCTAGAGATTGGTCAACATTATGTCGTCTCACTTTGCGCGAAGCTTCGCCGTCTCCTCGCCAACTGTGTGCAGTTCTCACCTCATCCAGTCCCAGCGACTCTGCGGCATTCTATTCGGGGTATCGAAGGCCTTGTACAGCATTTCACCCAGCTGCTGGGCCTTCTGCAATAAGATCGGGTGCTTCCCTCCACTGAGATCGTATGCGCCGAGGAATCCTCCTACATAGCGAATGGTGGTTTCGAAGACGTTGAGCTGGGTGTCGTGCGTGGTCGTGAAATCGATCTTATCGAGCGCTGCCAGAGCCTGCTCGAAATCGTCGTCCAAACCCATAATGATCAGCGAGTCAAGCGTGTCGACTAGCGTCGCCGCCCATCCACTGAAGGTGTTCCTCCAGAGACCTGTTATGGGAACCAGCTCGTCCTTCAACCAGGCATGCTCCTTGTATCCATTCCAGGCGTGTTGGAACGCCTTCTTTACGGCGGCCTGTCTGTGCTCCCGCTCCTTGCGGTCAGCTGCACTTTCGCGAGGAAAGTCGTACTGGATCTTGGGGATCGCAGGCGCATTTCCAGTCGGGAGAGGGATGTAGGAGGAGACGGGGTAATTATCCGGGTGGTGTTTCCAGTGGACGGTCTCCTCTACGACAGGATCGGTTTTGGTGGATTGTGCCTCGACTTTTTCCGTATTGGAAACGTCCGCACCAGGCGGTAGACGATGGAAGAGGATGTAAACAAGGAATATCAACACGAATGTGGCTATAACCACATTCTTGCGAACGAACAACATGGCTCAGTGGTACTGCCCTGAAAGAATATATTCTATAAATTCAATTCACGAGTAACTGTTTTGAAGTGAGTGAAAGGCTCCAAGAGCATATGGATAAAAGAGTGTATGTGTGAGATTCAATGCAGAATGCCTGGAATACACATCCGACAGACAAAAAAAAACGCGACGATGGTGGCTGTCTACAGACAGACATGCCACTTTTCAAGAAGACAAAACACAAATAGGGGGGAAATGACAATGATAGTAGAAGCCAGAATGATAAGCAAAACAGGACGCAATGTCCATTTCTCCAAGCCACCACAGTATTATTCCCCATGGGAGCTGTTGGTGGGAGGAGCGTTGTCTCAGTATCCCGCGATCAGCGCCCAGACTCTCCACTGTTTGCGCGTGTCACGGCCTGTTCTGGACAGATTCTCCCGTTTCTTGCCTCGCCCGGAGTCCACTCGCGGCTTGGCGCTGAGGCGGCCAACTCTACGATCGTCTTTTGTTCCGACTCTGGGGAGACGGCAAAACACGAGCACTGGGCAACGCTGGAGATATCGAGGGTCAATGCGACTGATAGACGGATCTATCTATAAGTAGAGATTGAAGGCATCGACTCACCGCGCAAAGTGGTGTGTTGCTGTTGCTCAACATTCACTCTTGACTATATACGTTTCATGATTGCCAGGATTTCAAGCGACCATATCTACACATCTGCTTGATTCGAAGATATACTGTTGCTTGTCTCTATATATATCTGCGGTTCTATAACTGTTGCCTGGAATATCTGTCATCTTTGGCCAAAGCAGAACGCTATATTGTCACTGTGCCGTGGTTCACTATACCTCTCTACTATTCCCAGTTGATATGTCATACTTGTCTGCCTACTGTCATACTGCCTAGAGTCATACTTCCTCGTCTTGTCTTTATACCAATTGTTTGAACTCTCTATTGTACATTGATCTGAGTTGGTTACGTGCCTTTTCTTTCTGTCAGCGGCCTTTGCTTCCAGGGCCCCTTTGGAACGGTTATACGTCTTATCTTGGCCTTATACTAGAATCAACCCCTTAGCTGGGTTAACCCAATATCAAAATGACCATCACAGGGTATGGCTCCTTCCCTGCGTCCATCTTCATACTACGATCATGTTTCTGAGCAATTCAACTAACCATCGCTACAGGGTTTTCTTTATCCCCTCAAACCCCAATGCTCCCAGCGCTCTTCCAATACTGACGGAGCGTCTGCGCTCCGTCTTCGCGGAGGAGCCTATCCCTATAGGCCGCTGGGCCCTGGAACACAAACTGATGCGTGACACGCCTTCCTGTCTACCAGCTTCAGCCCACGCTCCAAACCCCGTTCCGAAACCGAAATATATGCAATTTCTCTCCCTCACCCACTACCCGAATCACGGATTCATATATGCTTCCGAAGCAACGGACCTACCTCAGGCATCTGTGGCAGCAGGCGGAAGTCACAGACAGACTCCTTTGCTGGGGACGATATCTGCTGCAGCTGGGCCGCCACAAGCGCAAGCGCAATCACCGACAGCCGCAGCAGGAGGCGCTGCGCCGTCGTCCAACGCATCCCAGTCCGGCATGATAATGCGTACTGTCCCTCTCTCTTCCTATGGTCCGCTCTTCCAGCATTTCATGCGCGCCTGCGAACCTTTCTGGAACCATCGACACACCGTCACCGTCCCAGCTGGGGTCGTCTACGACATCGGTGATTTTCGCCTCCGCATAGGTGATGTACGGCAGACATTTCCCCAAGCACGAGCACGGGGCACAGTCGTGGAGGTGGAATGGAAAGGTCCATCACCATTAACCTCCTCCTCCTCCTCATCCCCTGCCAACTTCAACGAAGACGGCTCATCCGATTCCGGCATCGACGTCACGACAGAACCGCTCGACGACTCCGAAATCGACGCCGAATATGCTCTTGTCGCGCAGCTCATCCGAGATTTCTGGTCCCAGCTAGGCATCGAAGGGGCCAGAGAAGCCATTCTCGTTCCTGACGTGGGCAAGGAGATTAAAGAACAGCACCGCAGGCGCAGAGCTGGTGAGAACTTGAAAAGAAAGAAACCCCGCACCCACGACGACGACGAAGAAGGATGGGGATGGTGGGATATAGAAGAGGATAAGAACCCGGATGCAGGTGTCGATCTGGCGAGGCAGTATATGGAGATATACAGGTTCAATCGATGACGTGGCTTTGCCTTTTTCTTTCTTTCTTTCTTTTTTTCTTTTTGTTTAGATGGGAACTGTTGGAAAGTTAAGAACTAAAGTACCATGTGGGACATTTCCTATATATACGGCTGTATTATTGTTGTTGTGTGAAGCGTTGTATGTATGTTGCATTTGCATAGCGAATTGTTGGTGTTTGCAGATTTAGAGAAGAAAAAAAGGACATAATATTTGCCTTCTCTGTGTACTTCCTGACCCTTTCTTCAGATAAGTGCGTAACAGCAGTGATACATTTTGGAGACCGCACGGATAAGCAAGAGTTCAACAGATGTTCTATCGATCGTTATCTATAAGATAAACCGTCAAAGCAGATCTCAGGAACAAATAATATCATTTGATTGCCCAGAATTTGCAAGTCATCTTTGGGTCATATCCATCATCTCCAACCGCGTCTGGCTACGAACAAGATCCAATGGGGCCCGATGGGAAACTGAGGAAAGATCACTGGGATAGGTTGAGAATTCGATAGACTTGGAACAACAGTATATGATCGGCCACTCAAGCGGGATTGACGAGGGTTCGTGCACAGGCAAGGAAAATAATTAAAGGGACCTTCTCTACTTCGCTACCGGCATCTCATAACACCCTCAACTGGCGGCCCACACACCGTCCATTTCCACTCTTTTCTCCCTCGCGAGACAAAACAGGAGCGATATACAAACCACGCTTGCACCATGAATCAACGGCTATGTAGCTCTGAAACGAAAACCCGGGTCCGGCCGAGAAAGGACGTTTTTACTGGATGCCACTGCCACGTTCCTGCAACGGAATCCAGATAGGGGTATTGGGAAGTTTATTTTTGCATCATCAGCTGGACGAACTCGTTGTCTGGAGATTTTAGATCAGTCCGTGTTTAATACCAAAGGCTGGTGATGGGAAATGCGGGAAAATAGGGAAACTGGTTGGTTGGGGGGTGAGGGATAGGGCCTACAGTCGATTCTGCCATCACCATCCTGGTCGGCCTCGCGGATCATCTCGTCGACCTCATCGTCGGTGAGCTTCTCACCGATGGAGGTCATGACGTGGCGGAGCTCTGCAGCGGAAATGAAACCGTTGTTGTCGCGATCGAACACCTTGAAAGCCTCACGGATCTCCTCCTCGGAATCGGTGTCCTTCATCTTGCGAGCCATCATGGTCAGGAACTCTAGATAACCGTTAGTTTCATGCGCCCTCAATAGTAACCACTGGCGGAAACCGTCTGGGGGGATCCGTACCGGGGAAATCGATGGTTCCATTGTTGTCAGCGTCGACCTCGTTAATCATGTCCTGCAGCTCAGACTCAGACGGGTTCTGGCCAAGGGAGCGCATGACAGTTCCCAGCTCCTTGGTGGTGATCTGGCCTGTTCGCCCGAATTCACGATCAGTTATAAGTCCCTGGAGATAGATTCCACACCGTTGGTGGGTAGCCGGTGCTGGCTTCGTCAACTGCAGGTGCAAGTGCACTTACCATCGCCATCCTTGTCCTGTTCGACACAACAATATCAGTGAGCATGTGCGCCAAAACAACACAAGACACAAACTGCCCGGGGGCAGACAGGGGGCAAGGAAGACTTACGAAGAGGGAGAAGGCTTCCTTGTACTCTGAGACTTGCTCTTCGGTCAATGCGTCGGCCTACAAGGATGCGATCGCGATGTCAGCGTTGGAGTCGAAGAATGTCGGAGGTGCCCCGCAAGGTGGGGGATTCAAACGGGAGACGCGAGGTACGAGAGAGCGGGAAGGGTACATACCATGGTGACGGTGTTGAGGTGAGTGCGATGCGAAAGAACAGGAGGAAGAGAAATCGAAATCGATACAGAACAGACAGGAAGACCGTGGTGTGGGGGAGATTCAGGAGAAGCGAAGTGGTGACGGTCAAGGCTTAAGGGGACGCCAGATGGAGATGAAGCCTGAGAAGGGGTCGCTTGTGGAAAAACGTGACCGCGATTGGCCTTGGTCTCCAGCTTGTCTGGCCGAAACTTCACGCCAGAACGGACCGGACCAGACAAAGCTGACGATGACGACGCCCTAGCCACAGGGCAAAAGCCATTCCAGTGTTCCCTGGATAGGGCTCTTGTTACGGAGTTCCAAGATCCAGATTAGCCGTCGTTCTGCCGTCGATCGTTGCGGTGTATACCATATTCCTACTCTCTATCACTGCGCTACCTTCTAGGGACCCAGAGAACCAGCCTTGTTGACGCCTGCAACGCCTGCAGGGCCTGCCAGAAGCCCCAGTTCACAACTGTGGCTGTTATGTGCAGTGGGGCAAGCTTAAGCGGATATCAGATCTGAACGGCTCTGCCCAGTCTTGAATATCTCACTACCGCTGCTAGCTTGCTGCACCGAATCCTCATCCTCACCCTGTTTGGGTTGATATGCGCTGTCACCAGGTGTCAAGTCCTTACATATGCAGAAACCTATCGCGCACTTTCTCCTTGGCTTCTGCGACGTCTAGAACACTACAAAGAGTACACCGGCTGGATGCGCGATAGCTAGATCCATCGTAAGTTAGCTACCTGGATTCTTCAGAGATTCGATGATGATAGTTAATAATGCACCCTAGATAGTTAGTTATAGGAGCCGCTAGATCAGATAAATAAAATAATACACTGTAATAAGATGGCTTTTCGAATATTGCACTAGAGCCCCCTGTTCTATAAATGGATGAAGCATAGCAACGAGATTGCCGAAGAAACACCCCAGAGTTTGCCATTTATTGCCCAGCAAATAGTGTACGGAGTATAGATAGTATTTAAGCCAAATATAGGCATCCGTGCTGGCGCGCCTATTCTAAGTTTATCCTTTCTAGTTTCCCCTTAATAAAACAAATAATATTGGAGTTTTCGAGAGGATGCTGCTCTGGAAGGAATGATGACAACATGGCTCAACTAGCCACAATACTATGCCTCAAGAGTCACGGGCTAGCACATCATTGGGGCGCAACTCATCCTCGACGAAAGGCAACAGTTAGGTTCTAAGAATGGCCATTGTTGTTGTTGATAATTCTGCCAATCTGTCAAGTTCCAGGATCACGGATAGCCAAGTCGCCCTAACCAAAAGCGGATGACGACCAAGTTGCCCCGGGTTCAAGAGCTGGACTTCACATGGCGCGGACCGGAGATTGACTGATTGATACAATACTTTGTCGATACACACAGGAACTGGTTCTGTGGCTGGCAGGATTGTTGACTGTCTCTTCCTGATTAATTACAAAAAGGAGAAAACATAACCTAATACACCGTGATCCTCTAATCCGGGATCTGGATTACGTCGATGATGATACGGTGATTGCGGAGCCGAGCTAGCATTCACGAACGCTTGCCGTATACCCTCCTCTTCCTTGTCGCATCACAATCACAATGTGGCGGGACCGCACAAACCTGTGAGTGGCCTTGGAGATTTGACTTTTTTTTTCGTGTTTGCGCCGTTCTAAGAGAATATAATCTACTAGCTACATATCGTATCGCCAGTCATTTGCGCATCACCCGACAAAGAAGCCACGTTTTCTGGGACCTCCCAATGGCTTCGACGACAGAGCGTCTATATCGGAGGAGAGGCGCGGGCTGATCTCTAGTGGTATCGAAGATGACGGCGATGCAATTATCGAGATGGACCTCCTGCCGCCGCGCTGGATCGATGTGCAGGATGAGGTCACGGAGCTGTTGGCCGATATCGCGCAGAAGTCTGCGCGACTAGATAAACTGCACCAGAAGCATCTATTACCAGGTTTCGGGGATGAGGAAGCTCGGAAGGAGGAAGAGAGCGTCATTGAGCAGTTGACGCAGGACATCACGCGCGGGTTTCACGAATGCCAGAAGGCCGTACAGCGGATCGAGAGGATGGTTCAGGAAGCGAGGCAGCAGGGAGGGGTGAGCAAGGGCGATGAAACAATGGCCAAGAATATCCAAATCTCTCTGGCAGCAAGAGTTCAAGAAGCTAGTGCAGGATTCAGAAAGAAACAGAGCACGTACTTGAAGAGTAGGGCGGCCCCCGCGTTTTTTCAAGGATAACGCTTTTTGCTAACGCTGCGCAGAGCTGCGAGGGCTGGAAGGAATGGCTGCTCCCTTCGAGCGGGCCCCGACACCGATACAGAATCCATATACAGACCCGTCACTGATGGAGTCTGATGCGGACAAGTCCTTTTCGCAATCCACTCTTCAGCAAACGTCGCAGAAGCTTGTGGGAGGACAAAATGATGCCGTCATAGCTCAGAGAGAACGCGAAATTAACGATATTGCGAAAGGCATCATCGAGCTTTCGGATATATTCCGTGAACTACAGACCATGATCATCGACCAAGGCACCATGCTTGATCGAATAGACTATAATGTCGAGAGGATGGGCACAGAAGTAAAGGCAGCGGACAAGGAACTCAAAGTGGTATGTTCATACTCAACTGAATACCGACATGTCGATATCGTTGCTAATCAAACCAGGCAACGAACTATCAACGCCGCACCACAAAACGCAAAATCCTACTCCTCCTTGTGCTCCTCGTAGTAGGCATGTTCATCCTCCTACTCGTCAAACCAAAACGACACGACTCCCCCGCACCGTCTCCGCCTGCTTCTGAAAATCCGCAATTGTCACGTCGAACCCTTCTAGCCTTCGACTCAGGGAAAACAATTCATCATTGGAAACGACACCCTTCCATGAACCGACTCCTGAGAGACGTATGGAGTGACCCAGATATACGTTTCTAATGAGAGCCTGTTTTCTTGTCACTACCACTATTACTCTTGCACCTACTTCTAGTTATTATGGTGCATGTTTCCACTGGGCCTGGTCTGCTTGCTTTTAGCCCTATGTCATGTTCCTAAAGTCAAACATGCGGGACTCCAGCTTGCATTGTTTGGTTTGATAGTTTATAATTTCAATGTTAAAGATACCTTTCGAATAGTGTATCATGGTTAAGTCTTATAAACTTTCCTCAAGTCTTTAGGGGGATAAAAGGAGGGCTAGGGCCTAATCGATATCACTTCCAGATCCATCTGCTAAGAAATATACCTACCAATAGCATTGCTAGTGTCATTCCGAAACCCCATTTTTCATTCCTTCACAGAGCCGTACAAGTAATAAATAAGAGCTATGGCAAAGATACAAAGTTGGATATCAAGCAGGAGATCGCTCGTGCAGTACAGGAGCAGAAAATAATGAGTACGAGAGAGGAGGATTAGATACCCGAAGAGCAAGAAGGCAAAAGATCCGAGAGATTAAAGGACACTGGAGCGTTAAGCTAGTAAATAGAAGAGAGGAACGGGATACACTTTGTTTATTAGCGAGTTCTATTCAGCAGGAAGCTGAAGTATCCGAATCGTCAAGCCAACTTCAAGGATTGCTCTCTTGCCGCAGGAGCTCGGCAACGTCTGCGTCCAAGTCTCCACCGGCGAATGCGGCATAGTCATCTTCTCCATGGGTCACCTTCCGCTTCTTTGAGCTGACACCGTTAGAGGGACTGCCGGACTGCGGGTTAGAAGGGACAAAGCTTGGTGGCAGCGTCGAGGATCCATCGTCGGACCCCTGGGACTCATTTCCTAGACTCATGAAGGGCTGATTCTCGAACTGATCATGAGCCTCAGGTTTCGGAGAGCCCACGGGAGTCAGAGCCTCGACAGGTGGAGGTGTGAGTGCCTCGATTTCCGGGCGAGGAGGTTCACTTTCCCCTACAGAAGCATCTCCATTCTGCGCAACTGGGGAACTATCGGCCGACAGACCTCGCATGATTCCATCCTCGACCTCACGCTTCTTAGTTTCCGTCTCTGCCTTCCTCTCAGAGAGTTGTGCCATAACAGATTGCTCCTTCGCAAGCGCCGAACGGTTGGTATCGAGGAGCTTCTCGAGCCCGTTAATCAACGACTGCCGCGACTTAATGATTTCCGAAACCGAGCTTTCAGCATTGGCGAGAGATTTCAGAAGCTGGCTCAGGCGCGCGGCATGTACTGGGGGGGTGGGTAGCGGCGTATTGGGGTCGTGCATCTTGTCATACTCGGTGTTTGCCGCTGTGACCGACGCACCAGAAGACATCGTGGCCTTCGAAAGAGCAACCTGTAAAGGTGCAAGAGGCTGCAGTTCTGGAGGGATTGAACCGGACGAGCTCGAAAAGAGGGAACCACCAAGCAATGGTTTCTTGCCCGAGGACCGAGACTTGTCGAGTTCTTTCGGGAATCAGTTACTGAACAGGAGAAAAGTGACCAAAGAACATACCATCGACGCGAGCTTCCACAGCTTCCTGAATGGGCAGTTCAAAGATATTTCGTTGTCGCCAAACCTCCACAACACGCCGCAGCTTTTGCTGAATATCATTCGAAGCTCCTTTATACGCAATTGCCGTAGCTTCGGCGATTATCTTCACAAGTCAGCTCGTCCATCAGCGTAACATCCATATTTGCACGTACAGGAGAGAATGCAATTAGGAAATCCTCTTTCCGTCGCACTTTGGACTGCTGAGCGACCTCTGCGAATAAAGTCAGCTGAACAGAGCTCTATGCGTGTGCTTGAAGTGTCCAACCATTTGCCAGGTATATCAGGTTGAGTCGCTTCCCCGCTGGTGATTCCCGCAGCTTTTGGAGCCAAAGCTGTGCAGTGCGATCCGCATGACGCCTGTGTCGAATCTCCCGGTCAGAGATATCATAAGATTGCGCGCGACGTAGTTGACTCTACCTGTGGAACATGACCCATTGCGCGACGGTGACGATACCCTCCTGAGTCTCGTTGAGGGCAGAGAGTTTCGCCTTGACGGCATCATCCGTATACGCCATGGCTGATAGATAGGTTTAAAGACAGTTATGGATGCTTTCCTGCGAAATGATGCGATACAGCAGGAATCCTGAGGAGCTGGGTCGCTGGTAGTCAAGCCTCCGAGCGGAGTAAGGTTGTACTGAGCTAAAGAGTGGGAACTCGGACGTGGATACAGAGGAATAAATGAGAGTCCGTAGCAACAGCGTCCTCAGAGATGGGAGATTCCGCACATAGGCCTACGCGATCACTTGTAGTTGTAGGAACTGGAAGCCCGCCAGTGGTCCAGACTTCAACAACAAAAAGCTCCGAGGGCGGGTTGACCGCCTTCGATGGCAGAATCCCCAGTGCCCCGGAGCGGCTCGCATCACTGTGGTTGTGCCAGCTGGAGCTTTGTCTCCCATTCTGTTTCATTCCAACCTCAACTTTGAGTGATTACGGCGGCCTCCTTCAAACACCTTCGTTTAAGCCGATTGACGCTATCATCCCACCATGGCCGATCGATTCCCCTCGTTGGAGGACTTCTCTGCGGGTTCGTTTATACCCCCGTGCCTGCCCTCCGTCCCCTAAGATTAACTAACGGTGTTCCTAGGCCAAACAGATGTGGTCGAGACCAACGGCGCAGACAACGCTGACGACTTTCTCGCTCGCGAGCGTGCTCTCCTAGGAGAGGATGCAGAACAATTCGCTACTCCCAATGATGCTACTGCGGCTGCAGGAGCAATTGTTGCGGATGACGACGACCTGATCGGTGGAGACCTCCCGCAAGGCGGCCCTTCAGAAGAGATCCCCGGCTTCGAATCATCCTTTCCCGCCATAGAAACACAGAATGAGGTATGGAAACTACTGGTGGTAATGGACCTTGCGATGATAAGTTTGACTGATTGGTTTCACGTATATAGCAAGTCGCCCCCGGTGGTACCATCACTGGAACCGGCGCGCCCTTCCCAGCGACCGGATACTCAAGCTACAAAGAGCCAGAGGAGGAACCCGAGCCTGTCCGGTATGTCGCGATCCACAGACATCCCTCACTTTGCACCATGCGTCACATGCTGTGAAAGAGCACCCGGCTTAGGAAGTTCCGCGCTGTCATTCTTGGCTAACCCTCTTAATATAGGGAATGGCGTGAGAGACGTGATGCAGACATCGCCCGCCGTGCTGAACTCGCCGAAGAGAAGAAGGCTGCTACAATCAAGAAGGCCCAGGAGGACATTGATGACTTCTACGTTTCATACGGTAACAAGGCCGACAAGCTCCGCGCCCAGACTGCGTCTGAAGCGGAACAGTTCCTCGCCAGTCGTGAGGATACCGCTTCAGGGGGTACCAGCTGGGAGCGGATCGCCAAGCTGGTCGATGTGTCTGGAAAAGGCAGCAGGGGAGGTGCCAGTGGCTCTGGGAAGGAGCGGTTCCGCGAGCTGTTGCTTGATCTGAGGAAAGACCAGAATGCTCCTGGGGCCAGCGGAGTCTAAGCGTGAAGGTGCTAGATGACGGAGAGATTGTGGTGAGGAAATAGATGAAAGGCGGTGCCGCGAATGTTGCAAGGGGATTGAAATCGTCTTGAAGACAAATGAACTGCGGAGCGCGAAACTCTTCTCGAAGAAGTTATGTATGTGTATGGAGTCACACGGCGCCGATTGAGCGAACTGCGGGTACTGTTCTCTCTCTCGCCTCCTTCCCCCATGATATCATGTTTCGACTTCCTCTCCATTTGCATCAAATAGTTCTCTAGAGCGGTCTTGGTGGGGGGGTAGGGGCAGTTTGACACGGTGCTACATTTGTCTCGGGTCCCTTAATAACCCGGGTTCCTTTATGCTGGTTTTTGCTTCTATTCTTTCCGATTTCCCCCGCATGTTGTTAACAGCCGTTTCTATTCTCTTTTTATTCCTTTAGATAATTAAGGCATTAAATCTTCCACTGAGGAAACTTAAGCTGATACCTCTATGTATGTACATGCTCATAAATGTGTGATGGGGAATCTGTATCTGTTACTTTCTATTTGGGTCCATCCATTGTAGAATTAGGATTCGCTGATGAAGACATGAGCGACTGACATCTTTATGTCAGTGATTTTTCGATGGCTTCAATAATCTATTTCAGGCGCTCTATCCTTTGCTATACATTACGGTAGCTATCCTTTGAATACGGGTTTAGTGGAAGAATACACAAGTGAACTTTTATTGTGATTAGAGGCATTAACTACCAGATATCACTAGAAGAGTGAAATGCGCCTTTGGAAGATGCAGACATGGAGTTGAGTGAAGGATGCAATGCAAAGGAAAGTACCAAAGAAGGGGTAGACCTGAAGGGGATAGCCCCCTCAATCCAGGACATCTCCAGGCTCACCGATGTCCTCCTCCACGATCCTCTCCCTTCTGCCTTCAGCCTCGATTTCTTCCAATTTCTTCTTGCCCTCTTCTGTCGTTGCATCCACAATGCCTTCTTCAAGGCTAAGCATGCCGCCTTGGCCCAGCTTCTCGACGATGTCTTCGGCTACGTCCACTTTCATGTTTCCAAGGACCTTGTTTACCTCGTCTAGGGATTCAGATTCCAGTGCCTTTTGTAGATCAGGCGGGAAAGAGTCGAAGATCTTGCGTGCCTCGATCTCGGCGGGATCACTGCTATCTGCAGGAGGGATGCTGATGTTAATCTTGGTGTTAGGGTCCACAGCATGTAGTTGGATCTGCTCGACACCGGCAGGGTCATTCTCTGGGGAGCTGTTCTTAGCAAGTTCGGCCGCACGAATCTTGATCTTGTTGTATGTCTCGTTGACGTCGTTTCTGAAGAGAGTTGATGCCTGGTGGTCCTTTGTCGTAATCCTGCAAGAACTGTCAGATGATGTCTCCATATGTCAACATCAAAGGCATTATTATAGCTTACCGTTTAAAGAACAACGATACTCCATCCCGTCCTAGTGAGCGGCAGTACTGCAGGAGCAGGCCATGATGCACACACCGGCGAGCGTACTCATCTTTTCCAGCCATCTGACTATTGAATGCCTCGACTAGTAGGCCATCTGTAGTCTTCTCGGCGACAATTTCTGGATGCTCTGAAATGAACTGGAGGAGACCTTTGTAGTCACCAATGCTGATCTGCGCGAACTTCTTTCCAAGAGGAGTGAGCTTCGGCTCCTCCTCATCCTCTTCATCCTCAACATCAGCTTCCGTGCCTGATGCCGATGCCCCATCCTTCTTCGCGGTGGGTGCGTTCAACAATTCGACAGTTTCAGTCTTAGGCTGTGCTTTCTGCTTGCCTTTATCGGTCGACTTCGCAACGAACGTACTGTCGAAGCCGGTGTGGATATCCTCGCTTGTGATCTTGCTCTTCTCCTCCTTCTCCAGCTGAGCTAGTTTCTCGAGCAACTCCTTCTGCAACGACTGTACTTTCTCCTTGTGGCCTTCGACCCCATTGATGTACCCTTGGAATACATTTTCCGGTTTCTTCTCTTCAACCTCTTTCTTCACCTGGTCCACGAGGGAACCCATCATCTGAGAATATTTTGGCTGCTCCTTCTGCTGGGTGTAGACACCCTCTGGAGGAGCTGGAGGCGTATCATCCTTTGGATCGCCGGTCGACTCGATCAGGGCCTGGAAGACGAGCTCCTCTGGATTACGCGCTGAGTCTTCATGCTTGCGCAAGGCAGCGAGAAGGGAATCAATGCGCGCCAATAGGCCATCGTTAATAATGCGCTCATATTTGAGTGTTTCGATCTCATGACGACGCTGCATGCGCTGCTGGTGGATCTGAGCCTGTTTTGCTCGAATAAACGAACGCTTGTCGACATTGGGGTGGACTTCAATATCCGAGTCATCAGACAATTCCAGAGCATCCCATTTACTGTAATCGAGCACCATTTTTGCGGGTGTGTTGCAGTAAACAAACGGGGATAGATTCCGTAGATGCGTATGGAGGGGCAATAGAGTCGGTGGGGTAAGTACAGAGTAGTACTTGAGCTCGTGCCGGAGAACAGCGACAGCGAGAAGCTAGTCAGCTAGTTATCTGGGGAGCTTAGTATTAGGGCAGCTGTGGTGAGCACGGTGAAGGTCGGATATAACAGAAGCTACCGCGTTCAATGTTGATATAGCTGGGGGTTCGCCTAGAAGCATCTCGACACTCTCGATCACCTTCCACGGCGATGACCGTAACAGCAGGCGGTAAGAGTCGGCAGAACTGCGGTCTTTCCGTCACAGCCCGAGGTCGGCAGGCCGAGCGGACGAATCCGTTCTGCCGCCTGTGATGCATTTGACTCGCAAAAGGCTGGCGAACTTCGGACTTGCAACCACATCGGCCTTTTTTGGTGCAGCAATTGAGTGCCAATGCCATGGGAAATACTCGCCTAGTGTGTGAATACTGTGATATGGCCCCCTGCTGTTACATCTCCTCTCCCTTCTGAAAGGCCATTTCAGTCCCGCAGTCTGACGCCATGCGCAGCTCAAAGCTGCTGGCGTCCTGGACGCCCAAGTTGGTCTGCAGGCAGCTCTCTGAGTCTCGCCCAGGCGTTCTGGCTGATCTATATCCTAATGCCTATGCGCCGCTTTTCCAGCCCAGAGCTGGCCCGACACGACTATATTCGAATATCCCGGCTCAGGTCCATACCAACAACGTCATCTCTTCTCTCACCGGATATCGCTCTCCTCTACATGCACGGTCACCTCTGACTTCTTTCGGAACTACTCAGCAAACACGGTCCTTCTTCGTAACTCCTCGATTGTTCGATGCCAAAGCGCAGACGTCGCAGAATTCTACTGAACCGCTAAAGGATGATCCTCGAAAGGCTGCCCAAGAGAGCGAAGGCGAAGAAATCGACAAAGGGTTCGAGCTATCAGAAAAAGCCGCTCAGGCTTCTCAGATCAACCTGAGTGCGAAGCTGGCGAGCGATGGTCTACGAGGGAAGAAGGCTGGGTTTGGGGAGATATGGAGGTTGATCAAGATCGCGCGGCCTGAAGCCAAGGTCCTGTCGGTGGCATTTTTCCTGCTTTTAATATCTTCTGCCATTACCATGTCGATTCCTTTCTCTATTGGAAAGCTTATGGATGCGGCAACGAAGAGTGCTGCCGAGGGTGGAAATGAGCTCTTCGGTCTGAGTCTCCCCGTGTTCTACGGAGCTTTGGCTGGCGTTCTCGCTTTGGGTGCCGCTGCCAACTATGGTAGGATTGTCATTCTCAGAATCGTCGGTGAACGGATCGTGTCGAGGTTACGCTCAAAGCTCTTCCGCCGTACGTTTGTTCAGGATGCGGAGTTCTTCGATGCTAATCGGGTTGGTGATCTGATCTCTCGCCTGAGCTCGGATACGATCATTGTCGGCAAAAGTATCACCCAAAACCTTTCCGATGGTCTACGCGCAGCTGTTAGCGGTGTCGCAGGTTTTGGACTGATGGCGTATGTCAGTCTGAAACTGTCCAGTATCTTAGTACTGCTGCTTCCTCCCGTCGGACTTGGAGCGTTCTTCTATGGCCGGGCCATCCGAAACTTGAGTCGCAAGATCCAGAAGAACCTAGGTTCACTGACCAAGATCGCGGAGGAACGACTCGGAAATGTGAAGACTAGTCAGTCTTTCGCCGCTGAGATCCAAGAAGTCCACCGATACAACACCCAAGTGAGGAAGATCTTCGACCTTGGTAAAAAGGAGTCATTGATCAGCGCTACCTTCTTCAGTACTGTGAGTGTTTTATACCGCGTGATTTGTAGCCATCCATGTGCTGACTCTTTTCAAGACTGGACTCATGGGTAATATGACTATCCTGGCCCTCTTGTATGTTGGAGGTGGTATGGTCAAATCGGGCGCCATCTCTCTTGGAGACCTAACGTCATTCCTCATGTACACAGCATACGCTGGATCCAGCATGTTTGGCCTTTCTAGCTTCTACTCTGAGTTGATGAAAGGTGTTGGTGCTGCAAGCCGCTTGTTCGAACTGCAGGATCGAGAGCCGAAGATATCCCCGACGAAGGGTGAGAAAGTCACCTCTGCGCGTGGCCCGATTCGGTTTGAGAATGTGTCTTTTAGTTACCCCACGCGACCTGCCGTCACTATTTTCAAGGACCTCAATTTTGAGATTCCACAGGGAACAAATGTCGCTGTGGTTGGACCTTCTGGAGGAGGAAAATCGACTATTGCATCCCTGCTCTTGCGGTTCTACAACCCCACTAAGGGCAGGATTTTGATCGATGGCAAGGATATCAGCAAATTTAATGCCAAATCCCTTCGACGAAAGATCGGCATTGTTGCACAGGAGCCAGTCCTCTTTTCTGGAACGATTGCAGAGAACATTGCGTATGGAAACTCCAAGGCCACCAGGGCAGAGATTATTGCTGCAGCACGCAAGGCGAACTGCACGTTCATTAGCGATTTCGTAAGTCTAAGTGGATCTAACTATTTCCTGTGAAGAAGAAAGCTAATCCTTGGAATAGCCTGATGGTCTAGATACACATGTTGGAGCTCGTGGTGCACAACTGTCTGGTGGTCAGAAGCAACGCATTGCCATTGCGCGTGCCTTGGTGAAGGATCCAGATATCTTGATTCTTGACGAAGCGACATCTGCACTAGATGCGGAGTCCGAAACACTCGTGAATAGTGCACTCGCCGCTTTGCTTCGTGGTAACAATACTACGATCAGTATCGCTCACCGTCTCTCCACCATCAAGCGCTCCGATACGATCATTGTCCTAGGACCAGATGGAAAGGTTGCTGAGCAAGGCACCTACCAGGAGCTGAGCTCTCGACCAGACGGTGCGTTTACAAAGCTGATGGAATGGCAGATGAGTGGCGGTGATACGTCACCGCAGCCACCCAGCAAGCAGCGCGGCCCTCCGTCCGAGGAGCATTTAGAAGAAGAGCTCCATGAAGATGAAGGAGAGGAGCAAGATAAAAACGAACCTAATGAGGAGACAAGAAAGGAGAAGCAAGATTCCCAGGCCTAAAGTGAGGTCTGGGTCTGTTGGTCTATGAGCCGACCTTTATCCTTTCGGTGGACTCTTCTGTAGATAACTACGGAACGATAAGTCTCTATCACGAGTCCTCGTGGCGTTCCATTTTTCAGATTTTTTGGTGTGTGAGGTCTTGATAGACGGTCGAGTTATGTATGTCATACTTTGCATTGTACATAGTTACAGTTTTGTTTCGTCTCTCTGGAGTCGTTTGATTTTCTACTAGCACCATCTGCGTCACTACTCTCCTATATAGAAGATACCACTGTTCAACGACAAAATGTCTTTGCACATTTAGTGCTCCGTAAAAGGACGCTCTCTGCTCGACTCCCAAGTATTTCTTCCATTTGTGCTGCATATCTAATGAATCGCAGTTGTTAATGATCGGAGGACCGCCATTATGCATATGACCGTATATAGATAGGGTCTTGGCGTTGCACTCCGCCTTTTTAGCCCTGCGTCACGCGGGCGAGCATGGACCTGCAACTCTCACGAGCAGAAGACGCTTGACTCTCCAGATTATTTAGATTCTGGGGTCGAGCGAGCCTTTTGCTCTTCAGTCATTACAACTGTTTATCCGCCCGATGGGAACTTGATTGTGTCAGCATAGTGATGGCACCCGTGCCGGAATACGAGCCGCTTCGTGATGAAGCGCAGGTCGACGACGACGAGGACGATGTGTCTATCAGCGATGGCGAGAGCACACAGCCCACTTCCAGCTTCTCATGGCTAGAATACTCTATCTTTCTGCTGCTGGGTATAGCTATGCTGTGGGCTTGGTACGTTTTTCCCTTACTCTTCAACTCACCGCTTCACCCAGCATCCTAGTATGGGACTTCTTGATAAGATCTTAGTTTCGACTAACATGAATCTCGAATAGGAACATGTTCCTTGCTGCTGCTCCCTATTTCCAACATCGATTCCAGTCTAGCGAATGGGCCTCTGCACATTTCCAATCCTCCATCCTTTCCGTCTCTACAGTGACGAACCTTGGGTCCGTGATTGTACTAGCTAAATCACAACGCAACGCTTCATACGAAAGTCGAATATCGTTATCACTCACCATAAACGTGGTGGTATTCACTCTCCTGGCATTTTCAGTGTTGGCCAGAAATGCATCGGTGGGAGCCTATTTCTTCTTCTTGATGGTCATGGTGTTCGGGGCAAGTCTCGCTACGGGTATCAATCAGAATGGCGTTTTCGCATATGTCTCTCGATTCGGACGTGAGGAGTACGTCCAGGCTATCATGGCCGGTCAGGGCGTCGCTGGTGTCTTTCCCTGTATTGTACAGATCGTTTCGGTCCTCGCGGTACCAGAAAGGAAACAAGGACCACCAGGCGCGGGCGAGCAGGAATCGCCCAAATCCGCTTTTGCATATTTCATCACCGCTTCATTAATAGCTGCAGTGACACTGGCAGCATTTTGCTACCTCGCAAGACAACAATCTCGCCATGGCCCAAAGCTAGTCCCCGACGATGAGCCTGAACCGGATCTCACCGGCCACAAGACCGTCGGACTCTGGGCCCTCTTCAGAAAGCTCCATTGGATGGCACTTGCTATTTTCCTCTGTTTTGCTCTCACGATGGTATTTCCCGTTTTCACGGAAAAAATCAAGTCTGTTCGCGATCCAGCTTCTGCCCCTCGATTATTCCAACCAGCCATCTTTATCCCACTTGCTTTCCTGATCTGGAATCTGGGCGATCTCCTTGGTCGAATGTCCGTTTTGCTTCCCAGCCTTTCACTTACGCATTATCCTTGGGCGTTATTCGTCATTGCTGTTTCGCGTATCATCGTCATCCCGCTTTATTTCTTATGCAATGTCCACGGAAATGGTGCTGTCGTGAACAGCGACGCGTTCTACCTCGCAGTGCAATTCCTCTTCGGAATCGCCAACGGATACCTGGGGAGCAGTTGCATGATGGGTGCCGGACAGTGGGTTGCTGTCGAGGAGAGGGAAGCTGCCGGTGGATTCATGACATTGATGCTTGTAGGAGGGTTGACGGTGGGTAGTCTGCTTAGCTTTTTGGCTTCGTCTGCATCTACATGATATAGATTTTTTTTAATGTTCCAGCCAGCATCTATCTAGAAGGTCTGATCAATCACATGGCCTTGGCTGTTGAAGTTACTTCATAAGACTCTAGAGATCAGATAGGAAGTATCCCAATAGACATGCACGCATAGTGCCGATATCCGTTATGCAGATAATCTATACGGGTAGGCTTCATGTTTTATTTGTCTGTCATTAAGTTGCAGTATGCACTAATATATATTATATGAAAATGGCCTCTGCCCCTAAATAGTATAAAATGCAGTGACCAACCTACACAGTACTCCTGCTGTTGTTGGAATATATCCCCATAATAGACGCCAAACACCATCCTATCTCTATATCCCTCTTATCCTGATCCATAAAATAACCCACACCAGCGCCAATCTGTGAAAGAATCACTCCGGTACGCCCTCTCCAGACGATTCATGCATTGAAAAAATCCTTCTCGTCAAGCCATTGTGAGTCAATGGCATATGCAACGAGGTCAGCTGCACAACACATGTCTTCATGGCCGTTCTCGAGATCAAGAAGCTCGAGGGCCCGATCGAGTCTGGAGGAAAGCGTCTGTTCGACTTTCTTCGAGGGCCCCTCCTCATTGTTAATGTTCATCTGTTCCTCATTTTCCAGGTCGGTGGCTAGGACCTTTGTCTTCTTCTTTCCTGATTGTGATTTCGCCGTCGGCTTTGGTTTAATGTTCTTGTTCACGTTTCCTGAGGCCACTCCCAAAGGCTGTCTCCGCGGAGCTTGGGACTGCTTCTCTTGATTATCCTTTTTATGTTTGAGGAGGTTCTTCAACAGGAAGAGAAGCCAGATGAGATTCGTCCTCGGTGTGTATTCCGACCAGATGCCAGGAATGTCTTCCGGCTTTTCCTGATCAAGAGGGTCACCCTTATAGACTTCACCACGCATACTGTGGGATTTCTGTTAGAAGCTGTGCTGTCAAGTACAATGGCAAAACTTACTATCTGTATGTATTTCGCAGAAGCTTCTCATCCTCGTCCACGCCAACAGCATCGAAGATTTGCTTCTTGTCAAGATCGGTCGAAGCGATCTCCGGCTGCTCGTCTGGATTCTCGCTGTACCTGAGCTCAGCTCGAGAAAGCGTATAGTCGATAATCGTCGTCTCTAAGCAACTGAGCCCAAAACCACTTGATGACTCTAGGACTTTGCTGTCCACGGATGAGGGTGGCTCCATGGAGCCGTCCTGCCGGGTCGTCCGAAGACAGACATTGCCAAGATGGAGATCTCGATGCTTTTGAATGGCGTCAGTGAACTTGAGCTTGGTATGGTACAGAGGTGACTTACCTCGAATCTTGCGTATTCTTCAGCTCTTGCGAGTGCCATTGCAACGCCCCAGAATATATCGTATATCTGAAAGACGGACGACCACTTGAACTTTTCCAGCTCGCAGCCAGCATCATCCATCTCCAGAATCGCCCACAGCTGCTTATCAGGGTACGCCTTTTTATCCGCGGGGTTTGGATTCCAGCAATCATCCTTGGTCTGCGAATATATGTCCCATGCAGCTTGGAAAGGTCCCGGGAACCGTCCCTGAACAACGTGTATTTCTCTGAACCTCGCGAATCCAGGGATAGGATCCAGATATTTCAACAGCTTGACCTCCGATGCGATCTCGTCGATGCTAGTAAACTTCCTCGAACCGGGTCCCGTTTTAGCCCGAAGCGGCACAATCTTGAACACGCCGTCGCCGTATGCTCGCAGCTTCGCAAGCTTGGATTTTGACATCTGTTGCTTGCAGGCGTCTTCTCTGATGCGAAGCTTGTATACTTCTCCATATGAGCCCTCAGCTATCTTGACAACGTCGAAGACGTCCCCTGTCCTTGCAGCCCACGAATCGAATTTCTGAACGCCTTGAGAAGCAATGGGAGACATAGCCTCGTCGAGAATAGGACGGACATATGCGTTTGTCTTCTCATCCTTGATACAGCTCGATGATAGCCGCGGTCTGGACTTCTTTTTCGTCTGATCTTTTGTCACCACCTTCGTATTAGATGTTGAAGTGTCTTTCGCTGGCTCTTCTTCCTGAGCGCTGCAGGCTGGCTTCACCGGTAACCGAACTTCCGCCAAAACCTGCCACCTCCGCTTGGGCTTGGGCGTATGCTTGAGCGGAGTGGATGCGATATGCTCTCTTATCCTCTGTCGAACCTCTCCCACACTGTCACGCTTCTTGGTCGGTGTGCATATCGGGGATGACAGCTCTCCTCTCTTCACGTTATCCTCTTCATATCGCTTGTCCTCGAGCGTAATCACCTCCATTGCTTCCACCAGTTCGTCGTCTTTATTTCCATTTTCTTCGACCACAGGATTGTCTTCATCCTCCACATCGTCATCGAGCTTGACAGCCTCTAGCTTTGCCTGCATATCATCCAGCGCAGTCTCGCCGGCTTCAACGTCCGCGATCTTCTCTCGAAGCGGACTGACATGCTCAAGGATGGCTCGCGGCGCATTGGCCTTTCTTTTCCCGTAGACTCTCTTCGGTGCGACTGTTCGTGTGCGTGTCTGTTTTTCTCTGCGACCTTTTGTCGCGCGTGGCGTAGACAGAGGTGAGACGGGCGGCGAGAACATTGCTCTAGTTATGCGAAAAGAAATGAGCGTCGTGGAAGAGTAAGAGGGATATCGTTTGCGCTAGCTGCTGGGTCGATCACCGATCGCAACTACTACACGGTCTGACATTCAAACTGTCGCGTGCTCTGATGGATCAATAAGGTAGTTGTCAAGCGTCAATCTATCTATCTGGTCCTAGGACTTAACGACGAAAAGACCGACCAGGCGGCGGGCCGGGCGTATTGATTTCCTCCCTATATAGGTATAGCGTGTATGGTTGCTGGGGCAAGAGAGTTCACTGGAGACTAGTACAAAAGAGGTTTAGTCTTTATCGACCTCGAGTATACAAATGAAGATATTCTTCTGTTACTATTGAGCCAGTATCTTGTAAGTAAGCCTTTATCATGTTTCCTGAGCTCTATATAATCCTCCATGTTCTGTACCTTTCCCAGGTAGTTTCTCTATTATTGTCTTTCAGTCTCCACGGACGCATTTTCTCCCTCATAAAGCCATGTTCCCACCAAAGAAGAAATCCCTTGTCGAATGAATAACGTCGTCGTTCTAGGAGTATGGGAAACAGCTGATAATTGATGACCAGGGACTCGGTCCCTTACTACGGGGCCGTAATATTATAGAGTAATCAAGCGAGTCAGACTTATATTCTCTAGCTAGACGCTTCAAAATATCATTAACTCCTCATTATGTGGTCCGATAGACATACTCTACTTAAGTCTAGGCCCTCTCTGTTCTGTTTTCCTGCTTTATCGTCTTGTCAAACTGCTCCTTGATGCCCTTAAACAACTTCAATATTCGACCACGATTATTCAAACCGCTGTTGCAGTACCAGTCTTCATCTAGCAGTAATTCTTCTAATCCAAGGCAGAACTCAGCCCAGTCAATCACAGGTCCTGCCTTAATAAGATCATCTACTTCAAATACAAGTTGAGGATTGCAGCGCGACTGCCAGTATGTATTAGGCAATATCCATCCAAAAGCAACCAAGATATTTCGCGTATCTTCAATCCTCTGCCGAGAATGAGGCTGTGATTGATAGATTGTGTCAATGATAATCATTGCGATATCCAAGGGGAGATTAGCGGCTTTTGCTGGATGGCGATCAAGTCGCAGGTGGTTATAACTTCGAGTAACCCGCTCAGTCAGCTCTTGGATGTCAGGAATCCTAAGTGGGTTCGCTGGCCAGTGCACTGGACGTGACTTTTCATCATCCAATACTCGTATATTCATAGGTTTGGGAACATCTGACTGTCGCTTAAGCCAGTGTATGCCATCTTCATAGCAGCCATCCATTTCAGGATCGGGATCACCAGGAATATGTAATACCCAGCGTCCCCATTCTTCTTTATTCGCCTTCCAAAATTCCTCAATGACTTGGATGAAAAGCCTGAGATTCTGCTTGATAACATTATGTGCGATAAACCGGTCGAGAAGCAACCAACAGTGCACATGAATAGGATACCCAACGCGTTCTCCTGCCTCTCTATTCCAATCTGGCTCAAAAAGATTAGCCATATGGAACTCTACATTCCAGCGACGATCTTCTCTTATAGCTCCCCTATAAATCACAGCCCTGTTAGGATCGACTGGCGCCGGACGAGGGTACCACCCAAAATAGCCATGAGATATCCCGGAAATTTGCAGTTTGTTCGTTTTCGGGTCATCGAGAACTAAAAGAAAATATGATGGCATATAATTTAGCTATGTAATAGCGTTTGCTTCTAATGAATGGCTAAAAGAAAACAATAGTTGATAGGGAAAGGGGCAGATCTTAACTTGTTCGGTGGAAGCATAACCATTGGGGAGGGTTCTTTCTGAACTCTACATTTTCAAAATCAGTGGCAGGAACGATTAGGCTTCTGCTTGCTAGACGTCGTGATGGCCTTTTGCGTCGCTGTAGTTTCTCGGCCATCGCTTTCCAATCCTCACGTTCGTGCGTTACATTGGGATCATCCGCGTCCGTCGGAATCTTGAGTCCACATAATACACAACAATGGGTCGGATCCCACCGTTTGGGGAGATGAAATCGGTCTATAGGCATCTTGTCGTTTGCATTAAGTATAGTATGGAATAGCCGAGAGAGTGACAGCTAAGGGTTTTCGTTAAAAGAAATATCAAGCACTGCTTTAATGATGTCATGCTGATCTGCTCATAATAAGAAATGCTTTAGGTGCCAGGCAAACGTTTCATCGCACTTGCTCATAAGTTCATAATCGCAGATGATGGGCCGGTTGCAGACTCGGTTAGCGGGCTACTCATTTATGATCGTACGCCATTTGTGGTAATGCATGTATGGCATCAAAGCTTCGGTCAAAGAATTACTTCGATGGAGGTATGTCCTTGTAACATGTCTGTCGCAAATATGGAACTGTCTGGCTCAGTATTTAGACCAACGAACGCAACGCGTAGACGGGAATTCCATATGCCTTGACACAGGATGATGAATTTGAAGGCTATCAGTCCCCTACTAGGAAATTTCACTTGATAATGAAAAATTGTCACATCGCGGCTAAAATTGACAAACAATAGTTCCGTTGTGTTCTGTTTCTCCCCCTAACCCAGAGTCATGTAAAGGGTTTTCATTTCTTTGGCTGTGCAGCACTATGACATAGCCTTGTGTAGAACCAAAAATATCGAGCAACACCAAAGACAGACGTATGTTGCAGTTGGAGACTGACTACCACAGACGATCTACAATATTATTGTTATAGAACCCCGAGCCGCTTAGGGGGGTGGGGGGGGGGCGCCTCTCGGATAAGCTAAGTTCTATATTTCTAATCCAATATGCTAGTTATTCGTTATTCTCTCTAGAACTTTAAGAAAGTTATCGAGAGATAATAGCCAGAGTAACAAGAGACCGCTTATATCAGACATCGTTTATTATAGCAAAGGCACTACTTAATTATAAGATTGTTATCTATAGAGATAACAAAATGTCTAGTTTCGGATAAATACGCGCGTTTGAGGAATTTCACCAAATCAAAGTTTAGATGTCTGGATGTTTCTTCGGACGATGAGAATCGTGCCCACCATGTTTGTGAAGCTGGGGTTTGGGCTTTGATCACTGCCAGCCCATCCTGTCTGGAATATCTTATTGTGGCGGTTGGCGCAGAGTTCGTTGTTGAGGCGTATTGGCTTGACCTTGGGATGTTGTCTCGCTGTGGGGCATTGCATTTTGTAGAAGTAGAGGATACAGGGATTGATTCCTCAGTAGTTCGACTGAGAACTACAGGCGAAGAGAATGACAATAAACGCGGTGAAGATACTAATCTACCGGCCTTTTTAAGCCTTGAGTTATTAAGCAGAGCTCCAAGATATAGCAAAGAGGGGTTGAAGGATAGTTCTATAAACCCCGAAATCTACTACGACTATTCTACGAGTCGTCTTCACAGTTGTCTATAATTTGTTTCAGAGAACATTTAACATAGGCCATAGATAGACTGCCAAACAAAGATAGATATCTTAAAGTCACCGCCATTTCTCGTTTCTACGTGAGCGAATAGATGTAACATACCCGTTTGACATCTTGCTCGGGGACGGCTTTAGAGGTGAGGATAGCGGCAGTTCTAGTCGCCCTCATCGTCTTGTGAAAGAGCATGTACCATATATAAGCTAGTTAGATCCCGACAGGGCTGTCAATAAATCTGATCTATATGACTCAAGAGTAGCGGTGAATCGTGATGTATGATTCCATGTCGATCTTCGACGCCCTTCAATGGCTTATCCCAGTGCAAAACACTTGAGTGGCGTACTTTCAGGGGGGTCTCTTTTGAGATTTGGAAACAACGTCGGCTTCTCAGGTAATATCCATGGAAGCTACGTATCGGCCTCTGTCCAGTCTTTGCTCGCGAATTCCTCGTGGTCTGTATACCCCTGCAAAACTTTGCATTGACGCGGACGCGCTGGGCTAAGGCAGCGAGAGACAGCAGAAAGCTAATCGCGTTTTCAGCTGGCGGATCTACTCCGTATGTGGATTTCTCGCTTTTACCCAGCGTCTCAAATGACCGGCATCGATGGTGATGCTGTTTGTTAGCCCTCCCGGGACAACCTCTTGTCCCAGGCCCATACGAAGCGCTTCGACACATGTGGGACGAGGGACGAGAGACGAGGGAAGAATACATGGACCAGACGCAAATTGACCCTGAGGAAGATACTCTACAAACAAACAACATGCACATTGGCTGGGATAGAAAGTCGTACGAAATGCTTTGTAGCAAACGGTAAGGGAGGTCCGTGAGACCTGCTAGGACTGATTGAATATTAATGACTCATTTATTGAAGGCGCATTGTAACTATTCGACTCGGCTATTCTTTCCAAGGACTTTGGGGTTTCTAGCAATTTGCAGCCTTCTCATCGAAGTGGAAGGTGCTAGAGTTGGAAGATCCCCTGCGCTAGTCTATACTCGCGTCTCTGGATTAAGGCGGGAGGGACAAAAATGGCTGTGCAAGCGTTTTTTTCTTTTGTTTTTGGTAGAATCTCAGGACGCGATGTCAAACAGCGGGTCTGCAGGAGGCTGAATTAAGTTTCGAGCGTTAAAGACGAGCATATATTATTGACATGGATTAACATCATCCCTAATTTAGCTGGCGGAGACTTCAGATGGCGTTTGGACCAATGAAGAGGTGGTCAATGCAACGCGACGTCAGGGATAGATTGCCCTAGGCTTCAGGCGAGGTAAAAGAGAGGATAACTTGAGTCCGCGCGAGAGGCATCGTGTGGTTAGCTCACAATTCATGGGGAGTGTCTCTTTGCAATGTAAACTGCTCTAGATATCCAAAGTATATCGAGAGTGACCATGTTGTAGGGACATCTGACCTGGTCAGGAGAAACAACATTATTATCATGCCGCGTCTTAAACTTTCCAACCTTCTTCTGTCGCGCAAGACCCACGGCCGTTTCGGAGAATTAGTGGGAGTCTGGAGAGGTGAGTGCTTCCTCACGAGTAGCAATAATAATCGTATCACCGTGCGGGGACGGCTTGACCGCTTGGAGCCAGAGGCACTCTCGTATGGTATAATCTAGGGTCCAGTTGCTGGGATCCTGTAGGCAGGGCTTGAACGTATCTAAACATTGCTCATGTGGACATTGTTCTCGGAAAAGACAATAATGCAATTGTTGATCGCGCGACCTTCCGTGTGCGGCGCTTGGGAGGAAGTTCCACCAGACCAGCCCTGGATAAGTTATCTGCTGTAACTATCTGTACCATAGTTATCATCTAATAGCATAGCTTCATCGATCAGATTGTGTTTCCATGTTCGCAGGAGGCCAGAGCATCCGCCACCATTGTCACGGATGAGCCGATCTAACGATTAGTTAAGTACCTGACAGTCATGATATTGACGCTGTGGGTAAACACAACAACGGCGACTAACGCACCCTTATGCAGGCGATGCACAACCCTCAGGAAGCCTCGAGCACGATCAGATGGATCGCAGTCCGTAGATAAATAATAATAAGAGTAACTAACGAATCGACCATAAATAATAAAGCAGCTTCGAGAAGACGGGTCAAACTTCACGGGGGGCAAGTTTGGTGGATCGGGCGGCGCAGTGACGTACCGCGAGAAAGACCATAAAAAGTTCCCTTTCCTATCTTTCCCGTGCCGGCTTCCCCGTGTGAAAATTTCCCCCTTTCGTTCCGGCTAGGCTAATAATAATAATCCTGCTGTCTTTACCACGGATCTCTGCCTGTCAAAGAGACAGACTCGTCCAGGCACCGTCGCATTCACTAAATTATATTGTGTGTGGTCGACTGTCTCCGATCTATTTACCATCTGTGGCCTGGAGTCGCAGTGTCCGTGTGTTGTCGGAAGACATCGTCTGTCACGGGGTCGATACGCACATCTTCGGAGGCACGCGATCCAACAGCCGCGGTCTTTATCATCGCCCTTGTTCCTCCTCTTTTCCGCTCCGTCATTCTCTCGTTGCGCTCGACAACCGTCGCCGTCCAGAACACGGGCCATCGAACAAGATTTTCTCGCGCTTGAGGTGTATACAGCAGTCGTCTGAACCTGACCTCAATGCGTCGATATGGCCTTCAACTTCAACTGGTCGCCGTTGATGGCGGATGCGGGTTTTTACACCCGTGCCCAGGATCTCTTAACTGCGGCGCTCAATAAATCGCCCAAGCCGCCCATCATTGTCGATGACATTATCGTCACGGAGCTGAACCTCGGGTCGATACCACCGGAGCTGGAGATTTTGGAGATCGGAGATCTGGCGGAGGATCGGTTTCGCGGCATCTTCAAGATGTCCTATAGCGGCGATGCCTTCCTAACCCTGAAGACACGGGTGCAGGCCAACCCGCTGAATACTTATCTTCTGACCCGGCCTGCTTTTGCATCGCCGCAGCCGCTGGCTGCAGCGTAAGTGTTTTGCGCATGATCATGCGATGACGTTGACTGACCATGTCGCAGGACTCCATTGACCATCCCACTCCAGATCACCCTCTCCGATTTTCGACTGTCCGGATTCATTATCTTGGTGTTCTCGAAGCAGAAGGGAATTACACTCGTCTTCCGGAATGATCCGTTGCAATCGCTGAAGGTATCGTCGACCTTCGATTCCATCCCTTTCGTCCGCGACTATCTACAGAAGGAGATCGAGGGACAGCTGCGGATATTGTTTATGGATGAGTTGCCTGCGATTATCCATCGATTGTCTCTGCGTCTGTGGGTCCCAGAGTATCGTACCGCAGAACTGGAGCAGAACAAGGTCGACAATGTGTCGGGAGAAGGACCAGGGCACGATCCCTTGGCCAGCCCGCCACAAGATCCGGTGGACGCTTTTGGGAATCCGTTGAATGCTTCAGAGATTGCCTCTTTGTCATTGGACTCGGGCGTGGAAACACATTCTCTATTTTCGCGGAAGAATCTGCTACGTCTTGCTACCCTCACGGATTCGCAGCGGACCTTATCTCTCTTCACACCATCCATCCGAGAAGTAGTCTACCGTGCTTGGACATCTCCTTCAGACCAGGCAGACGGTTCTGCAAGTGTTGCGTCTCCCATGAGCCCCTCCCTGTCCAGGACACATTCCAACGTGGGCTCGACCTACTCCTTCCAGGACTCTGCCAGTACAATCTCTATGCAGAGCCGGCCATCGATGGCCAGTCATAGTTTCAGCGGATACGGGCTGAGTCTCGGATCCGGTCGTCACTCGAAAGCGCATTCGCGAAGACGCAAGAAGCGTGTGGTAGATCTGCGCCGTCCCAAGACCACCGATGATGCTGAGAGCATGAGTGGAGACAGTGCATTTACGGAATCGACGAGTGCGCCCTCTGTATGCTCAGCCCCTGTGTATTCCGTTCCTCCTCCCATTAGCGAAGAGGCGAATGACGATCCTGTGACACCGCCCTTGTCCCCGCAGGATGGTTTGAGCTTGCCCTCGATCCCAGAGCGACGGAGAACCAGCAATTATCGGCCTGTGCATCCCCGGCCGTTCCCGGCAGAGTTTATGGGATCTTCGTCTATGCCCCCGAGGAACGCTGCGGACAACAGCCGCCTATCTAAGACGGACGATATTGAGACTACTCCTCGGGCACCCGCTCATGCGGAACATCGCCCTTTACAGATTTCCGAGAAACGTGAACCGGAACCGTCTGCCGGACCTTCGCGTCCCCTTCCTGCATCTATCCTTTCTTTCAACGAAACCGCCCTCCACGGTGGTGTCGTCGACCAGGCTTGGGTGACCAAGATGGCGAGTGAGATCGCCCGGCGGATGCAGGAAGATAAAATGTCGGCCAACCAGTGCAGCAGCTTCTGGGATCGCCGCAATTTTGAAGAAGCCCCTCCAGCTTACGGCCAGTGAGCTGACGCTGTGGGTATTCACCGAATTTATATTCGGGCTTCGAAGAGCCCCTTCTTACCGTGGTCGGTCTTATTCGAAGCCGACTCTAAAAACTAATGACTTATGAATTTTTAATGTCTGGAAGCGTCTTTTATCGGAAGCCTGGAGTTTCGTGTGTATCAATATTTACGTGGCATTACCCACTGCTTTGTGGTTTGCGTGTTGGATATACGGTAACTCCTTTGCCATTCGCTGCAGCTTTTTTTCTTTCTTTCATCGATTGATCTTTTCTAGCGCAGGGAATGTTTTTGGATTGGAGGAAAAGCTGGATCTGTATATTTTTCTGTCATTTACTGCCCTGAGAACTCTCAACTTCCTTCTTCTAAGCTAATGCTACAAGTCGTTCCTTTTATCGTTCAAGTGTAGACAAATTCCTGAACTGGTAAATCAAACACGACAATAGAATGGAGAACCGTAAACATCTTTAATTAAATATTAAGCGTTCACCAGAGCCTGGAGCGCACTGCGGGCCGCGTGCTCGGCATTAGCCTGGCCTCCGCAAAGCTTCCACTAGCTCGATCGGACATAAACCTCCGGACTCTTCGCTTCTGTTCTCCTCCGTCCAGAGCCACGTCGCAACATCCCCAGACTGGGAATTGGATTGGAGAGGGAGATATTATCATCATGGCTGGCGTGTTCAAGAACATATTTGGTGGAGCGTCTCCATCGCCTGCTCCAGCCAAGGTCGACGATGGTTAGTTTGTACTTCCCTTGCGATCTCAATCGTCTCGCTTCGACAGCTCACTGACTTTCCTCCCCATCGCAGATTTCGCGGATTTTGGCGGTGCTCCAGACCCATCGCCTGTTTCGATCGTCGCTGAACCGTCCGCTGCAACATCTACTGCTCAATTGGGTGCGCAGACCACTGGCGCAGCTCCTGTGCCGTTCACAAAATGGTACCGCGTGTGGGAGCGCACGTCCCCCTCAGATTTCAAGCAGGAGGCCATGATCTTGCCATTCATTCTCCTGATCATTATTTTCCATCTCTGGGGCACGAAAAAGAACAGGCGCAAGGCCAAGGCCTGGGCGCAGGCCCATGCTCCTGTTCTCCAGAACGAGTTCGCCGCGGTGGGATTCGGAGGTGTAAGTCCACCTGATAATGCGGGATGGGTTCACGCTGACAGGTCCGCTTTCCAGGTTTCGTCGTCTGAGTTGGTCTCCCCGGACTCTATTCTGAGGGAGAACTCCCCTCAGGAATTCGCTTCGTATGCGACGGGCAGACAGAACGTTGCCTTCTTGGACCTTACCCTCAAGCTGGTCAAGCGCTACAACCCGGTTATTTTCTTGATGGACCACATCCTTAGCATCTTCTTCGAAAGCTGGCCGGCCCCTGTTGAGAGGGTTGAGGCTGTTGCGTATGCGTTCGATGGAAAAGAGAAGGAATTGGTGCCTGTCCCCGCTGGCGACACTGGCGCTCTCAAGGTCCAGAACTCGTCCTACGACCCTTTCATCTGGGCTGTTGTGCACAAGAACACCATGCGCAAGCTGCGTCAGGACCGCTACGATGTCTCTATGACCCAAACCAAGGACAACGCCAAGCTCCCCAGCTGGGTTACCGTGATGAGCGAGAGTGCCGAGGTCACTGACACTCTGCTTACCCCGGAGCTTATAAAGGCTATTGAGCAGGCCGATGATGCATTTGAGTATCTGATCATCTCGGACCAGCCCATCGAGAAGCCGGCCAAGTATGTCACTGTTTTGTCGTGATTATGGGTTAAGTGTGACGCTAACAAGTTTCCATAGGATTGAGGAGACTGTCCCTAGGAAGCGTCTCCAACTCTCTCTCCGCATCCCGTCATCTGGCTACGAGTCGACTCTCCCTCTCTTCCAGCTATTCGTGCGTCTGCCTGATGTCCTCGTGGCGTCGGCCCACTGGCGCCCTGAAGTTCTGCGCAAGATTCGTAACGCTCGCGAGGAGGAAATCAAGAAACTGCGCCGTGCTGACGAGGAAGAGAAGGCTGAAGAGCGTAAGCTTGCCGCTGAGAAGCTGAAGAAAGAGGAACGCGAGCGTCTTCTGCGCTCCATGAGCGCCGAGGAGCAACGCAAGTTCCTTGAGCGTGAAAAGGAGAAGGAGCAGAGACGCACCATGAAGAGGAACACTCGCAAAGCGTAGAAGCCTTGTACTTCGTTTTCTCTTCTTTCTGCTCTGCAGCTTGATGATATTAGGTCCATCATAATTCTTCTATGCGAGCTCATCGTTAGGGGACGGGGAAGACGCTTGGAGTGCGGGATTTACTCGGGTCCCTGTATCTATATTTTTGCATGTACCATCGAGGAGAAAAGAAAAAGAATAGATCGCAACATAAGTGGCTCTGCTCGCCTGTAGCAGAGCATCAGTGAGAAATCTGATATGAATGTCATATGATATATCTCTACAGCTTTTCTTGATATCACGGGCTGTATATATTTTCTGCACGACACTTGGTTTTGCATCCTCCTCATAACTAGAAAAAAGAAAAAGATATGATCTGTTTTCTCAAGTGTATATACCGGCGCTGTCATCCGGCCTCGTACACATATACACAATCTCAGATTATCGAATTGCACAGTATCTCGGGTCCGTTTCGGACAGTATCTCATCGTTCCATCAGAGGCAGGAGCTGTCCCTGAGTGAGTGCCAACAAGCATCGACATTTCAGTATCAAACAGCAACAACCCACCGCAAAAGCATCAACACGCGAAATTTCAGGAAAGCACGAGCATTAATCCAAGAAATATATCACCCCGACCGAAGTGTCTCTGCTCTTTCTTTTCCTTCATGCTTCATGCACTCACTCCCTTAGATTATATCGAGATTCAGTTGCGCATACCTTTTTGCTATTTTACTTCCCATTCTTATAAACCTTCCAGAACATATACCATCTTCCCTTCATGTCGATCATACGCATCGCAACCCTCATCACCTTGGCATTCTCGCCACTCTCCCTAGCCAGCCCGACTCTTGATGACCAGAACCAAACGCTCACCAAGCGCAGCCCTGTACCGTTTGGTGTGTATATCGAAAGATGCAGCATCCCCGGCACCATTGCCCTGACGTTCGATGATGGCCCGCATGTCTTCACGCCCAAGGTGCTGGATACTTTGAGGTCCAGGGGCGCGAGGGCTACATTCTTTGTGAATGGGCAGAGTACAGGGAATATTCATGCCAATGCGGGTGTAGTGCAGCGTGCGATTGCGGAGGGGCATCAGATCGGGTCTCATACGTATGGGAACTGACGTTCTCTTCTTTTGGTTTTTTTTTTTTTCTTTGAAGAACGGAAGTGCTGACTGATGTTGACGACAGCTGGAGTCATCCATCTCTTGCAGGACTCGACTATAATGCTATTATAGATCAGATGTTGGCCCTTGAGGGTGCGTTTATGCAGATCATCGGCCGAATCCCGACGTATATGAGACCGCCGTTCCTGGCTGTGGATGGGGCAGTGTTGGCGGCCATGGGGCAGTTGGGGTATCATGTCATTGGTGCCAGTATCGATACGAAAGACTACGAGAATGACAACCCTGCTGCTATCCAGAACAGTCTGGTGAGGTTCAGAGATCAGTTGAATGCTGGGGGCACGATTTCGTTGGCGCATGATGTACGCCAGTGGACCGTTGAGGTTCTCGTGCAGGCGATGATTGATGAGGTGTCTGCCAGGGGATTAAGGAGTATGTGTTTCCTTTTGTTGTCACGTATTGTTCTGTCCCATATGTTGTTTCTATTACTGACATTGTCGACGACAGTGGTTCCTGTGGGTGAATGTCTAGGTGACCCAGCGGATCTTTGGTACCGGGGCCCGCGTTGAGCGGGAATCCTGCATTCGATGTAGTGATTTCGAGAGTGTCCATCCTTGGAGGTACATGGTGCGTTGGGGAGCCTTGTTGGTTTTTGCGAATGTTCTTTTCGTTGTCTGTACTTAGTGTTGTCGTTGTTTTTTCGGAAGGGCACTTCATCGTGGGGTCTCGATATCATTTATAGCGTTAGTGATTTCGTCTCGTTTAGAGATAGAGGAGGTTCGTCTCTGGATTGCCTGGAGGGTTAGCAGAAGTAATGTTCATTGTCCCCGGTTCAACGTTTCCTCCATTGGCCGTAGTCTCGGCTCTGCAGAAATGCGGCCTGACGTAGGACGTAAACTGAGACGGATAGTCACTTGTCCTGTGTTATTATGATGATTATTGTATGTGTCAATTGTTACATGTTGCGAGCCGGGAAGACCGGGAGTCTGTGCTTGATGCGCGATTTATTTTGTTTCAGGAGTCCGGAGGCTAGAGTGGGAGAGACGAAGCATGAGGCGAGGCGGGTTTGCTTCGAGATGTGTACAGTCTGGAACTTGGGCTGGGAGAACACAGCTACATGATGGCCAACCACTGCGTACTACTGAATGAGGAAGAAATGGGAATCGAAGAGAAGTAAATGTGTTAAATGCAATATTCAGTGTTCAGTAGTGTTCTACCTATTCTAGAGTAGTTACAGTATATAACTACCCAAGCTGATGAGGACACGTTAGACATGTTAGACATGTTATGGATAGGAGAGAGCTTGAAGCCATCCAGCAGTGATAATTCCCGCAAACGTCATCCAGGCTCCTGACTCCTGAGATGAAGCTGAGGCAAGCAGCAACTAATAATAATAATCATAATCATAATCATAAATTTACTCAGGGGTATCTAGAGAGAGGGAGAGAGAGGCACTCCGCCTCCCTTCCCAATGCCAATGCCTATAGAGTAGTAACTATCTAACCAACTTAGACATCACGTAGTGACTACTAACTAACTAGTTCAGTCAGTTATAGTTATAGTTATTATTATTATTATTCTAGAATCTAGTCAGTTAGTTAGTAAGACTCAACTGCTCTAAAATAACTATGTCCTCTCTTGGACCTCCTCTGGATCACGCACTGATGGGATTAATAATAATAATAATAATAATGTCTAACTACTGAGTCCTGACTGACCATCTTGGGTTCTTCTAGAAGCTGATCTGATCTGATCTGATATTTAGATTGGATTAGACTACGTAGTAACTATGTAGTTATTTGGAATAATAATAAAGATCGACTTTCTGGTTATTGTTCGTCGCGGGGCGGTGAAATAATAATAATAATAGGGAGGAATCATAATAATACATAATACATAATACTAACTAGTAGTAGTTGGTTAGTAACTTAGTAGTAAATTGGCTAGCCTGCTGGATGGATGGGTCATCTGTTCTCTCCTCTCCTCTCCCCTCCTCTCCTCTCCCCTTGAGGCTTGACCGAGGCGAAGACTACGGAGAAGTGCATCAGAAATGACTGCCAACGCTAGTAATGATAGGATTAATACCATTGTATTATTAATTATATATTTTCAATTCTAGAGATCTTTAGGAAATTATCTTGTCTATCTAAACTACTTTAGGGATAAAGGACTAGATTTGTAAAAGCTTTTGTATACCAAAATAGCCCCCTTAATTTGCCCGCATTCTTCCCATATTGCTTTTTCTTTTTCGGCTTAATGATATATTATATTAAGTACAGAGATATTCTGGAGCGATAAGTTATATATTTATTTAATAACAGAAGCAAGATCCTTATTGAAAGAGGGCGAGGCCCAATAATCTGGTGTTTCCTCGGGGATAGGGGTGTAATTTGCATACTAGCATGATTACTAGCGTTGGCAGTCATTTTTGATGCACTTCTCCGTACGTATCTGGCATTCTGGCTGGTGGGGTTCTTCCCTAGAACGATTGAGTTAGTTAGAGAGTAGTAGTACTTACTAAGTACCGATCCCGCGACTGAGAAATAATACCGCAAGGGAGACAGATTAATCATTGTCCACGGTCCACTTGGGGAGAAATGCGGGGGTGTCCGGCGTGTACATAGTACATAGTACATACTAACTACATAGCATACATACTACTACCTGCTAAGTACGGACTACTACTACGCGGAGGACTCCGTAGTATGTAGTATGTACATAGTAGCGAAATACCAAATACGGTGCCCCCACCAGTCGTATGATGGGGCGTGAATTAATTAAGGGATTTCAGTTCTGTTCCCTTTTTTGTGTGTCCAGTTTGGATTAGAGGAATTTGTTCGAGTAATTTGTCCTTTTTTTGCGGGGTTGAGCTGTGGCTGTCTGGTCGAGTGACTACTGCTGGATCCGGCGGACTGTACCTACTACCTAGATACGAGACGACGTTATGACGACAGAGCACGCGCGCGCGACCACCTTCCAAGACGGCTGGTTGCGCCGGATGTAACATTCGCTCGGGAGGATACTGTAGAATATACGTAGTAGTAATGAGAATGACAGCGAGGGGTAAATCTACCGGGGTAACAGAGGAACGGTGAGGAGAGGCGCTGCAGAAGAAGTTGTGGGGGAGAAAATCCGGGGAAATGAGACGCATTAGCGGTTCAGCCAGTCCAGCCAGTAGTGAAAACCACTGGTCGTCTTTTTTGGCTGAAGAATCCTCCCGGATGGGCTTTTTCTGAGTCACGGGGTGAAAAAAAGGCCCGCTGAAAGTTTTGTCCGAGGACGGAAAAGAAGAATGAAGAAGAATTTTCTTGAAAGAGAAAAAAAAAAAAAAAACAGGGCGAAGCCGGTCAGTTGACTAAGCCCGGGTTTATTCTTAGTTCACTAGCTACTTTACTATTAGTGAATTAACTTGTTAGCCGGTGGATATGGAGCAGAAGGACCAGTTGCCAGCGATGCCGCCAGCACGCGGATCTTTGTGGGGAAAGACCCAGAGGAAAAGAAATCTCTGTTGACCGGCTGGCATGCCACGTAAACCCAGCAAGAGTGGACAGAATCAGATGGGCCATCAAGTCCAAGGCAGATGGACTCGTCGAGGGCCGTTGCGCAGTGCTCATGGTAGAGAGTCTATATCCGATTGGCATGGGCAGTCATTTCGACTAGATCGGATCGCCAGGGACTGCCGCCAAGGATGGACGCCTTCAGACCTATGGCGTAAGTCACTGGAGTACGGAGTATACGGAGTAGTAGTAGTAGAAGTCTAGAATAGCACGTATTAGTACTCGATGGCATAGTCCGGATATGGATCACCATCAGCATCACAATCACCATCAGCATCAGCATCATCATTATTACTGTTCGTTAGTTAGTCAGTGACCGGCCCGGCCGGATGAGGCAGAAGGAAAGCTGCTTGTCGTCTTCCTCGACCTTCTTGCACCATCTTGCACCATCGACGCTGTCCTCAAGGTAGAGGCCATGACTAAGTACTGTGCGATTTTGACGTGCGATGGCGTTTCCTGACGTGTCGCCCTGTCACCCAGGGGCAGACGGGAATGCAGCACCGATGATGTGATGGGGGGCTATACAAGGTCCTTGATCTACATGGGGCTGCTGTTAGGGTTATGGTCTGCTGGTCTCGACCGTTTGGCCCTGTCTCGGGAGGTTCCCATGCGGCCAGCATACATTGTTGAATTCTTATTGATCCGAGTTGATCAGAGTACGGATAGATACTCCAGTAACTAGTACAGTTGATGTGTAGAGGATTCCAAGTAGACTATACCGTCTGTCTCATCCATGCGGTGAGGAGAAGAGCTGCAGCATCCAGGAGCATCCAGCATCAACCATGATTGATCATCGCCTTGCGTTGTTTTTTGTGCATCGTGCCTTCCTCGCGTGCCCCAAAGTATTCGCAGACACAGTTTCCATTACCCCTAGGAAACCGTTTGGAGCCGCTGCCTGCCTGTGATTGGCCGCGCCTGCAGTTTCTGTTACGTGGGGATCCACTGCCGCCGTGATGGATCAGCTGACTGGGATCTGTTTCTAGCGGCGTGACTTTGGGCTGCAAACAGAAGGCGGTCAGCTGCAACCAGCGAGAAACCGCCCGCCGCCCTAAGCACCAGCAGCGCAACCAGCACTACCAGCACTACCACCACCGCAAAAATCATCCCCAGACGCCGTCGCGACCAGCAAAACCTTCGCGCCTTCCAGCGGCTTCCTGGATCTTGCCCAGGTCCACTTTCCGCCTCGGCTGACCCTGGGACGGAGAATCGCAGAATCAGATGAGTCTGGGAAACAAAGAATGCGCCCCGCCAGATGGTGCAATCGGCCCAGACACAGCGCCCAGGGGAGTCATGCCCTCTGTCTCGGTCTCTGCCTCGCCCACGGTCCGCTCGATACATCCATATAAGAGCTTCCCCACCGCCCTGCCACGACGATGGATACTGAACCACATCGTGAACAAAACCCGCCGTGACTACTACTACTGATCCTCTCTGACTCTTTTGTCTGCGTTTTTTTTTTCCTCTCGCTTCAATCCCTCGTTCAATCTACTCTCAGGGAATCCTACTACTTGATCTCCGCTCTTTGCTTGCACTCTTGGCTTGCAGCGGCTACGACTACAACAACCACATATAGTTCTATACCAGAACTCATTTTTTCCAGCGGTCATACGCACGCGTGATTTTCCCTTTTTTGACCTCGAAAACACAACCACCGCACATATCACCATGCCCATCTCGTCACATTACCGCGTCGTTGAGCCTCACCCCTCGGTGCCACACAACAGCCGTCCGGCTCTGCACACATCACGAGGAGGCGCTGGCAATGTCATCAGCTTGAAGAACACGCGCACCACCGACTCACGCACCGCCATGGGTCCGCCCTCGTTGACTCGTCTCGACTCGCGCACCCACGGCGCCTTCACATCCGGTCGTGGCGGTGCCGGCAACGTCCACCACAGCTCGGAGCGCGCCATCTTCAGCTTCGACGAGGAGCTCGAGCGCGACTTGCGCCGCGAGAAGGAAATGGCACCCGTCTTCCACGTCGGCCGTGGCGGTGCCGGCAACATGATCTCTTCAGAAAACGACAGCTACAGCCTCACGCGCAAGCAGTCGTCCAGCACCACGTCCAGCACCGAGTCGGCCGCCGACTGGGCCAGGGAAAAGGCCCGTAAGGGCTGGGGCAAGATCAAGGGCATGGCCTAGACGGTCTGATATCACCCTTGCCACCATACCAACCAACCAACCAACAAACAAAACAAAAAAAAGACAAAAAAGCCTACATACAGTAACGAGACCATGAGACCAAGTCAACCCAAAAGTTCTTGCTTTTTTTTATCTATCGACCTTCATTTCGGCATGCTCGATCGTTCTTCGATCACCCACGGCGCAAATATTGAACTACGGAACGGAAATAGGGCGAGCCCCTGGAACAAAAAGTGCTTTTCAGCTGTTTTCCAGCGCACGCGATTCTCCAATCCGTTGAATTGCTCTCTCGATGCGTCGAGATCGATACCCCTTTCGCGATCGATGCCGTGGATTCTTCCTGGCATGGTTTCAGCATATTGAGTGAGCCGCAGGCCACTGGCGTTTTGCTCTTCGGCTGTCTATGCTCGTGCAGTGCACGGGAGACGCCATGGGAATTAGGAATAGGAAACAGCTTTTACCTTAGCTAGCTACATGATGTAATTTAGTCAGACAGACCTCATCGAGGCAATTAATACAACAAGAAGTAATCATCCCTCTACAACAAGCTTCTGCGTAGCACAGCCAAGTAAAGCTGTCGTCCTATTGTTTTCCCAAGTACATGTATATATTCTGCCGAAATCCCCACCCACCGCCTTCTTCCCCAGGAATTGATCGCATAGCCTTGGCAACCACAGGAACCGTGACGTCGCAGGGGTAGAAAAAAAAAAAAAAAAGGGAAAATCACAACATAGCCGCTTCCTTCGCCACATAGAAGGCTCTAGGCATGTTAGTTAGAGTACCTGCTTACTATGTATAGTCTACATCTATACATAGTAGTTTTAGAAAATAGACTATAGACTATGTTATAAGTGCTTTTTACTTTCTTTTTCTTTTTTGCCTTTTCTTTTTTTTTTTTTTTCTGGTCTCGTGATGTAAATGTGGCAGTGGCAGGGGCAGTGGCAATGTCGATTAGGTCGGGCGAAAAAAAAAAAATACTAGGAGAAAAAAGTAGTCTACTTCAAGCTGAATTATTAGTTAAGCCGAGTCGAGTGAGTCAAAAATTGAAAATCCAGACTACTACTAAACCGGTCCTTGACGACGCTAGATACTGTACTTACTTACTCTAGCCGTGCGCCGAAGGTAGCCGTGAAAAGAAAAAAAAAAAAAAAAAAAAAAAAAAGTTCAAATTTAATAATATCTGATAATCTGATCTAAGGCTGAGTAGTAGTTAGTAGTCCCACCGGTGAGGAAAAATAGGAAGAAAGAAGGAGAATTAATGAAAAATGAGTTTCGGTGAGCGGGACCGGGAGCGAGGGTAGGTAATAATTAATTAATTATAGTATCCATAAGGCGTAGTAGTGGGGTCTTTGGCTCTGTGGAGGAGGACGCGGGATAATAATAATTATAATAATTTGGGGGATGAAGTAAGCAAAGCAAAGTATGGTAGTTAAATAAAGAAATAGGGATAAGTAGTATAATAATTACTAAGAGATTTGAGGGTGTGTTTTTAGATAGATAACTAATACGTAGGTTATATGCATGTGCATGTATATGCACTCTGTCGGCCTACTATGTAGTAACTTCTGATCTAGGGACTATTATTATACAATAATCGTGCTTAACAAATAGCATCAAGAATGGAACTCTAGGTATAACCGTAAAGAAAACAGGAGGTGGATTTGAATTTGCAGTTTAACACTTCCGGATATACACTTGAATATCAGCATTACTATTACGATCTACTGCGCTCTAGTTATATATGCTACTGTCTTGATTACTTGATGTTACCAACAGACATGCTCGCGGATTTAATATTTTCTTCTAAGACATATACTGAGATTTCTTGCTACTGGCACGGGGACAATAATCTTAGTCGAATCATGTTTTCGGTAACTATAGATAGACCTGGGACATTAACTATTACCATTCGCCATCCTGACAGGACCTTCAAGGGTTACCATGTGCGCGCATTACTTCCCACATGATCCTGCTCTGGTCAAGAGAAGGATTCCACTCGTTGCTGGACGATTGGTGCTGCAAGATCTACCGCGGTCTTTGAAAGTATCCTGACGGTGAGCTTGTCGGGCATGACCTTTTTCAGCGCCAGCGAGTTGAATGTATGGGAATGTCCTCTTTGTCTTTGCATCTTAATGAAAGTTATGGAAAATAAGGAATCGGGTCATCTAATTATCAAAAGAGGCACGGGCATAGCTCCTGAAAGACTCTCTACATGACTGACCAGATCCAAAAGCAGCGCAGGTCTTGCTCAATATCGCAGTTGCAATGAGCTCCCCGTTACTCGAAGGTCTTGATTGTTGAAAATGTCTCCCCGATAGAGGCACCGATATACTAGCCGCAGGTCTAGATATGATGGTTATGGTCTCATACAGCGTCTTGGGGCGGAATGAGAGCTATGGTGAGAACTGGTGGAAACTGCTGGGTTACAAGTGACCGGATAATGGTCGACACTTGATAGAACGGCGTGATTGAGGCGATTCTCAAACAAATTGAAATGGACTCTGTACGCCAAACATCGACTCATGTTATACAAGATAAGTGCGCCTATTAAGCGCAAATCTATATCTGGCTCCAAGTAAATGCAGTACCACGTGTAGAAAATAAGAGTATGTTTGACTCTCATCAAGTCAACCACTATGTATGTCAGAAATCCAGTATAGATAGTCAACAGCTGATCCACGTGTATATAATCGACTGCAGCAAAGACATGATGTCACCCGTCGGCATTTCCCCCCGATCCCTATCTATACGGATTCTCACGCTTGTCGGAACGCCATCATCAGCTAAGATTACCAATCTACCACTTCTCACTCTAGCTTACTATTCTAGAACAGACCCTAAGTTGGCGGGGTTTTCCGGTATACATAGATCACGAATATCACCCACTATTAATTAACTTTCATCATTATTGCTTTGTCAGAAGAACAGTTGCTGAATAACCCAACATATACCTTTTCTGACAGCTGCAGCAGACAGGAGGTTTTGATCAACACCGCCTCAGTAAACTTTGTCTTTCTGATACTCTATATATCGATCAGCACCCAATGCCCTCTTCCAATCTCAACTTCCCCGCTTCCCCGCACACTGTCCAGGTCAGCATCATCGACAGCACGTCTAAAATCAATGCGCCTTCAGACCGATTGCTGCAACCGCGGATAGATGGATTCGATCGTCTCCTCGCTCCTGCGTTTTCGTTTCTCGTCGAGAACCAGCGCTCAGGTCGGAAAGTGCTGTTTGACCTGGGAGTGCGAAAAGATTGGGAGAACCTCGCCAAGCCGCTGTATGAGGGGATAAAGGACACTTTTAAGGTTGAGGTCGAGAAAGATGTTGCACAAATCCTGAGGGAGAATGGCGTGAAGTTGGAGGATGTGGAGGGGATTATCTGGAGGTGAGTAGCATCTGTATTGACCCTTTTGTTTACTCTGTAAATCTGCCCTAGATATCGGAATACAGTATCTCGTCTGTCAGACGTGAGTTCTTCTCTCGGATTAATTATTGACTCTTCCCAGTCACTGGCACTTCGACCACATCGGCGACCCATCCACCTTCCCAGGGTCGACATCCCTAATCGTCGGCCCAGGTATGCCGGCCGCGAAACTGCCTGGCTACCCCAAAGACCCCAACGGTGCAGTCCGCGAGAGCGATTTCGAGGGCCGTCAGCTCATCGAAATCACCCAGGACAAGTTCGACCTGAGGATCGGCGGCTTCGGTGCGTACGACTACTTCGGCGACGGATCATTCTACCTCCTCGACGTACCAGGCCATGCCGTAGGCCACATGTGCGGTCTTGCGCGGACTACCTCGTCCTCAGGCAAAGACACCTTCATCCTCATGGGCGCTGATACATGCCACCATGGCGGCCAGTTCAGACCTTCTGCCCATGTTCCATTACCGGATAGCATCATCCCTAATCCCTACTCCTCGCAATCGACGCCCTGCCCAGGCCACATCTTTGAGTACCTCCATCCACATCCTGAGCGATATCGCACAGAGCCCTTCTACCGCATTCGCGTGAATGAAGACGGGTCCAGCGTCGCGGACAATGTGGCCGCTGCGACGCAGAGTATCGCTCATCTGCAGGAGTTCGATGCTGCAGATGACGTGTTTATTGTACTCGCACACGACGCAAGTCTGCTGGGCGTGATAGATGTATATCCGAATACCGCGAATGAGTGGAAGGAGAAAGGATGGAAGGATAGGGGCAGGTGGAGGTTCCTGAGAAGTTGGGATATTGCGAGTGATGTTGGTGTGAATCGTAGTTGATGTCTTTGTCATGACGGTCACGGGGGAAATGTAGGAGACCTTTTGATTCCTATTTCATGGAGATATCTCCTTCACACGCGTGAGATAATTTTGCTTCTCAAGTAACTCTTTCTTTTTGTGTGGTCCCGTTCATGTTATAATAACGCGTATTTGCTTTGTTTCCTATTTAGGTAATATCAATATTCACTCGGGTGTATCTATCAGCTGTTATTTCAAAACTGATAGTTTTAGTGGCGTTGAAGACCACGAGAGATTCAACATTGTATGTCAGCGAAGAAAATTAGTATTAGAACCAGTTCCCGAGACATCACCTGTGTGAGACCAAGAAGCCTACTTAGCCATAACTTGGAGAACACTATTCTTGATACAAGTCTCCCCTACCAACATCAAGGGTCCATCTCGACTATTAGACTTAAGGCACTTCTCCCCCTGTAAGGAAGGCTAAGCCTACTCATTATTGACATATTTGCCTGATCTCTGCTCCCCTGACCGCAGACATATTCATCAATTATGCGTCACATGAAGATTCGGCCAACAACCAGTGAGCAATAAGGAATAAAACTGTCACACGAGCGGATAGATAAGCATATATTAGTGCCCGAGAGATGAAAATACCTTCCGTAATTAGAAAAACCTACAAGTTTATTTTGCCGCTGTTGGAGTTAATTAGTTAGTTAATACGGGGAAGCGCGTCTGGGGAGGATCTAGTTATCATGGGGACTACAGCACATGATGTTAGCAGTATAGGATACTCTCGAATATGAAACTGAGCTATATATAGACTATTCATTAGCCACATGGGCGTAGGGTACATGGTCCTTCAATTAAGACAAATATGGTTCAAGACCGCCGGACTCCATTCTTCCAATCGAGGCCAGGATTAAACTAGATAACAAGGGAGCCATTATGCAACCTTTCAATAGGGTATCTTCTTTTTTTTTGCCAGAAATAAAACAAAATGTGCCTGCCCTAAAAAACCGAAGAGAGAGTGTATGTACGAAAGAGAGCATTATAACGAAAAAAGGAAATATAAGACTTCCTTTTCACCCATCATATGTGGCCTGGACATGAACTGTCTTCATGATACCTAATGGAACGGCATCGCCCTCTTTCAGTGCGTCGGCATGAACGATAGCTTCCGTCTCACTATCCATGGGGTAGTAGCGGGAATTGCTGGCCTTGCTGCTGAGGGGTTGAATCTTGGAGTTCTTCCCGTAGCCGGCACCCCAGTGCGAAGCACCACCGGATCGCTGTCCAGACGAGTCGTTTCCGTTTCGGACGAATTTGACGAAACCAGGCAGTAGCGGAATGGCGCCAGAAAGAGTGACAGAGGTAACTTCAGCAATGCTATAGTTATATATATATATATCAGTATATATACCGTCATCATCTTAGCGCTATAAGATCACTTACGCCCATAGACCGACCGGCATGATTGCATAGGTGAAGTCTTCGGTTTGAGTGAGCAGAACACTGTACACTAGACGGATCACACTCGAGACGATGGACCTATTGACTGTCAGAAAGGTTAATCCAATCGATGAAGTAGGGCGATCCGTACAAGACACTAGTCCCGAAAATAATACTCAGAACAATTTTACTCTTCGTCGGTAACTGTAGCTGCATAATCACAGCCACCGGGAGCACCAACATAGACACGTCTGACAAGACGTTCAATACGGAACTCGCAATGAGGGAAGCGGAGGAAGAAGCGCAATGACCGGGCACAGATGGATCCCAAATCTTCTTACGCGGAATGCAGGTGAAGATGAAACTCAGCATGAGACCAAGATAGGTGGGAATGTTGAGCCACAGGATGACCTCGTGCATCCAGTATAGTGTTCCTTTCTTGCCGACGACGAAGATGCGTTTGATTTGGAGTAGCATGGCAACTTTGGCGCCCAGGATAGTGGGGCAGTAGACGACTTCGATGAGATTTGAGAACTACAGAAAAATCGTCAATATACGTCTCTGTACGGATCACGTTTTCTTTTGGCAATAGTCATCACTTACCTCGATGATGTGCATCACATGAGACTCTGGCACATTCCACATGTGTACACCTTGTCCCCAGGCCGTTGATTTGATCATCATCCCCGTCCATGAGATAAGCCCCATCACCGAGAGGATCAGAATCAACTCTTCCAGCTGCATCGCCCTCAGGATTCGAGCCTTGACAAACAAACGGAATATCACCGCAAATATCGACAAGCTTAGACAGACTGCGGCAGTGAGATACATCCACTTATTCAAATTCGGTGGATTGTCGAAGTTGGTAACATATCCCGGCGGGGGTTGCAACCCCGGGACCTTGTCCAAGTCGGTTGCAGTCATCGTGATCGCAAATTATGGAGTAGCAGCTGTATACGAGGCTCTATCAGACAGCGTTCATATCCAGCTGGCCACTGTTCGTCAAAAAAAGGTTCATGACAAAGCAGGAGGGCAGCAGCCAAGGTCGGTGGATGTTGTTACATATGTATCTCTATACTCCACCCGTTTTTTCGAGGCCCTTTCGTCCGACACCAGGGGGGGCTTCTATGATGCGACGCAGAGCTGATGGAAAACAGCCAGATGGGGAAAGCTCTCACACGGCAAGTGGCAACGCAACGGTGCTAAAGTTTAAAGATACCGTTATGGATACTAACTATATAGCAAGGTTTTACCGTCTGATCAGGCTCTCTTTAAGGGGCAAGTTGGTGGTCCTGTCATGCATAATTTAAATTCACTCTGCCGTGTTCCTCGTGGAGACCATCCACTGCATGAAACATGGCACGACGGGCAGAGTCCACTTTCCAGAAAAGCCGGCACGCCGCTTCTCCAGCAAGCGTCCATTAGCGCCGTTGCTGAAGGTTACAGACCCCTGAAGAACAAGGTATATAGCAGATGATCCAGCCCGTCGGTCAAGTTGAAGAAAGGTTAATTGAGCTTAACATGGAGACTAGGATAACGACCAGTCTCGGTAGTCAAGTCTCCCGGCATCTAGTAGTCTTCCCGTTTGCGCCTAGCCAGCTGGCGAGTTATACGAACCAGCTCCAGAGCAAATTGCGAGTTATACGAGAGGAGGAGTCGATTAAGCGACGCGGCGTCCGGGAGCCTTTCCGCAGTGGGTATTTAGTCGCTGGGGACCGAGTGTTTCCCGGGTCCATCGAATTACGCTTTATACCAAGCGCCAACACGGTATACCGGTCAGAAAGTAGTGGCGAGCCCGACGACAAAACACTTTCCGAGCAGACTGGATGGTATCTAGATACCTGGTCGAGGAGAAGACTTAGCAGGTCAGAAAAGGCCTCACTACCATTTCCCGTCCTCAGTATCTATTTAGATGGTTCTTCTTCTCGGAAAGTGATATGGCTGGAGAAGGATCGAGAATAGTTCCCTAGGTAAATACGGAGTACGTATTCCCCGCTGGAAGACGGACCCGTCCAGTAACTAACTATCTATCTATCTATCTAGTAGTTATACATACTCATCGAGGTTCTTCCAACTTGCCAAGTCTCTCCTTGCCACCAGCCAACATTATTATTGTTATATCATGGGGTAGTTATCCGGGGTAGACATACATACAATGTTCCTCGTCCTGTCCGGCTGTCAGCTAATTACACCATAAATTGTTATGCTACCTATCAGATAACTCTATAACCTGGACCTGTGGGCATTGACTTCTCGGCTGTGGCCCTTCCCGTGGTACTGCTTCAGCCATAACTACCGCCTGTGGGACTTAGCGAGGGAACCGTTTGAGACAAGCACCAGTATTAATGGGTACGTTCCCACCCTGTCGCGTTATGGGCAAAGCTGCTAGCCTACAGGTCCACAATCTATTCGAGGTAATAATTGAGTTGTGCCAGTAGTAGTATCTACTTCGAAAGGCGAATAATACGGAGTACGGAGTAATAATAATAATAATAATGAGTGCATGATAGAACTGGGTCCTTCTTCCCTGTCGTCGCTGTCAAGAGGACCCAGAAATTGGGAGCTGGAACAGGCTCCCGCTGTCATCTATGAGATCCGTTGATCTACTGCGTACTCTGCAGCAAAAAGCGAAAAGTTTACTAGATATTAGATGGCTCATCTAGTCCCTATTAGGAATGTGTGGGAGACTGCCAGGTGCCCGGGCGGCCCCAGTAGCCGAGCGATCTTAGGTGGAACTTCTTAGGTACAGTGTACACTTTGGGTATCTGCTCGGCAAGATTCTATTTTCAATTCAGATCAGCAGAAACTTCCGCAAAGATGGACGCCACTATTGAATTGTGCGTGTCTTGTGGAATGCTTAGCACTGGCATAATCGTTATACAATGCCATATACATAGTTAACTAGTTTGACTATTGCCTCAATCAATCTTACTACTACACAAATATATGTATGTACTGTAGATACATGTATCTGCATGAAGCGTACAGGACCCGTGTTTGCAGCAAATTCCTGCAGAATTACGAGGGTGAAACCGTTTAAACTTCAGCAGCCTGAGAATGGAGCCGTAGGAGTCGTCACCCTTCACGAGGCTATTGCCTCATAGTCTGGTTCAGGGGTTCAATTCGCAATGATGGAGGTTGAAATAATAGCAAACTTGGTAGTTAGTGCGGTACTCAAAATCTTAACAGGGCGATATTATTATGATAAGGGTATGTATGATTCGACGTGATATGCGATATGCCTGCCTGTTCGTATTTAGAGTAGAGAACCACGGAAAGATCTAGGGCCCTTTCCGCTCGGGTGTTAACTTTCATGAGTCTAGAACAGCCGAATATGACTAGTTTATTAGATCGTAAACAACAACACTCGGTGTCGAAGATCATACCATAGACAGGGGCAACATCGCTTGAGTATTGTGGCCACAGTCACAGTGCCACACCGCATCGTGAAGAGGCTGAAGGGCTGAAGGGCTGAGTTCGACTTCCCCCCTCCCCTAAAAAAAAGGTTATAAACCACAAAGCGTCGCGAGTCTTGACCTAAAATGGGAAAGTGAAATCGACTCGAACGTCGCACGTATTTGCTATCTAGTTTTTCATTGTATGTGTTCATTTTCTGAAGAAATATATTGGTGAAACAGAAGTATTCAAGGGGTATCAAAAGCCTGATGATTGCCGCTCCCATGCAACCCTCCCCGCCGCCCTCTGTCCATGTCGTGTCTCTTGGGTTCATGGCTTTGACAGTCCATATTGGCCCTCATGAAGGAGGACTACGGATCTGAGAGCTTAATCCTAAACAGTAGTCGGTCAAGCCGGACCTACATTAAGCGAATTTCCTGTGGATCACCTCAGGATCCTCGTGCCATTCATCCGCGCTGACCCACATCTAGATAAAAGATATATTAGCAGACGCCCTCGAAGGTGACTTGCGAGGTACACGATATAGGGGCTTATCTTACCTTTCTGAATGTATTCAATCCCGCCAGGATACCTCCTCCAATCCAGGTAGTGTACTTTCGTTCTGCAGGTGCAGAAATTCTGATCTTCATGTCCTCGACGGCGAGTCTCTTGATTTCGCGCATCAGACGATCTGGGAAATTCTTACATAGAGTCGAACCGCCAGAGAGGACGATATTCAGGTACAGCGACTTGCGGAGATCCAAGTCCGTGCGGGCAATAGCATCCTGCACAATCTGGTGGACACCGGGATACTCGAGGCCAATGATCTCTGGGTCGAAGAGGATCTCAGGAGCGCGATAACGTTCTTGGCCAATCTATAATGGTATTAGCTCTGGCCACTCTCCCTTTACTAAGAAAAGCCCATCTTCCCAAAACGTACCTTGATTTTGTGGCCGTCGGGAAGAACATAATCTACCGTCTTAGATTCCGATTTGTGGTAGCTGTTCATCCAGTCTTTCTCCTCCCGCTTTGGATCCAATGACACGTAGCACACCTTCTCCTTGATCTGCCGCACGACCTCCTTCTCTGCGCTTGTGTGCAGGACGTGGCCGTTCTTCCGCAGCAGCAGTTGCATCTGCTCAGTCACGTCTCGACCTGCCACGTCTATTCGCCGTATACTGTTTGGTACGGCGAAACCCTCGTACACCGGCACTGCATGCGAGACTCCGTCTCCTGAGTCCAAAACGACGCCCGTTGTCCGCCCAGAAGCGTACAGAGACAGCACGGCTTGGATCGACGTGTATAAGGCGGGGATATTGAATGTTTCGAACATAATCTGGGCGGCGATGTCGCGGTTCTTGCGGGGGTTCAACGGCGGCTCGGTCAGGAGAACCGGATGCTCTTCGGGAAGCGTCTTCAATTCGCTCTCGTAAACATGATGCCATATTTTTTCCATATCATCCCAGTCCGTAACAATTCCATGCTCCAACGGATATCGAATCTTCAAGAGACCCCGTAGTTCTTGCGCCCGCTGTCCGATAAACACGTCTCCTTCCAGACCACCCGCCATCACGCGCGGGTGTTTCGGTCGCCCGACAAAGGAGGGGAAGTAACATGACGGGATTTCTTCTCCTGCGAAGCCTGCGCGTATCGTACCGCTCCCGTTGTCTATGACAATCGGAACATTGTGAAGAGTGGCTTCCGCCATAGCGACAAGATCGAAGGATAGATCGGGGGTGTTTGCGATTGGGACAGGGTGGCAGAGGCGGCAAACGCGTGGGGTGAGATGCCGCCGCGCCTTTGCTCCAGTAGACAGAAGACAGAGAAGAATCAAGGCCCGCTAACAATCTAGATATGGCATCGACATCCAGAAGGGACGCGTTATGGTGGCGGGGGATTCAATTATTCGACGTCGGGGGTTCAGTCCGCGGACAAAGTCGCTCCAGGAGTTGTCCCAACTTTCCGTGCCGTCAACAAGGAGCTTGGGCCAACACGGAGACCCGACAGCCACGCGGAACATCTAGTTAGTTATTACTTCTTGATCATCTATGTTCTCTCTATCTGTGGATGCAATTGCTTTCAGCTCAATCCTGTGATTGAAAGATTGTGATCGAGCATTTTCCTAAGCATTAGATACATGCAGTCCCTACTGGTCGAAATAAACACGCATTGTCCATCAACCATTCCCTTCCAGGCTAAAAAAGCAGTAAACCTTGGAATACCACCTGGTAGAGCGCCAAAACACCAGAAGACTCCTCCAATTCACTTTTTGTTTTCATTTTTTATTTTGCTCTTAATCAAACCGAACTGAGAAATATGCCGAAGATTGCATTGTTGAAGTCCAAAGCCTGGGCTTAATCGCGCGGGTTCAATCGCAAGATGTTACTGGTGTGGTCCAGGGTTGCATATCAGGTTACGGAGTCACTGGAAGGTCTGCTGGTTCAAAGACAGATGTTAATCGTGACCATGGGGTGCTCCTCAGCATCATACAGCTGGCGGCGACGGGTGCTGTTACGGCGCTCCTGGCGGGCGGGAACACAGTCCGAGCATTGGCAGTCAGTATCCTGAGGGGTTCCTGGGTTATTTTGAGCTGGACGAGCCCGGGCTGGTGCTGCTGAGACAGGCACATTGATGTTCACCGTGTAGCCACCTCCACGGGAAGGGTAAGTAACAGGGGGACGTGGATAGAAACCCTTCAATCAACAAAACCCATCTCGTCAGCCATTACCTCCGCCAGTGCGTTTTTGGTTCTTGCCTCCTTCGCGCTGCGCGGCCAGTTATGCAAATAGTAGCGGAGATCCTCCGCCCTCTGAACAGCATCGTCAACATCCCTAACAAGACGTCAGTGCTGTAACCACCCATATTTTCACAAAGGGACTGACACATACTGCAAATGACAAGCAGCAACGTATCCATTTTTCTGGAGCTGTTGAGCCAGCTCTTCCTGGTGATTGTCCTGAAGACTAGGATTGGGCACAACTACAATGGGAACAGAAATACGAATTGCTTCCAAAATAGTGCCAGTGCCTGGAGAGACTGATGTCAACAATATTTATGCATCTGGAGTCTGGGGATCAGACCTGCATGACTGAGGATCATTCCTTCCTCACGACCTTCTTCTTCATTCGGCTTGGTCAGATGGATGATTTTTTCGAGACCCTCCTTCTTGAAATCAAAACCGTTGATCTCCAGGCCATGGCGTCCAGAGCTCCGAGGAGGATGGTCTTGGAGAAACTTGTCAAGGATGGGACGTCCTCCTTTACCATACTGGATAAGCAGGTTGGTGTAATCGAACCTTTCCAGCTGGACCAGAAAAGAGTCCTCTAAGACTTTGTGCAGCAGCGCGTCAAAGTCAGCAGTAGCGCCGATAGTGACGAAGCACAGCTTCTTGGGCGAAGCGCGAGTCCCCATCCTTCAGGATTTCCAGATTAGGAAGTACCTGGTCCGGGCTGTCTACTTCAGTTCAGCTCAACCACGACAGGATAAAAATGCAGCAATCCAAAAGAGTCAGTCAAGAAGCACACTTGTGAGCAAAAAGAACACCGCCAAGTGTCTGGAGAAGTGAAGCAGGACAACTGACAGCTCAACAAAGCTCGCGGGGTGTTCTTTCTGGGGGGACCGGAGCGACGTTTTCCCGATCCCGTTAGCGCATCCGTGCCGACGGGCGATCTCCGACAAAACATCCGGCGAGCGCAGGCAAAGAGACAGGAAAAAAGGCCTGTCGTTGTTCTCTCTCATCAGCAACAATGGCCACTGCAGCGAGGTCCATGAGCCGGCAGGCTCTGTTCCTCGCCAGGCGAGGGCCTGTTCGACAGAACACGGCATTTCAGAACCCAGTCGCGGCACAGTCTCGCTTCTTTTCAGCTTCGCCCTACAACTACCTGCCGGAAGACCCTCCAGTGCCTCCTCCTCCCAGGGACCCGAGGCCGGAGGATATGGAGCCTCTGCCTGAGTACTCTCCGGAACATCTCAGCAAGGAAGAGCGCTCGATGTATGAAATGATGGGGCCGGAAGACCGACAACTTTTCGATGCCGAGAACCGCAAATTTGTGGAGGAGTACAACGATCCCGCTAAACGAGCAGCCATGTTTGCGGAGATCGACAGAGGCGTCAACCAGATTGAAAGAGAGCAGCCCATGAAATTCGAGGATATCCGTGAAAAACAACGTGGTTTCTGGGCGGAAGAGGAAGACGACGAGTTTGGTATTGTAGAGGATGGTGACGAGGAATTCAACGACGATGAGATCACATCAATGGCACATGCAGAGTTGGAGTTGCACCGTGAAATCAGAGAATATGCAAGAATTGCAGCGTGGGATATGCCGCTGCTGAGCAGTACGGCCCTCCGTCTCATCTTCATTCACTGAGCGGACCGCTAATTTTTTTGTACTACAGAATTCGCAGAGCCATTCGTTTTACCCTCCAAAGAGCAACTTCTCCGCTTCCGATACACCACCTACATGGGTGAGCAGCACCCGGCTGAGCCCAAGGTAGTTGTGGAGCTCAGCTCGAAGGACCTGGTTCCCAAGCATCTTAGCGAAAAACAGCGCCAGACATTCCTCAAACTCGTCGGACCCCGTTACAACCCAGAAACAGACATCGTTCGCATGTCCTGTGAAAAGTTCCCCCACCGCGCTCAGAACAAGCGATACCTGGGCGACCTAGTCAACTCGCTGATCAAAGAGGCTAAAGAGGGTGACTCTTTCGAGGATATTCCCCTTGACCTACGGCATCACAAGCCCAAGCCTAAGATCTACTTCCCCGAATCCTGGAAGTTGACAGAGGAGAGAAAGAAGCAGCTGGCCGCTACACGGAATCAGCGACAAATCGCCGAGCAAGAACGGCCGCTTATCGTAGACGGCAACGATGTGGTTGCACTTGCCGTCAAGACACTACCTGCCTTGAACACGGCATTGAACTTGAAGGCCGCTGAGGAGCGGGAGCGCGTTGCCGTCAAGGTCAGCGCTAAGGCACAGAAGAAGGGAGCGCAAAAGCTGCGGAGGTAGAGCAACACTACGTGATAACGCTAATGGGACAAGCAATCTAGACGGTTGGAGCAGCGTCTTTCTATCATGTATTCTAGACAGTTCTGATCTCCAATGTACCATAACTTTCCAATCTGTTATTTTAAGATCGAGAACCACATGGCTGACAGGTTGAGGTTCCGCACGTGGCCTGATATATCCAGAAGCATAGCCGATTACGAAATAGGACCGAGTAAAACTTAACACTTTGGTCTGCCATTGACTATTTATCACAGGAAAAGGAAAGAAAAGGGGGCCAATCTTGAAAGAGAAACCAGTTCAGAAACGTACAAAAAAACCATCTCAGGTGGGAAATCCAGGGCTCAATTTGAGGTTTCCATTTGGGGGATAAATTGAAAAACAAGAGGGCTCTTTATAGGACATAGCCATCGGTGTGCTTTATGATATACACCTCATCCAGAAGGCGAAGACCAACTAGCATCGGTGAGAGGATTCCGACTGCGAATATTCCAGTGCCAGGACACAAAAGGGGGAGGACAAATACAGTGTGTCTCACGTTATGTGTGTGGATGGGGTGTTGATAATAATAAAACAGAAGACAGGGGGGCGGAAGAAGAAAATCTGTTCCATCATCTCGAACCAGGGGTGGGGTGCAGATAATTTCTTTCCCATCATACCCAAACCGTGAATGATCCATGTGTTTGGTATATTTAACCCTGGGTAGGTAGGGGAAGGAAGGAGGATAACAGAAAAGGTTGTGGGAGAGAGATTCGTCGTCTCAACAGCGCGTAACTACCGGGCAGACCTGGAGTTGTTCCCACTTTCAATCTTTCAAAACATCGTTCTTCGAACTTTACTTCATTCATTCATCATCGTCATCCTCCAGACCGAGGCCGAACAAGTCATCCGCGAGAGGATCCATGGGGGCCTTACCCTTACCCTTCTTGTAGTTGGGTTTCGGGAGGGGACTCATCGAGTGGGCTATGTTGTGGTTGTTCTTCTTCCCCTCGCCGATAGCCCCAAGAGGGTTTGCGGAAGTCAAGGAATCTGAATGGCAAGAGGGAGAGTCAGTGGAAGGTGATCCAACACGAGAGGAACTAGCAGACGAAACACGATGACCCGGTCCAGAGAGAGAAAGATAAGTAGTGCTCTGAGAGCTGCTCTTGGAGTCAGGAGAGGCAGCACGGGAAATCCTCGCATTGCCACCACTATTGTTCTTTCCCCTGAAGGATGGGGTTTCCACGATGACCTGGTTCTTGGCTGGAGCCTCCGCAGGGACACGAGGCTGGTACAGACGACGAGACTTCACGGGCTTCTTGGACCGCATCTGAGTAGGAGAGCCGAAATTGGCATGAATAGCGGTCGGCGCGTGGCTGCCTCCAGGTCCTGACATGAGAGACTGCATGCTGCGGACAAACTCGTGGTGATGAACTAGCTCTGCATCCTCAGAGCTGCTCTTCTCTCCATCACTTGAGTTTCTGCGGATCGGGTCAAGCGTGGGATAGCCGGGAAGTGGATCGAAGGAAAGGAGATCAATCTTCTTGGTGGATGGATCATGCATACCGGGAATATTTTTCGGTGCGTGCTTCTGAGAATGGATGCCATCACCCATGTAGGGGGTCTCGCGGCCAGTGTGATTCTGTGCCCTCATGGCGGCTGGTGCCTGTGGGATCGAAGGCTGATTGACTGTCTTGTGTCTCGACTGGTTGTCTGGTCCAGGAATATCATCACCGGCGGTGATTCCCAGTCTAAGGTGATACGGAAGCGTCCTGGTCGTTGAGTTGAGACCACGGTCCTGGGCAGAGGTGACCTGGTGACGTCCGTGGTGTCCATTTGGCAAAAGGCTTGGGATGCCGTGCTTCTCACGATACCAGCGAGGTATGTCGCGGAGACCCAGTTTTTCGAGAGTGGGAAGATCCTTAGGCATTTCATGCTTGTAGAGACATCCTACAATACATGATCAGTGCGCTGTTCTAGGCTTCTTCAAATGATACCTACTGACCTTGCTGCTGATAGTCACACTCGCCGTGACGGATCCAGTAGGAACAGAACTCCTTCTTGGGATTATGGGTCACGTTGCCATCACGTCTTCCGCTATTCTATATAGATTGTCAGTAATCTTTTACTGTGTCTTCTCGAGAAAGCTATATATCCTACCGATCTAGCACCTCCATGTCCAGCAGTGTTTGCTGGTCCCCATGGGCCAACTGCAGGACTAGGGATAATCCAGTTTTGAGGCAAATTCTGCTGGAGCATTGTCTGGAGGGCAAGACGCTGACTCGGGGTGAGGTTTTCGTCAGAAGCCACTCTCATGATCGAAGTCTGAAGGTTCACATCTTGAAGGAACTGGTTAGGTGGCCCAGGAGTTGGGACACGCGGGTTGATCAGAGGAACACCCTCAACAACATAGAACTGCGCGCGAGGAGGGATAGATCCCAAGCTCGTCATTCCTTGAGTTTCACTTGGTGCGAGGACTCGTGGGACACCACGGATCGAGATCTGCGCAGGAAGCTCGTCGACCGCGATCATGGGTGTCATTGTACCGTTCGGACGAGAAATGAAGAACTGCGGGCGCAGCGGAGAAGCCATCTTGACTCAGAGTGATGATAATGAAGAAAGACGCGTCTATCTTGTGAAGAAATGTATCCTCTAGCTATAATGAGGTGGGAAGATGCTAGACAGGTAAATCTGATATGAGAAAGTAAGATAGGAAAAACAGAGGGTAGAAGAACAAGTTGCTTGAAGGAAGGTGATGAGGAAACAGAATAACTTATGAATGGGGGGCAGGCAGAATATTATTGAAAACAAGTGATTGTGTGTCAGTGAAGGAGAGCTCTGCTTTGCTCAAAGAAATCTCCAGATGTGTTTCTCAGACAGACACGCTCAAAGAAACCAGCCACCAGTGAATTAACTGTCAGGCAAACACCACCACACCAGACAAGGCTAATAAGCATGTGACCAAAGTTTTATAGCTATGAGAGACCAAATATGATAGAGAATCTCCAATAGAAATGTACTTTCATTTAAAAAGAATACCAAGATAAAATGCCCTTGTGTGCTGAATAGAAACTGGATGGCAACACCCACTGGAGTGATAAAAGCTGGGTGGGATCCTGCCAGGGTAACTAGGGGAAGACGCAAGATGGAACTTTCCATCAGAGTCCTGGGAGTCCGCCTTTATGCATTGTGAGCCATCTGTGTTTGTCAAAAAAGAATTTAAAAAAGGCCAGTCATTCACTCCAGATGTGGTTTGCCCCGGCAGATGGGTCGTGGTTGTCGGTACAACCAACTGAATTTGCGTGTCGGATGGCTGCATATAGCGCTTCAGATTTGCCATTTTTGCTTCATATTGAGAGTTTCAGCCTAAGAGGAAGACTAATCAGTGTCCTATACAATTACCCGTGAACCATTGAACTGTATGCTTGATTATATTACCTTGAATCTACGAGAAAGGACGGGCAAAACTGTACACTCGTCGATTTCGGTAATGGCTGCACTCCGTACACCTGCGTCGATGCTCTTAAATCCTTCACGAACAAATTCCGGGGAGAGGTCGACGTCAGTACCTTACTTGCTTTGGGATTAAGTGAGCACTTTCTGATTGCCGGCTAGATGCTATTATCTGCGCTATACTCCGATAGACCTTGATAGGGCTGATTGCTTGGCAGTAAAGGAGAAGCCTTGAGGCTTGTGGCGTCGGGCCTATGATCACCAGGAAACTAGCTTAAACCATTCACATTATCTAGGTCCAAATCCTTATGCGGTTCAGGTCCTTTGGCCAGGAAAGATGATTCTTTCCCCATTTTTTTGTTCTAGAAGGCTGAGCAACCATGTGGGCTCTCCATAGTGATGAGCTTGGATTCTTCTTTTTCTGTTATGAATAATAGAAAGCCAAACGGTATGTGACAATAAGCCATTTATCTTTTAAATAATGCCTAGTGACAAGCCTTCCTCCGAGATAGCAAGAGATATCTGTAATTGAACGACGTTCTAGTCGTAACCCATCGCTCTCGGACAGGAATCCTCAATTCTCTCAAGCTAATTGAATACTCACACCGGCAAGAGGCATTTGACTGTATATGCCTAACTACTTTAGTAGATCAATGCTTCTTCATGGGGAGATAAAAGCATAGTGGAAAGGTCCTTTAACACCGAACATTACAATCCGGATACGTGAAGAGTATTTTCTACAGAGACTGAAATGTGTTCTGATAAGTGGGTAGTGCGTTTCCATTAGATATTATTCCTAAATATTTTCACATGAGGAACAACCGGAAGCATTGAGAGCCCTTTACAGAGAAAGACCGGTGAGACCCTCGGAGAGACCGGTGAGAAGGCCGTCAAGAAGCTGCTTGACAAGGGCAAGCAGCTGGTTAACAACGACTTCAAGAGACGCGAGAAGTCCACCCAAGCTGCCGACGAGAGGTCCAAGGAAAGACAGAGTAGCAGGGAGACCAAGACTGGAGATAACGTTGTCCAGAGTGCCGCTAACCTCAAGCAGGAGGTTGGTCACCAGCGGGGCGAGGTCAATGTCAAGGTCAACGGTCTGACGAGTAGCAATGGTCGAGTTCTTGAGGGCCATGGCGTGCTTGTGGATGCCCTGGACCTGGGAGGTAGCCTGGACAACGGCAGAGTTGATAGCTGCAAGCTCGGCGGTGATAGCCTTGCCGGCGGCCTGCTGCTCCTCAAGGGGAGAGGACTGGGAGACACCAGCAGCGGTGGAGTCTGGTATTATGGTTAGATCAGTCGATTATCTTCTCATAAGGTACAGGTAGATACTCACTGATCTTGGCAGTGTGCTCCTGGACGGTAGAGAACAGGGTAGAGATGACAGCCGTGGGGTCAGTGGCCTCGACAGGCTTGGAGATAGAGCTGAGGGCGGTAGGAGCCGCGGAAACAGCAGAGAAGACCGCGAAGGTCGGGACCAGCAGACTGAGGAACTTCATCTTGAAGGGTTTGAAAGTTGGAGTTTAAAGATAGACTAAGGTGAGTGTAGTGATTGGAACGAACGTGGGATGGATTCGAGACGGGCCTTGAGCTCAGCGGTCCTCAAGGGAACGGCCAGCTCGATAGATCTTATATACTCTACGAGATCCCATGGCCCATGCTCGACCGGCTGACACGACTACTGGTAACTCATCCAAGCCGTCTTTCGCGTCATTGTCCCGTTCTTTGTCCCGTTCTCCTGTTTAAGCCCGCCGTACTCCGTAGAAGGGATTTAGGCGGCGGCAAACATCACGGCATGTACTACTATAGAACAGGGGCCACTGGTAAGTTAATTTCCAAGGATTAGTGAAACGAAAGCGCTGACTGGCCCATGTCGATCTCTGCTTAGTCCCGTAGGATCTGATATAATACTTTATCTAGCCTGGTGCAAGATCCTATGTTCGCGTAAAGGGAAATTATCTGCGGAAATCCCAGGAAGTGATCGGCGCTTGATACGGAGTAATGCCTGCAACCTCCCCGAGCTGAAAGCACCTCGAGGTGCGTGCATGACGGCGATCACAATCGCAGGAGTTTTTTTTTCTCGTTTAAGGTAGAAAAGACGTTGAGGATTATGACTCCAAGTCATCTGTTCATTGGTTGTCGTCTACTTGATGTCGCCGTGTACCATTGCCGGTTATTGAGTTGAAATGACATTCGGTTCCCTCGGCAAGTATCCCGGCCGTCTCTCCACATAAATCAAAACTAGAGGAATTGTGCAGGATATCATTAATAGTAAAGGGGTCTGAGAGCGAGAAACAACCCATCAGTTAATATTATCCCCATGCTCTGTGGATAGACAGGTCCGGAGACTAGACAGCTGGCGGATTAAGGTTAAAGACCCGCGTTCGTTTATTGCTAAGTATTATTGGCAGCTTGATAAGAAGAGAGGTACAGTATAAATAAAACAAAGCAGGAATACGTACCAGGACCCATTCAAAGATTGGCCACTTGCGGGTCGTTAAGACAACGACAGAAAGTATTCTCTATAGATAAGGTTACTATTATGGGAATGACTTATCTTCTGAAAGTGCCTGGAATTGGATAATGCTCTAATGATGCAGATGTTTGCTTCCAGTAGGTACCATTCTGACGCTCCCCAAGGCAATAATGGCTTGCAAAACCTAGATAATGATAAGAATATTGTTCTGGTCAGTATGGTTTTTATCTTTCATCCTTGACCCCGTCGCATATGCAGGTCAGCGCCATAACTGCCGCATAGACTATCCGACCATTCTTTACGCTTGCCGTAATGAAGGAGCAGACAATACTGCACAATCGAGTCGTCAAATCGGCCAACACCGGCGCCAGAGCTGCTCCCAGGGCTCTCAACCGACAGGCTGGCTCACTCTTCCGAGCAATCAGGGCCGGCTGCTAGTTAGCCCATGGAAGACAATCTGCGTGATCTGTTCTTGCCTTCAGCAACCCCTCAGGACAATGGCCTCTTCCCTGTGTTTTCATCGAGTGCACTGGAAAAATCTTCGGCTCACAGATCATGAACCCTGTACTCCCACTGTATTTTGATGACCATTGTTGAGATCATTCGAATACCGTCCCCTTTTCAATCTAGGGAAATTAGCGTCTACTAAGTATGATTCTCAAGGCATTTTTCTCATGTCGGGGATGATTCGAGAATCAGTCTTATGCAGAGTCCCATGGCCGTGGTACGCTGGCAGGGGCCGACCCATGTTGTCATGATAATTGCGTTTCTTCGAATATTCCTTCCCCTTTTCGTGGGAATCTCCTTTCTGGTGATCTTGCCTTTTGTCGTGGGCCACTTCCTTGTTTACCCCCAGCTCCCGGGATGTCTGGGCCTCTTCCATGTTCACTTGTTTAGTGTTTGGTTACGCAGGTGCCTTTCCCATGCCTCTATCGCAATCTTGTTACTCCATACTCTGTTTGGTTATCCATCACCAAATCGTCTGAGCTTCCTGCGAGGCGTGCCCGGTGTGTATTGTCCCTGTGCATCGTTCTCCGACAGCTTCTGTTAGATGCTGTTACGTTTCTAAGAGTCTATGATTACTTTCTACTCTGGGCTTCTTGCAATGAGCGGTGGGTGCTCATGTGTGTGCTGTCTTATGTCTTTCCATCTCTACGATATATATAGTCGCGAGGGATTGTCTCTTGGCCGAGGACGACGCAGGCATCATCTGGCGATTATCATTATCATATGATGATATATGCTATCACATTCAAAACGTTGATAGGACTGTAGACGAAATCCATTGAATACGTTGGGTGTGCCCGTAAGAGAGAACGTGAATTGGGCATTCCTACACATCCGCGGGACTGAAGCCTCACAACTCACCAAAACACGTACACACACTCAACCAACCAGTGTATCGAATAATATGACGGTGAGAAAAAAAAAAGATCAAAAAAAGATATTGGGCCCGAGCCGCGGATCGAACGCGGGACCTCGCGCAATATAGCTAAGCAAAGGGTTGACCCTAAGCGCGAATCATACCACTAGACCACCCGGGCTTCAATGAAAGAAAGTTTTCTTAGTTGGATATATGAAGCTATCAGGTATACCGGACGGAATGTATACTCCTTAAAATATCGTAGTACTCGTCGAGAGGTTAGGTCTTAGAAAAAACATTATAGTAACGTGAAATTGATTTATGTGTGATTTGTACTACAGGTACCGAGATAAATGGTAAACTATATCTGAACGGCTATATCTCATCGATGCATAGTTCGACATACTTGCAGTCTAACTTGTCGAACGTTGAACGGTACGAACTCGACGGGCTATTTTATACAGCGCACAGCTAATCACCTGCCTGCTCGCATTCCAGCGTCTCTAAGAAGTTGACCTCGTATTTAACATCTGACCCGATAAAGAAGCTCGAGCCTTGTAATCTAGTGACTTGTATAGTGTGTTGAACACAGCTGTAACTGACGATATAATAGATTCCCCTGTGCGCCAAGAAAACTTCGTGCACAGCCAGAGAATCTCGAGAAAACACACTCCATATGATATATAAGTAGATCTTATCTTAAACCAATGCCTCGTAACCATTCTCTGGAGGGGCCGTGATCTTGTTCATTTCTGGGCGTAACCCGGGCAAGCAATAGGCCTCTGAGAGCTAAAACCGGACAAGTCAAAAATCAGCCACAAAGCCTTGCTGGGGGTCTAAGGAAGAGCATTACATTTACTACCACTGAAAATGTCTTTGCAATTGGAGAATATAGACTAATGCGTTATCCAGAGGAATATTCAGCCCCGATAGACGGATCAGGGGTCTATAAGATGTTTGCGCATACTATGACCACAGCAAATCATCGGGCTGGATGTGGAATCTCATCTCCCCTCGGTTTCCTTCATATGTTAAGCTACTCTCATTTGGACCGACAATCAGACGAAGCAGGTAGGAATCGTCGAATCTAGAACCCCATTCGTCTCGGCGAAGAAGCTCTCCTTATATCTAAGATGCCAGAATGGCAGATCGTTGCGCATTATATATTTTTCTTTCTCCCTTCCTCGCCGCTTGACCCACGGAGAGACGGATCGTCTCCGTCGTCGTCGCATATGGTATAGTCCTGTATAATATAAATACATTTTTCTGTCGAAACCAAAGACCATGGAAGTAAACATGGAAGCTGCGCATATACCAGGGGAATACCTTCATCGTTTGACTGCCAGAAGCCACCGAAATCTAGAGTACAGCCTATTCAAGTACAGAGAGCCTGAGAACTGCCTCCACTGGTATATACCCCAACATAGTAGTACTCCGTACCCCGCATGCAGAACGTCTCCTCCGACGTACATCTCGATCCAAGACGTCAATCATGGTGATGTGGCGTACAGAAACCACCGAGGAAGAAGTTAGAACAGCTTAGTCGCGCCTGACGTCAGATGTAACACATCGCGGGCGCATGACCAACTTTAGTAGCATTTATTAGTTATTTACACTGCATCCCCAGCTCATCTTAACTTTCATCTATCTATCTGATAACCGAACTAACTTCCTTCTCAGCCCTCTTCTTCCCACAACCCCCGGCATAGAACCAACCAGTCGGACTCCTCGCTAACACATCATAGCACTACTAACCCACCCCTCACCGATCGATTACAGCTCCCTTTCAAAATCCACCACTACGAGCTGCAAAACATCGAAAGCCCGGGTGGTCTAGTGGTATGATTCGCGCTTAGGGTCAACCCTTTGCTTTGCTATATTGCGCGAGGTCCCGCGTTCGATCCGCGGCTCGGGCCCTTTCATTTCTTTTTTATGCCTTTTTCTTTCCTGCACATTGTGTAGTTCTTGTCTTTTCTTTTCTTTTTTTTATATCTCTCCTTGAGAATGTCGATTTAGGTATGATTTTTTTTTCGTAAGTGACATCGTGCATGCACGTGGCTGTAAGATTTTTAAATTAAGGTTAAGGCTTATGTATGTACCTTAGGTAGGTAGTTAAACGGTGATCGGCCGGGATCTACTGCAGTCAGCTGCATGCTTTTCAACGGAACTATGTACGAGTAAACGATGTTGTTGTCTTTATTATCTCCGTCCCTAGACTCTGGGTGGATTTGCAGCTGGCTGTGTCTCGGCGTATGCTTAAAGCCAGTGAAGTCTGGCAAGAAAACCGACAAGAAAAAGAGAGAGAGAGAGAGATCATTAGTCAGTAGATAACTAGAAAGAGAGTAATTATCTAAATACCAATTCCTAAATAGGAACTCCAGTAAAAGGAAATCCGCCTGACGAGCTAGTGTAAGGCTCGCGCCCTCTCAATACGATGTTCTAGCGATAAGCAACGGATCTCCTGACGACGCCATGTAACTAGAAACTTCCATTTCTATAAGCCCCGTGTCATGAATGAACGTAGGAAGACCCGAAGAATCCATCGAGGTAAAAAGCAAGGAGAAGTGTTCTGGTACAATTATTTCTTCGTATGGCCACCAGAGGGAGGGGGTGCCATAGATTGAGGCCCATAGGGGCTTCTGTACTGCTGCCATGGTTGTGATGGCGGAAGGCCATGAGGAGGCTGTGGCTGACTAGGAGGCATGTATCCCATGTTTGGCGGAGGTTGGTACCTCATATGCTGGAACATAGCCGGATTTTGCTGTGCACCGGGGGGAAAGCCGGGAATCGGGTTGTAGCCAGGATTAGGATATGCCGCCCCGTTCACCACAGGCCCAGCGGTGTTGATCTCTCTGGGAGGATTGCCAGCAAGTGAGGTTCTTTTCTCTTGTTCCTTCTTCCTGCGAATAAGATCCCCCCGGACCCCGCGGAGGTATCGTTTTGCCTCCTCTACGAGCGCCTTTGGTTCAGTGCTTTCTTTTAGGAAGCTCAGCATCAGGGCTACCTGAGACTCAGAATTCAGATGAGGGCAAGTACGTTGATGGCCAAAATGGGCAATGCCGCAGAGGCCGCAATGTTCAACACCAGCGAGTTTAAGGGGACAGTAGCCCACAGGATGAAAGCGCTTGCAACCAAGACAAGGCAGAGAGGGACGGCGGCCACTTTCGGCACTGCCATCAAGGCTCGTCCCATTCAATTGCGCAGTGTTCTCAGCGCTCAGCGGGTTGACACGTTTGAATGGCCGCGCTTTCTGGACCTTCTTGCCCTTTGGAGTCTCACCCAGACCCGCTTCAGTCTCCGAGTTATCGTCCTGGTGGATGAATTCTGCGTCACTCTCCGCTTCGCGAGATTTCCTTGGAGAAACGTGAAGCGCAGCTTCAGCTTCCTTGAATGAATAATCGACAACGTTCCGCCTTCTTTTACCTCTACCAAACGCCTGGGCTTTAAGGGCTGCTTCCTCTTCTGCAGCGCGTTCACGCTCCTTGAGAATCTTTTCCCAGACGTTGCTATTTGGGGTGGCAGTGCTATCTGCATCTCCCAGACTATCTTCAAGAGCAGAAGTGTCATTGGCCCAGACGCGGGCAAAGCTGAACTGAGACTCAGCGGACGCATCCTCCCCAGTCTGTGTATTCTCAGCCTGGCTGCGGTCCAAGAGTTTATCGACCGAGTCTGAATCGTACCGAATATCGCCAGACTCGTCATTATCGAACAGTGCTTCAGCACCATGACGAAGGATTGACTCAAGATCCATTCCAGCTTCATCTTCAGCATCCATCTGTTCAATGAGGACATGATCCATAGCCATTTTCTTCCTTCCGGCTTGCATGATCTTTTCTTCCGCGCTACCGCGCGTCATGAGCTGGAAGACCAAAACTTTCTTTTGCTGACCAATTCGATGAGCTCGGGATAGAGCTTGGATATCCTGATGGGGATTAAAATCAGGGTCCATTATAATAACGGTATCAGCGGTGGCCAGGTTAATACCGACACCACCAGCGCGGGTTGACAATAAAAAGGCAAAGTATGGCGAGTCTGGGGCGTTGTACTCGTCGATTCGTTTTTGCTTTTCTAAAGCAGACATGCTTCCATCCAGACGGCGGTGCAGCATTCCAAGTCCGTCCAAGAAGTCTTCCACTATGTCCAGATTGTCAAGAAATTGGCTGAAGATCAAAACGCGGTGGCCACGCTCCTGTAGTTTTGGAAGCATTATCTCTAGCAGCTGTAGCTTTCCTGAAGCCTCAACCAAGTTTCGATGAGCCACAACAGCATTAAAGGTGCGTTCTTCGATGGCTCTACTGTAGACGAATGGGTGACAGAGACACTTGCGTAATTGCATGAGGATGTTACTAAGACTGTGGCGCTCATTTTGTTTCAAGTTGTATTTGTCGCTGTTTTTGAAGATCGATTTGATCAATTGCGGGTTCTTAGCCAGAATAGATTTGTACAACTTCTTTTGCACCACAGACATCGTCACTGGGACGATGATCTGCGCCATTGGCGGAAGGAAAGTGAGGACCTGGGCTTTCGTCCGGCGGAGGAAGAAGGGCCTGATCATTTCGTGTAGCTCAGGAACGTTTTCCTTGGTAAGAGTTGCATATTTCTCGGCTAGCGCTTGTGCGTTCATAGTCGGGTCGCAGAATTGGAGCAGGTTGAATAGCTCGCGAACGTTGTTCTGCAAAGGAGTACCAGTCAGGAGAACTTTGAACGGAAATTGTATCTTCGACAAAGCTTCATAAAGCTGGTTTCTATCGTTCTTCAACCTCTGTCCCTCATCCACCACAAGACCGGCCCATGGTATGTTCGAAACAGTTCTGACTGCTTTGTCGTCACTGAGGGTTTCATAGGACGTGATGACGATATGAGCTCTCAGATCCGAGCTTCCTTCCGGAAACATTTCGTACTTGTAGGCTAGTTTGCGGGCAACGCTGCCCCCGTAAAAAGTGACCACACGGAGCGAAGGAGCCCAGGTCTTGATTTCACGCCGCCAATTTGGGCAAGTGGAATTGGGGACAACGACAAGAAACGGCCAGCATTTATGATCCTGTATCAGGGTCGCAAACAGGCTGATGATTTGGATGGTTTTCCCCAGACCCATTTCATCGGCGAGAATGGCATTTTGTTTCTTATACCACATGTAGTACAGCCAGTTAAGGCCATCCTTCTGGTAGTCCATGATCTGCCCACCCGTCAGGATGGTCGGTTGACTACGCTTCATCAAGGTGGATTCGAAATCCTGAGATCGGATCTTGGCTAGATGCTTTCTCAGCACACCGGACTTGGGAACACGGACATAGTCACGCAGGACCCAATCCTCATAAGCTGCCTTGAAGTCGTTCCATCTTTCAGTGTCTGAAGGGTCAGGAACCGATTCCCATACGGCATCTTCGTATGAGAGCCCCTTGAACTTAACATAGGCTTCCTTTACCTCCTTCACCCGTGCCCTGTCGATTTCCAAGGTCCGGTTACTTACAACGTTGGAGTAGCGGACATCGAAGACGATATCAACCCGTAGATATTCTTCGGGAATCGCATCCTCCGTAGTCATCTGTGGTTTCAGATTCTTGGGTGACTTGTCGAATGCTCTCCGCATGGCAGCGGCCGCTACGCCAAAGACCCAAGTACCCGGCATCCACTGAGTTCGATAGAAGGACATGCCTTTCCATTTGACGAGATATTCCTTTTCATCTTCCTTCATAGCCTCCGCAGTGGTTCCGGGAACGTAGCTCTCCAAATTCGTCGGCCGCCAGGCTACTAGCGCTGCTATTTCTCCAGGCACGGATGAGCAATCCTTGCATATCCAACGCCGTGAATATTCCTTGAAGCGTGCATTGGCACGCTCAGCAGGTGTCATGTCTTCACTTTCCCAGGCGGGTTCTTGTTCAGATTTTGGAGGGAGATGCTCGAAGTGAAAGGCTCTATAGCAGTCCGAGCAGCGGAAAAGGACATTATCCACGTTGTCAATAAGGGACCTGTCGACTGGGGTGATCGGGTCCAGGCCCCCATTCTTCTCTCGCAGTTGCTGCTCCTGGCGCGCTGTCAACCGCTCCCGAAGAGGCTTCGACATAGGACCCGGGGCCTTGCATTCAGTGCAGAAGCCATGGTGGGGAGAGTACCAATCCTTTGTATGGGAAACTCCAATACAACGTCTACACTGTAGTATGAAATGGTCCGGTCCGACCTTGGTGACTAGATGCTCTCGCGAACCACGTGGTCCCAAGCAGACTTTATGGTACGCACTGGTACACCCCTGGCAGAAAACGAGTGGCCCTTTGACTTCGTCGTCTTTGGAAGTATAACAAGTATCGCAGACATTGCGATGGCGGAGTCGGAATTCATTATCCTTCGGGACCTTTTCGAAATACTCCTTCGCAGCAGAGTACTTCTTTTCTCTCGAAGTGGCCTCGTTCTCGGAGATATCAGATTCGACTCTTTCTCTGAGACTTTTCCGCGGCTGTCCCCTTGTCCTTGTTGAGAAACGAGCGCCTCTTGGGGCACTGTATTCGCTACCAGACTCTGAGTACCCGGACGTCCTCTGCCGCTTGGAGCGTCGTATGGCAAGCGTCTGAGGCTTGCGCTTCCTCAACGATCTTGTCGTGAAAGAGGTTGCGAGATCATCACTTGAAGACGAAGAGTCGTCCACTTCTTCCTCCTCATCGCTGCTCTCAGGCACCGCACGTGGAGGTCGGCCTCGAGTGGATTGACGCCTTGTAGTCCACCCTGATTCTGAAGACGAGGCGAGGTATTCGTCTTCCGATGGCGGCGGGGGAGGTCCAACAATAAGACGAATTGAGCGCAACGATCCGTCGGTAGCATTCTGGCGAGAAAGACTCTCGCTACTTGCATCTTCTTCATCTGAAAAGACCAAATTCATCGAACTCACGAATTCTGCACTGCCTTGCCTTAATGATCTGCGTGACCTTGTAGAATCCATATCTCCACGTCTCTGTCGACTCTGCTTGTTCGAATCGTTGAACTTGGCTAGAGCATCGTCGCCATTGGTAAGAGTAGGAAGTCGGGATGAGGAGACCTTGATGTGGAAAGTGAAGATTAGTGAGCCTGATAGTGAATGGAATATAAAATCACAGGTGACCACAACTCAACTCACAAGATCCTTATCTCCGCTCCTAAATTCAACCCAGTAGTAAGGCCCCCATGGCGTATTCCCTCTGCTTAGAATGCGTCGCACTTTATCATGGCCGGGGAGGGACTCATATTCATCGACATCCTGAATCTGCGGAACCTCGATTCCAGAGAACTCTGACTTTGATCCTCCATCGCCTTGTGTATGGGTCGGCCTTTCATGAGCAGAAGCAGGTCGAGATTTCTGTTCGCTGTGGTCTCTGCTAGACGCGGTTGGCACAGCGAACTGCTCGAGGAGCTCTGCGACCAACTCATCTCCGTCATCGGACCCGGAGGTTATATCGTGATACCCATTCTGAAAATCTGACAAGCCAGACATCGTGTACTATCAAAACCGTTTCCTTCCGGTTCAAAACGCGCGCGACAAGTACATTCCACTGCGCAAGAGGCGGGTCGGATATTAGACGCGGACGGGGAAACGCGAACGTGACGGGGACATCTAAGGGGGCGAATGGACAAACTCCAAACGAGAACACTGAAGGCGCAGGGGAAAAAAAGAAAACACACAGGTCGCGCCACACTATCCCAGAAACCTGGAGTTATAATGAACAAGCAGTCGTTGTGCTTCAAGATATCATTTCCTTCAATATCCGGGGCGCGAGAGACGCGGTCACGGGGTGGGAATAACGTGTTGCCGGGTACTTTCTTAAGTAAGTATTATTGACAAATGACGATCCGACGGACTAACAGAGTCAAATATACATACTTACAACACTCGCTTGAAACTGGAACTGAAATCAAATCACATTTGAAAGCCACAACGGCCCTTCTTGTCAAAAAGGAGAGGCCAGCATTAATCTAATCTATGACTTTTCCTGCCGTTCTATCATGCATTTGATCGCCGTTATCTCATGCTCAAAATCAAATAATTCTATCCGAGCTTGATAGGGTGCTTTCTACGCAGCGCACCGCCGTATCGATAAATCAAAGCAGGCACCGGAGTCAGACCAAGGGCAACAAAGCCCAGCAGGGAGTTTCCCCAGCCCAGACCCAACCTGTCATACATAGAGGGGCCTGCAAGGGGCAGGAACGCACCGAAAAGACATCTCATCGCCGTCAATCCGGCCACTGCAGAGGCTGCATATTGTCCGGACACATCGATGAAATAGGTCTGGATCGGCGCATAAATTCCCATCATGCCGAAGCCAAACGGGAGCAGACCGATGATCGGTACAATCCAATGAACATGCTTATCTGCCGACCACCCGTACCAGAAAAAGCTGATAGGGATGAATAAAGCAAAGTAAAGACAACTTGCAAGGCGCATTTCTGGCTCAAACACGCCTTGGTTGGCCTTTGTTAAGTGGATGACGGTCTTATCTGAGGTTTTTGCAACGACAGTGATGCCGAGCATAAATCCAAGACCGATACCTAGGTATGCGAGACCGCATAATTCGATAGGCCAGCCGTAGTCGTTGATGAACAGCGATGTGATAGTGGTAAAAAGAAGATATAAAAGCCCAAAGACGAAGGACAGATATAGCGCGAGGAAAAAGAGTATCGGTGATCTAGCGAGCATCCTAACGGGTCTATTGATACTCTGGATGATCAGGAAGAATGGACTCGCAGTTTCATCTTTCAGCTCGTAAACACTTCGCAGATCAGGGCGCTCTTGTTCTCTCTGGAGCCGGCGAGTCTTCCGGCGGAGTAATACAGATGGATTTGTCTCACGGCCCGTAACAATATTAATGACACTTACGACACCGCAGGCTATGAGCAAGACCCAAAAGACCCATCTCCAACCAGCGCGCTGCGCAATGAATCCACCGATCAGAGGGCCAACAACGGGTCCAAATAATGGACCGAGCGTAAACATCGCGTTGGCTTTTCCTCGCTGCTGCAGAGGGAAGAGATCAGATATTATCCCACCGCCTATAGTTAAACAGGCGGAACCGCCTATACCGGCTAGCAGCCGGAAGACAATAAGACTGGCCATATTAGGGGACAAGGCACACCCTATTTGGAATACCGTAAAGAAGAAGTTTGCGCAGTTGAGGATAGGCTGCCGTCCATAGATCTCACTCAGCGGAGAGAATACAAGGGGGCCAATCTATTTTGTTTCTGTGAGTACTTTTCTTCAAGTGTCAAAGAAATCGCAGGGACGGGCTTTTGTATGTATATACGTACTGAGAAGCCAAGAACAAAGATGCTGATTGCCAGAGCACTTAGAATAGTAGAAGTGACATGGAAAGTCTCGTCCGCATATTCTATTCCTGGCGCCGGAATAGAGGACGCCAAAGGACTGAATTGAGGCATCTGTTAGAGTTTCCGAGATATATAGCTTTTTGAATAATATCGGAAGTCTAGACGACTCGACCAAAAAGGAGAACTCCTCAGAGGTCTGGTCCTAGCTGGATCTAACAAATAACAACCGCACCTAAGAAACGCGACGAAGCTCACAAGGCCCAGTAGAAACCATTTGCGTTTGCTTGGAAAATTCCTAAAGGGTTTCTTTAGCACCGACATCACCGACTTTACATTTCAGAATCTCTTACTGAGGGTTTTGACTGTCTTCCAAGCTGTCCCAGCCGACAATTCCATTTGCCAAGTCCGATAGTTTATCTTGACCTAAAACCACTGGCTTTGGGCCTTTCTCTTCGTCCGTTGACGGGTCGATGGATAATGCTTCATTGCTCATGACGCCTGCTGAAGTCGAAATGGACTAAAGCATAAGAAGAGACCCTTGAAATTTGCTTTTCTAAAAGAGCAAAACATATCAACCCACGGCGTCAGGAGTTTTTGACAGAAAAACGGACTTATCGGCCTCCATTATTATTATTTCCAATACCAGCACAATTGTTTGCTTATGCGTGTTGATCTGGGCACGGTCAACCTTATCTCGGTCGGAGATCAGTAGATGACCCGGTAATAATTATTAATTTCACCCCGCGTACACGGCAAATCCAAATGCAAAATTACCGACAATCGTTGTTGATGCATCACTATTCACCTAATATTAATTCACGGGAATAGCGGACATTAATACCGACCGGAGTCCAGAAGCTCTCCATTCCGTATCATAGTCGTGGCTACTGTAACTTGGCCCCGCAGAATGGAGTTGGTTGTGGTGCAATCGCTCTTCGCAAGATTCGATTCCTTCTTCCCCGTGGGCCAGCCCATTGATACTTTCGTGGCCCTCAAAAGTCACTCGTTTAAACATCCCCGCGTGGAAGGAAGGTGATGAAGTACATACTTTGATCTCTCCCTACCCAGAGCTATATCCGAGAAAGAAAAGGACCTTCAGTGCACGGTAGGTTCGTATTTTGTTCTCCCTTCCCGTATCATCCTGGAACAGTATCTTTAGAGCCTCTAGGCATTTGAGGGGATTATGGTTAGGCTGGATCTTTTACTGTTGAATATCGTTATATCTATTAGGGGATTCTCTGCTGTTTCTCGAGTAATATAATAATACTCATTGTCGGGAGACACTGAAGCTGTATGAACTGGGAAGTCTGGCGGTGAACAATTATGACAACAAGAGGATCCATCCTGTGCTAAATCTGCATATGAACTATTACTATTTGGGCATATCACTGGAGCCGGATCTCGAGAAAGCACTGAGGCGAGAATCTCTAAACAAAGTTGAGCAGAGTGCGGAGCTACGTCTTCCAGCATCAAGAGCTAATTATATGACATGCTGGTATCATTTAAACTCTTCTATAGCATTTTTTTCTTTGGAAAATACTAAATAAGCTTAGGTCAATGTCTTCACCCATCGGGAAAGGCCTGGAAGATTTGGCAGATCTACTTGTCAGCATGACTGGTTCCGCGATTAGCAACAATCATAAAGTCCCTCATACCGCTGATTCTGTCCCCACGGCCAGCTCTTCTGCCCCAGCTACTGTTCCAATACTAGATAGACCTCGGGACTTGTGAGACTGAAATATTCAGCGATTTCCCCTTAAATCTGGAGGCCGAAAGGGACCCGTTGCCCTCCTTTGAGGTAGCTTCAGGTATCTTTGAGTGTTTGCTCAATTTGACACCTCCATACGACGATATGACTTGAAAACCTTTTTCCAAAATCGAAATTAAACCGGATATTCAATAAAAAGGTACAGCGTTCGGAGATCTTGAGATCTTTTGAAGAATATAAGAGGAAGCTCGGGTAAAGGACAGCGATCAATGTTAATTAAAATCGACCTCTGTTTTGAGCAGAGCAAAGACTGTCATTGCTGGCTCTGCGGGAGATATCCAGACGAAGCAGGTCTGGTAAGGAATTGACATCAGACATTACACCCTGTGGAAGAGTCTACCGTGATAAACCGTGAATAATGTGACGCTTTGGATATATTGATGGCTTCCGATTTCACGACCACGTACGCCGATGGAGGTCACAGCCACATATATACATACATACAATCTTCAACCACGTAGGATTACCATATATCATAATTGAATCTTATCAAATATATATTAAGCTAAATATTACAGTGCTGCTGTATAGAGGAAACTGGAATAGTTAACAAGCAGTCACGTGAGGAGTCATACAGCGTTTAGTTTATCTTATCGCCGACGGAAAAAGTTCTTGGGAGCTAAGTAAGTAGCTCTTCTGCCCCCGAGAAGGAAACCATCGTCCGCCTTTTCATGTTGGGTTCAACCATGAGCTTATCCTAGAGTCTCTCATTAGAATTAACTCTTCACTCCTACGATCTTCAGAGTATACATAATCTAACCCTCACCCAATGCCTCCTCCACACGCTTACTCTCATTTGCGGGCCTATCTGCGTCTGTCCGGAGCTCCAGCGCGCACTGTGAATTCTCTATCCTCTATTCGACATGCCTCCTTAACCTCAGCAATTGATCGAGGGATCCGCAAATCCCGCAACGTCGAATCGCCATCATTCTCACGCCGCGATCGTCCCTCTGAGAGGGAGGATCGTGGCCGTCCGGAGAAGGAAGATTTCCGCCGTCGTAATCATCATCGCAGACAGGACGAACAACAGGAATCAAAAGATGTCGAATTCGACGAGGACGAATTCATCCGGTCGGGAAACTTCCGCGCCCTTCCTCGAGAGTATCAGGCACCAAGGGTATCTCGTTTCAGAGGAAATGGAGACTCATACGGGAATAAACCGTCATCGCATCATCGCAAAACCTACGAAGAGGATCGTTTCTCGTTATCGAAGAATCGAGATAATAATAAGGACAAGAGGGAGAAGGAGAAGGAGAAGGAAAAGTATGAACTTCGAGAACCTCGATATACAGACTCGCGACCTGAACGGGTGAAAGCCCACGTGAAGATCCCCGAGACGATTCCTTACACGACACCAGCGTCGGAATTCATCTACGGTACTACCTCCGTCGAAGCCTGTCTTCGGTGCTCGCGCCGCCAGCTATACAAACTCTACATCTATCAGTCCGTCGATGAAGAACTCTCCCAGACAAAGATCACTCTTCGGAAACTGGCCCTTTCCAGGGGCGTCCCCGTCAAAATGGCCTTTGGCGGCTGGGACCGTCTCCTGGACAAGATGAGCGCCGGACGACCGCATAACGGAGTGATTCTGGAAGCATCGCCCATCCCGCGCTTACCAGTGACGAGTCTCGATGCCGTTTCTTCACCGGAAACAGACCATTTCACAGCATCGCTAGCTCCGCAATCTCGCGAAGAAGCCGCCGTGAACGGGACAGATAATCGCATCTCCAAGATATCACCGATCCAAACCCTCCCACAGACCGAGACTCCAACAAACTATTACCCTCTCACCCTCCTCCTCGACGGTATTCTCGACCCTGGCAATCTAGGGGCCATCCTCCGCTCCGCATACTACCTTGGCGTCTCCGCCGTCTGCTTCACAGGCCGAAACTCTGCCCCCCTCTCCCCCGTGACTATCAAAGCCTCCGCCGGCGCAGCAGAGAACATGACCCTGCTCAAGGTCAACAACGCCGTAGACTTCATCAAACAAAGTCGCCGGAATGGCTGGCGCTTCTACGCCGCTGACGCCCCCGGTCCTGGTACCGCAATGTCCTCGAACGTCCTCGCAGACGGCTCTGGTCGTGCAGGAACGCTTTTGCAACAAGCACCATCGGTGCTTATGCTCGGATCTGAGGGCACGGGTCTCAGTCCGCACGTCAAGGCCCATGCGGATTCCTTTGTCGGGATTCCTGGTGCTCGACTTGGTCTCGAGGGCGATCTCACGGCTGATCCTGCACGGGTTGACAGTCTGAACGTCAGTGTTGCTGCGGCATTGTTGATCGAGATGTTTATGCGAACTCCGCTTGTCGTGTCTGAAAACCATAAGAATTGATCCAAAAATCGAGGCACGGGAGTAGAAGCATAAAATATCAAAAGGATATCCTCCGATGACATGAAGTTTCAATTTGATGTGGACTACTCGCATTTGCATTGACTCGGCGTTTACTCGTTCTGGGGAGGGAGCCAACTCCCGCGGCTTGTGACTAATTAGTACTACCAGTCATTCTTCCGTTGATTTGTTAGGATTCATTAAGATATATTGCATCAATAGACAATCTCATGACTAGCTATACCATCATTAACCACCATCCGGGCATATCACATGAACCTCACGAATCCTGCCAGCAGTAAAAACATTCAGGTCAGATTACGCGGAACCCCACAGAGCCGCGCATCATTCAGGAAAAGATGGCCAGCAACCGCTAGCCAACTTACTCCTGGGACGGGGGCGCAGATGTGTTCTGGGTTGGTTCCGTCCTCTGCACGGCTCCGAAGCGCTTGTTGCCAACATCGAAGATCTGGAGTGCCAAACAGATTGTTGTCAGCCACAGTTCCCATAGTAAAATAGTAAATTATTGGGCTCGAACTTACCGCATAGACGCTCTTGAGGAAAGTGTCACCCAGGATATCGAAAGGATTCTCACCACGGCTCTGAATGCCGCCATAGACGTAGCCCGACTTGGCCTCTGCGAACCCGAGGTCCTCCTTCTGGACGGTAAATTGCTTGTCACCCACGGCAAAGGTGACAGTAGGCAGCTTGTCCGCCGGGGTGTCGCTCGGGTAAATATATCCCTGGCTGTCCGAATCATAGGAAGCCCCAGGAATGGCGTCGTAGATGGCCTTGACGGTCTCATCATCCACAAGGGCGAGAGTGGTACCTGTGTCGGCAATGGCCTTGTTCCCCGAGCGCGTGATGGTCTTGCCATTGACAGTAGCCGAGGTGGAGTCGAACTGCCAGAAGCCCTGGCTGTTGTCCACCGGGGCGTAATAGATCTCCTGGCCCTTGACTACGTCCTGGTCGATGTAGCCAAAAGTGTAGAACGACTCGCCCTTGTCGGGATCATTCTTGTCGCGCCACGAACCCAAGTTGGCCGTGAAGAGCTCGGCCGACTGAGGGATCTCATCCTCCGCGATCATGTTCTCGACCGGCGTCTTGACAGCAGTGGGCTTGACCGTGTTGATGTTACCCCAGGCGAGGCCCAGCAGACCGTCTCCTGAACCTTGCTGAAACTGAGTAGAGATCTCCTTGGCCAGCTCGACGGCCTGGTTCTTGATGACAAGACCTCCGATATTGACATTGTCCGTGCCAACAGAACCCGAAGCAGTGGAGGAGTCTCCATAGGCGATCTGCCACGTCTCGCCCTGAGAGGTCTTGAACGTACTGGACTTGCTGGGGTCAAAAATAGTATGGCCCTGGGCCTGAGCCGTGATACTAGAGGGCAGTTCCGTCGACCAGACCTAGTTCATGTCAGCACTTCCCTTCCCAACTGTTCTTCTCCATTCTGGCAGAGACAACATACCCAAAGATCCGCTGAACCAGTATCGAAGTCCAGCTTCAGGTTCTGAGCAGGGGTACCGATGCCCACCTCGGCCAGATACTCCGAGTCATTCTGCACGTCCTCGGCCGGGACATCTCCCGTCTTATCACCGCTCTTCTTCTGCAGCTTATGGACAATGCGAGCTTTGCCTCCCACGGGCTTGTCTGTATACTGCCTGCCAGTCTGCTGGATACGGCTCGCAACAAAGTAGGGGCCTTCCATGGTGGGCGCGAAGCCCCATTTGCGCATGGCATGGACATAAGACTTGGTGCCAGAGCGGCGATAGTTGGGATTGGCGATGAGCCTGATTCTGCCAGCCATGGTGTTTTGGGACTGATAATAAAGATACGGTGGGTTGGTATTGAAGTAGAGTACTACTTGTAGGATACGGGGTAGGTTGATCGTATCAGAGCACACGTGGGGTGTGGTCAACTGAGAACGACACAAAGGGAAGCTTGGGGAATCTAAAACAGATCTCAAGCTCCAGAGGGCAGAGCTCCTCCTTATGTATCCGAGACCGCAGCACGCGATCACATCCCACGGTGAAGCAACATCCGCATTCACTCCTCCAGTGGCTGCCAGCAGAGAAAGAGCAGACGGTCTGAGACTATCGCCCTTTGCCGTCCTCCATGTGTTTCGTCATTGCTCCTGCCCCGCCTGGAGGGCGACAGATGACACTAGAGAAGTCATGGAAGACGCGATGGACTGGATGATGTGCAGGCATTCGGTTTCAGCTCTGGGATGCCCAGAGAGACAGAAGTTGAGAGTATCATACGGGAAGCGGAGAAGAAAACAAACAATCCCGGCTGGCTACAGGCGACTGTGGCGGAGTTGATCGTCTCATAGTGCTGCTACTAATAGTCTAATACACACCCTGGCCCTGCAGAATGATGTCTCCGGGATCCGCGATGCAACGCGTCAGATTCTTAAAACACACGAGGAGATCGATCGAAGTTATCAGATCCAGTCAGCTTACGCCGTGGCCCCCCCTGGACCTTGATCAAAGTTCAGAACAAGCACGGTTGTGGCTGGAGCGGCCGAAAGTCTCTGATCATAAGCATCAGAAGGCGTATCGTGGTTGCTTGAACCGTCCAGGAACGTATCAGGATGCGAAACGCTATCGTCCCGCGCGACGGTCTCGTCTCCAACGGGACCCATGATGAGATAGACACACGAGGGAGATTAGAGCGAAGCTCAGCCGATCGGCCCTAAAATGCTATGTAGCGAAGCTCCGGAGCGTTCCGTTTATTTTTGAGAGATCTGTGGTGCAATAATAATAAACGACTTGGGACTCATTTCTTTGAGGCATGTACAGTACATACAAACTCTGACGTCGAGAAGTGGTATATGGTAATATTGTTTCTCTCGGGAGTCGAGATTTCCCCCTGGACGCCACAGCTTGGGGGTGCCGTCAAGCATTGCCCAGAGACGCACGGTGTTATACTTAGCCTAAGCATTGGCGTGATGCAGTCATCGCATGCGTCAGAGAGAGCATGCTTCCTGAAAGTGACGCAGCCACATAATACCGACTGGTCCGGCTGACCTGGTCAAGAGAAGGAAATAATACTTGTAGAGTATAGCATCATCGTCGACTGACATCAATGAGGGATGGATAGTTAATTAGCCAGTGGCTGCATAACTGACAAGGGCCTCATCGAGAGTACAATATATCCATTAGCTGGCTTTCGCCATCGCAAAAATAGAAGCCGGCCACCTGCAGAGCGACGGCTCACTCAGGATATGCAGCTCCCCTCACTCGGAGTCACTAGGAAGTTAGGAACCTTGCACCTCTCGAGAAGAAGCTCTTGGCCACGCACAACTGTCCACTGGCACAAGAGAGAGAGCATCCGCGCCTCAGCAAGAAACTTGATCAGACGGCGCCAATCGACCAGACTAATAACTGGCCTGTCCCCTGGCTATGAAAGTTCCTTGATTGCTCGATTTCTGGCAGACCTAGACAGGGTTCCTGGCCCGGGAGAAAGCCATAATGATAATATCCGCTAACTACTAACTACTAAGTACTAACTATATCGCGCTACGTCTCGGACAAGTTCTCAAACTAGCCGTCCTGTAACGTGGCTCGCTTCTACGGAGATCGGGGACAAGAATAATACAAGAATAATAACATGCGGAGAGGAGGCAAGCATAATAATGTCGGATCCACTGCAGCGTAGTCTATTCTTCAAGAGTTATTTCATCATAGTAGCAGACAAATACTCTAATTCGACGAGGAACCGCGATCCTTGATCCTAGCAATCGGAAGTATAAGCAGAATATAATTAAAGAAGTGTGAGCTGAGAGGACGGAAAGAAACCACACCATCCAGCAATCATCCGACAACCTCTGTTGGTGACCGTTCTCACTTTCCTCTAACGGACAGGGAGAAAGTAATGAAGTCAAGATGAAATACGTCTCTGAAGACATCAAATCATTATTCGAATCTATCGAGGAACAACGCCAGACCGGAAACAAGACACGCACGCACTCCTCATCCCGAACCGGATATTTACCCAACCAATAAACTAGAGTATAGAACACACACGACCAGGGTGCTTCGGGGCTCTTGGGAAAACTGAAAGGAGAGTCTTCTATTATTTCTTTTTGCCCTTCGACTTGGATGCGGTCGTTGAGGAGACGCTGCCGGCTCTGGAGGTCGCGGTCGAGGTGTTTTTGCTGCCACCCTTGACGGCCTTGACTTGCTTGTTCTGTAAACACAAGTTAGTTCTTGTGTTTGAAGATGGAATAGATGAGCGGGAACACAGGACAACGCTTACCACGACTCCGTTCTTGCTCTTCTTCTTCGCCGGCGCCTCCTCTTCCTCGTTTTCATCCTCCTCGTCGCGGTCACGGCCGCGGCCTTTGCCGCCCTCGCCGTTACTCTTGCCATCCGGTCCTTCAAACTCACGAGCGATCGTGTTCAGGAGCGTCGTGCAACGTCGGCCGATCTCAACCGGAGTACGGCTGAGGAAGAACCAGTCGAAGCGGAACAGAGGGCTCTCTCGGATCTCGTCCCGGATCTTCTCGTAAAGGCCCTCGCCATCCACGCCGTAGCGGTCCAGCATGACCAGCAGGAAGCGGTCTTCCTCTTCAGTGTAGACTTTCTTGTTGGTCGTGGAGACAGTGTAGTTGATCTTAAGCTGCTGCAGAGGGACGCGATACATTTCCATCTTCTTGCGGAGCATCTTGCGCTGATGGTTCATCTTTCGCATCTTCTCCTCTCCCTGCTCGATCACACGCAGGTACTTGGGATAGTCCTGGATCTCCGTGTATCGCTTCCAGAAGACCTTGGCATACTCCTTCACCTCTTCCGGCGTTTTGCTGTCGACCTCCGTAGCAATACCTTCGTAGTCAGTCCGGCCAAATTTGGCGGAACCGTTGATGAATTGCTGGAAGTCTCGACGGTTCCAGTTGGCGAAACCTTCCTCAGACATGCGAGCCTTCTCTGCCTGCTCTTCTTCCGTCAGTGGCACAGCATTGTCGATTTCCTGCTGTTCCAAGTCACGCTCGGCTTCGCGTTCGCTCAGTTCCTCTTCCGGTCCATCGGGGAGGACGGCTTTGTAACCAATCTCCTTATGGAAGTACGCCGTCTCCTTCTCCTGTAGCTCTTGCAGACCTGGCGGGAAGAACTGCCAGTCATGGATGGCAATCTGCTTAGGAGCCCGAGGAACCTTGGGCTTGGGATCAGCAGTTCTGCCACCAGTAGACAAAGCCTGTCTGTAGTACTTGTCAATGGAATAAAACTGCTCCTTGCGCTCGCGCTTGGCAGGCTCGATCCAGTTGAGGCTGATGTTCTCTTTCTTGCGCTCGGTGAAATCCTGCCCATTCCATTCGTACGCATTGTCGGTAGTGAATTTTTGGAGTTCATCGATACCAAGCTTTTCATATTTCTTGTTGAGCTCGGCAGTACGCTCCTCGCCCTTCTTGAGGATCTCATCCAGAATATCCTCACTAACATCATTGCCGGCGGCCAGCGCTCCCGTGCCACCCTTAGTCTGGAAGACACTGGCAGCACCATGCTGGATCATGCCAAGCAATTCATCCTTCGACGCAGCGTTCTTGACTTGCTGTTGAGCCCGACCCTGTTGGATGACAAGCTGATCCAACCGTAGCTTTTGAGCAGCACGCTCCAGCACCTTCTCTTCAATGGCATTCTCCGTAACAAACCGGAAGACGACCACCTGCTTTGTCTGTCCGATACGATGCGCACGGTCCATAGCTTGAAGATCTGCCTGAGGATTCCAGTCGCTATCATACAGAACAACGATATCCGCAGTCGTGAGGTTGATTCCAAGGCCACCTGCTCTGGTGGTGAGAAGGAAGATGAACTTCTCCGAATTCGGCTTGTTGTACTCGTCGATAGCAGCAATACGATCCTCGTGAGCAGTTGTACCATCGATTCTGCAGTACTGGTGGTCTCGGAAGACACAGTAATCCTCCAGGATGTCCAAAACTCGGCTCATCTGTGAGAAGATGAGGACACGGCTTCCCTGCTTCTTCATACGAGTCAAGATCTTGTCCAGGATAACCATCTTGCCTGCGTTGTAGACAAGATGCTCATCTGTCGTGTAAGGAGGACCGGGTTCAGCTCCCTCGAACAGGTACGGGTGGTTGCAGCACTTGCGGAGCTGCATGACGATGTTCAGCAGGCGAGTCTTCGATTCGCGCTTGCCAGCAGCGCCGTTGACAGCATCGATATCCTTTTCCAGGATCTTCTGGTACCATTTGACCTGCATTTCAGACATTCCCACATACACATTGATTTCCTTCTTGGGTAACAAACTCTTCTCGACATCGCTCTTGACACGACGGAGAAGGAACGGTCGCAAGACGCGGTGTAACTGCTGGACAACGGTATCTTGGTCGGCATCTTGGCTGGAGAACCATTGATCGAAGGCCTCAGAATCACCAAAGACATCGGGCAGGAGGAAGTTGAGGAGAGCCCAGAGCTCATGGAGGTTGTTTTGTAACGGGGTTCCGGTAATCAGCAGACGATTGCGAGAGTTGAAGACTCGAATGATCTGAGACAGGGACGATTCTTCGTTCTTGATACGATGGGCCTCGTCAATGATGATGTACTCCCAAGCGAACTTCTTCAGATGCGATTTCTCCCTGAGGATCATCTCGTAACTGGTGATGCAGACGTCGAATTTCTCATCGACAAGGCGTTCAGTGATCAAGCGCTGGCGTTCCTCCTTGTCACCCTGAAGGACCAGGACGTTGACCTCTGGTGTCCATTTCTGGAACTCCCGCTTCCAGTTGTCGAGGGTAGATTTGGGGACAGCCACCAAATGGGGGCCCGTAATGCCACAGATATGGCGCAGGTACCCGATGAAAGAAATGGTCTGCAACGTCTTCCCGAGACCCATCTCGTCTGCCAGAATACCGGAAATTCCATTCTCGTGGAGCGATACTAGCCAGTTCAGACCTGCGATCTGGTAGTCACGCATTTCACCGTGGATGAAAGCGGGCGACTCTCGGAAGACCGTATTCGTCTGACCGCCTGATTTTTCGTCTCGCAATAGCTCTGCATCCTCCTCCTGTTCTGTCCTACGGCGCCTCTCGTTTCCAGCACCGCCCTTGCGCGAAGACACTTTCTTGGCATTGGCCTCTTCCTCCTCATTTTGCCGGTCAATCTCGGCCATGATCTCCTTGATTCGGGGATTGGGGTTCGTTTCGATAAAGTGACGGAACAGGTCCGTCAAACCGAGTAGATAGCGGAATCTTCGAATCGAGTCATCTTCCTGTACCGGCACTAATGTTAACGATTGATGAATCTCGTCCATCGTAGGCTACGTCCACCTACCTTTGACTCGTCCAGACGGCCGTGCTTCTTGCCCAGCACACTCTTGCGCAGCTGGAAAGCTTCCGATCTTTTCTTCCGGCCATCCAAGGGGGCCACATCGCCTGCAATACTGCTAGCCGTTGTATTCGGGTTGGTATCCGAATCCTATAGCACCGTCAGCAAATCTGATCTCTCCATCGACGCCAGGCAGCGTGGAGGCAATTTATACCGTATAATCCGGAGTATCCTGGTAATCCTGCATTGGAATGAATCAGCATCGCACATCTAGATAAGGAGAACACGCGAAGAGCTCCAGATATAGACAACCCATCGCGGAAGAGCCAGATAATACTGACCGTCATGTTCGCGTCAGGCTTATCAACGGGAATGGAAGTAACTGCCTCCTCATTCGCGTCGCTCATCGGAGTGTCTGCCTGAGACGTGGGATCCGAGTCGGGGATGGAGGAGCGCGCGGGTGCCATCTCTGCTTCGAGCGCACCGGAGTGCGACTGTTTATAGTATCAAGATTCAAGGGATGCTTGCTTGCTTAGATGCTTGAGCTGAGGAATTGACCAGAGATAGAGATGGAAACACCGCAGAGGTCTGCGGGGGGGGGGGGCGTTCTTCTCTAGGATTCTCAACGGCAGTAGGGAAGCATGGCAAGTAGAATGGGGGAAGAGGAGTTAACTGGTCGCGCTGGACGGCAAATGGAATTTGATCGGAGGAAGCACAGCGCGTGGCTGCGGGACGCGCTGATTGGGCGGGATCAGGGCGGTGGCCGTCTGAGTCAGCAGGAGCGGAAGAAGGAGTTTCCCCGCCGTGTCACGTGGGCGTTTCCCGGCCAGGCGACGCAAAACCTCTTGTGATTCCACGATTCGATCCAAATATCTCCCAGCGAACTGTTCAGCTCCTGCGCCTGGCCGATCTAGGACGTGAACCCGGTTCGACTGCCTGCATATATACCTGTTTCCTTTGCTCCCTCCTCCTCCTTCTCGCCCTCGAACCGACTCCGCCCTCTCGTTCGTCCACGCCCCACCTGTGCCACCTGTACCTGGGGGGTATCTACATTCGACATCAGGTGGAAGGCAGTCTCTTCCCAATTCGGCCACCATGGATTCCATGCGGTCCCTGAATACCTCTCTGCCGTCGGCCTCCCGTTCTCAACCTCCGGAGCAGCTTCTCCAGGCCTTCAAGAGTGCTGCCCTGTCTGTGACCAACCTCTATAAAACTGCCATCACCGACCAGGCCCAAGCGAGACAGGCCGGTTATCAAGATGCCATTGAAGACCTATTGAGTTTCCTCGACAGGGAGAATCTCGGTCTGGGAGATGGGGAAGGCTGGAAGGTCCGACGATGGGCAACTGAACGAGCGGACGGGACCGGCGTGGCTTCCAGCGACAGTGATGATGAGCGTGGGGATATTGAGAAACCAACAAGGGGCTCGACTCCAGCAACTGCACGCAACCAACGACTAGATACAGACATATCGACGCAGCCATCTCGATCCGCCTCTCCTCGAATAGAGCCGGCTGCGCAACCCCAGTCGCAGCCACAGCCGCAACCGCAACAGCAGGTGGTTCACCCTGCAGCCGAAGAGTCGAATCTTTCCGCTAGACCAACTATTTTCACCTTTACCGCTGGACCCCAGTTTCCACAGTCCTACGAGCAAGATATCGACATGGCCTCTGAGAATACGCCAGCGGTGAATAGCAGTTCATCGGAAGACGACGTCTCTGTCTCCTCGAATCTCTCCGCTCCGTCCGTCGGTGTCTCAGTCTTGTCTCGAAACCCTCGATCGCAACACCGACACGCCAACTCTCCTCGCAACAACGCACGATCTTCAACAAGAGAGGCTTCCGCTGGCCTTGGGGCTGGTCTGGGATCGAAAAGGAAATTCAACGTTCCCGACTTCTTTGACCTCTCTGGTCTAGGAGCGCGGGATATGTTTGGAGGTGGCAAACGCGGCCGTTTCACATAGAGAAAGACGATTTTGACGATGGGACGATCATATTCCCTTTTCTTATCACGCAACGATTGATGTTGTCCAGGAATCGGAGGCAACCCAGAAGCATTTCGAGGAGTTTTTGCATGTGTAGTTTCGTGGCCTTCCTTTTGTTTCTGTTTAATTTCTTTTTAACTATTTATTCTTGCTTCTATTTCACATATTTTATTATACATAGACAATATCAGAGAACGTGATACCCGGGGCAGTTGTCATCTTCCTGCTCTTCCCGTTCTGTTTGTCACTCTCTTTTCACTTCCGGCTTTCTTGCGTTTCAAGATGTAGCATAACTGTATCAGTAGTACTGACTCGAACCTCTTTAATCCACTCTAATCACTTGGAGGATTAGTTACTCAATTGAATGCTCTCCAAATACCCATTCCAACCAGCGTCGCTGAGATGGAAAATATTCCCAGTTTTCGCGATCCCATCTTATATTTCGTGGCACTCTTCAGGATCTCTTGCTCCTGCTTCCGCAGATTGTTCATCCCCGTATAATAGCTGTAGATTCCCAGTCCGATAAACGCAGCCGACCCTGAAGAGAGCATTAGAACTCTGGCATTCTCCAGCAGAAGGGGAATATAGTATACCGGTCGCCCTGCAGGCCAAGCAGTCATCATATCCTTCTTGTGCGAGGGCCTTTTTGGCATCAGTCGCTTGCAGATCATAAGGGTTGCTGTCCTTGGGGGGAGCCATGGCTGGTTCTGCTGTAAGCACACGCCATGTTAGTAACAGCAGGTAAAGAAGAAACAAATAGAATGACAACTCAATCTCGAATACCTTATTGACTCTAAAGTCTCACTCAAAGCAGTTCCCCGGCGCAGTAATTATCAAAACTCGCGGAGCTTTCGAAAGCCGCCGACAAAGGCGGGAATCGGCGGCAGAACCGGGGTCCAGCGATATAGTTATCAACTTGACGAGCTGGGGGACAATCGCCTTGGCAGCTCCGATGTCCAGGACGCTTCGCAGCTCACCGCCACCATGAGCGGCGCTATTGAGGCGCTCTACGTTTACGATGAGCATAAGTAAGTTCCTCTCCAGGTTTGATGCAAACTATACCGCTGACAAGCATCCCAGTCGTCCTATTCTAGAACACGTCTATCGCGCCCGCCCGCCCTCCGCATCCACCATCCTACCCCTCTACCTTGCACACCCCGCGCCGCGCCCTTCGCTGATCTATCTTCCGAGCACATCACCGCCAGTGACGGTTTTTTCGGTTGTGCACTCGAATCTGACGTTCATCGTGCCCAGCGATGTGGACGCGGAGCCGCTATTGGTGCTGGAATTCCTGCACCGCGTGATCGATGTGTTGGAAGAGTTCGTGGGAGCGCCGCTGCTCTCCAGCAAGATACAGGCAAACTATGATGTGATTGCACAGCTGTTGGTGGAAATGTGCGATGCGGGGATCGTGTGTAATACAGAGCCAAACGTGTTGCAGGAGACGGTGGAGGTTCCGAATTGGATGGGCAAACTGTTGGGCGGAGTAGGGTTACCAGGGTTAGTATATCTGCAATGGCATATTATGCTATTTATCAGGTACATTGGAGTAAATATTGACATGTATTGTGCATCAAGGACCGCTTCGCCGTCACTGGGCCCTCCGAACCCGCTGAAACAGTCCTTATCCTCCACTACGGCCAACATGGCCCAAGGGCCTGCGATTCCATGGCGACGACCAGGTGTGCGACATACTTCCAACGAGCTATATGTGGATATTATCGAGTCTTTATCTGTGACGATTGCACCATCTGGTCGGCTGCTGTCCGCTTTGGTATCGGGCACCATCGCCTTCACGGCCAAGATATCAGGAGTTCCAGATCTAGTCCTGAATCTCACCGCCGCAGGCGGACAACATACAATTGCCAAGAAGATCGAGCTTCCCGTGTTCCATCCTTGTGTGCGGCTGGGCCGGTGGAGAGAACGACCGGGTGAGCTGAGCTTTATCCCTCCAGACGGCCGCTTCATTCTTGCGGGATATGAGGTCAATCTCCTTCCTATTGACCCCGATCTCGACACTGCTCCTACCCATATGGAGAAGCTATTTCTACCTGCCATTGTCGACATCCGAAAGTCCCTTGGCCCCACAGGACAGGACTTTGAGGTCCGTCTGGTATTAAACACAAACTTCCCCGGCTCTTCGTCCTCACGACCCGCAGGAGGAGGCTTCGGCCGCGGTGGATCGGGCACATCTACGCCTTCATTCCTTGGAGGAGGTGCCAGCGGGAGCTCTTCCGCTCCGGTCCTAGACGAGGTCGTGGTCACGGTTCCTATCCCGAAGACTGTTCGTAATATCACAGATATGCAACCCAGCCGGGGCGAAGCCCAATATCAACCTGGAGACGACGTTCTCGAATGGCGCGTACCCACGAAAGATGCCGGGACTATCTCAGGGACCGCGACTCTATACTGCACAGTTGTAGGAAATCTACCAGCAGACGAGGACATCGACGAAGACATCGAATTCGGCAACGACCCAAGCACAAGAGCCACCGCCGATGCAGCGGACGCCAATCTTCTCCAAGGCTACTACAACGCAGACACATACCAGACTCCCAGCAAACCAAAAAAGAAAAAGACCAAGAAAACAAAATCCAAAAAATCCCGCTCTGCAGCTGCCACCTCCACAGATACACCAGAGGACTCCGCCTCTCCATCCTCGCAGACACCACCCCCACCACCCCCAAACCCTCCATCCCAACAACAAGAACAACAGCAGCAGCCATCAACATCACTATCCCTCAATTCTCAACAACCCCGCAAAAGCAAAGCCCAACTCAACGCCTCTCTAATGCCCACTTCCGCATCAGTCTCCTTCTCCGTGAGAGGATGGCTCCCCTCCGGAATCAAAGTCGAGAGTGTAATCATCGACCCCCGACGAAGCCGTGGCCTTGGCGAAGGTGTACGACCATACAAGGGCGTCAAGTATCTATGTATGAGTCGACGGGGCGTCGAGCGAAGATGCTAACTAACTAACTAACTAGTTAGTTATCAGTCAGTCTCAAAAAGAAAGAAACTACCGCTGTGATTCAGAGCCATATCTAGATGGGGGAACTGTTGGGAACCGAATATGGTATTTATTATGAAGATATCATTCAATCATGTTTTTTGCGCGATCTGATAATGCATTTTCTGGTCCTAGGGAAGGGAAGAGGGTAGCCGGAATAGATAGATTTATTATTATTAAAGTGAAGTCCCTTCATATTAGCACAGTACAATGATAAACTGCGCGGTGGGCAGCTAGCTCAGCGTCAGCATTTCATTTTTATTTTTATTTTCTTTTTTGACGTAGATGTCAATATCAACATTAGTCTATCTTGGATTCCAAATATGCACTTTCTTTCTCTGAAAGTAAGAAGCTACTACCACGTACTACTGCAAGGGTGCGCGAAGAGTAAAGAATTAAAAGTGGAAAGGACTGGAAGATCCTACCATTTAGCACGAGAGTAGATATCTATACATAGCACAAACACAAAAGATATCTCTCAAGATATTACATTATCAACAAAATGGAACTAACAAACAGAATAGTATCGAACAGTTCGATGAGAGTATTATTACAACTAGAAAAAAATATGAAAAGAAAAGAAAAGAAAAAGACAGAATAAGCTGAAATCAAATTCATCCGATCCATCCATCGTTTTCCCGGTAGTACTTACATCCAATCGTCAATGGCCATAACAATTTACCGTTCTCCGGGACCACTGTAGGGAGAAAATGGTTTACGGCTTCGATCGTCGATCGATGAACTGCTTGATGAAGTAGATGACTGGGACGCATGTGAGTAAGAATGTGACCCATGCTGTCGAATGGTCGATAAAAAAACAGGGGTATCTCCTTTTGGCGAATATGATGGTACAGAATCCAGGGTATGTGCTTTGCTTCCGAGAAAATTGTCTACTCCTTGGGCTCCGGGCCTTCAGGGCTCTCTTCCTCTGTATCTAACCCAGAAGTGGCAGTAAGAGATCTGGAGAGAAAGCCCAGACAAGAGAGATGCAATGCTAAAAAAGATGAAGGGATAGAGACAAGGGATGTAAGGCATAAAGATAAACTTACGAATAGCTAGGACTGCAGCTCTCCCAGCACCAGCCTTAACAGTACCTCCGCCAAGCGTTAAAATAGCACGAAGCAAGCGGAAGCGGATCTTACGTCCCTCGCGGTCAAAGTCAGGTGTCAGCTGGCTAGCGACCCTGAACTTGGCCAGCTTCCCGGCATACGGAGGATAGCGAATAGTGATAACGCTCTCGAGCCAGCTTGGAGTAGTCGTGACCGGACGGCGATGCACGAAACAATCGAAACTGGCCTTGCCACGGTATGCACCATGTCCACTTTCACCGACACCGCCGAATTCGAGTGTCGGAATGTGAAAAGCAGCGTCGTTGACCGCGGCGCCACCGGAACGTGTGCTTCGAAGGACTGATAATCATTAATACTGAATGATCGAGTTTATAACTCGCTGAGAGATATAGGGGCCTACCTTTCTCTGCCTCCTCGCTCGTACCAAACGCATAAATACCAAGGGGGGTAGCTTGCACTCTATTGGCGATCTCGATGGCCTCGTCCAAACTATCCACGGGGAGAAGGGAGATAATCGGGCCAAAGCTCTCCTGGGTCAGCAGGGCATCTTCGGTAGACTCTACCTGGACGATAGTGGGCTCGATAAAGCGCGTCTTCTCATCCAGGGTGCCTCCCACGATAATCTTGCCCTGGCTGCTGTCGATCATAGACTTGAGACGTCTGAACGCACCATCGTTGATGATACGCGCGAAGTCGGGGGACGCCTTGGCTCCCTGGGGATAGAATTCGTTGTACGCCTTCTTGAACTCTTCGATCACTGCGGGGAGAATTCCCCTCTCCACAAGGATGTAGTTCTGCGAAGTACAGACCTGACCCGCATTCAACGTCTTGCCCCAAAGCATTCTGCGCGCAACCAGTCTTGGATTGGCGTTCTTGGTCACAATGGCCGGGTTCATTCCGCCCAGCTCCAGTACGACGGGCGTCAGATGTTCAGCAGCAGCCTTGGCGACGATTCTACCGACAGGGGCACTACCGGTGAAGAAGATTTTATCCCATCGTTCCTCAAGCAGGGCTTGCGTCTCAGGGATACCACCCTGAACAATGGTATAGGATGAAGGGTCCAATGAGGCTTCAATGATCTGCTGCATGACAACGGCGCTGCGAGAGGAGTTCTGGCTAGGCTTGATGACAACGGTATTGCCTCCAGCAATAGCCCCAATGACGGGCCCAAGCGTAAGCTGGAAGGGGAAGTTGAATGATCTGTCGCGATATCATACCCTGTCAATCATCGATTATAGCTAGCGTGTTTTGATTTGTTCAATGAACTCACCCAATAACGAGCACTATTCCCAGCGGATCCTTCCTGATTCTCGGGTTCACGAATTTGAACGAAAAGTCGATATACGAGGGCTTCTCATCTTTGACCCACTGTTCCAGATGGCGAGTAACGAAAATGATGTCGTTTTCGAGCCATCCGATCTCTCCGCTGTAGGCCTCGAAAGCGGGCTTTCCCAGATCATAGCTGAGAGCCTCTTGGATCAAGTCCTCCCGTTCCTTGATACTAGATGATCCCATAGTCAGCCACTGCCGCAACCATGTCAAGCCGCTATCTCGATGGATATAGAGACCCTGTGCTGATAAAACTTACGCCCAATACAGCTTCCGGAGCTGGACCAGTCTGTACTCGACGGGTCGCGTCTTGTTCTCGTTGAATGAGTCGCGGAGCTTTGCCACGCGCTGAGGGATCTCCTCGAGTGGTGTGTATTTAATCTCTGGAATGGTAGTGACACCCATTATTTCTGCGCCACGGGCTGTGTGTTTGTTTGAAGATGCTAGTGTGGATGTTGTGTATGTTATACAGAAATTAAATTAATTGCTCCAAGCTGCAGGCCACCGTACGTCATTGGACAGTGGACACGGGAAGAAGGCGACGCGCGGATAAGCGATAAGCACAGCAAGTTATGAAAAGAAATAGATGGAATGGCTTAGCTCCTTGTACGAGAGATGAATCGATAGGGATGGGATGTCCCTTTGCTGAAATAGTGTAACTAAATAGAAGAATTGGGGAACGTGAAATGCGGAGGCGGCGAGTCACGGAGCTGCCCGCTCGGCCTTGGAGTTCAGGCACATGCTTGCGGTTTCGCCGCGGCCGATGATCGTGGGCATACAGCTCGGCGTGGATGATCGTCCCGGCCGGACTCGACATTAACTAGATATTGATATTCTATCTGGAAGAGCCACTTGTGGGATGCGCAAAGCAGGCCAGTAAACCGAGCTGTACAGTCTAACATAGTCGCACACTACGACAGCTGCGATTGCTTCGATTCTTATGTCCAGTTATCCTTATCTTATCGAACCCTTTCAGTCTCAGTTACAGCTTCAGTTCCAGGGGCTTTGATCTTACGCAATTGGACATTATCGATACTACGAGTAATGATGCAAATAAATTCAAGAGAATCATATTGATCTCGAAATCGTGGACCATCCGTTCCACATAACCAATCAAAAAAAAAAACACAAAGACGTCAATGGTACGTCGCAGCTAGGTACAATATACAGTAGGAAATCGAAATGCAAATGCAGTTTTCCACAAGACATTCATGACATATGCGCCATTATGGGGCATCAAGAAAACACAAAAATGTTGCTCAACAACAGAGATGTTCCCGAGGGAAATGTCCCCCTCTTTTTATGCACAGGGTTCTGGGGCGACCTGGCAAGACATTGGCCTTTCTATTTCGAAAAGTAAACCCCTTATTTGAACTGATCCTCCGTCACACCTTTACCCATGGCGCTGGTGCTGCTGACACCACCAGTCACCATCTTCAGAAGGTTGTCAACGTAGTTGGCGCCACTCCACTTCTGGTGCGTGACGACGTCGACCTTGTTGTCCATCTCGGGCTCCTGCACCAGCTCGCCGTACGCGCGCATGCCCTGCTTGGCGTACGCCTTGGCGAACGTATCCGTGATGAGAGCGGTGGTGTGGAGACCAGCCAGGGTGATGAACTGCCAGGCGTAGCCCAGCTTTCCGAGACGCTGGATGTAAGTCTCCTGCTCGTCGCGAGGCATGGCGGCCTTCCAGTTGAAGGAAGGAGACAGGTTGTACGCCAGCTTCTGCTCGGGCCAGACAGCGTGCACACCTTCGGCGAATTCCTTGGCCTGAGCGTAGTCGGGCAGCTTGCTCTCCATCCAGATGAGGTCGGCGAAGGGAGCGTAGGCAACCGCGCGGTTGACGGCACACTGGGTACCGCCACGGTAGCGGTAGTAACCCTCACGGGTACGAGCGGCTTCCCAGTCGAAGTAGATATCGACACCGGTGATCTCCTTGGCGATGGCGCGGGCCTCGCTGTTGCTCTTGCCCTTGACGGCCTGCTTGTACTTCTCGATGAGCTCCTTCTTGTTGACGTGAACACCAGCGTTGATGGTGTCGACAACAGCCTCATCGAAGAGCTTCAGACCGGCCTGGGCGGTCCACTGATCCTCAATGGCCTGGAGCTGGTTTCCGTTCTTTCCAGCCTGCTCCGCAGCAACCATGAGGTCGTTAAGGGGCTGCAGGTTGGGGTTGGTGGCACCAACGATGAAGGCGTGGTCACGGTGGTCAATGGTCGAGGTGATCAGGGTGGCAGCCTCGGAGTCAGTTCGGGCGATGGCGAGGAGATCGGTACCCATGATATCGGCCTGGGCACGGATGGCAACCAGACGGTTGATGTGCTCGCTGATCGGGACCAGGACCTTTCCAGCCATGTGTCCACACTTCTTGGTACCAGGGGCCTGGTCCTCAATATGGATACCGGCAGCACCTCTCTCGATGAAGAGCTTGGTGAGCTTCATGACGGCAGTCAGACCACCGTGGCCAGTGTCCGCATCAGCAACGATGGGTCGGAGGTAGTCAATGTTGGCAACCTTGTCACGCTTCTCCTTGGGAGTGGTGATGCGCTCCTCACGCTGCTTGCGGTCGTGGAAGAGCTGGGCCATGAAGAGCTGGTTGACCTTTCGGGGGACAGTGTCCTAGTGAACTTGTCAGTATGGTTTTAATTTGTCCATTGATTCGTGAACCAAGCAACTTACCATAGGGTAGTCTGCAAGATCGGGAGAGGGCTCGTCGGTGGAGGAGGCGGTGGAGGAGCTCTGCCATCCGGAAACGTAGACGGTCTCGAGGTACTTGGCCATCTGGGTGAGCATGGTAGGCTCGAGACAGCCATAGGTGAAGCTAGCGGTTTTGTTCTAATGCCATCACATGTCAGCAATTGCTTGTATACATCAGCGAAGGTTTCGGGACGGACCTTGAAGTTCTCCTCGACGATCTTCCAGAGCTTCTTGCTCTGCACGTTGGAGGGGTATTCAATCTTCAGGTTTCCACGCTTGGCCACGATCTGCTCAGCAGTGAAGGGACGCTTGGTGTACCTCCATCGGGGGTCTTGCCACCATCTCTTGACGGCCTCGACCTCTTCCCGGTACTGCTGGTCCTCCTGCTCGAAAAGTGCCTTGCTGCTCATCTTGGCGATGCGGTAGGGACGATAGGGATCAAGTAGGATTCCGATTGATTCTTAAGATAGATAATAGAACGATGTCCCTTGGTCGACGACGTCAGAGGACTCGTGAAAGCGGAGCGTCAACGGACTGACGCCTTGAGATAAAAAAAAGTATATATATGTAGCCTCGTCTGTTGAGACCGGGGCTTGGTTTATGATTAAGCCTCCAAAAGGTAAAAATATAGGATAAATTGTTTTAAGAGAAATAGTTTGGAGGAAGAAATGTCAGGATCATAAATGCCAGCTCCAGGAGCTGGAAATCACAAGCCAAACCCGGGGTACTTATTATTCCTTCGTCCGCCATGGCGAATGCGTCAGAAGGTGCTTCCCCGGCAAACTTTCGGCTCAGCGGGACAGCAGCTCGATTGTTACAGGCCGGTATTTCATCTGACGAAGACCGGGGGAACCCTCTGACAGGACGAAAGGCGAGACAGAGTCATAGCCATTATTATTACTGCTGGCCCGGGTAACCATGGATTTCAAGAAGCACAAGCTGGGCCTCCGAATACAGGAAGCTCATGGGCCGATTCCAGCATCACGGTCTGTGTGTGGCTCGGGAGAGAGGATGGACCCGGCCAGTTGATCCTCGGTCTAATGGACGGTCGTGCTCCCTGCCCAGCGTCAGTACGTTTTGGGCTTAATGTCTTGCCACCAGGCCGTTCATCGTTCTGGAGAGAGCGGGGCAGTTCATGATTCACCTGTCTGTAGCAACACCTGGGCCTCTGGATTATTATTCCTCCTCCTGGCTTTCTCCGAGTTTGAGCCTTCTTTTTTCCATCCCCAAGCGCCCTTTTCTGGGGAAAATACGAGTTAGTTTGACTTAGTGGAAAGAATGATGGTGGGGGAAGACAAGCGGAATTGGGGGAGGTTGGAGAATAATACTAGTTGGAGGATGACGTCTGCTCTCTTCTGACAAAGACGGCGACAAGTCGAATGATTCTGGTAATTTATTTATTTTACTGTTACGGCTGTCGTACCCAGATAATAATCATAATAATACGAGATGATGCGTTCTTCCGGACAGCGCCATGATTCTCGCAGGTCTCCACGACGATGGAGTTACCAGCATTCCAGAAGACGATCGGACTCCTCCTATTATTTTCAATAATAATTCGAAAAGAAATGTGGCTTTCGAAATTCACCGAGACTTGAGTCATCCTTCCCGTCCGGTCTCGGTGCAAGTTCGCGGGCCTCCGCTGTGACCAAAAAACCGTCCGACCCCGGTATTCGGGATCCACGTACCAGTGAGTAGTAATTTGAGGGTTTTACTACGCGAGCAGCCAGTTGCTCCGTACTTGATTAGTCGATCGCTGGATATCTTTACAATTTGGCCTCGGCTCTTCTGATGAACCAATGATCTCGGCCCACTGCAGATCCTCCATCAGCGTATCGATACAACTTACCGCCAGATAACTCATTACAGAGCATTACCCAGTACCAGAACTAATCATGACTACTAGTTAGTTAGTTAGCTGCTTAGGGAAAAGTAGTAGTAGGCACGTCAGTCTGTCGCAACGTTTAGATACATCATACTAGAGTCTTCGTCTGGTTCCTATAATAGATGATTCTGGCTTGGTCCCCATGGATTCCCAGCAACCGCCATTCCGATTTCCGCCACGACGGATTCTCCAGCACGATCTGGATTGGATCTGGGGTTCCCAGTGTCTGGGGGAAGCTTTAGCATTCAAACCGTGAAATGGTATCTGCCCAACCAAGTACTGTACAACTTACTTAACATTTCAAACCTCCTGACAGATAGAGATAATCATCATCTCCATCGCACCTTTGTTTGTGGAACAGAGTACTTACCATAGCTACTACTACTCAGAATACGTATGGTATGAGCAACTAACAGAGTCTAGACTTACAGTATTTTTTTTACTACATTAGCAGTCTAATAATACAATATATACCAGCAGAGAAAAGTCCACCTTTAGTGCAATACGTACTCTTTTTCTCTCCCCCTTGTCCAAAGCTCCGTTGAACCTCGGCTGAAGCTCGCAGCGCGATCACCAGCCCAATCACACCGCAGATCCTTCTCTCAAACCGCATCCCATAATACGGAATCACGATCAAAAACCGGAAGAAAGGGTAATTCTAATCCAGTGGTTAGTTAAATTATCGATAAACAAATATAATACAGCTACGCGAAATTCTGCGGGTGAGAAATAATTATTAACTATAGATGCGCTTCCGCATATCTTAATCACATTACCCTAGTTAGTTAACTATTGATTATTACCATCCCGTGTTGTTTCATTGCTTTGACTCCCCTCCCTCGGGGGATATCGGATGCATACCTGAGATGGTATCATTTAAGGACGAAAATTGTAAGTTACATATGCCACAGCGTCATTAATAATTGTATGAGGGTAGTTATATTATATCCTGCGCGGATAAAACGGACACTGTGCAGAATTCTCGCAATTATCACCATCCTATATAGTTATACCATGCAGAGATAGTTTAAGTACATAGTCCTCATCTCGCTCGGACACACACCGAGATATTATTAACTCATTCATTCCGACCCCTGCTCTTGTATCGTTGTGATGAAATGCAGCTGGTCCATTTAGATCAAGGATGAAAAGCAGGAGTTCGCCCTATTCTAGCTAGTATAGTAGTTGGGCAGGAAACGAATAGTTATATTTCACCGTTGTAGTAATTAAAAGTATCATTTGTAGATTAACGATTTTATCAGACTGGTGTTGTGTGTCTCTGCATATGCCAGTAACTGCTGCTAAGAGTCCATGTGTGCATGTGTCGAAGATTGAATGGCAGCGTCAGACCTGAACACCTTGAATTGCTTGCTTGCTTCTAGGTCTAGGGAGGATTTGAACCCACATTCAACTCTATCCAGATGAGAGCCGGAAATTAAGTCCAAATACGCGATCATATCACTTAGACCACATTATTATCTGAATCTGGGATCTTTCCTTGATTGTTTCTAGCTGGTGTATTTGGGTCTCTGACGGGCTGTTAAAAGGGACAGGTATCTCTGTTAGAGCAAAAAGACTGGCATACAAGGCCTAATTAACTCAGATATTTAGCTCTTGATTCACATCATCGACATTCGCACTTTATATGTTTCTACTCTCGCAGCATAGGGCTACAATATTGACAACACTCTTTCAAAATAGATCTTTATCGTTTCGGAGATATTCATGTAGAAATCACATTGCTCTTTAATGATGCTACTGCATCTTCTATCGAGTCACAATCCCTTGCAGTCGCAGGGTCAGGCTGCATCCCCTAAAGAGTCGAGTCATCTTTCTCGTGCAATGTGTGCATCAACTTCGAATCTACTCGATTATCTTTAAATTTTTTCTAAGAATGCCGCACTCCCGATCTTCGCTCAGACCGTAGTATTCTCACTCGCTTTCTTCAATTTGCCCATGAATGCACCCCATGTAACGAAGACACATGGAGATAACAAAATTAGAATTACCTTCAAATGGAATAGAGACTGAAGAAGAATCTAGCAAACGTATCGACTTAAAAGGAAAATGGTCAAGTGCAAATGCATGAGCCACCTTCGAGTGAGATTGCCCCAGATGCGTAACAGGGAAAATAAATGAGAAACGTCACTTCGTCAGCAATCACCCGCATCGCGAAGAGCGTTGTAAAATTGTCTCCGTATCAAAACTAGGCAAGCTCAAACAGATCACGTGATGAACAAGGAGAAAGAAATATGGCTGCCTTTTTCTGTTCTTTTCTAACGTCTAAATCACAGCAGAATTAAAAATCTAGCATCGCTCGACATGGAAGATCAATGTTTGCTTTTCGGTCTTAGTAAGGGTATTGCATGGAGACAGCCTTGCTGTAGGTCTCGTAGGGCGTGATGGCTCCCAGAGCACGTCTCATGTGCGCATTTAAAATATCGAGTCCGTAGACATAGCTGGCGTTGACCCAGCCGAATCTATGGTTCAAAGTTAGCGACTGAAAAGAAAATGAAAAGCGCAGTGAGACATGGCATCCAGCTTACCCTTCCCTAGGAACTCCCTTGAAATCGGTGCCTTGGTTTCCGTATTCGGCATCAACTCGGTGCGGATCGATGGGACGGGTGACGTCGTACTTCTCAACGACGACTCCGTTAAAGTCGACAAACGCCTTGGTGATCATATACAGCCACTTATAGGCTAGTCTCTCGGCTTCATCCTGGTAACCATAACGCAGTAGTCCAGTCCAGGCCAACATCTGCTGAGGCGCCCAGCCGTAAGGGTAGTCCCATTGCCGGTTGGGCCTGTCGAGGGAAATTTCACCACGCGACTTCTCCGTTCCAGAAACCAATCCACCATAGGCCTCAAATCTGGGCAACGCCTTGCGGACCAGCTCTGAAGCCTGGTGTGGAGTGGCCACGCCCGACCACATGGCCCAGAAGGTCGTCGCACTCTCGTACGAGGTGCGCACCTTATTGACGGTATCATAATCGAAGTACATACCCTCTTCGTCGTTCCACAGGTACTTGTCCATGGCCACCTTGCGCCTTCGTGCGCGACGATCCCAGACAGAAGAACTTTCATGCGTGATATGCTGGGTCGCAGGCGTGCGAAATTCTTCAGGGATCTCCAGCTTATCGTCAAAGAATGTACGGATCGTCCGGCCAATGTCGACCTCATATTTATACAGAAGGGAATTCAGGTCAACGGTTGCGAGATTGGCACAGACCCGTTCAAGACGATAAGACGTGTCATGGCCTGATTCTCGGACAGCTCTGTCGTGTAGGAAATAGTCGTCGAGTTCAGGTTCATGGACCTTGCCCTCGTTATAGGCCTGAACGAACTCGCGGAATGTCATACCATGCTTCTCTGCGTAGGGAGTGAGGAGATGAAGGAAGTGGGTTGGCTCCGTCTCGGGTGGGACACCCAGACCTTCTGGGCGATATCTCGACAGACCAGTCTCCTGATCAAATCGTGGCTCTGACGTCCAAACACTATAGTATTCCTTGATGGCCGCGAGGATAGCCTTCCGCAGGAAGTCAATGGCATCAGGCTCCGTCTTGATCTTGTCGTACACACGCAGTGCCATGTCGGTAAGGAACGGTGGCTGAGAACGGTTCAGATAGTATGTTCGATTTGCATTGAGGATCTTCCCGTAATGCCTGATGCAGAAGCAGAAGTTCAGGACCATTGACTTCGCCAGATCGACCCGGTCACTGGCAATGAGACCTAACGACTCCATATAGCTGTCCCACCCATAAAGCTCATTGAAGCGGCCACCAGGGACGACGAATGGCATTCCCTGGAGTTCTTTCTTCTCGGTTGCCTCGTTGTAAACCTCCTGCATTTCCAGAGCGAGAAGACCAGGTTTGGCATTGAGGTCTCTGACATATTGCGGAGTGATTTCGTGATCAAGCAGAAGTACATCCAGGCGGAGCTCAGGATGAGACTTGGCAATATTCGTATAATACTCGAATTGTTCGGGCGCATTCGGCGGGACATAGATACGAGGGCGAGGGTCATCAGTCCAATCCTTCGGGTCTCTCCCCGCAACCTGGATGTTCGACCCATCGATCCTCCTGGTAAGATTGTTCCAGAAAGTAGTCTTGATCAGGCGAGACAGACGCGAGACAGGGTTCTCGCTGAGACGGGCCTCGTCCAAGATTACATGTTTCCGGCCATAATCTTTAGCTATAGTAAGCTCCTGCAGCAGGTTTGAAAGCATGTATGTTCCCCGCACATCGAATTTGTTGTATCCGGACGAGGCAGCCGTTCCTACTGACAAAACCTGTCCATAAGTCAGTATGTACGTCTCTCTGCAGGGCTCCTACATGAGATCGTCACGGGAACGCACCTTTGGTCCTACATCCTCGATGGTAATCTGCATGTTCTGGTCGGTGTCCTCCCTCTCCAATAAAGTCTTCAGCGTGGCATCAACATCAATCAAAAACTTGCGGGGTTGAGCGGGCACCGGATCTATAGGTCACACAGGGCAGTCAGTATTCCGTCCAGCTAGAGAACATAGGTCCAAACCGCTAGCCAGGGCAGGGAAAACTTACCGAGACTCCCTCTCCGCGCATTCCTTCCCAGGAAGCTCTGAACATCTTCACGATTGAACGTCTTCAGGTTCTAGCAGCAAGGTAACCATTCAGTAAACTGCCAGTCCACAAGGTCATCTTTCACCCCGCATGCCACTTACCGACGAGAAGGCACGCCTGCGGTCCTTCGCGCTGCCATGCGCTTCATTCCCGTAGTAAACGTCGGGATCGGAGAAAGGGTCGCTGGATTGGTTCCGACGGTGACCGGGTTTTGAGGAGCTCATCGTATGGCTGCTTTCGGTCGGCACTTAAGCGCAACGAAGGGGGTTCCAGAACAGCAAGGGTAGCAGTTCACGAACAGGGTAGTGGTGACTAACGCCAGAGAAGGCTTTGTTGTGAAGATGTGATGATGTGACGCCTGGACTTCCTCGTGTCTGTATGCTGTGCGCAGTATTTGTGTGTGCTGATAGCGCTGTAGCCTTAAATACTTGGGTTGACGCAAGAGCGGTCAGAGAGCTTCGATCGAGACCAGCTAAGTAGAGGAGGCGGTGGACTAAGCAAGACAAAGGGGAGGTGAGAACGGGAGACAGGAGAGAGGAGACAGGTCGCGTGAAGTGTTGTAGAAAGCGATGAGATTGTTAGAAGACTGGAAACTCGAAGATACGTTCTTTGGAGGGGTTATCAGTCCTTCGCCTCCCACGCTCGTGAGGTTTTACTCCCGTGGGAGTTTCTTCCCGCTCAGAGAGAGTGACGAAAGGGCAACCTATGATGTCGCCGCTCCACTCCAGCCCACCTTTCCTCTGTCCAGAATCTCCGGATCAATGCGGTCTTGTCGCGCAACGCTGCTTTTGTGAGAACTCTCGGCGGCTCACTCTCGACTGATTGGGTCTACACGTCCAATTACCAATTTACCAGCTGAATAACTTACCTTGAGCTGGCGAGTCTATACGTTGAGCTATACCATAAGAGTTGCTACTACATAGTTGACTAACTATCATATGAGGGGCCATGCTGACGTATCGGGATCATCCTTCTAGATTCCTCCGACTCTCTGGCTCTGCTATTCTTGGCAATAATCCGACGTGGGGTACCGACAAAGGTGTCGCAAGAAAGGTAATTGTTTAGTCTGCCGTTGGTAGAAGTGGCTTCCAGTCGGGCCCTCTCCCGACTACACACGTAATACTCGACCTTTATAGGACGATCATTAGGTCTGAATATTTCTGTATTAATATGCATGGCAATTCGCTGCCATTGTGAGTATGTGCCATCAAAAAAAAACCCCCGGTCAGATCTAGAATCCCCAGCATATGCCGGACACACTGTTACACAGCCTATACTCAGATTTTAGCACTGACGGCGCTACCGCCGTCCACCGTGATTGTCGCGCCGTTTACATACGACCCAGCTCTGCTGCTTAGGAACAAGCACGAGCCAGCTACATCCTCCGGGGTGCCGATACGGCCGAGTGGGATTCCCGCCTCGATGACATCGCGGAATTTGTCGAGCGTGGCTGCCATCATTTTGCTCTGGAACGGCCCGCAAGCGAGTGTATTCGATCTGTCCAGTAAGAACAATTGTCAGCCAATGGTCACGAGACCAGCAGTCGGTGAAGCGATTGTACGAACGTGATATTCCTCTTTCCTAGGTGATTTGCCAGCACTCGACTCAGGTGATGCAAGCCCGCCTTGCTGGAGCTGTATGCGAAGGTCTCAAGTGCAGGCACGCGTAGGCCGTCGATGCTGCCGATGTTGATAATCCGAGCGGGGTCTCCTTGGGTGGCTGCTTTCTCCAGGAGAGGCGTCAAGAGCTGGGTTACGAGGAAGACACGGTGGAGATTCAACGTCAGGACTCTCGTCCAGGCGGAAGATGGATACTCATCGTAGGGGGCGCCCCAGTTCGAGCCGGAATTGTTCACAAGAACGTGCAGTTCTGCGCAGTAAAAGGATCCGTCAGATGAAAAAGCCGCTTCACGAGATCGACTCGCTCTGCGAGTAACGAAACTTACTGCTTTCTCTCTTGGCAAATTCCTCGACTAGCCTCTTGCAGTCGTCCTCCTTGTAAAAGTCCGCCGGGATAGCATATGCCCTGCCCTTCCCCAAGGCATTGAGCTCGTTCACGGCTTTGTCGCAGGCCTTCGCATCTCGTGAAGTGATATAGACGGTTGCTCCGTTCGCGACATAACCTTCAGAGATCATTCGACCAATACCCTTTGCGCCGCCGGTGACCAGCACCACTTTGCCCTATAGAAGTATAACACGCCTTCAGTATTCGTCTCTGATACCAAGAATCGGTACAAGTTACCGACCATTTTCAGGAGTTGATGATCCCTACCTCGACGTTGAACAAACTCCTGAGATCCATATTGTATCGAACAAACAATAGCTATAGTCAAAGTACGGGTAGTATTATTCAAAGGAAAGCAGAAATATCAAATTATCATTTTATTTTGATCTGCGGAGAAAGCTACCCCCCATATTCTTATCCGATGGGCTGGCCTCGATCCGGAATGGGACCAACAACAATACCGAGGCTCATTGGGACGGAATAATGTTTACTCCGGACAATTATGTCATTTCTCCTTTTGGAACTAAATTAGGGCACGGTCGTCAGGGTTCGCGGGGCATGGATGCGCTACTCCAGTTCTAGTGATGTGATAACTAAACCTCTTGGAAAGATCTCGCCTTCTCTCCAAGCATCATCTTTGATACCCGATTAATTCTTGCATCTACCATAGATTTTTTTACGCATCATATGCATTTCCTCCCTATTACAAACTAAGAAATCCGTCTTCAATTTTATTCTCATTTTCCCTCAAAAGAGGCCCTGACAAAAAAAAAAAAAAAAAAAAAAAACTAGAAATTATATAAACCTTTAAAAAACACCCCCAAAACAAGATGGAAGAATTACAAGCCAAACACCGCAAAGAACAACGAGACCTGCAAGCGCGTATCACTCAGAAAAAGAAATCCGCTACGAAGAAGACTCGCAAGGGCGTCAACGATGAATGTGAGCGACTACAGCGCGAACTGGCAGAAAAGCAACAGGCGGAGATTCGTCAGTTGAATGGAGAGCCGCCTGAACCGCCTGTTGATGGACTTGATGAGCTCGCGTTGAGTGATGATAATGATCTGGATAAAAAGGAGGAGGAGGAGCGTTCAGTAGCAGCGGCGTCGGAAGAGAAGACGGTTGAGGAGGGAAACAATACTCCGCAGGCTACTGCTGCTACTGCTGCTGCTGCTGCTGCTAGGCCGGTGAAGAAGCCGAATCGTCAAAAGGCGCGTCTTGCGCGACGGGCTGCAGAGCAGGCTGCGCAGGCTGCGGCCGCTGCTGATGAAGCTGCGAATCAGACGGATCGTCGCGGAAACGAGAAGGAGGTGATGGACGCGACTTTCAAGCGGCTTGGTCTGCGGGAGTTGGAGATCAACCCGGATGGACACTGTCTCTACTCTGCTATTGCTAGCGAGCTGGATGAAATGGGGCTTGGTCTGAGACCGGATCCGAATAGGATCCTTCTGCCGTCGACGACCCAGTCGCGGATTGATACGGTGGCGTCGCCTAAGCATGATGGGTACCGTGCCGTGCGAGCTGTGGCAGCGGATTATATCCTCGAGCACAAGGATGACTTTGAGCCGTTTATGGAAGAGCCTTTGGACGAATATACGAGGAAGATTCGGCTAACGGCTGAGTGGGGTGGGCAATTGGAGCTACAGGCCATCGCGAGAGCGTATGGCGTAGAGATCAACGTCGTACAGAGTGATGGAAGGATAGAGAAGATCGAACCGGGAGATACAGACGACTTGGATGAAGAAGAGAGAGGCAAGCGCAAGATCTGGTTGGCTTACTACAGACACACCTATGGCCTAGGAGAACACTACAACGCTCTACTCAAGAAACCTTAAGGCTGCAGGGTTTGGTGGTATTATCACAGTCGCGTCTCAATGGGTTTCGAAGAAGCCGATTTATTTCTTTCATAGAGAATCGCGACAACTCGATTTCGAGTGCAGCCAAGGTATCCAATCGACGGTTTATCTTAATCAGTGCATACGCCACACGGAAACGCGGTCTCGCACTACTCCAGATTCGTCCTTACCCACGTCGTGTGTCCGCTCGGGCTGCCAGAAGGATACTCGTTCCATTCCGTTGTCGCTTGCGGGCCGTAGGGGGTTGGCCTTGACCCGGCCTTTATCATCATACGGTATCTCCTCGCCCGGGTAGCTGAGATGCTCCATATATGCGTCCGAGGGTGCGGCAAATGGTGGACCAGGTGCCAAAGGATCCTTGTGTGTCGGAAATTCGAGGCAGATCAGATTACCCCGCGGTGCAGGTGCCAGCAGTTCGGTGTGACGGAGAGCCCATTTGGGTCGCATCGATGGATTCAGTGCGCAGAAGAACTATAGTCCCGAAAGAAACCGAGGCAGAGACGTCCTGTCAGAATTGAGTTCTTTCCCCCATTTTGCATAGCAGGTATAGAAAGCATTGCGAGCATTGGATTCGACAAATAGAGCAAAGAATAGAATAATATATGAACAGCGAATAGCAAAGGGGATCCCAGGGTGATAAATACCGTGTAATCGTAGACCAGATCGAAGCCGTTGCGCGGAACTCCAATCTTCTCCAGCCAGTCGTCCTGGAAGAAGTCGCCCTGGACGAATGTCACGGATCCCCGTCCAATCTGCGGATCCCGCACCGGGTACTTGTCTGCATTCTTCGCTTCCTCTTGCTTGCAGGCCTCGATGGCAGAGGCACTGTATTCGAGTCCGTAGGCATCATATCCAAAGCTGGCCAGGAGCAGCACGTCAACCCCCCTCCCGCAACCTGGAACCAGGGCCTTCTTCCTCTTGATTCCGTCCTCTATCGTCTCCACGGGCTTTCCAAGCAGGGCTCGACCCTGCGTCAGGGTGTCTTCCAGAGCTGGGTTAGGGAATCCCCTATCCCAGGGAAGGACATCACCACGGTTCCAGAGCTCTTCCCAACCGTCCCTGTAACGCTCACCTGGGTACTTCGACAGGCGCTCATGCAGAATGGCGGTTGGCTCCGGATTGGACATCGTGCGCGGGACCGTGGTAGACAGCCAACGTGTTCCGAGAGCACTGTATCTGGATGATGAGAAGGCAGCTCGTTTACTGCTCACCTTCAAAAGGTTTCTGGAGAGCGGTAACCTGAGGACAGACGCCACTTTGGATATTATAGAAAAAAGCGATAAATCAACGGAGAAAAGGACAAGTATAGTAGGTACCGTGCCAGTGAGGGGTGAGGGGTACGACGAGACCGAAGAAGCGGGAGGGCAGCAGCACCAGCAACTCAATAGGACAAGACCTCTGTAAATATATTCGAAACCGAAGCCTCAAAGATATCTCCCTAACCTGATGATTCTGTGTAAGGCCTCGAATATTCCTTTTCTTTCTAGAAGTTCAGCTCCATCGTCAACCTGAGATGTACTCGAGCTCTCCAAGACTCCAACTCTCCGCACGGTGCCGGAGTCGGAGCCCCACTGCTGGCCAAGTATGAGATGTTAGCGCTAGATACACTTCACGAAGTCCTTGAGAGGAACAGCCCCGAAAGAGATGGGATTGGCTACTTATCTTCAATAATTTGTACTCGAGAATAATAAGCATCGCAAACGGGCGTACTTAGCTGCAGCGAAGTTATCTCAAAATCAACGGCACAGTTGGTAAACTATTGCTCCGTACGTTTGTCTTCAGTAACGTAGAGTCTGCAGGTCCGAAAAAGGGCGATCAATCATCAAACATAGTGACAGCAAACGGCGCTCGGCTGCCTGCATCTGCCAATTTTCTGGGTAAGTCACCGCTGTTTATTTGCGGTTAGAAGCGGTATGGTTACTTACATCTCAGATTCTACCTCGTTGCTATCTGGTCTGTTCAAGCCAAGCTGTTATAAGTCGTCGAGGACCCAATTCTCTCTCCTAGATCAGTGCCTTGCCTCTGTTCATTATTGTACCGCAACCTGTGGACCATCAATGAAACGAACCTGGAGAGGATAGTTGATTTAGCCCATAGATACGGAACAAACGGCACGGTGGTCTCGAACGATGAGTGGACAGAAAGACCAGCTTTGCTGCCGCCGTCGCATTGACCACTGCCAAAAAGTATCCAACAGTCATCCTCCGCCCTTGGCGTCCATGGGTTATCTCGTTCTCTGTGCTTGTTTCTCGGTAGTTAAATCAAACGTCGAAATGGAGTTTTTCGGATATTTTTCCTGGCGGGAATCGTACTCTGTACTAACTGCCGCGGTTCTTTCCGCTCTCAGTCCCGCTGGATAAGAGTACAGCCCGGCAAGAGCTAGTTACACCGTACACCGTACTTCACAGATGTGATTCCAGTCTGGATAGGAAAGGTCTAATCTGATCCGGCGTGAAGACGCCAATTTAGCGGAATTCACGGTGGGGACCTTTTGAGGCCTGAAGACCACGCCTGCCTTGTATGGTCCCGGCTTGATATTGACGCGATTCCTCCACTTTTCTATTTCTTGCCTGCTTGTTCTCCTTCTGTACGTAGCACAGCCGTACTCACGTATTTCGTCGGGGCCTGTTGCTCTATTTCTGCGGTGGATGGTCATCCTGCAGTCGACTGTTATATGTATATCGACTGACCTACTGCTGCCGCTGGTAGACCGACTCATTTTGTCATCTTTCCGCCAAGGCATATCTTAAAGATCCAGAGATATCCAGCTTACCTGTTGAAAGTCCCCGTTTCTCAACCCTCCTTGCCTGCTGTGATATCGAATACAAAATTTGTGTCTGCGATAAGATAACCGCTGTACTTTCGACCTGGAAGTAAACAGCGGGTCCTCAGCTGGAGATGGACAAACATATGGGCGTTTCCCCGCCTCAGGCCATGGCCAGCGATGAGGAGAGAGCAATGCATTCGAACGGAATCTCAGAAGAGACTGACTCGGACACACATTCGATATCCCCAGCCTCGAGTCTTCCACCAATTCTGGAGGGTAAAAGCCCCGAAGATGCCTTCCCTACGGAGCGGGCTACCTCGATATATGAAGAACCTATTCCGGTGCCTCGATCTAGGCGTCGAGGTCTGTTTGCCCAATTCACTCTCCTGGCAGAGGTCGAGAATCCCAAGACCTACCCGCGGAGGACCAAGTGGTTCATCACCTTCATTGTGGCCGTGGCGGCCGCAGCAGCACCCATGGGGAGCTCAATCTTCTTCCGTAGGTGACCCGGTAGCTATCCTTGAGTCTGTTCGGTGCTGATGACGCTGGAATTTAGCGTCTCTATCTCAGGTAGCGAAAGATCTAAACTCCACGCCTACTGTGACAAACTTGTCTATCGCCCTGTACATGCTCAGCATGTCTATTTTCCCACTGTGGTGGTCGTCATTTAGTGAGGCACTTGGCCGACGGACTATATACCTTGTGTCCTTCGTGCTATTCGCGGTATTCAATGTTCTATCGGCGGTTTCGACTTCCATTGCGATGCTCATCGTTTTCCGGATGCTGAGCGGCGGAGCCTCTGCATCAGTCCAGGCCGTTGGAGCTGGTACGATTGCGGACCTCTGGGAGCCGCGGGAGAGAGGAAGAGCGATGGGCATATTCTATCTTGGTCCGCTGTGTGGGCCCTTGTTCGCCCCCATCATCGGTGGTGCTCTGGCCCAGCACTGGGGCTGGAGAAGTACGCAATGGTTCTCGGTGATCTATGGAGGTGTGGCTTTGCTGTTCATCTTCGTCGCTCTCCCGGAGACTCTTGTGTCGCGCAAGACCCCTATCGTAGAAGTGGAACCAACAGTGCCGATGGAGCGACCTCTCAGTCGGGTATCTTCTCGACAGGTTTTGCACTCGACAACTCGAGTGCTGAAGGCACTGAAGATAGTTATCCTGGATCCTCTCAAGATCATCTTGTACCTGCGTTTCCCGCCTGTCTTGCTCACGGTGTACTATGCAAGTATCACCTTTGGGTCCTTGTACGTCTTGAACGTCAGTATCGAGGATTCCTTTGGAAAACCTCCTTACAACTTTTCCACGATCATTGTAGGCTTGCTTTACATTCCGAACTCCCTAGGCTATGTGACCGCAAGTCTATTCGGTGGAAAATGGATGGATAGCATTATGCAACGCGAAGCGAGAAAGGCGAACAGATATGACGAAAAGGGCAAGCTTGTCTACCGTCCCGAAGATAGGATGCGCGAGAACGCGCTGCTGGGAGCTATTATCTATCCCGGTGCTCTTATCTGGTACGGTTGGACTGTCGAGCGGGGTGCCTTCTGGCTGGTCCCGGTGAGTATTCATTCCACCTGTTTATCTCTGGGAAATCAATGGACTAACGAAATCTAGATGATTGCTAACTTTTTCTTTGGCATTGGCTCAATGCTCATCTTCAGTATGGCAACAACCATGCTGACAGAGTTTATGCCCAAGAAATCATCTTCCGGGGTCGCGCTGAATAATTTCATGCGTAACATTTTTTCATGCGTTGGCTCCATCGTTGCCGCTCCTATCATTAATGCCATTGGCAATGGTTGGCTTTTTACAATTCTCGGGTTGGTTGCGATCATCAGTAGTTCATCGCTCCTTTTTATGAGGGTCTTTGGTGCTCGATGGCGACAGAAGATGGACGGGCACATGAACTGATTTTGGGTCTCTCGAGCCCATGCCTGCGTTACTGCGTCAGATAAGGGTTCATGCACTCAGCATACACTGCCACGATAATGATGGCGTTTGGATTTCTTTCAATGTGTGCTTTTTTCTCTCCTGCATTTTCCGGCTTTTCCATTAGTACCATCACCCATGAAGTACGTATGTGCATCATCACGAGCAGTCACGCAAGCATCGTGGTTTCTTTTGCGGGGTTCACTTCAGGCGCACCAGACGGCTAGGGAATAGATATTCTTCTTTTAGAGGTGCTCCTCGGCTTTCTTCACAGATGCACTTCCAGTCAAAGGCGGCGCTTCGCTGTAGCTCTCGTTGGGAAGCTGAGGGAAAAGGCACAAACAATTAGCATCTTGCGTTCATGTGAGCGAGACTAGCTAACCTTTACTGTCAATAACATTAGATCACCAAATGGAGACTATCTGGATTCAATTTTCTGCCCGTAAGTGAGTGGATTAATGGAAAGAAAGGGATTTTCTCAAGGGCTACCCGCGGACATAACCCAGTCAGCTGAGGGCGGGCGTCTGGCCCCATTCATTGACTACCGGCCTAAAGCTAGTACGTAGAACTGTAAGACACACCTTATAGAGTCCCACGTTGTAACGGCCTTATTATTTGCCCCTTTTCTCATATGGTCATCTTCTAGTCGTCCATACATACTCAGGAGCAACCAATCCGATCTAGAGGTAACCCGTACTGAAGCCACGACATACATATCCACTAGATATCTAGATAGTATTCTTCTCATACTCGTCCCGTTTGAGGCGTAAGTTCAGGAACTTGCGAATGGCAAGTTCATCTACGCGATATCAGGGGTGTGCAACGGGGCTGCAGTGCGTGGGAGAAAATCGCGCTATGGGAAGATGACAGGGACTAGAAACGTTATTTCATGTCGTTTTCAAGTATTCATATTCAAAGTATGCATGGTGTAGATCAGGTAAATATATTTTATTATTATATTTATGTTAATTCTCCTATGTTAATTATATCCAATCCGACTCGGTTATCCGACATCGGATACCGTTTTAGTAAATAGTATTCTCAAGCGTGTAGTTGATATGATCCTTGAGCTCTGTTTCTTTTTACTTCTTGTCCGGAAAAAGGTAATGCTATAATTACTGTTTTAGGCTGGTGGAACGGGAGGTATGAAGAGGGGTTATCTGTTCAAGGTAAGGGATGGGTGGTGTCAGGATAGAAAGGAGTGATGGTGGACCAAGCTTTTTTTTGATCATCCGGCCAATTCCTACGCTGTGTGCAACAGTAGTGAGAGTTAGCCTTAGTTGCAACTTATTCGTCGTCCAATGTCAGGAGTCTCTTGCACGATGCAAATGGCAATTGGTTCAGACGGCGCCGGAATTGTTCCGTAACGAGTCAATCAAAGCATGTGCGGAGAGGGTGCAGAAGATAAGAGCTCATCCCATGGATCTTCCCATAAACGGCAATATATGGCTGATCCAAGCGTTACGGATGCGTTCTGACAGGACAAGGGACAAGAGGGGTTTATGTAGGAGAATCCCGGTTGAGACTCGGAGAAGGTGCTGATGCGATTATCAAGCTGACCTCAGCCAGTAATAGACTCACGCAGACATGTAGATCTATCAGCAAGCTCGGTGGTGCCAGCGTCTTGGCCGTTTTGCCTGTCAATCCCTGAACGCCGGCATAATCTTAAAGTCACATGCTGGGTTCTTTTCCCAAATAACGATCTGGCAGCACTGTCGAAAAGAGGCGGGACCGTACGTGATACATCACCTGTGATGCCCGACCAAGGAGGCAAAAGGATTACCACAACGAAAAGCATGTAGCCCCTTTTGTCCTTCTGGTTTCGATTTCTTAATTTTGGCCTTCCTTTACTCCCAATTGAGACCTGATGTATGTGCCACGTAGAGACGAAGTTCTAATTGATGTGATCAGTCGCCACAATTGGTCTGCAACGTATTGAAACCGGACAACAGAACTGTGATGGCAAGAGGGACTTTTTTCGGGTATTTGACGGGTCAGAGAAGGTGAAGCATCGAGAACCACCGGAAGTTAATGCAGCAGTTCATCTGATGACAGAGTGCTCATTCTGTTGCATATCGCCACACCGAATGCATCCATTTGCACACTTGCATCTAGGTCGTCATGCAGTGATGCTCCAATGTGCCCGAATATCATGTGTACGCTACAAATCCCATCGCGATGGGCTTTGAGACTGGGCTTCCATTGGACTGCCATTTTGGGCTCTTCTCGTCGTCCAATTCCCAAGCCGTTTCACAGACGCCTAGAATCTGAGAATAGACAAAGTCTAGACTGATCCATGTTGAGCACAGCCTTGTATACTCATCAGCTCTGGGGACTGGATGTGAACGTGTCTCGACAGATGAATAGAGGAGAGAGAAAGAGCCGTATCGAAGCGCCCTCAGACCGCGCTGGCCGTCTGATCTTCGTTTTGCCTCGACTTCACGGCCACTGTGTGGAATGCGCCCACGCAGGAACCTACCTCACAACGCCCGAGAACTGGACGGATTGATCGCCTTTGGCTTCACTGTTGTTTCTGCAGGGCAGAGAGTGGCCACACCCCTGAAATTCCTGTCGCTGGATCTGCGTCTCATCTAGTAAACGTGAGAGCATTCTCCAGTGCTCACAGAGCGTGAAGCCCACCGCGGGGGAATGGTGTGTCGTCTGGCAAGTCATCTCTGCGTGTCCGGTACTAGGTAATTAATTGATTGATTGATTGATTATTATTATTACAGTAATGCTGGGACAATCATCGAGGGCGGCCAATCTGCGGTTGCCAGAACGGTTATATGGGTCGCGAGGTCGCGAGGTGGCGTCTCGCGAGGTCGCGAGGTTTTTGTTACCAGTAGGTTACTGGTAAATTATTATTTTATATTAAAATTATACTAATATATACTAATAGAGAATAAAATCTAAAATTTTTAAATCTCGCGGGGTGGTAAGTACAGGTAAATCTTATCTCGCGGGGCGGGAAGGGGGAAGGGGGGAGTGGAGACGAAAGAGGACGAGGGAAGAATGAAAAGGCTGAAGAGCGAGTGAAAGAGCGTGATGGAGAAAGGACGAGGAGACCCACCCCCCGCGAGACGAAGGAAAGAACGGGAGAGCGGGAGGAAAAGGAAGCAAAGACAGGCGAGGAGGGCGACTGAAAGAAAGCGGGAGGGGACGAAGAAGAGGGAAGATGGGGAAGAAAGAGGAAGAAGAGAGGAGGATAAGAGGGAAGAGGAATAGTAGGGAGGAAGGAGTGATAGTAGGAGGAGTGGGGACGAAGAAAGAGGGAAGAGAGGAAGGGAGAAGGAAGCATGAAGGGGAAGAGGAAGAGAGGCGCGCGGTGGGGGCGAGAGAGAGAGAGGAGAAAGAGAAAAGGAGAAGGAGAAGGGGAAAGGGAAAAACGAAGAAGAGAGGAGAATGGAGAGTAAGAGAAGGAAACGGGAAAGAGGAGAAGAGAAAATAAAAATAAGCGAGAGGAGGACGAAAAGAGGAAAAGAAGGAGAAAGAATAGAGAAAGATGAGGAAGAAAAGGGAAAGAGAGGAAGAGGAGGACAAGGATAAAAGAGGAGAGAGGAGGAAGGGAGGGAGGGGAAGGAAGGAGGGGGAAAGGGAGTAAGAGAGAGAAAAGAAGAAAAACGGAGAGGGGGGAGAAAGAGGAAAAGAGCGAGAAGGAAGGACGAAGGAGAGGAAGAAAGGGGAAAAGTATGGAAGAGGGACGAAAAAAGAAAAAGAATGAGAGAAGTGAGGGAGGGAGGTGTGTGGATAAAGAAGATTGAGGCGGAAAGAGAGAGAAGGAAAAAGAGGAGAAGGGGGATGAGGGGATAGGAGGAATGGAGAGGAAGAAAGGGGAAATAGAGGAAAGTTTCGAAAATAGGAGAAAAGAAGAAAAGTAGGATGTGATTGGAGATAAAGTGAAGAGAGGGGAAAAGGGAGGAAGAGAGGAAAAAGAAGAAAATGATGAGTGGGGGTAAAATGAAAGGAGCGAGAAAAAGGACGAATGAGAAGAAAATAAATAGGAGGGACAAAAAAAAGGAAAGTAAGAGACGCGGGGATAATGAATAATAGAATATATTTAAATTATGATAGAATTAAGTATTAGATAGTTTAATATGTACTAGGAATACTATTATATGGGTAGATTATAAGATTTAAAGTTTAAATTATATTAATATAAATTATAATATATTATTCGTTTTAAATTTAAAATTATAATTATACTTTATATATTTATAATATATATATATAGAAAAAAAGAGAGAATATATTTAATCTTAAAATTATTATTAATTATAACTTAATATAATTAAATATTATTAGTAAAATACTAATATATTAAATAATTACTAATATATATTAATAAATATTAATATATATTAATAATTTATTATTTAATATTTATTAAAAAATATTAAATATTATTAGTAAATCCAGATTTATTTAGTAGCACTAATAGCCTGTATTTGCTTAATTTTAATACAGATCTAACAGTTATTTACCTGGTCTCGCGGGGTGGTATAATTGTAATTTATAACTAAACTATTTTAATTCTATTAGTAAATTTAGTAATATCTAGTATAAAATACAGCAATTACAATCTTACCGCCCCGCGAGATAAGATTTACCTGTACTTACCACCCCGCCAGATTTAAAAATTTTAGATTTTATTCCCTATTAATATATATTAATATAATTTTAATATAAAATAGTAATTTACTAGTAATCTACTGGTAACAAAAACCTCGCCACCTCGCGAGACGCCGCCTCGCGACCTCGCGACCAACCCACCGTGCCAGAACATCGCGTCGTCCCGGTCCGCCGCCTCACCCGCTAGTCCCGATGGGGGTTGGCCCAAGCGTTTCCCAAGTCAACCTCGAGTCTCGTTCTCGAAGCTCTCTGCTCCCTTCTAGTGAAGCTGCCTCCATCGGTTTGCCTTGCAATTCCAGACTTGAGGATGTGTTCAATGCTACAGACACTTTCTGAAGCCCAATGCTTGGGTTATCTCGCGCTGTGCCCTGACCGCAGCGTCATCGTTTACTTCGTGGACTCACCGATATAGTTCCCCATCGAGTGGGGACTTTGATGGATTATCGTGCATCACTTCGCACAATGACGCCCAGCCTCTGGGATCTCAAGTGCTGCGTATCACAGATCACTTTTCCCTGCATTTCTGTGCCCACTATACTCCCCCGGATACTGTCCTAATTGGCCCTGTGGCCTGAGGCGTTGGGCAGAAACCCCGTGGCATCCGCCGCATGAACGAGCACTCCCTCCGGGGTCGTGCTCTGTACTTAGCAGCGAAACACATATCTCATGATGCGAGATGCAAGGAATGGCCTACTGCACAGGAATTGATCTTGGAATGATCTCCTATCTGCTCATTTCTGCCCCTCTCTCAGAGGGGTAGGAATTTATATCCCCGATATCCACTCCGATACAACTTAGCGGGCGGTCTCCACTAATCAACTCTGTGGAGTATTCTCTACCTAGTACCTAGTGTACCTACTGCTTCTTTGCAGCTTCATAGTTACCAATCCTGTTCAGGCAGCGTTCAGACCTAACTACTGCAGCTTCACCTGCAGGCGGAGTCATCACCCTGCTGCTCGTCTCCGCCCGATCTTCCGTACTTGACCGGAACATCCATATGAACCCATCGGATACTGAGACGTGGCCCAATGGCATCGATTGCCCCGGCAATTGCTCCATTATGTCATGGCAATGGAAGCTCATTGCAGCATCTCCCTGCTCATCGCACTAGCTAACAACTGCAGGATGGGTTGCTTTGTGTTTGCGTTCGCTGAAGCCCAGCGGCCCGGGTCAGCGTAACTAGCATGTGCTCCGCTCTCCTCTAGTTTCCTGATATCTGAACGGACGCCCTGCTGTCGATATCGTCCTCTCCCGGCCCTGTATTTCTGTTTCCTGTTCCCCAGAGGCTCGCTGTGTAACAGCTTGCAGACAATTCTTCCTATCTCATTGTTCCGATCTGGTTGCCACGCGAAACTTCCGAGATAGCCTGCAGCGTCGTAGAGGCTCCGTCATTCGTCGCGGCAATGGGCAAAGGCTCGAAGAACAAGCGCAAGAATAAGAACAATAAAACTGTATTGAACATCAACGATCCGCCCACCGCAGACAATACAGCAAACGAGGCCGGCGTTGAAGCAATCGTCTCCGGTGAAGATGGCGCCCAAACGGTTCCAGTATGCAGAACTTCCAGTGTTCCAGTACCAGACATTCGAGCGTCAATATCAAAGCTTCGATCCTAGAACCCTGCAATTTTCATATCATCCCATCCTTCATCCAGCTACTGGTCCTCTGACGGCAGAAAATGTTCAGGACAAGGAAAACCTCGAGACGGAAAAGAGGCCCGATGCAGATACCCCTGAGATAGATGGTTCTCCCACCGAGCCTTCCAGTTCAGAGGGTGGCTCTTCCCCTGAATCCAACGGTAAGCCACATATGACTCCTCTTTAGCTACAGTTATGATTACGATTGGTGCTGGATCACATAAATATGGTATTAATGCTGGACAGACCCCGATTCCTCCGCGACCGAACCAGAATCACCTTCAGAGATAACGACCGCGGAGAGCAATGAAGAAGGGAGTAAGAATGAGGAACCAGTGGTGGAAAATAATGAGCTCCCACAGGAAACAGGTGCTGAGATTGTCCCAGAAGACAATGAGTACGGTAGTCGGGATGATGCCTCAGCTCCCTCAGAAAATGAGAATGGAGAGCATGTTAACCCCGCAGAGACATCCGCAGCTCATGAAGTGGAGACTTCAGATCACGATGGCGGAGAAGCCGGATCGGATACACACGGCGATAATCCTCCCTGCGAGGGTGAGGGTAAGTATTACTGTGCACCACCCCCTGCTGGTGATTAACAAATCAATAGAGGACAATTTTCCTGATGTTGACCCATCCGCAGAAGCAGATAAGGTCGCCGTTGAGAAAGAGGAAATCGCAAAACAAGAAGCCGAAGATGCTCGGGAAGAGACAAATGCGAATTTTGTGGGGGATGACGCTGCTTTTGTCGATGACCTCCCTTCAGAAGACCAGGAACCCGGCCCAGAAACAGAACCCCAAGAGTCGCCGGAAGATGACGAAGCCAACGAACAAGAGATCTCCGAAAGCATAGAACCAGACCAGAATGGCTCGTCGCCAGATGCCCCTGCTGAGGACCCCGTCCCCTCGACCGCTGGAGAGGGAGAAGAGAGTCCAGAGACGCAAGCAGAACCAGAGGAACCCACGCACGAACCTGCAGAGTCCGACGAAGTTTCTGCACCACAAGAGGCAGAAACGGAGAACCCTTGGAATTCCGAATCCGTTGATGCAGCTGCCGAAGCCGACTTCCTAGAGCAACGTGCAGTGGAAGACACCGTGGATAATACGGCAGAAAGCGAGGGGAATGATGATTCTGCCGGCGAAGGTGCAGCATCAGAAGAATCTCCAGCTGAGCCTTCAGAGGACACGGCTTCGGACCAACAACATGCCGAAGAAACCCCCGATGCTGTTGAAACTGGTCAAGAGGCAGGTGACTGCGACAAAGACTCCCTAGGCGAACCAATGCCTGAGGAGGACCTTGCGCCGTCTGATGATACTCTTGCAGACGAGGAAGCCGCCGAAGATAGTGCGGAAGATGCAGCGAAAGAGACGCCTCCTGAGGAACAACAGATTGACCAAAACACTGCCGAAGTCGCCGGTAATGACGAGACAGCTCTTGATGGAGATTCAACGGAGGAATCTCCTTTTGAAGATGCTTCTGTTGAAGAGCATCCGGCCGAGGAGCCTGCCGAGGAACTCGCAGCCAAAGAAGTAGCCGCCGACGAGATTGCTGCTGATGGAGATCTTGCGGATGAGCCTGTTGAACCAGTCGACGAGACTCCTGCCGAAGAACCAGTCGCTGAAGAACCTGCCGCTGAAGAACCTGCCGCTGAAGAACCTGCCGCTGAAGAACCTGCCGCTGAAGAACCTGCCGCTGAAGAACCTGCCGCTGAAGAACCTGCCGCTGAAGAACCTGCCGCTGAAGAACCTGCCGCTGAAGAACCTGCCGCTGAAAAACCTACTTCTGAAGAGCTACCGGTCGAGGAGACACCAGTTGAGGAGGCACCAGTTGAGGAGGCACCAGCTGCCGTAGAACTACCCGCCCAAGATCACCCTACTGAAGAAGCTCCCGCACATGAGCCTGCTCCCGAGGAGTCACCAGCGGAACAGCTTACTACTGAGGAGACTCCGGCCGAAGTATCACCAGCGGAGGACCTCCCTGGGGAGATTCTGCCAGCTGTCGCTGAGGGCGTTGTCACCGAATCATCTGTTGAAGCGCCAGCTGAAACGGAACCAGCAATCCCTAGTCAGAGAAATATTCCAGCTGCTGAAGATCATACCGACGCCCCTTCTCCCCAGGAGGGCGAAGCGGAAGAAATCGCTGACAACCAGGAAGACCGCGCAGCGGAACAGGACATTGCTGTGGAGGAGTCGCCCGACGATGGTGCAGCTCCTGGCATCCCCACAGAAGCGGCATTGCCCGAACGCTCTCGGCGGCGTAAGAGACAATCATCAGGTTGGAAGCGCGACTATCATCACTCTAAGAGCTCATCGGATGGCCACCGCTCCCAGCTGGAGCGCCAGAAGAGCGAACGGGGCCTTTTCAAGGACCGGTGGGCCATGGCTTTAGAAGAGGCCAAGAGACAACGTGAGGAGAAGCTCCGAGAAGCCGAACGCCGGAAAAGAGAAGAAAGACTCCGTGCAGAGAAAGAGCAATGTGCAGCAGAACGCGCGAAACGTGCGGAGAGGGATGAGGCTGCGAGATCAAGACGTCGCTCTTCGGAACACTCGTCGAGCCATGATCGACGTCGAGGAGAGTCGGCGTCAAAATCAGCACCGAACGCACTATCTGCCCGTGGTATCTTGAAATATATGACCTCCGGAGAGTCGGATACAAATGGTCCTCTTTTAAAACTAAACGCCGCCAAGGCAGCACCTCTAGTAACGGAGCCTGCAAGGAGATCTTCAAGCAGCCATGCACGCTCTCATCACAGTCGCTCTCACGATGAGAGACGGTCGAGTGGACGATCTGGTGCCTCTGGTACTGAAGACAGCGAAAGTGCTCGACGAGAGCAGCGCAGAGCACGACGGAAAGCAGAAGAGGAAGAACAAAAACGAGTAAGGGAGGCTTATGGTGCCAACGCAGGAGAGCCCCACCACCGCCGTCACAGACACCATCGGCCGCAGCCATCGCCCCGTGAATCGAGATTTAAGGAAGCCCTTGGTCTTTTCAAATCTGCAATTACAGCTCACTGATTTACGTTGTTGCTTCGGATAGCATTTGTTCTCTGCTTTTTATTTCTACCCTGTATTCCCATATTAGCGAGCGCTTTCCTCTTTTCCTTTATCTACTTGGGACAGAACGACTTGATGGTCGGATGATGGTACTATTAACCTAAAGGGATACAGGCCCAATAGCGAGGGGAAGGCTGTTGTTATATTTGACAACGATTGGCGTGCTTGATATGGATATTACGATTTTCTTTGCTACTTTTGTATGGTGCTTGTTTATCCATCCACTTCTTCTCAATGTATTTTTTTATATCTCAAATGTATAGGGAGTTTCCTAGCTCATATTGGCTTATTCTCTACAGATAGTCAGGAAAGCCTCCTTTGTCTTATTACCAGAACGACACCCAGCTTACCAGGGCCTTGTGTTAGCTCTCTAGTGTTGGCATTGAGTCGTGATAGCTTGACTTGGCTGAACTCGGATCGGTTTATACTATTAACTATAGGACAATCTATGGTCAAATTTATAACCTAGGACTAGTGAACTTTAGCAAACTCCAGAATGTAAACCATGATACAGTTAATGTAGACCAAAAGAAAGTCACTAATCAAAGGATTTCTCCACCACTTAGAGCTTTAAGATCTACCTTGTTCCTGGCCACGAGGCAGTAGTCTTATGAATGCGGTAGAATCAGCCGGGGTTTTACTGTTATTAGTATTGGCCCCCCATTACTTTACATCGGCTGATTGTATTCTTTCTATGTTGAGGACGAGTCTACGGTTCCGACGTCCGGGTACGTTTACTGCGGAAGATACTAATTTGACGGTATATGAGGCATTGTTCTGTTCTTTCTGTGACTCGAGCGGTTTGATGCGCTGCAGGGTCTATATTAGTGTTTGGTCGTGCGTGTTTCATGAATGTATAAAGTTGGCCTAGCTAATTAACTAGATATTTCCCGTGGAATGAAATAATATGGTAGTATAGCATGCAAAGCAAAAGAGGTACTATTTTGTTCTTCCCATTTCAGCAATAATAGTTGTGGTGTAATTTCAATTTCACTTTTCACACTGGAATGGCCATGCCGTCACCTCTCAGATCGCTACCGGCACTGTAGACAATTCTTCCATCCTCATAATGACATCTGATCACCTGTCCACGGCCAAACATGCCTCTCTTCCAGCCCTTCAGGACCGTGACCTGGTGGCCGAGCTTCTTCAGTCCCTCGACGGCCTCGTCGCTGATGCCCTCTTCCACATATACTGTGCGGTCCAGCACCTTTCCGACTTCGGGCATACCGGCGCCAATGCAGATACGTGGGGAGTCTAGTGCAGCCTGCGGGTTGTAGCCGAAAGCAAGCATGTTCAAGAGAACTTGGACGTGGCCCTGCGGCTGCATGAAGCCACCCATAACTCCATAAACGGAGTGCAAGCTGCCGTCGGAGGGATTTGTGATCATGGCCGGGATAATGGTGTGGTAGGGTCTTTTCCGTGGCGCCAGAACGTTGGGGTGGCCTTCCTTGAGAGAGAAGTTGGCACCGCGGTTCTGCAGCGTGAAACCACAGCCTTCGGGGATGATGCAGGTGCCAAATCCGCCGTAGTTGCTGTTGATGAAGGAGATACCGTTACCTTGTTTGTCGGTGACGGCGAAATAGACGGTGTCACAGTGGTTGTGGGCTGGGCTTCCGTGGTCGAGAATATCGGAGGCTTTGTCCGGATTGAAGAGCTTGGCTCGTTCAGCGAGATAGGGTCTGGAGATGAGACCCTGAGAGGGGACCTTCTCGACGTCCGGATCGGTCACCCACCATGAGGCATCTGCGAATGCGATCCGTAGACTCTCTATGACCGCATGGAGGTATTCTGCGGAGTTGTGCTGTTCTTGAGTGAACTTGGGGATTTTGCCGGCAAGTTCAAGTTCCTCGAGGATACCCAACGCCATGAGGGCGACGATACCCTGGCCGTTGGGGGGATGCTCCCAAACCTCGACTCCCTCGTTGGGTGCACCGTCAGTTCCTGGGGTCTGCTTTTCTGCGACATTCTGGCCCTTAAACTTCAAGGAAATGGCATCGACCTCCTGGCTGCCGGTCTCTGCGTGATGCTTCAGGTCATCCAGGGTCAGGAACCCACCAAGATCCTGCACAACCTTTACCAGGGCCTGTCCAATACGTCCTTCGTAGAATCCCTTTTTCCCCTCTGCCGCTAGAGTCCGGAAAGTCTTGGCCAAGGTTGGGTTCTTCATGATCTCGCCAGGACGAGGATATCTCACCCCATCCTTGGCCTTGGGATCAGCCTTGAGCATCTCCCTGAAGTTCGGAGAAGCATCACGGATCAGATGTTCACTTTCTGACCACTATATCTGGTCAGTGGCGTTGTTTCGTGCTTTTTTGTAGTAGCTATTGGCAAGGTGCAGGTGAGATTAGATTTGACTTACGAAGTACGATGCGAGTTCTGAGACAGGGAAACCCTCCTCCCCAAGCTCAATTGCCGGCGTCAAGATCTGCTCCAGAGACAGCTTCCCACTGCCGAACTTTTCGACAGTGTCAACCCAGCCTGCTGCCGCACCGGGCACCGTCACAGCGTGCACACTGGTCATAGGGATGCTGCCACCTTCATCGGGTGCGATATCCAATGCTTTCTTGATCTTCTCCAGAGAGCCATTGGCAGAATATCGGCCGGAGCCGTTGAGAGCGCTGATCTTCTTCGTTTTGGCATTGTAGAAGAGGCAAAACATGTCACCTCCAATACCAGTCGATGACGGTTCCGTAATGTTTAATGCAGCCGCTGTCATCACGGGCCCTGTCAGTAACGTCTCATTATATTAATAGTCAGAGACCGAATTAACCTACCAACTGCCACAGCAGCATCCTATAGTCCACGTTAGTTGATCAAGCTTAGCCATTAGATCATCTATATCAATGTACTTACCGCTGCATTTCCACCTTCTCTCAGGATCCTCTGGCCCGCAGCAGCGGCCAGAGGCTGTGTACAGGCCACGATACCATTAGTACTGTGAACCACACTCCTTCTGCTCGAGAAGGGAACGAAATCCGGGTTCTCGGCCGGGTAAATGGCCTTGGCGTTGAGAGGCATCTTCACGCGGTCCGCTCAGCGGGGGGAATCAAATTGCGGGGTGTCTGGAGCAGTTATACAGGAAGATGACAGTGCAGTCAGAAAAGAACAGGGCGATTCGACGGGGATGCTACGTGATTATATACCTAAGTACCCCGAAGCCCTGGCTCGTGGTTTTCCGCGGGGTTAAGGAACAAATAGATATAGGGAAAGATAGAGCGCCTTTTCCAGGCCTATCTCGAGATTCTACCCCGCTATGTATGGCGCGTTGCCCGATCGAGACACAGCAGGGCATTTGGGTTTAACCATCGTCCGCCTTCTGGATCGCATTGAATACGGTAAAAGGTATTTAATATCAATACGACCAAGTTGAAGCTTGTCGACCTCGACGGGCACTCTCCGCGGTGGAGTGTGACTCCTGAAGACCTTCCGAGGTCGGGTGGCAGCGCTGCTGACCTTCCGCTTCGGGTACTTATTAGTATCGAGACCAGATAACGCTACTTTCTGACGGCTTCAGATACCAAGAAAAAGGAAATATAGATACAACGGAATTGTTTCGTAATAATCCATGCAGATCTGAGACTGTCGGAAAGAAGACAAGCAGCTGGAGCGTAGAGTAGAAGCCCATCACGTCCATGTCTCACATCCGGGCCTCGCAACCCGCAGCCCCGCCATCGTCGCCGTCAAAAGCTCCGACGTCCCCCCATCACGGCGTCATCGCTGATCCATCTCGATCTTCTGCGCTTCAGACCACCGATCGATCATCAGATCCGATGCGGATAGCACTGCTATTTCAGCTCCCAGTCCCCCGGCTCTAATGAGCTCTGCTCCTTGCTTGCTGTTTGATCCATTTTCCATGGCAGGATGGTGGTGTTTGTCGACTATGATCGGGATACATACGACGATGCGTTGTATCCCCTTCCGGAGCACTCAAGACCTCTGGACGCCTATGTCGTCCCCAGCAAGCCTCTGCTCTCCAAGCTGACGACTTCTCCCCTCGAAAGTGCTTCTTTTTCTGCCCAACCGGTCTCCCCGAAGCAACAAGGAAGCGGAGCTGCTGGACAGCCTGGGACACGCGACAGCGAGGAGAGCCCCGTCGAAGAACAGCAGAAGCCGAATGTCAATGCATTCTCTGCCGCTCTGAGTTGCTACCCGTACGGGCTGTCGATATGTGCTGCTGAGACAGGCTGTCTGGATGGTCTGCTGACTGGGCCACAGAATCGTCAAGGAAATTGCGAAATCGGTTGACTTGAACACGCTGCATGCGCTCTCGAGAACATGTCGTCAGTTTCGCGTGAACCTGCTGCCTTACCGCGACCAGCTGATCAAGCAGACCCTACGCTGCGAAAACGAATACATCGAGACTCTATCAGACATGCTAGGCGATGGCGCTGTCCTGCCGGATAACCTAAAGAACATCCTCCGCTTGCTGAGTCGAGACACAGTTGACCTTGGGAAGTTGACCAGCGGCAAAGTTGGGAGATGCGCCCGGGATATGGTTTCTGAATGCCGGAGATGCTCGAGGGTTGTGTGTAGGGTATACAAGGAGACCATGGTATTGTCTGTTGAAGTGCCGTCATATGCTAAAACTGTGTCTTAGAATTGCTGTATCAAACCGCCGAGCAGTGCTATGCTCAAGAACCGTCTGCGCCGTCTCTGCACAACATGCCGCACAGCACCGCTCCACTATCTTTTAACGCAATATTCCGCAACGACAGCTGACGACGCGATCGTATCGTCTCCTTCTACGGGTTTCACTGCGTCCGCTTTTATACGTGAACCATGTTCCTGCGAAGAGGCTGTCTGGCTGTGCCAGCCATGCGGTCAGACACTTCGCAGCGATGATACCACCTACAGACGGGTATGGACGTGGCGAACTCGTTACAGCACCTACCTTGGAGGAGGCCTAGGCACGGGTATCGGCGAAGGTTGCCAGGGTGTGAAATGCGGCCGAGGCGAACATTGCTTGGCAGCTCAGGAAATCGAGCTGGAAGTTTGCGACGCAGATGAACGAGCCGCTGGAGTACACGATCACCATGTACACGGCAATGTGACTTCGCACAACCACGAGCGATCTGACTCACCCCATGTCGACTCTCTAGATAACAGGGACGGTGAGGAACCCGGATACTTCAAGCAGGAAATTGTCGGAATCGGGGGCGTCGTGAAATGCAAAGCAAAGAAGAGAGTTACAGTTGGGTCGTGTGTCCTCGAATACGAAGACGAACGGGAGACCGGCAAGTATTTGAGAAGAGAGGAAAGCGGCCAGGACAGAAGTTGGTGCGGATGGTGCTGGAGAGTTGTCCCTGGTAAGCATGACCGGCTTGAGCTGTAAGCTTACTATGATACTGCTTCCGTCTTCAATGTTGGTTTTTCGGAGTCACAAAAACTTTCATTGGCATTGTCTTTTACGATACCTCACTCCACTGCTCGACGAGTCACGAAGCCAACGTAAAAGGCACACAATCATCGCCGTTCAACTAAAGCAGAAGGCTGGTTGGCGTTTCATGCACTTCTTCAGGTACGTGTGTTATGCATGGCGCAAATATCATATTTTCGATGATCACGACAGCAGTTAGCTGCATGGAAAAATAATTGCTCTAGTTATATACATGCCTGAAACAATATAAACATTCAGCAGTTATTTCGACTACCTCATAGATCCCTCGTCATACAGCTCTTACCTGCAGATTCCGGTGGCATGAAAGCCACTGCTCTCAAAACATCTCTCGGCCCATACCCAGTCCTGCAGTACACAATATCAGGATATGCGTAACATAACTATTCTTTCTATGATCCAAAAAAGAAGATCCCGAACTATGGTTCGGATGCAAAAAGCTAACTCAATGGTCCCGACGAGGGTCGAACTCGCGACCTTGGCGTTATTAGCACCACGCTCTAACCGACTGAGCTACGGGACCGAAGAAGTGACTGATGTGTCAATTTAGTGATCTTTGAGAGGGATCTACAAACACCGTGGACATTTCCGATTTCAACATCTTGAAGCTATCCATCTTTATGCTACTACTATATCATTACTACTACTATTACTATAACTACGAAGGAAATCAGCTAACCTTGTATCACCTGAATGCAACTTGGCACGGGTAGCTAGCTCTTGGTCGCCTTCCCTTCCCTTGCGGGACTGGATAGAGAGTGGTCGCTTAGGCACCGTTGTATACTAACTATTTATATGCATCGAGGCCATTCAAGGAGGTGAGGCGAACACCATACGGCTCTATGGTCAGAACATACATCCTGTCCTCACTTCACGCGCCCAGATGGCCTTGTGGGACTCTGCCAGAAGCCAAAGCTTCGTTGTTAGAGGATCGATCATTCCGATTCTCGTCCGTCTAGGGGCAATTGCTGTGAACATCTTTGCTGTTCCACTAAGCACTCTATTACGAGACACTGAGCACCAATATGCCTTGACACAGGGATCACCCTCCTTCAGGTCAGCCCAGGAGACTATCGTTGTCCTTGCTACAGAAGTTCAGATCTTTCAACGTCTTTCCAGAGAACGTGTACTAAATCGAGATCATCGGACCTCCCCTGTACCACGAATCTTGGTAATCCAGCACAGGACCCTTTCAGTCAGGTTAAAAGCCGGCACGCTGCCCTTGCTGAGCTGACGGGGTGCCTGCGCCTACGCATGGGGGACGTTCTGTCTCCACAAGAGAAACGCACAATCGCCCTTCTCACTGCTTATCATAAGATGCAATCTGTGGTCCTCGCGGTTTCCCTATCTCCATTCGAAGTTGTAGCCAATGATTGTATACCAGATTTTCAGGAAATAGTCGAACAGTCTAACATCGCTCTCGATGCGTGGCTCAATCTGACGGCACACAACCGCCATTCACGTTTGAAATGAGACTGGAATTCGCACTCTCGTTCACCTGCCTTAGATGCCGCAAATTAAGAATCCGACGGTCGGCCCTGACCTCGTTTTGACAAGCGTCTGCGGTGTTAGGGTTTTATAAACGTACCCCTGCGGTAATTCCGGGGAAAAAAAAATCATGACGCTGGAGGAGTCCCACGGTATGGCGCTGTATATAGTCCTAGCGACCTCCATGGGGCTGGAGTAAACACCAATATCAGTTCTTATGCCCGAAGGGGCCTGCATTGGACCCATAGGTGTCGTTCCGGCACGAGGCGTTTTCCCTCCAGGAACGAGCGTGCAAACACTGCGAGGTGGACCGTCAATCGGACTCTTCTACGGGTTCCGCGGAATGAACGAGATATAGCTAGCGGTACTTGGGAAGCAGTCTCCGAATACAGTGATGATAATCGTCCCAATCAATCCCAGGGCTTCTTGCACAGGGGGGTGTTTTGACACTGATATTATCAACTGGGTGTCCAATGAGACCAAAAATAAAACAATGCCGTGTATGCCCTATGTATATCCTGTGGACAGATCCTGGTAGACTGCTTAAAGGGGCAAAAAATGTAATCCCGAGGTATATAATATCCATAGCTTAGTCTACATTAATTACTGAATTAGGTAGGGTTATCATAGCTACAAGTATACGAACATATTTACTGTTCGACAGGCCGCCTTAGTGACGACATTTTTGAACAATAGCGAGAACATACTTAACCCCACGGATAATTCAATGAACTGTTAAATCTAGGTAAGCTGCCCTGGCATTAGAAATCCAAACTTAATAAAACGCTTACCGTTAAATTGAAGATCTCCTAACCCACCTATAACCTGCTCCAAATATACAGTAGTAGAGAATAGGATAATGAATCACTGTTTGCGCCGCTTCTAACATGCAAGGTCCCGTAGCTCAGTCGGTTAGAGCGTGGTGCTAATAACGCCAAGGTCGCGAGTTCGACCCTCGTCGGGACCAGCGTATATCCTTTTTTGATTCCGTTCAATCCATTCTCTGGACGAGAATCGAAGTGGGAAGTTGTATTATTTTTTTTTTGTTGGGAAAATTGCATGTCTAGAGGCGGGGTTTGTGTAGGGAGAAAAACGTGGAGAGGAAATATTTAGCCGAACGGGAATGATGAAGTATATAGATAGAATCGGAGAAATTGATTTACAGGATACTCACCAAAGCCAGTTCATGAGCTTCTTTCTACCTGAAGGGCGCAGAAGCAGAAAGAGAAATGTAACATCCTTTGTTTAGTAGTTATCGCCGGGATTAATAGCTAGTGTAAATGTATGTACTGTACAACAATATATGAAGCCGAAGCGCTGAATTTACATCTGCACTATTTACAGGCCAAACCTACTGCAATATGCTTGTGTGAAGATCTAGGATCACGGAAGCAAAGATTCCGAGAAAGCATATGAGAAGGGAATGATCTCTGGATTGCTTGAAGAACTAATCGACACCGGAAAATATCAGCTATTTATGCTCCTCGACTCTATCCCAATGCCTCGACAGTTCTGAGCTGAGCTGAACATCTAATGAAACTGTTCCATGGTTCTACTCCCGTCTTTATTGATTCCATGCAGGTCGATCTAGGTAGCTTCCCGTTGCAGCTGCTATCCGGTTTGTATAGGGAACACAGCAGGTTTGCAGCTCGCCCCTGTAGGAACCGCGAGATCTGACAGCTTGTCGTCAATATATATATATATACCCATCAATATCTATACCAATAATAAACTCGGTCCCGGAAGACGAAATCAGGCAATGGTAAACCCGTCGGAGCGCAAAGCGCACGTCCAGGCGATCTGTCAATTATCCGCTTGCAGCAGGTTCTTCGATATCCAAATTATAGGATAGAATCTACTAGATCACCAAGGTCTAGATTCTTTGTATGCTATAGGAAATAAATGGGTTTAACCCCCTCTAGAACTAGTATCTAGCAAGTCAAGCAATCCAAGCAGCTTAGATATATCAGCCAACTAGTTCAAGTCAGACACATGCTTCCGTGCCTTTATGATTTGACGTACCCTGCGCGAAGGGAATGAGGAAGTAATGCTGGAAGGTAAACTGCATATAACACTTCAGAAATATCATATGCCCTAGTTACTGAAAGAGAGACCATGATGGATGTGATCTGGGCGTGTGGAATATGCCATTTCCTTATAAGACCCAGGGAACCCGATGGCAAGGAGGTAATCATCGTGCCCAGTAGGTTCTACCATATGAAAGAACCTGCTACAAAAGGATGAGACCTTCTACACATCTTTTAGAGGCGGCATGGTGCGTCTAGTTGCAATGTGTCCTCTAGGTTATGGAAATTGTGACCGAAACAGTAGTAGGTACCAGGTAGACTACACGTTTACATAGACAATTATAGCCTCCTAGGGGATGTTATATCCGGAAGACTACGGTATATACTCAGAGAGCAGAGCTATACAGGGAGAGATACATACCCTAAGCCGACATAACTTGAGAAACCAACTGTTGCTGTTGTATAGAATTAGAGATATATGGAAAGTGATTACTTCTTATAGTAAGTGATAAGACTATAAATGTAATAGCTACATATATAGAAAGATATCAGCATTCAAAGAAGTAAGTATATACAGTCGTGAAAGCTAGGTTATAGTGTCAACTTTAGTATTCACTTACTGCACAAACAATTTATCTCTTCATTGATATCGATAGAAATATCTGCAAAGACAAACAGAACAATTGGACCTGACTCTCCACAAGACCGTGGTTGATTCGGAGTTAACTAGAAATCCATGTAGAAAATATATTCAATACTTATGTACATTTGATCTCTGTTCCGGTTAGTAATGCATAATGAAGCTATGGAACCTGCATTGCTATCTAAATATCACTTTCTTAAGGGCATATCCGGGCATCTCACTCAATTCTATGCTACCTAGTGAATGGTATCCCTCTGAAATCTAGAGAAAACAACAACATGCGAGCCAGATATTGCTCCTAGTGGCTAGAACGAGCCCCCCAATGAAAACCTAGGATTTAGATAGTATGGTCTGATCTCCCAGCCACAAGAGACCAACCCCTTCAGCCGCGCCCATACGGAGATTATTTCTCTCTATCTTGCTATCTATGGACCGCAATCTTCAGGCCTCGACTGAACTCTATATCGGCGTTAACCTTCCCAGCCGATAGGTCGAGTATCACTCTCTAACGTCGATAAGCACCTAACGTAGATCAAAACTCAAAGCAACAAGTCAGCACGGCCGACGCAGGGCTTCTCGAAGCCAGGCTAAGGCTTCCATGGAATCTCATCCCTCGTGGCACGAATCATGTCCTGCATGTAACCGCGTCACACGGGACCACATGGTCAGACTAGGGTGTAAGATGTTGGAAACCAGCGCCAACTCCATCTTTTTTAGGATGATCTTTTCCCACGTGGCGGGGATTTGGATAGCGCCCTCCCGCCACGAGATAGGCAATATTCTAGAATCCTTCCCCCGTCGTTTCATAGTCCAAGCCCCAGATTGAAGCTGCAGTCCCTGTTGGATGGATGCAGTTTGTGAGAATTTAGTATCCAACGCTGGCGCCGGCGTCTGTTGGGGGCTGAAAAGAGTAGTGGAAAACGTGGTGAGCCTTGCAGTGCGCCGTCGGCATCTGGGCTGGCTGGTCTGCTAAACCAAGTGATCAGCTTGCAGTAGTGGGGAGGAACCCTGAGAAGAGGTTGTCTGTGATCGACAGCAGATGCTGCTGCTCGCTAGACCATGCCATGCCAGGGAAAAGAATCGAAGCCAAATTCAAGGTACAGTGGGGAAATGCATGGAACACAGAGAACAACCGAAGGAACAGGATCCTAGCGGAGGAGTAACATGGACATGACGACTAGACATGGTAATGAGAAGAATATACTACCTTGATGATCTTTGACTATATAGTTACATAGGTAGGTGGATATGATAGTTACCTTTCTGCTCTCATACCGCCCGTCCCGTGCCGGATATGAGATATCAAAGGGAAGATCGAATCCATGAGATAGGTGCATGTATGATTTGTTAGGGATTCCTTTTGCTTTCGAGAAGCATGATAGTGTTCGAGATCTACACAGGGCTGCCACGAGAGCCAGAGGCACGTCATTCCGAGAGTCTTCTCCACGGTGGTTGGGGAAAGAGCGAAAATAGAAATATGCTAAAACAGACTTGCGTGCTGCAGCCAGTCAGAGCAATAGAGAGTTGTCGATCATGTTTCCTCAGGCAAGCTATGTCAGACCAACCGCAATGTGCCCAGGACTTAGCGAGGCTTGCATTTGGGGGCGGGTTTTGCGTCGGTCGAGGGGCTTGATTTCCTAGACCGTCATTCAACTAGGAATTCGAAGATAGTGGGTAATCTCGCATCGCATCGCCTGCTGCTTTCTAACATGTAACGTGATGTATTGGATGGGGAAGTATGATTCAACGAAGCAATAGAGGGATGGAATAATCTGAGACAAACCACGCGATGAAGATGCAAGGTTGCTGCCTGTGGTAGCGAATGAGAAGGCGAATGACGAGGTGCAGATGTTCTACTGTTGGGTTCCACGGACTGGACGTAGAATAGGTCTTCGTCGTTGGCCCTAGCATGTCGTTATAGCCTCAAGTGCTTCTCAGAAGATTACGCGAGGAACCAGCCCCGTCTTCATAGCTGCAGATGACTAGCCATGGAAGCCAGGGAAGCCGCTTCTATGCATGACAAACATCGACCGCGTATGTTCGGACCAGACGGTCTCAGATCGTCGAGCAAATGGGCTCTCATAAAGCCACCACACTGGTGACTGTGGTGAGAAGCCAGGGTCTGTTATCAAGTCGAACCCCGCATCTCTTGCCTCATTCGTCTTCTCCGACTAGTTAGAGTACTGCGATAGAGGCGGCCTAAAATCTCT